CGTGGGATGGTTGAATGACGCCCCCCTTGAGCCTTGATGAAGACCCGGCTGGCGGCCCATGTGCCGATACATGCATGTGCGCCGCCACGCCCAGCCAATTGCGAGTACATGCTTCTCTCGGTTTTAAAACGTGCGGCACTCCATCCGTCCGCTGCATGCTGAGCTTGACCTGGAAGAGCAAAAGGTGGTATTATAGATGATACTGCAGAAGCATGCCTCAAATAGGCACAGGCACAGGTACAGGTACACTCCGGCCAAGTTGCCGTGCTGTCGTGTCGTTGTCATGTCATGTCGGATGTCATTTGATGCTACACGTCAACCGGGACCAGACCTGAAGCCGCCACTGGCAATCCGCATACCTCGTGTCGATGCCGGTGCTTGTACCGGTACTTGCTGTCTTGCTCGCAGAGTCGACGGGTTGCCCTCGCCCGTCCTCGCACAAGCCAATTGCCGCCACAGCTGGTCCCCCAGCAATTGATTTGATCCAGACATTGATCAATAGCAGAAGAGCTGCAGCCCCGAGAGGCTCACTGTTCGACCTAGGCTTGGCCATGGCCCCGTCCAACCTCGGCTACGGGCCAATGGCAGCGCCCCCCAAGGCCTGCACAGCCAGGCGGCCCGCCTGCTAAGATATAGCGGCTCGCTCTTCCTTGGGCGGCCCCCCAGTGGCCTCTGCAGCGCCTACGAAGCACTGGACCGGCACGCTGGAGACCGCAGCGCTGGCTCCGAGGTACCGGTACCTGTGGCCATGGACAGGCCCGCCTGGCATATTTACAGCCTCGCCGCCAAAGCCTTGAACCACTCGCAAAACAGCCCCCTCCCCCCAGCCTTACTTCCTGCTCGCTCGCCCTGTTGCTGTCTCACCTCATTCTCTGCCTTGTCCCAGCCCGCCGTCGTCTCGTCTTGTCCCCTCATCCTCTTGTACTGCCGTCCAGCCTCGAATCCCCCAATTGCCGCGTGCTCGACCTCATTACTACTCTCCCGCCGTCGCTGAATTCCCTTCAGAGACTCGGCAATTCGAAGCTGCCCTGCCGACTGCTCCGCCTTGGCCTCGACCCAGCCTTAGGTCTCTCGCCGTCTTCAGACCTGCCGCAGCTCTGCTCTCCTCCTCTCGTCCCTCCTCGACCTTCACCATCGTCCTCGCCGAGTCTGTCCATGGAACCGTCCAGTAAAAAGCGGAAGCTGGCTCCCAAAGTCACCACTTCTGTCGCTCCCAACCCTCAGCCTGCCGCCCAGTATTCTCACGAAACGGTTAGCCTTGCGTCTCCCCGAGCCTCCCCAACTCCTTCGCAACCAGACCCTGTCGCCATCTCCCCCTTCTCCCGTCCATCTTGCTCGCCCGCCTTCTTGGCTTGTCGTATCATTGCTAATGCTTGCTTCATTTGCAGCCGCCACAGCAACAACCTTACCCCGTACACGATGCTACCCTTGCCGAACGACAAGACTTCGAGGCCTTTGCGCGTCACCTTCAGGATGCCGCCATGCTGATACAGCGCCAGACGGAGCGTCCGCCTCACAGTGACGTCTCCGTCCTGCTACTGAGTTGGGAAGAGGATCACACTGTCGATGAGGATGTAGCCGCGATCGAGCAGGTCATGCAGAAGCAGTACGGCTTCAGCACCCAGCGCTGGCAGATCCCCACCGTACCAAACCCTAGCATCAAGCTCGGCGTCCAGATGGCTTCCTTCCTCGAAAACGCGAGGCCAAACCACCTCCTCATCATATACTACGCTGGCCACGGATATGCTGGCCCTGATGGCCAGCTGTATTGGGCCTGGTGAGTTTCCATCCTAGGGCGCTCGCCGTCTCCCAAAAGCAACAGCCTTTGCTTTTCTGTACATCTCTTCTGCCTCTACATGATGCTTGTGGTGATCATTGGCTCTAATCAATTGCCCATATAGCAATGCGCGCGAAGATGCGGCCAAGCTCAAGTGGGATGGCGTGCGGTGCCTGTTCGAAGATGCCCAGTCCGACATTCTCCTGCTCCTGGACACATGCGCCGACCCCGAGCCCGCAGCTGCGGGCAGCCACGGTATGAAGCAAGCCATTGCCGCTTGCTCTCCAGAACACAAGACTCGACGCGAACCCGGTCAACGATCTTTCACATCCTTCCTGGTGGAGGCGCTTCACAAGCTAAGCGGCGTACAGCAGCCTTTCAGCGTTCAGAGATTATACGACGAGATTCGTGCCCTAAAGCAGCAGCAGCAGCGCGCGAGGAGCCCACCTGCAAACGGCGCAACACCCTCTGTTTCGCCAGTCGTGCCCATATTCTTTACTCTGACCCCTGGCAAGGGGCAGAACTTGATGCTGGCGTCCATGGTCGGCAGGGCGCCCGCGGCTCCTACCAACGGCGATTCGTCGGATGGACAGAGCAGCCGCTCTCGTGAAGATCAAATCATCGACCCGGAGTCTGTAGCCGATATCAGGTTTGAAGAGGCTCGGATATTGGTCTGCACAACGTTTGTGGGGGATGCGAGTCCAGACATGTCCTACTTTCACCAGTGGCTGCAGAACAAGCCGACCCTTGGCGCTTCCATTGCTGTCGAGGGCATGTTTCTGGGCCCCCCCACGATGCTGCTCATCTCCATGCCTCACTCCATCTGGAATGTGGTGCAGCATGACAAGGTCTGCTGCTTCTTGGGCTACATTAGCTCGCACAACATGATTCACTTGTATGAGAAGCTGGTTGGGCCCGCCGGCATTCGTCCATCTGCCAAGGAAGTGGAGGATGGCCGGATACTGCTGGAGGCCAGAGAGCTGGCGGCGGGAACGCCTTCGCGAGCGCGACGCGAGCCAGACCAGTACCTCCACGCTGCAGCTCGCGATGGCCTTGAATACAGGTCGCAAAGCAGCCCGTCTGGGACAAGCTACACCCCGGCCGCCGCCCCTCGAAGCATCGCACCTATCAAGCCCAAGGACGAGGTCGAGGACTCCGCAGAGATGCAAGAAGCCGCAGAACAGCTCAAGGCTCTCAGCCACGTCCGACCTAGAAGTGACGACGGCCCTCCGCCACCTGTCGCAGCTCAGCCCCCTGTGCCTCCCGTGGTACGGCATCGGACGACGCTTCCCGACGGCATCCCGGAAAGGCACATTGAGCCAAACATATCCCGTGATGCCAACGAGCCTGGTGCCGATGCCATGGCTGTGGATGCAGCCCCCAGCTTGCGCATGAAGGCACCTAGACGGTCTCTTCCCAAGCAGGAAACTCGATGTGACCACTGTACTCATGCGCCGTTCAAGGACTCTTCGTCGCTTCGGAAACACATTGCGGCAGCCCACACGCGGCCATTCCCCTGTGCCTTTTCCTTTGCCGGCTGCGCAAGCACCTTTGGGTCCAAGAATGAATGGAAGCGGCACATTGCTTCACAGCACCTCTGCCTAACGTACTACTGCTGTTCTGCATGTCCGCAGAGCTCGGCAGAAGGCAAGGGCAACGAATTCAACCGGAAGGATCTCTTCACCCAGCATCTTCGCCGGATGCACGCGCCGTTTCAGATCAAGAGGACCATTGCCAAGGGCGACAGCAAGCTGCAGGCCGAGTGGGATGCGCACGTCAAGGAGATGCAGCAGTCGTGTCTGGTGACGAGGCGGCATCCTCCACAAAAGTCAGCCTGCCCGCGGAAAGAATGCAATGCCCTTTTCGAGGGGCCGACGTCTTGGGACGAGTGGACGGAGCATGTCGGGCGGCACATGGAGAAGGGCGAGGGCCAGCGGCTGGGCATCGACAAGCTGCTGGCGGAATGGGCTCTTGACGAGGGCATCATCGAGCTGAAGAGCGACGGCGAGTATCGCTTGTGTGCAACAAACGGCGTCCTGGCCGGCGGCAGCAACGGCAGCGTGCACAACGGCGCCGGCGCCGCTTCTCAGCCGCCCCTGGAGCACAAGGAGTCGACTGCTTCGCTACCGGAAAATGCGTCTTCGGCGGATGAAGCCCAGGTCATGGAGGTCAAGTCGGGCGACGACATGGAAATGACCGAAGCATGACCTCCTCCTACTCTCCGACATTCTTTCGTCTCATTAACCTCAAAAATACCCGACACAATATCCTGGCGACTCTCTTCCCTTTGTTCCCTCCCCTGTGCATGTATATCACAGAATCTCTGTTGCGTGTGCGAATCCGGGAATGACTCACGAAAGCTAACGATACGGAAGCCTGCCTGCTGTGTGCATATATAGTAGTTCTCGTCTTGCATGGTGTTTTTTTCACCCCGATCCCGTCAGTCATTTCATCATCGTTCCATCTCATTGTACTGTATCCTGAATGTCCCAAGGCTTGCTTGCTATACCTGGCGTTTCACCATTTTTAGTCAATTTCTTTTTCTTTTTTTTTTCTTTTCTGATTTTCATCTCTACGTTACCGTTCTTCTCTTCCGTTGCTCATTGGAGGCGTTGGTACGGCTTGACATTTGCAAGGCAATGCATCAAAAAGGTGAATAAACCGGAGTCTGTCATTTTCCCTTTATTTCCCCTTCACTTTTCAAAGCTACGAATACCTGTTCTTTCAAAGGCAAAAGACCTTGTCACAGCGCTATATGTAGGTGAGCGCTGTTTTCGAGACTTATTGATCCAAGACACTTAGGGTTGGAAGGCATGGTGAAGAAGTCAGTACTCGGTTGAAGAAAGGGGAGAGAAAGAAGTCTCTCTGCTTGACTATTTGACTGTACCTAGTTAGTTAGAATGGTACTAGGTAAAATAAGAGTGTGCTGATAAGTTACTTGTCGTTGGCGAGTGTCTTTTCTTTACGACTTTTTTCTTATAATATGTGTAAGCTATTCACTCTTGACGGTACTTGATTACGTATAGGTAGTGGAGAGAATCAGGGACCCTCTCGATACACCATCATTCATAGACATTTACGACTTAGATAAAGGCTTACTACACTGAGATAGCAAGGCTATCAAGGGGTATATACACAAAAGCCAAAAAGGCATAGAGAAGAGGCTGCACTATATTCAGAACCTTCAAAGCAAAACTGCCCATCGAAGCCATACGAATCTGCTCTAACCGATCCTCACAGACGCAGGACCGGTAAACGGCACGTGGACATCAAACGTCTCGCTGTTGCTGCCTCCGGCGCTCGTCTTGGCAGTGGAAGAGTGCTTGCCGCCTAGGATGGTCACCTTGGAAATGATGAAGGGCACTCTGAAGCTGAAGGAGCCGCCCAGGATGAAGAAGCCATTCTTGTAGGTGAAGGTGACGTGAGTCGTGGCGCGTTGGTTGATGGACACGCCGTCGTCGAGGTACAGCTCGCCCGAGGCGGAGCCGGACGCGTCGAGCGCGATGAGGAGCTCAAAGTTCTGCTTCCGCAGCTCTGTGGTGGTGTTGGCGGACTTGACGCGGAGGGGCAAGATGACACCGCCGCGGATGAAGAGCGGGATGGAGGTGATGTCGACGCCCGTGATGGCATGGTTGGTGGCGCCGCCGTCGATGCGGGCGTGCGTGTACCAGTCGTAGAAGACGCCGTTGGGCAGGTAGACGCTGACGCTGGTGGATCCCTGCTGCGTGACGGGGGCGACGATGAGGCCCGGCCCGAAGAAGAACTGCAGCTCGAGGGCCCAGGTGGCCGGGTCGTCGGGGTACTGGAAGAACATGGGGCTGACGGCGGGCGTGCCGTCGGTGGACTGGCGGTACAGCGCCGTGTAGATGTAGTCGAGCAGGCGGTAGCGGATGTCGATGGCCTTCTTGGCGGAGCTGGCGACGGACGCCCAGCGGTAGAACTCCTGGCCAATGTTGCCATAGTCGTTGTGGTTGCGGTAGAAGGTGCTGAAAGCGCCCAGCGACGCCCACCGCGCGCACAGCTCCTCGTTGGTGTTGCCGCCAAAGCCGCACACGTCGGAGCCCACGAAGCCGAACTGGAAGAGGGACGTGAAGGCCAGCATCGTCCGGATGGACACGGTGTAGTAGCTCCACTGTGACATGTTGTCGCCCAGCCAGTGGCCGACCTTGGAGCCCGCGCCGGCAAAGGTGCTGCGCGTGATGACCAGGGGGCGGAGGCCGGGGCGGCGAGCTTCCATGGCGTCGCGGGAGGCCGACGACATCATGGTGCCGTAGAGGTTGTGCGTGTCGTACATGGCGAGACCATTCTGGTGGATCAGATCCGTGTTGACCGTGTGGTTGGAGATGCCGCCCTTGTCGGCGTTCCACGAGTCCATGTAGGCGGCCTTGTTGTGGATGGCGTACTTGGGATACAGCAGGTCGCGGCCGGGAAGCCCCTTTTGGTCCCCCTTGCTGCTGCTGGGCTTGTTGTTGGGGATGCCGCTGCGGATGCTCACGGGCGGGCTGTCACTGCCTGGGACGGCCAGTAGAGGTTGGGCCTCGCGTTTGCCGGAGCAGCCGCCGGGCTGGAAGTCGCACGGCCAGCCGGGTAGCGGACGGGGCGGGGCACGGACCGGTGGCGGGGCCGGAGGGTAGCCGATGGCGGCCGTGTAAGGGTCGTCGCAGGGGAAGTTGCACGGGAAGTTGCTGGGCTCGTTCATGTCGATCCACAGGGCGTCAATGTCCAGGCCCGTGTCGGCGTTGAAGAAGGTCTGGAATTGGCCGTTCCAATACTGCGTGATGTTAGCCGAGAACCAGTCTGGGAAGACGGTGACACCAGGCCACACCACGCCGATCCACACGGAGCCGTTAGACCGCAACAGGAAGACGTTGTCCTCGAGACCCTGGTTGGCAGGCGGGTAGTTCTGATAGGCAACGGCCGGATCGACCATGACGACGTAGTGCTGGTCGTGTGCGTGCAGGTGGTCGACGAGCTCCCGCATCTTAGAAAGGGGGAACCGATCCGGGTCGAGGGTGAAGACGCGGCGGCGGTCCATGTAATCAATGTCCGTCCACATGGTCTCCAGGGGGATGCCAGCCAAGCTGTAATTTTGGACAACTTCGGCGACATCGAAGGCGTCTTGATATCCGTATCTATCGTACAACGTGTAAGCCTCTTACGCTCCTGATCTTACTCGCTCATACGTTTCCATATTCATCTTACCTGCACTGGTGGAAGCCAAGACCCCAGTATGGCTGCATGGTTGGGAAGCCAGCGAACTCGCCATACTGCTGCACAGCCGCGATGGGCGTAGGGCCAGCGACAAAGTAAAAGTCAAAAACACCGCCAATGGTGTTGTACTCGAGATACTGCTTGCCGGACGCGTCCTGGTTGATGATAATGTCCATGCCGTTGGAGTTTAGGAAGAAGACACCATGAGCACCGGTGGCTCGCTGCTCCAGGTAGAACGGGTGAGTTCCGTAGAGATTGGCGTTGCTGGGAATGCCATAGCTGTCTTGGTTCCACATCGTGCGGATGTAGTTGGTCGTCTGAAGACGCAGGGAATCAGAATGCTCGCCCAGGCCGTACAGGTTAGGGTTCGCAGGCAAGCTGGTCCGGAGGCGGAGGTACTGAGACTCGAAGACGAGGGACGCCGCCGAGGTGTCAAAGATGACCTCGCCCGTCTTGGCGCGGGAGATCTTGAAGGAGAAGGGGTTTGCCGTGTAGGTGAACTTCAGCTTGCTCGTCTGTGACCAGACTGAGCCTCCCGGGCGGGGAAAGACGGACTCTGGGACCTGGTAGACCTGGTTGCCCTGGTCCTGGATGAGAACATGGATGCGGTCCTCTAGTGGTGGAACAGATTAGCAAGAGGCCAATTGGTTACGCATTTGCCGTTGGGACTGGATATTGGAAGCTTCTCAAACTCATTTCTGAAGCGATGCCCCCTCAGGCAAATTCTCCATCAGTGTCAATGGATGTTTGACTTACCAGTCTGGTACGTAACCTGCAGAGTGAGATGCGGGAGGTCTGTCCCATAGACATTGCAGGCAGCGCCGGCCAACGTCAGATCGGCCGTGACACCAGTCGCCGAGACGCGAACATTGGAGGCTTTGTAGCCCGGGCATTGGTCCAAGGTGGCGGCCGTGGCATTGTCTTTCTTAAACAGGGCCGCGGCAGAGGCAAGCCCCGCGTACAACAGAGCCTTCCAGTAGACCATCGTCGCGGCTATGGCGATAACGACGGCGAGGAAGATGGCGGGACGGGACAGAGAGAGTGAGGATCGTGAAGAGCCGCCCATCGTAGCGGTCTTCTTGGGGCTGGAACCCCTTGTATATGTAGACATTGTTGCAACGGAGCAGGGACCGGGAATGCAGCCAAGACACGCTCAATGCCCAATGCCGGAGACTGCAGAGAATCAATCTCCTGCCCTCACACGTCTAGCTCGTCAGCTATGGCCCTCGTCACATTACACAGCAGAGCAGGGTATGTCGAGCAGGGGAGGGCAAGGCAGAGCAAGGTAGAGCAGATCCGAAAGTTCCAATTCGAGGCAAAGGAAGCATGCAGTGGGACGGAGGAAGAGGGGGAGAGAGACGAGGAGGGCGTGGGGCACGCGTCTAATCATGCGGGATGGGATACAACCAAGACACGGGACCCCGGGAAACGGACCCGACTTGGGCATTGTTTTGTTCACGGAGCAGTATGCAGTACCTCAGGAAGATGAGCTACTATGCCAATTGCCAGCACCGCCTGCTGTGTAAATTCTAGGCAGACTGTATGTAGGCGTAGCTTCAATGGTTTTTGGTGGTGCGGTGACACAGCAGTCGGGCTCGAAGATATCGGTCGCTTTCAATTGGCCGTCGTCCGATGAACGTGACGGCGAAACGGAGTTTATTTCGTCGTGAGGAGAAGCTGGGTGAGACGGACGAGGTTGGGGGAGCTTCGGAGGGAGCTTCGGAGAAAGACGCCACGCAGGAGAGAGTGAGACAAGCATCAATGAATGATGGAACGCCACTCGAGGGCGGAACAGGCATGTAGCCGGTACATTGTCTCTCGACCGGAATTCGATATTCGCTGCATCGCGTCTGCTATTGGGGCTCGAGAGCAGCAGGTTGCTCGTAGCGGCAACATCATGTCGACCCATGTCCGTGCAATTTGATGCGATGCAACCATGTTGTTGTTGTCGGGTCAGTGAGGTCACAAGTTCAGGTTGAATTGAACTCGATCATCGAGATGCAGAGCTCTTGGCCGCAAGCGGGGTCCGTTGGGCGAAAGCTCCAAAGGTTCCAGGGCTCTCAGCGAGCTCTCAGTGGCTCCTCGGTCCCTGTACCTGCGCCCCAGGGCCAATCCCCCGGCTTCCCCGCACCAAACTCGCCGAGAAGCACAAACGCCAGCAGGGGTCACAGCGCCGTCAATCCCTGAAGCCGCCGCCCGCGAGCTTTCTGCCGGCCGGTCGTAATCGAATCGCGGGGACACTAGACGCGTACTGGGACTAGCAACTTTCGCCCTCGGATCGGCATTCAGAGCCCGTGCCGGCTTCAACATCATGTTGTCTGCTTACCTAGGTGCATGTAGGGATGAGCTTCCTGTATCACCAACCAGCATTTAGATAGCTCGATTGTATGCAGGGGATATATCAAGCCATCACACTAAGAGAAAGGGCACAGCAGCCAGCAGTCGCTACTTGCCCCGTCTCCTAGGCATCTGCACCAACGGCCCGACTCAAAGGGACTGGAAGCTGTAGGAAAGCAATCAACTGGGTGGGATGATGGATCGAGAGCCTGTAAAGTAACTCAACATCCTTCTGAAAGGCTGAGAGAGAGCAAGTCACAAGCAGTACCGAGCATCGACATATTCACAGCAAAGTGCAGGTATTAGAGGATCCTGCTCTGCAGTACGGAGTACGGAGTACATCAAGCACATGTAACGCGGTCTGTGTAAGACACTGACTGACACTTTGATGCGTGTACTATCCCATTTCTCATGCCCTCACCCATAGTATTCCGATTTCTAAAGATACTAGTCCATCAGACAATGGCAGCGTTACAGCACTACAATCGATCTAGAAACATGCGAGCCCCTTGCCTTCAGCTCCGGCACCAGCGCCGAGGCGATGGGGTACCATCACAGAAGAGGATCGAAGCTTGAGCTCAAGTTTCATGTCGATGTTCATTGCATTTTGAAGATGAATCTCAGACGTTCTTGAGACCAGACGCCTCATATGATGCCTGATTCGAGACTGAAACTCTGCACGTTCTTCTCGTCTTTTTTGTGAGTGATTCTCGCCTCATCACGAGCACCGACTAATACGCCAATATCGATATCAACTACCCCGCGGCTCGGTTCATCGCAACGTTCCGAATGCTCCCACAAAAGGGTGTGATGATGTTCCTGTGCCAAGCAGCGAGCTCGGTTAGTCTCAAGATCCCCCGCCATTGAATGCAAAGCCGAGTTGAGATCTCTTGTAGCATTTCAAGGGTGCTCAGCCACGATATCCGTCATTCCCATGTCCAAAACTCCAGGCAGTCGGTTTTACCCAGTCATCATAGGCTTCACGGTCAACCATAACCATTTGACCCAGTAGTTAGATACTAAAGAACAAGCACCTGTATGCTTGTGGGCTACATTCTGTCGCCACGTGAGCCACATGCATACACACATCTCTCTGTCGCAACTCTTTTACCGTTTTTCCATAACAGCAAATGCGGGGGGCGGACTCACCTTCTTGTATAGGTCAAGATCATGGAGAGCACTTTGCCGACTCATTATTCCTTCGGCTCTGCCTCGGTGACTCTACCATCCCAGAGTCGGTCTTCTGTGATGTAACGCTGCAGCCTTCGACATGCAGTAGGGTCATGTTCTCCAAGCCTTAGTCTATCTTGTTAGGAGGGGATCAAGGTGATAGGATAGCTTTTCGCTCCGGTCAAATAGAACAGTTTGCTACCAATAAGCAATCCTTAGGAAAGGCAGCAACAAGTTGATGCACGTGCACTATCAAGCGGAATTCGCCGTGGATATTTGACTTGAACTCGGTCATGCAGGTATAGCGAAACACCTAACCTAGAGTAGTCGTGACGATTTCCGGTCTTCATGAGTTGACTGTGACTTGCAGTAACAGAGCCCTATGAATCTTTGGTCCAAGAAAGAAAAATGAAATGAAAAGAAAAGAAAAATCAAGAATAATATACCATGATGGAAGCTACATTATTGTAGTTCAAAAACACATGTGGCAACTGCAGTGGCGCAGCCAAAATTCGCGTTGAGAATTAAGCTTAATCGTGAATACCTACACTAGGTGGGTAGTTGGAGACCGGCAGAGAAAGTGGCTGATTTCAATGGCGAGAAACTGGATGAGGTTCAATAACCTTGATCCTCCCTGTTCAGACAGAGAGAAAGAAGGGAAAAAGGCAAGAGATAAATACAACGAGTGTCTCCTGTAGGAAAGAAAATCACCATCGCCAACCAAAGGTTTCGTCATCCAGGAGACATGAAGTCAGACGCGAGCGCCTCCCAAGCCACACGTGACCTTCACTTCTGATCTGATTCAGCGCAGTCTTTCGTCAACAGCATCCAAAGATCAGAATCCGTAGCCAGATAAGCACGCGATGCATAAGAGAAATGAAGGAAATGCATGCACAATTGAAATGGACATCTAATTGATGCGCTGCGCGGTGACGACAAAAGCATCCCCGCCATTGTCCTGGAGTCAGAAAGTACAAGCAGTCCGCCTAAAGACGACGCAGAAACGGCCATACTCTGCAGGTACCCAATTCTCCAAAGTCGCAAGCCAGCTGGCAGCCCCCCTTGCGTCTGCGTTTTTCGCACTGCTCTGCTTCGCTCTGGCAAACAAATCGAAGGCAAGCGGAAAAAGAGCAGAAGGTGTGGAAAACCAAAGACGAAGCCGAATTGCAGTGGAACGAATCAATTCCCAGCGACCTGCCGCGGATGGTCAAGGGGTTCAGGCCATTCTAGCAGCGCCCGCCAGACGCCCAGTCCCGGTACTTGCGAATCCTAGCGAAGCCCGAAGGGAAACCTGAACCTGAACCGCCCAGCCTGCCGCAGGAATGGCAGCCGAAGCGCCGGAGCAGATCTTGACTAACCTGCACCAAGAGCAAGCCACGCGCGACATGCCTTTTGCCAGCCTCGACCCTCAGCAGCAGCAGCAACAGCAGCAGCAGCAGCATCAGCTTCAGATCCAGGCCCAGATCCAGGCTCAAGCTCAGGCTCAGGCTCAGGCACAGGCACAGGCACAGGCGCGACAGCAGCAACAACATCAGCAGCAGCAGCAGCAGCAGCAGACGCTCCACCAGCAACAGCTTCAGCAGCACTATCTCCAGCAACACTACCTCCAGCAGCAGCATCACCAGCAGCAGCATCACCAGCAGCAGCAACAGCTCCAGCAGCAGGCCCTCTACCATCAGCAGCAGCAACAGCAGCAGCAGCACTTTCAGATGAACGGCATGAACGGCGGAACCATGGGCGGCGGCGCCGTCATGCCCGCACCCACCCCCGCGGGCCACCAGGCCGAGCTCAACTACATCTACGGCATGGTCGAGGAGCTGAGCAGGCAGCTGGCCGACAACAGGCGCGTCACCGAGGAGATTGTCAGCGGGCTGGGCAGGATACGCAACAAGGCCAAGGCCCAGGGGCTGAGCAACGGCGACTTGATCTCGTCTGCGGCGGACGACATTAACGGTGGGTGTTTGATGGAATCGCCGATGACTCTTCAATCCATGTTTGCTAATCTTTGTATGTCTCGCAGCCCAAGAGGCAAACCTCGACAGCCTCATCTCCGAACTCTCCGAGTCGTTCGACCGCGCCAAGCACAGCCGCGACGCAAACGCCGCCCTCCTCACCCAGTACGCAAATGCCCTGTCCCTCATGCTCAAGCAGTTCCACGATTACAAGGCCAAGCACGTTGCCGACGTCGCCGCCTGGCACCGCTCCTACCGCGCCCAGCTCGACGAGGCCCGCCGCGAGAACAGCCGGCTGCGCGAGCAGATCTGGGAGATGCAGACGCACGCCGGGCGCGCCAACGAGGCCCTGCGCACGTTCCGGCGGCGCTACGAGGAGGACGAGGAGCGGTTTAAGAAGCGCGTCGTCGACACCGCGCTGCGGCAGGAGCTGCGCTTCTGGAAGAGGATGGCGATGCCGGAGCTCGAGGACGACGATCCGTACTGGAGCGCGGACGACGATATTATCGACGAGGCGGAGAAGGAGAGGTTGAGGGAGTTGGAGTTGCGGGCGGCGCAGGAGCAGCACATGGTGGATAGCCAGGGCGAGGACAGCGATGAGCAGCAGCAGCATCACCTGTCGTCCATGGGCATCATGGGTGGTGTGGCCATGCAGAGGGAGGAGTCGCTGCCCATACCGCCTCCTCGGCCGTTGAGTGCGGCGTCCAGTACGGGGTCAACCGGTCGGTGAGAGGACATTGGCAAGAGTGTGGAATCGGCGGTTTCTATGTCATGTGCGAGGGTATGGTTATCTTATCCACTGAAATTCGGAGATGGCGGGAGGAGTCTGGGATATCCGCATCGTCACGATGCTGCTTTACGAACTGTAGATACATGTAATGAATGGCAAAAGAGCAAGTGTTTTATGGCACAGTATGGCGTTTAGTCTTGATGCTGGATGAATAGAAGCCAACAAGGACAAGATACAAAAATAGTACATTATGTAGGGCATTCTTGAGTTCCTGTGTCGTATGGATCATGGTTTCATGTCCCTTCTCGGCTCGCTTTCCAAGCCCTTTACTATACTCAACAACCCTATTAATACATATCCATAAAAAAGAAGAAGAGTGAAACATATGATCACGAACATCACCCCAGGGTATGCACAACCAAGCAGCGGAAGAGGTACAACTGCACCGTTCTAATACCCGCTCTGCTCCCGTCTCCCATCACCCCCTTCATCACCATTGTCCTTGGACGACGCAGCAGCCTCGCCCGCCTCCTTGATCCCCTGCTCGTCACCCCGCAGCTTCGCGAAGTACGCCTTGATGTCTTCCGCCCCGACAGCCTTGCCGCTCTCCGCAAACTGCTTGAAGAACGGCTTGAGCTGCTCCTTGAGGTGGTTGTACGCCATGACGCCCTCAATCGCCTTGACGCGGTCCATGTTGCGCAGAGCGCTCTCACCACGGTCGAGCAGGCTGCCACTTCCGTGCGTCGAGCCTCCGTGCTGCGAAGCACCGTCGGCGGACAGAGGGGGTTCATAGACTTCTTCCTCTTCGAGGAGTTGGGGGTGGGCGTTGAGGTGGCGGTAGCAGTCAGAGCAGTGGCAGAGCTGCTCGCGAAAGTCCTCCTTGAAGAAGAGAGAGAAGCGACCCTTTGGCGCGGCAGGGAGATTGGGAAGTTTGCACGAGGTTGGGCCGTCTTGCTTGGCATCCCGAGCATCGGATGCCTTGATATCGAGGCTGTCCTCGGCAGACTGAGCCGCAGCGTCTTCTGTAGTGGTAGATGCAGACTCGCCTTCGCTCTTAATGCGCTTCGCATCTGTATGCTCCTCGCCACCATCTTCGGCCTTGCGCTTCTTGGACGCAACTGTGGTCGTGCTGTCCGACGGTGACGGCGCAGAAGCTGCGGGCTGCTCTAGAAAGATGGCTGGTAGGAAGCCCGGGGTTCCTGCATACTGCTTGATCCACGGGTTTGCATCAACGCACTTGTAACACAGGAACCCTTCAAAATCGTCTTCTCCTGGGAACCCGGGAGGCAATGGTGGCTCGTCATCCTCATCCTCGACGGCCACATCGGCGGCTTCAGCCGTGCCGTTTGTAGGCTGCGCCTCGTCGCTCTCGGTAATTGTTGCCAGGCCGTTGGCTTGGCCCTCCGTTCCCTTTTGTGCCGACCTTGGCTTTTTGCTGTCCATCTTCTCATACCACTTTGGGCCCATGCCGACCAGGCAGCCAGGGTGATACCAGTCCTCTCCGCAGCCTCCAGTCTCTTCTGTCCCCAAGCCAAGGCACTGAAACATAGTGCCTTTCTGTTCAATCGGGTCGTAGTCGCACTCGCAGCAGCAAAATCGATTCTTGAAGTTGTGGTTGTACTTGTTGTTCGCGTCCGGCTCTTCGGAGTGGACATTGCCCTTGGTGTTGGTCTCGCTGTTGATGCGCAGCGTGCATGGACTGGTTGACGGAATGCGTGTCGTTCCGCAGTCGCAGGTGAAGTTCCTCTTCTGGAAGATCTCGACTAGAGTGTGCTCGCCGTGACAGGAGACGGAGCACGCGTAGCACATGCCTGCGGGATTCCAGGAGTCTCCATCCTTTGCCGGCGCAGGGTTACAGGTCAAACAGGCGAAGACGTTCTGTCGCAGCGGTCCGAGGATTTTGGTGCAAGTCTCGATGCTCTAGGGGTACGATGTGCAATTAGCTATGGAATCGACGATGATGATGGTGACTGTGACATTTCGGGGTAGGCCAGAGTATCGAGACATACATAAGGCAGGGCTTCGCGGGCATCGGCCTCGAGCATTTCCTGGTCGCGAAGGAAACTGATTGAGAAATCGTTTGTCAGCAAACTTTCTGCGAGGTTTATGCAGTGATTCTTCCGTTCTTATGGCGACATACTCGGCGGCAGTTTGCGAGTCGTCAGAGGCCCGCGACTGCTGGGAGAAGCTGTTGCTGCGGCCGGTGACACGCTCAGTCTTGGCCTGTTCGATGGACAGCGAGTCCATCGGAGGCGGAGCGGCGTCGCCAGACATGGTGGGCAAGGTGCGACTCAAATGCGATGCAGACGATGATGAAAATGATGAAAGAAGGATCAGACACCGAGAAGCCTGGCAGTAGAGGAAGACGGGCTCTGCGTATGACGAAGTCGCTGCGGATACAGCATGTTTAGCTGACAGATTAACCTGGACGCGAACGAGTGTAGACGATGACACGCTGTGCTCACATTCTTTTGTCAGCATCAGCAAAGGACCGACAAAACCACTTTACGCGTCGACGCCAATCCGGCCTAGCGCGCAGCAATTAACGCGTCTTCAGCGCGTCCAGCAGCTGAGCTCCAGCCAATTTCTCCTCCCTAATTCTCGCTGTTCGCGCGCCCCCACCGCCGCCGAGCTGCATCTTCCGATTTCCCTTCATCCACCCGAATTTTCGTCTTCACAAGCTGCAACTCCCACCCGCAGCCACTCCCACAGCAGCCGTCATGAGGTTCGTATCCAATTCTTTGACTCCTTGCACTTACCGCTAACTCGACTCAACAGCTCCCCCCTTCGTGACCATCCCGCCTCCGCCAATCGGGGCTCTGCCCCGCGGTCAGGCCGCAAGCGCTCTCGCCCTGATGGCGACGATGTGTCCACGCCCGGAATGAGCTCCAGCCCGTTGCCGTCGTCACCCCCTGGGCCCTTGATGGCTCATGGAATGGACGATGACGACGAGGTCGAGGAGGAGGCTGAGATCCAGGACGATATTGACGACATTGACGAGATGGCGGACGACGACGTCGACCTTTTCCGCGAGGGATTCGAGGCAGACTATAGAGAAAGAGAGGATGATGTGTACGAGGGCGCAGGCCTGGATGACGAAGGCGACTACGACTCCATGGACCTCGGCGACAGACGACGACTCGAGGCTCAGCTCAACCGACGCGACAGAGAAGTTGCCCGCAGACAGAGAATTCCGGCCGCGTATCTCCCCGGCGACGACGAGGACGGTGACATTGATCTGACGGCGCAACCTCGTCGGCGAAGACACCACTACGATGAAGACCCAGATGATGCCATGGACGACATCATGGATGAGGAGCTCTCCCTTGAGGCTCTGGGCGACGTCAAGGCCTCCAACCTGACTGAATGGGTATCTCAGCCCCCGGTTCAGCGCACGATCAAGCGAGAGTTCAAGGCCTTTTTGACGTCTTACACCGATGCCTCTGGCTCATCTGTCTACGGTAGCCGAATCCGGACGCTCGGCGAGATCAACGCAGAGTCGCTGGAGGTCTCCTACGAGCACCTGGCCGAGAGCAAGGCCATCCTCGCCTACTTCTTGGCCAACGCCCCTGCGGAGATGCTCAAGCTATTCGACCAAGTTGCCATGGACGTTGTCTTGCTGCACTATCCTGATTACGAGCGCATTCACTCCGAAATCCACGTCCGTATCTTTGACCTGCCCGTCCACTACACACTTCGACAGCTGCGTCAGTCGCACCTCAACTGCCTTGTCCGTGTTAGCGGAGTAGTCACGCGACGAAGCGGCGTCTTTCCTCAGCTCAAGTATGTCAAATTCGACTGCAGCAAGTGCGGCGAGACCCTTGGTCCCTTCCAACAAGAGTCACACGTCGAGGTCAAGGTGACGTTCTGCCAGAGCTGTCAGTCTCGCGGGCCCTTCACATTGAACTCTGAAAAGACGGTCTACCGCAACTACCAGAGGCTCACCCTGCAGGAGTCGCCCGGCACTGTTCCTGCCGGTCGTCTTCCCCGTCACCGAGAGGTCATCTTGCTGTGGGATTTGATTGACAAGGCCAAGCCCGGTGAAGAGATTGAGGTTACTGGCATTTACCGAAACAATTACGATGCGCAGTTGAACAACCGCAATGGCTTCCCTGTGTTTGCCACCATCCTTGAGGCTAACAACGTTGTGAAATCTCACGATCAACTTGCTGGATTTCGCTTGACTGAACAAGACGAGCAGGAGATTCGCAAGCTAGCTCGCGATCCCAACATTGTGGACCGAATTGTCAACTCCATCGCCCCTAGCATTTATGGACACACGGATATCAAGACGGCAGTTGCCCTGTCTCTGTTCGGTGGCGTAGCTAAGACTGGCCGGGGAGCCCACCACGTCCGTGGTGACATCAACGTTCTCCTTCTCGGCGATCCCGGAACGGCCAAATCACAGGTCCTCAAATATGTCGAGAAGACAGCACACAGAGCTGTCTTTGCCACTGGTCAGGGTGCCAGTGCCGTCGGTCTGACGGCGAGCGTCCGCCGGGATCCCCTGACGAGCGAATGGACCCTTGAAGGCGGTGCTCTTGTTTTGGCCGATAGGGGCACTTGCCTTATTGACGAGTTCGACAAGATGAACGACCAGGACCGAACGTCGATTCACGAAGCCATGGAACAGCAGACCATTTCCATCTCCAAGGCGGGTATTGTGACAACCCTGCAAGCCCGCTGTGGCATTATTGCCGCCGCCAACCCGATCGGAGGACGTTACAATTCCATGATTCCCTTCTCGTCCAACGTGGAGTTGACGGAGCCGATTCTGTCGCGTTTCGACATTCTGTGTGTAGTGCGAGACTTGGTAGAGCCCGAGGAGGACGAGCGGCTAGCAAGGTTCATTGTGGGTTCTCACGGCCGCAGTCATCCCGTGTCACAGGCCCGGCCAGAGACTGCTACCCAAGACAACGCGATGGAAACCCAACAGACGGCCGCTTCCAAGAACCAGCGAGATACCAAGGAGATCCCTCAGGAGTTGCTGCGCAAATACATCCTGTATGCCCGAGAGCGCTGCAGCCCTAAGCTCTACCACATGGATGAGGACAAGGTTGCTAGGCTGTTTGCGGATATGAGGAGAGAGTCCCTTGCAACGGGAGCCTACCCCATTACTGTGAGTCTAACTTGTCCACTGCCTTGGCCTATTGCTAACAATTCATTCCCAGGTCCGTCATCTTGAGGCCATCATCCGCATCAGCGAGGCCTTCTGCAGGATGCGCCTTTCCGAGTATTGCTCAGCACAAGACATTGATCGGGCGATTGCGGTGACGGTGGAGAGTTTCGTTGGCAGCCAAAAGGTCAGCTGCAAGAAGGCTCTGGCGCGTGCCTTTGCCAAGTACACGCTGGCTCGACCTGGCGCGAAGAAGGGAGCGGGTAATGCATCACAGAGGCGGCCGGAAGCGGTTATGGCTTGATAATTTCGACAGGGTTGTGAGGGTTCACGGGTGGGAAATGGGTGATACTGGTGAGGAATATGGACACGTACGTTTTTCTTTTGCGAAGATTTTTATGCTGGCTATACAATCGAGGGCGTTGGGGGTTGAATAAAACAATTTGTCACTGAGAACAATTTGCCATGGTTATCAGGATACTGTTCTTCGGCAATAAAGAAACGTTCCAAAAGAGTTGGCGGATATCTAGATAGGCGTGGCAATAGCACACGAGGCTATACTAATACAAGTCTGTTGCTTCCACATACTGGCCTCTGCGAGGACAAAAGAGAGCATTATTGTCCTTTCAGCAAGTTTGGCCGCAGACATCGGTGGGTTGCTATGACCCTAGTCAGCATTGTGTCTCACCAGGGGTTCGAGTCTCGTGTTCTCAACTTACACCGGCACAGCAAGTGTTGCCGCTTGAGTCAGCTTGGCAGGCATTGCATCCACAGGACTTGAACTGCAGGTGGTCCATTGGTGTTAGCTAACTGTATGCATCTGCTATTGTACAACGTGTAAAGTTGTATAAGAGCTGGGAGCTGAGTTTATGTTCTTACGCAGCATTGGTGGGCAGGACAGTCCTTTATGGAAATGTCAGTAGCTGATCGAGTTTCCAAGTGTGGCAGTGTCATAGATTAGAGTAGACTGGACTTACCCGCTTGTTGACGTTGCCGGCGATGCTCCAGCCTTGAGACTCGGTACCGGCGACGCCTGCAGAGGCGGCGGCTGCGAAGACGAAGAGGACGGTGAGGAACTTCATGTTGGCTAGGTTCAAGAAGTGTTCACTGAGAGGATATTTGGTAAGTAAATGAGAAGTTAGAGAGGCAGAGGAGTTGTTGTCGGGGTTGAATTGAGTGTTTGGATGGACTGATTCCGAGGTTTATATAGACGCTCGTACACTCTTAGCGACTCATCATTGTCTTTGTCCACCGGATCGTCGGAGGTTAATGACGAAAGTAATCACGAAAACCCCTTGACCTGGATGTCGGTAGAAGCATGGTGGTATGGAGAGGATCAACTACCGCGAAGTATTGATGCATGTGTGTTTGCTAAGCGGAAGATTCAGATGGCAATGCGTAACGCATTCGTATGTATGTCAGACGGCAGGGACTGACGATCGTTTTCATTCTTGGAATGTGCTTTGTTCGGGATACAGAATAGGAGTCGGGTCTAATGACTTGTGTTGATACATAGATTGAATGACAACTTCAATGATTTATTAAATCGAACACCATGCGTGACAAACCACAGAGTTATCTAAAGGAAGGTAGAAGTTTCACATAAATGCGAATAGCTTCAATCAAGGGAATATGATCAAAGAGTGGAGAGCTGAAACTACCTGATTGACTGCCTCAATGGTTAGCCACGAGTTCGGGCTATCGGTAACTTCGTAAGCCCGTCCCGAGAGATGTAAAAGACAGTCCCCGACGTGCCGATCTCGCATATTAACTGCTTCGCATTAAGCAACTTCAAAGTTATTCATCGTCAATTCCTGAGTCTCTTCTATGCTGGGTAGGTCTCGTGTCATGCTCTTTAGGCTTACGTACGTTCTGAAAATAGAAGTCAACCGGCTGCGTAGTGATACTGCCTAGGTAGGAAGGGATGTGTTATGCTAGGCCATGGCCTGTTTCGAACGACAGTCCTATCGGGTACTTTACTTAAGTCTCCGATGATATTATACGAGATGAGATGAAGTTGTATGGATCATAGAGTGTAATATTACGGATAAACTTAGGGATGGTTAGGGATGGTTGCTGTGTTCTTCTTCAGCCTCTGAACTGCAAATTTCTGTTGTATGATGCTTATCAAGAAGGCTGTCGTACGTGTTGCAGAGATGTCCCGTACATTTGAGATGATCTTGTAAAAGAACGAGCCATGAACAAAATGTATGATCTATTTATGCCACGAGCTTTTCCCAATGCACATCTTGATTTATACCTTTGTCGTCAAATCAGGCCCAGCTTTGGCAATTCTCGCAGCCGAAGCCATCAGCGCTCCCAAAAGAATGCTAACCGCAGCAAACAACTGCGCCCCCAAGTACTCTCCATTTTGCTGCTCAATGATAGCGCCACAGATGGCTGGACCCGTGAGCGTCGAGAAACTGACAAACCCAAGAATCATCCCCACGCGTGTTCCGGTTCTACTCGGATCGGGAGTCATTGTCGTGGCGACGGCTGGGAAAAGGGCTTGCAGTGCTGCTGCTATCAGGCCGTAGATGACGGCGAATGCATACAAACCGGCTGTTGATGAGACTGCAGTCCAACAAAAGACGAGTAAACTCGCGGCGAAGCTCATGGGAATGAGCATGTTGAGCATTCCGACCCATTTGTCGGCGGCAATAGTAGGCAAGATGCGCCCAACGATTCCCACGCCATTGAGAACCATGAGCAGGTTGATAGGCTCTTTCGTTCCAATCTTTTCCCGAGCAAACATTCCGAGATAGAAAAAGGCAAAATAGAGACCCCAGAAGTTAAGAAACATGCTCAGCGCGAAGAAGAGGAATGGCACGTCTCGAAAGGCAGATGTGTCCGTCCACTCGCCCGTTTTGCGTGGTGGGAGACGGGGCTTGAACCAGATGAGACAGGGCATGTAAGTAGCCAGCATGATGAAGCCCATGATCCGCAAAGTCCATGGGAAACCGAAGTTGTCGTAGAAAAGAAGCCGGTTTATCAGAACGGGATACACAAGTCCGCCTACAGCAGCCCCGGCAGCCGAAAGACCAACGGCAAAGGCTCGATATTTCTTGAAATACTGCGAGAGCACGGCCAAGGCAGGACAAAAGGTCAACCCGTTACCGATCCCCAGGCACACAGCCTGCGCAAGGAAGATCTGCCAGTATTCCGTGCAAAGAGAAGTCATGAAGATGCCCAGCAGCTGGAGCGCCACGCCGCAGGCGAACGTGACCCGGAAGTGTCCCGCGTCCGTGAGACGCCCCGCGACGGCACCAATGGAGAAGAGGAAGAAGACCTGGGCGCTGCCAATCCAGGATATGGATGACTGGGATTGGTGGAGGGTCTGGGTGTAGTAGTCCTGGAAGACGCCGTAGCCGTTGGCGACGCCCCAGGTGTTGAAGAAGATGATGTGCATGAGGGCGACGTGTGTCCATGCTGCGAAGCCGCCGTCCGGGGGGTTACTGGTGGTAGTCTGATGCTGAGGAGGGTTTGGAGGTGTTGGCTTGTCTGAATCGCATGATGTGTTTCCATACTGTTCTGCTGAACATTTCTCTACCTCCATTTTCTCTGTCGGCAACCTGAGGTTGGTCGTCTCTGCTAGGCAAGCTCTGGTGGGTGTTGCAGTCCAGTCCTCATTACAAATAGCTCTTGCATAGACGACTTGGGGCGACTTGATATAAGTTGAGTGTGCCTATGACAAGGCTCGTAAAGAAAAGAGAGTCAATCTTGTCTTTCTATAACGCAAACCTGATCTGCGACAATGACAGTTGAAGTCCTTTTCACCGCGTTGTCGTTGATGGCCTCTTCCCGCTTTATGCGTGATACCCGTCAATTGCCGTTATTCCCGCCGACTATGGTTGACAATCCCACGCCCAACATTAGCCTATTGCCAACTCGCCCTTCGCTCAGGATCGGTTCACTTCAATGTCACCTTGCCTCGCTACCTATCCGGTTCCCTGATATTATCGGTCCAGGAAGAGGTGCTCTTTGAACGACGAAGTAAAAGTTCCTCCTCTTACACGTGCATCATCCTCAGCCTAGCGTCATGACGCGGGACGAAGGGCGCAAACGATCAAAAATCGCCTGCCAGACATGTCGCGACCTCAAAAGGCGATGTGACGGCGCTCAACCGTGCGGCACATGCGTGCGATTCGAATACCACTGCATCTATCAGGCCTCCAAGTCCCGGCGAAGAAGAGAGCTGCAGTCGGATCCGGAGCGGATCCCGGGGCTTTCCGGAGATGCCGCATCGGCTCCGGTTCCGGTTCCGGCGTTTTCAGAAACGAAGCTCGCCCGTGACGAGGCTTACTCTGCCGCGGCGAGCAAGGCTGTTCAGGCGCGTTCTGTAGAGGCGAATTCCTGTCCGGCGTTTGTCAGGACGTTGGCCTTGAGGCTGGATCCGAAGAGGAACCCTAGGATGCACAACTTTGCATGGAATACCTTTCTCGGATCACGACAAGCTGTGGAATTGCATGTCCCGGGAGTTCAATCTATCCCAGACGTCGTATCACAGAGACGAATGCAGGAGCTGGCAGCTGTATACTTTCAGAAGGTCGATCCAATCTACGGCTTCGTCGATCGTGACCAAATCTTGCGTCGGATCCAGCAGAGATGGGCCCTGCAAAGCGTAACGCCAGAGCAAGACGCCGTGCTCTGTGGCATCGCCGCACTAGGTTGTCTGTTCTCGCAAGTCCAATCTGACGCTGCTGAAGTTGCGCTGGTTGAGCTATCACGAGTCCTGCTGGAGACCACTCTGTACAGCACTCCGTCCGCTGACAGCATCACAGCGTGGCTGCTACGCGTGGTTTACCTGAGAGTTGCAGGGACGCATTATGCCGCTTGGATGGCGAGCTGCACGGTAATGCACATGATTGATGCTGCTGGATTTTCTATCGACGCGCCTGGAGAAGCCATCCTTTCGTCTCTCAATGAGGAAGTGAATCTGGACACGAGGAAGAGGATCGTGGCTATTGCGCACCATCTTAACATATGGATGTCATTCGACATGGGCCTCACTCGAGTTGCCCTGTGTAATGCTGCCATGGCAATTCCTATGAAGAGAAAAGGAGACTTTACCCGCGAGCTGATGGAACTGCTTCCGCTCTCAATTGAGCTCGATCCGCAGCGAAAACCTACCGCATTTGAGCTGGAAGACGCGCTTCAAGTCGTTCTCAACCGCGTGCATACAGCTCCGCCGTCCATTCTCGCCCAGTGTAACCTGGCGCTGTGTCTGTGTCGACGACTGCGATCCATGGACGTTGCCCTGACGGATTCCGTTCTCCAACAAGTCCTCATCCTCACCTCTAATGGGATCCAGGCTGCGCAAGCTGTTCTCGTTGCGCGTGCCCCTTGGCATCAGATGACATATGTGCCGTTTCAGATTGTCTGTGTGCTGCTTGCCATAGACACGGTGTCTTCCATCTCCCAGCTGCGAGACGCAATGCAATGCCTACGAGATGTGTATGCGGTCTATAAGACCGAGGCGACGCGTGAGGCTTTGAGGACCGCTCGTTCGCTCGTCTTGTTGCATCAAAGGGGAAAGGAGATGTTTGCTTCGGCGTTGAGTGAGATCTTGAAGAGTCGTCCGATGAGCCCTGTTGAAGATGTTGAAGATGTCATGGATACTTCGCCGATGCTGTTGGAGGATGTGCCTGGTATGGATAGTTTTACGGATCAGTTTTTCGGGCTCCAGTATAGTGATATCGATCAGTTGCTGAACCCTGATTTCTTCTGGAATATTAACAGCAATAGGTTTGGTTAAGTTGGAATCTTTTGGATCTATAGGAAGAAACGCGCTTCATGCCTGTCCATCTTCTCAGTCTATATCTTATTGGATGATAACCCACACGTAGGTGCATATCATCACACCATACGGCTTCTGAATGTACCCCCATCTCGCCTCAGCATTACTAGCTGGCGAAAGCATGCCCAAGAGGGCCCTGCTATTCTCAATAGTCTCCGCAGATATCTGCCGTGGGTCTTAGGTTCTGTCACGATGCCGAGCAATACTCCGCAGATCAGTAGAAGAGATAACATGGCGATGGGATCATTAGTGGGATATGACTCCCAAGGCAAGTAATGCAAGCTACGAGGTTAGGGAATAAATAACAGGGATCTTACAAGCAACTGCCAACTACAGTTTCAAAAGCCAACCGGCTGTCGTTGAAATGGCGTAACGTATAGTGAAAGAGGTGGGCGTGGCGGACGCAGAAGTCCAAGCGAGTAAAACTGTACATATAGAAGTTGACAGCCATTGCATTTGTAGTCGAAGACTTTGGAGTCCCTGAGCTTACCCGCGCAATCAGCAGATTCTCAGGTTTCAATCCCACAGCCTTGCAATTATTCTCAAACCGACTATCTATTTTGTCGAAGAGACCGTGCGGCTGAACAATAAGCTTAACGAGCACGTCAATCTGACCGTACGGCACGAGCTGCACCGAGACACGACAATCCTGCCTGCGCTTGACCTCTTCGAAGGGTGGGCACAGAAGTACAGAAAACCTCCCCGTGGTCATGATGTACGCGCGCGGTTATAGAACACATGTAACCACAGGTAGTGATACCAGCTAGGAAGGAAATAGTACGGAGGCTTGGGATATTCCCGTGGCGGCACGGTGCTTATCCGTCCCGCAGCGGAGACACAACTCAGGCAACTGGGCTGACCAACGACATACATAGTTCAACGTTGTCCATTGGGCATTTGACGCTGGCGTCTCGCGCCGCCTTCGCCTTTAGGCATTGACTCCAACCATTGGGACCTCGGGGCACGCGTTGCTGGTGACGTATAGAAGAGTCTTGTTCCTGATGTCTCTAGGAACCATCTGCCTTAACCTCAATTGTACTCTCAAAACTTGTGGTCACTCCATGGCCGCATTATCGGTAAGATAGTCGTAGTCTTAGCCAGCTCTACCGTGAAGAATACTCCTGGAGGCTCTATCTTAAGGCCACCTTCTCTTAGTTCTGAAGTCGTTCTCCCACTATCCCGCCCGAGTCCGCGGGATTTGGCTTCAGCAGGGGTGGACGTCTGCATGCTCTTGGCGCTGCTGCAGCTTGCGCCGACAGGGCTGCGCCTCATCCTTCTGCTGTGTGTTCCCGAGGGTGTGGTCCAGGTGTCTCATCAGCTCCCCGGGTCCCAATTGTGTTTGGCACCACCAGGCCCCTTGAGGATTTTGACGCTTTAGGGTATACACAACCGAGGCCTGATGCCCGGGGAGCGGTAAGATAGATGTAGCTACCAGGTAGGTAATTCGAAGCCCTGTCTATGCCTCTATCCCCCGCGTGTTCGCCGCTGCACACCTCTCAACTTTGTTTTGACTTGTGTTTGACTGAGAGAGTGCTTTGCTTGCTTTCATCGCCTACATCAACCCACGCAATGTTTTGGAAGGGCGACCTTCTCGTCCCTTGCAGAGCGTCCAGACAGCTTCAAATCGAGACAACATATTAGCACTAAACCTGTCCGAGTTTCTGCTTTGCCTGCCTAGAGATGGCGTCCCGCGACGACTACTTAGTCGGGTGGGTTTGCGCGCTGCCGGTAGAGGTCGCGGCAGCCAAAGCGACGCTTGATCATATTCATGATATCCTACCTCCGGATCAAAACTCGGACGACAGCAACAACTACATTCTAGGAAGTGTCCAAGGCCACAATGTCGTGATCACGTATCCAACTTCTGGCGTGTATGGCGAGACGTCGGTGGCGAGCGTGGCTACGCAGTTGCACGCGAACTTCAAATCGGTTCGGTTCACTCTGATGGTTGGCATTGGGGGAGGAGTTCCGGATTCCAAGGAGGATATTCGTCTTGGCGATGTCGTTGTGAGCAAATCAACAGCTGGCTGGCCGGGTGTCGTCCAATACGATGTGAACGGAGAGCGAGCGGAGAAGCAGGAGGAATCGAATCGCGGCAGAGCGCCAGATCAGCCAACACCAGTACTTCTCACAGCTATGGGAAAGGCCGAGACTGCCGCCATCTTTGAGGAAAGCCAGATGCCCAAGTACATGTCAGAGATTGTGCAGCAAGACCCCGTCACCTTTGCCCATCCAGGCCCAGAGCAGGACGTCCTCTTTTCACCGGATTATCATCACGCAACCATCGAGTCAGAAGAGGACGGATGCGACCATTGCGACCCGGATAGGATCCGGCCCCGGCAACCACGAGAGACTCAGGATCCTATAGTCCATTATGGCCCGATTGTTTCCAGTCGTCATCTCATACGCCACGGAGCGAGTCGAGATGAGTTGGCGAATAAGCAAGGTGCCCTCTGCCTGGAGACGGAGGCGGCTGGCCTTGAGGATGCCGCAAAATATTTGATCATTCGAGGAATCTGCGACTACGCAGACTCGCACAGCTCCAAGCTCTGGCACGCCTACGCCGCCGCTGCTGCTGCAGCATGCGCGAAAGAAGTCCTTTCGTTCATACCCGCCGTGCGCAAGACGACGCCTCTGGCAACCAACACATATGTCGAGGCCGCGCCGGTCCTCGATGCTTTGCTACTAACTAGACCTGAAGTCGACCGAAAGTCTCTCATTACCTTGAAAGGGCGCAGAGTGGATGGCACCTGTGAGTGGCTCATACAGCACCCCAGCTACCAAGGGTGGCTGGCAGACGCTCATCAACCACTCCTCTGGATCTCAGGCGGCCCCGGAAAAGGCAAAACTATGTTGGCAATCTATATCACCGAGGTGCTACAGCCAATGATTGAGGCCGATGACAATGTTCTGCTTTACTACTTTTGCAGTAACCGCGACAAGAACCGGAACACGGCATTGACCATAATGAGGGGCATCATACATCAATGGATCGATCGCCATCCACACATGGCACAATATGTCAAGAGCTCCTTCGAGGGGACTGAAACAACCAAGTATACCGTTTCTAGCTTTGGCTCCCTATGGAGGGTCTTCCTAACCCTGCTTCGGCAGAGTAATTCCCCCCAGGTGGTCTGTGTGCTGGACGGTCTGGATGAATGCGAAAAGGAATCGCTCGGGCAGCTTCTTGATGCCGTTGGGAGCTATCTGTCAAACTCTGGGGAAAAGGCAAGACCACAATTGAAGCTCATTTTTCTCTCCCGACCCCAGCCGTCTATCTTGGAGAGAACGCTCGGCCAGTATGGACAGATTAGGCTGGACGCCTCCGGTACAGAGGTTTCCCGTGATATCGACAGGTACATCGTCGCCAAAGTTGCCGAACTGGCATCCGAACAGAACCTCTCCGAAGAGATGGTCGCTCAAGTACAACAGGCCTTGTCGGCTGGCGCCGATGGAACCTTTTTGTGGGTTGGATTTGTTGCCAATGAGCTTCAGGGCAGGAGTTGGGACAAAATTACTGAGATTCTTCATCGTGTTCCTAAAGGCCTCGGTGGAGTCTATCAGCGGCTGCTTCAGCAGATTGACGACAAGGAAGCTCTGGTCCCCATTCTTCAATGGGTTGTCCTCGCTGCCAGGCCCCTCACAGTACAGGAGTTGACAGTGGCAGCAGGAATCAAGGAATTTGGTAGCTTTCCAGCAACTGAAGTGACCAAGAACCGGCTCAGACTCTGCGGGTTGCTAGTGAAAATCGAAGGAAATATAGTCAACCTGGTCCACGAGTCGGCAAAGGACTTCTTTCAGAGCGACCAAGTCAATATTAAAGGGATCAGCAGATTCCGTATGAGCCCTGACACCCACAGGACTCTTATGCGGACCTGCTTAGACCACATTGAACGTGGTTATGGAACTCCCGGGAGTATCGAAGACCACGATCCCCTCCTGACTTATGCCAGTCAACATTGGCCGGCACATTTCCATCACGCCATGGATGTGATTGATTCGCCGTCCGAGTTCTCACGTCCGTTCTTCCAAGTCCATTCTCCCATCCGGGACCGATGGTGGAAAGTCTATTGGGAGCATGAGAAGAACGGCGGAAACGCGCCCTCGTTTACGCTCTTGCATCTGGCTGCGTACCTTGGCAATGTAGCCTGGGCCAAGATGTTGATCAGCGAGCATGCTCGTGCCATCTCGCGAAGGGACAACTACGGCCGGACGCCGCTTTCCTGGGCCGTCAACCGAGGTCACCGAGACATGGTGGAACTGCTGCTTGATCATGGTGCTCGTGTCAACATCAAAGATCGCAGCGATTTGACGCCACTCCATATAGCAGTCACAGGACAGTACAAGGACATCGTGTCCGTGCTGATCGACCGGGGTGCCCGTCTCGAGAGCAAGTCGGAACACGGCGACACACCCCTGATTCGAGCCATCCAGGCGAACTCGAAGGAAATCATCCAATTATTGCTTGAACGTGGAGCGCGTGTGAACAATTTGCCCACTCCTCCAGGAGTCGCTTCCCTGAAGGGACCTACGGACCCAATGGACGAGCGCGTGAAGGAGCTACTGGGGCTTCAGGAACCGATTTTCCTTGCACGATATAAGCAGGCGTCGCGGAATGTCGAGATGGTCATGAAAACCCTGGGCCTATCTTTTCGCTTTCCCATCATTCTTCGATTGGTGACTCTATATCTAAAGTTCATAGCGTTGGACCGCTGGGAGCACATGTCTGTATTGCAGGAGCTCGTTGACGAGAACAGGACGGACGAGCTGCGAGAATGGGCCGAACAGTATCGCGAATTCTTCGTCCAGCTGATTGTGGCCAGGAATCCGAGAAGACTGACGGCCATGACCGACCTGCCGACGCAGGTATTTCGGGCATGTGCTCCAGGGGATCTCCAAGCATTGCTGGTAATTGCGGTCCTCGTCGGCTCAGAAACCAAACTCGCAGCTGTTCGACAGGGCTGGAGAGAAGGAGACGCCATCACGGCCAGGGCCTTCTCGCACTGGGCCGCCATCGCCTACAATAGAGACGCAGAGGAGTACTTGCACTACGGTGTCCGCGAGTTTTTGAACGATTTCGATGCCTGTATCCAGAATGGCGACCGGGAAGAGAACGTGGCTCGGACGGTGGTGCTCTTGACGTCGCACTTTGCCATGCTCGAGAACAAGGAACCAAAGCCGATCGAATACTTTTCCAGAGTCATTGCAGAATTCTACGAAGGATACATTGGCAGCAGTCACGAGGTTGACTTGTTCAGCGATGCCAGCCAGGCATGCGCCAATGAACTACTCGTTATCAGTCAAAACCACGACTCGCAAAGATTACTTTTCTTCCTCACGAGCATCCTCCAATTTGCGCAGCACTCTCAGGAGAAGGGACAAGACCGCTTTCTCAACATACCCTCCGCGTCGTGCTTGATTCTCTGCCATGAGAATGCCGCCGCCCACCGATGGCTGATTGGCGAGGCAATCCCAGAGACGTTTAGTGCCTTGATCTCACAGCAGCCCCCTGGGCCGCTTCAGAAGCGGGCGTGCAAGACCCTTGTGGAGTGCCTGATAATTGCAAAGCAATATGGCCTGGCACCGCCCGCAGCAGCACTGAGACAAAAAGTGAAGCAGCATCTGTACTCGATGCCGGGAATCGAGAATATGGTCAAGGGGGTTGTTGGTTTATAGAGCAATACTGGGGAGCTTTTCTGCCTAAAGAGAGGCAGAGCAAAGCGAGAACGAAGTAATAAAGAGTATGTTCCTGGGAAGGGAGGGCTCTACTAGGCATCCAAGGTATGGCTTTTGGGTGAACGTCGGTTTTGATTGGGCAGATTGGGACGCTTTCAAGTTGTTATCTTTCAATTATGATATCCGTTTAGCTTTTCGTCAGTTCCTATAATATTATTGTAACATTCCGCTCCCGTTGATAGACCTGTAGCCAAAGATCTACTTCAAAGCTGGCTCTGCCTGTTCTCGCCTCTACGAGCTGAAGTTGCTATCCTATCAGCCGCTTCCAAAAGCCTGTTGCACGCGACCGGACTGACCCCGATTTGCGCTTCTTATTGTCATTCGTTTGGTTTGTAGGCACTGCTGAGTGTGTAGGCATACTCTCAGATACCTGCAGGTCTTCTGACACGAATTGCACAGACGGAGCCACGAGATCTCGCATGGTCCGTGGGTCTTGAACAGGGGGTTTAGACAACCCTGACGACATTGGTGAAGTCGACTCGTCCGGTGCAAACGAGACTGATCGATCTGGAACAGTTGACTGGCCTCGGGTTCTAAGTAGATATCTGATATGCCGCTCCACCCCAGGGTCAGTATCTCGCCTTCTGTAACCAGCTCGGCTGAGGCGTAGTAAAACGGCGTCGTCCGCGATGAATTCTTCCCAGGTTTTGCGTCCAGCTGGGAGGATATTGGGATCCGCACCCTCCTCAAGAAGCAGATCTATGATGGAAAGCATGCGCTTCTTCGCAGCGTAGTAGAGCGCAGTCCTTGTACCGGAATTCGTGCCATTAACACGATGACCCGATCTGATTAAGTGTTTGATCAGAGGAACATGTCCTATAACAACAGCCTGCCGTAAGCCTGTCACCGCCCTGCAGCAGCGTGACTTGCCAAAAGCCAAGTTACTGGTCGCCTTGTAGGAGTGACTGGCTGGCCCGAGATCCAGCCATTCCTCTGCAGTGAGGCCGCTCTCGTCGATGAGGGCCCGGGGCTCTGCAATGACAGAGCTGCCAACCAGGGCTTTGATAGTAGCCAGGTCTCGGCTGTGAACGGCCAGATGAAGAACGGACCAGCCATGGTTATCCTGCTGAGACGCACTGGATCTTACGCGGTCATCTTGGAGGAGTATCTCGACAACTCGAGAATGCCCCAAGAATGCGGCATGATGCAGTGGAGTCCAGCCGTGACATGTTGCCCTGAGCGGGTCGGCACCTTGTCTCAGAAGCGAAATCACAATGTCAACATGCCCTCCGTTTGCAGCACAGTGCAATGGTGATGTGCCATAAGAGCTGACAACATTGACGTCTGCCTTCTGGTCCAACAACAAATGCACGATGTCCGAATAACCCTCCTCTGCTGCCCAATGTATCGCGGACCAACCATCGCGGTCACGATGGTTTACCTCCCCGCCCTTGGTGAGGAGCAAACTTGCGAGAGACCAGTTGCCAGAAGCTGCCGCTTCTTCCAACGGCGACATCTGCGTATTCCGAGCGGTAGAGATGCTGGCACCGTGCTTCACGAGACATGCAGCAATATCCCATCTGCCCAGATTGGCAGCCCAAGACAGGGCAGACTTTCCATCCGCGCTGGTTGTATCAACGTCAAAGCCCATGGTTTCTAGCATTTCATCGAGGCTGTGTTGTTGCGCAGTAACCACAGCCCAGAGGAACGGAGAAAACCCATAGTTGTCACCGTTATGCGCTGCACCATGGTCAGTCAGGATACGCATGCTCCTCGTGAGGCCCCTCGCTGCAGCGTAATGCAGTGCTGCTTGGCCGCTGTTGTCACCTGTACCGATGACGGCTCTATCGGCGGCGTTTAGGATCAGAGTCAGTAACTCAGAACTAGGAGACCGAGCCATGCAAGCATAATGCAATGCTGTCCTGCCGTCATTGTCTCTGCTGGCGAGGTTTGCGCCTTGGGAGATCAATGACTCAACCAAGCGCAAGTCACCGGCCAGCACCGCGTGGTGAAGCTTGGTCCTTCCCAAGTCATCCTTGTCCTCCAAGTCGAGTCCCGTTACCGATGCACTGATGTCCTCTTCGCGGTGACCCAAAGTGCCATCTGCAGCCTCATGTTCGTCGTCCTGGAAATCTAGATCTTCGTCGTCCAGTATGCTGTACATGGATCCACGCAAGTTGGCATAGCCCGGCCCATCATCTTCCAGTGGTTGGTCGCTATCGACGTTCTCGGCGGTTTCGTCCCCATCGCTAGGTAATTTCTGCAGCGTAAGCAAAGCGATCTCTTTCATGTGAGCGGCGACGTGTAACTGGAGAGCTTCGTTCGCGAAGACGGCACTGGAAGCACTAAATTCGAGCTTTTCAGGGGGATGGAAGTCGTCGCCGAATGGGCACTCCGTCACTTTCTCGTGGACTTGTCTCCGCGCCGCGCTGCTGAGAGTCCCAGCATGCGCTTCAGGCACGCCATGCTCTTCGATGGAATGCTTCTGATACTGGATCTCCTGATCAAAGGTGATTGGACCATGAGAAGGAGCCCTGCACTCCCACGTATGCCCGTGAGCGTTCTGCATGTGGCTGATCCACGCTTTCGACGACTCAAACGTGAGCGGACCGGACCCGTGTTGGCCCGCTTCCAAGCACTGTGAGAAAGTGCAGATGAAAGGTTCCAGATCTCCGATGACATGGTTGCTGGGGCAAGTTAGACCATTGATCAACAGAATTACCATCTATCATCTGCTTACTTCCACAATATTGACTTGGCAGTAGTATTCTTAAACTCGATAATGACGCCGCAATATGGACACTCCTGTGTCGGAGGTATCGGAGGGAACGATAACTTGTTATTCACCAGGACAGATTTCGCGCGAGGAACCTCAGTCGTGGACTTGGCGTAGAACGCTCCCACAGCAGTCTGCCGAGCAGTAGTGGCATTCGTCACTGGCACCGGCGGTGGGCCAGCTTGTCCCGATATCTTGTTGGTGGTCGTAGGCTTCGGGACGACGCTCGGAGCAAAACGTACAGCCGCAGCACCCTCCTTGATCTGTGGCATTTGAACAACTGGCGGGTTCGTCTGAGGATTCTGAACACTCAGATCTATGCGCCTTCGATGGGATCGTTGATAGTACAGTCGTCGAAGACGGAGCGCATTGGCTTCAACCAATGCTGAGCGAAGGGAATCCGGCGCCATGGGGAAGCGGAAACGAATGTAGCATTCTGTGTAGAGACGCATCTCGGCTATGGCTTTGTTTGCCTCTTCGTCGTCTTTGTATCTCTCAAGCTTGCGAGCCCGGTTGGCCTTTGCGGACTTTCGAACTGCATTGGAGAGGCGAAAGAGCCGCGACACCGTCCCGCCGATAGTATCGGTGATTTTGGATATGTTCTCTTCTGCCTCATCCACGTCGCTGTCTGAATCGCTTGCGTCGTCGTCATCCTTCCTCGTGAGTTTCGATTCGCTGTATGCTGATATGCGCTGCCTCTTCCTGCTTGGCGTCTGCGGTGGCTCGTTGATTGGCTTCACTGTTGTCGAGATTCCCATTAGCAGAGAATTCTTGGGTTCGATCCCATCCAACCTCAATGCAACATGTACTTACAGGATGCCAAGGTATCGCAAATGACGTCCAGGAGCTGATGTATAATGTCTACAACAGTCGGGCTGAATCGGAGTCTGTAGTCCAACGAGACATTGAGCGGCCCGTAGACGTCCATGTTTGATGTCCACAGCGTAAAGCGCGCCAGCTGGTCGTCCATGATGGTCGGATCTGGCACGATGTCTGGCAGGACCATGTATTTACGGAATAGAGAGTTGCACTGCGCTGCATGCTCTGCGATGGTCGGGCAAAGGCCCTCTTGGAGGAAGACATCTTCCACAACATCGTCTTCCATGCGATCTAGGCTTATCATCGTGAGAAGGCACGATACAGGCGGTCGGCCTGTCCCCTGTGGCTGCGCTCAAGGTCCAAGAAGCTGATAGCCGTTGTTGCGTAGACTGAGTCTCCAAGAAGTCGTGGACAACTGGAGCGCGACCAACAACGTCGCATGAAGCGCTCGAGGTGTCGGATAATGTGATGATCGCATGCGAGCCGCTGGTGCCCGGCCAGGGTGGATTTTGTTGGGTTAAGTACAGGTCAGGTAGCGGTACTCGTACAAACAGGCAAGGTACAGCAAGTTAACGCCGTGACAACCTGGCATGCAGTTGAGCACCAACTCCCTCAAAGCCTTGTCGTTGTGGCATTGGGCGAAACGAGCATGGATGCCAATGACCGCTCGAGATAGGCTGGCGAAGTCAGTGTGGCCTTTCAGTGCGTTCTCATCTCATGTTCTTGGACACGATTTTCGTCGTTCAGAAACACTCGCAACCCCGCTGACAACCGGCGTCCGTTTGACTCCAAGCTCCTTTTGCGACTGTTTTGCGTACTAAAGTCAAGCACGGAAGAGGCAGAGCCCTGCTAGTGTGTCAGATTGCTCACGAACAGACACGTTGGTGCCGAGGCTTTGAACAGGCTCTACAAGGGGACTGACGAGGTGTGGTTGTTTCGAAGCAGTGCGTGCTAAATTTGGGGGAAGCCGGGTCCTAGGTGTGATACAGGTGCTATTCTATCCCATGTTGCTTTGGGGGCCGAGGATGGCGGCTGTGAGTGAATGCAAAAGGTCCCCGGCCCACACAACTTGGAGGCATGCGGCGCGAAGAGAATAGGGACGGCCGAGTCTTCCTGGAGGGAGACCCGGAGCGCTAAACTTGGGCGCTTCATAAGAAGAATATCAAGTATAAACAAGAGATCCGGATCCGAAAAGTCTTGAATGTAAAAGTCCTGAAAGTAAGCCTAAGATCCAAAAATCACAAGATCCGAAACCCCCAAGATCCAAGACCCCCAAGACCTTTTAGCCATGTCCTTTACAAAGACGTATTTCCTGTGTCCGACATCCGACTTCATCCATCCACCACCGGCTGGCCCGCTATGCCTTGGAGCTATAATCCGGTCCACGTCAACGCCGCAATACCCTCTAAATAGTTCGGTCGTTGCCGTGCCTGAAGCAAATCCGCCCGTCGTGGAAACGGATTGGAAGAAGACCGTTTCAACTGAGACGGGCCTCGGTCTGGGAGTCTATGCACAGTTCCTGCAGGTGGTCACCGGTGGAATCCCCGTTGGTCCCGAGGTGAACGCTGAGCACACGAGCAAAGCCGCAAATACCTTTGCCTTTGACTCGATGACGACCCTGGCATTTGAGCCGACACAAGAATATGTACAAGAAGCCATCAAGGCACCCACCGTGCAGTCGTGGCTGAGGGAACCCAAGCAGAGGTTTTCACCCGTGTGCTCGCTCTACCTCGTCACGGGCATGAAGCTCGTCAAGGGCGCGAGAATCAAGTACTCGACTTCGCAGAGCGCGACGGTCACGGGCAGATTTGGCATCGACGTGCCCCAGCTTGGGACGACCTTTGGCCCAAAAGGCCACTGGAGCAGCGCGAGCGACGATGAGACGGAGTTTAATCGCGAGGCCGAATTTGTCTTTGCGTTTCGGGTCAAAAGACTCAGGTTTGGGCGGAAGCTAAAGCTTGAAGAGTACAACAAGGGTGCTTTTCTGGCCATTGGCGGAGATTCAGAAGATGGCGTGTCTGTTCTCGTTGAGGACGTGGATGGTTCTGAATTTCAGACTGCAAAGGCCGTTCCTGATGTGACCGAGCACGGAAGGGTCTACTGTGTCCCTGCATAATGATAGCAGACAAATACTGATTTACTATTGTACAGTTTAGACCTCAGTGAACTGAGTAAGCTGCTAGTCATACAAGTGTCTCCTAATATCCTTGATCTTGCTGTAAACCTCTTCCCTCGTCGCCCTTCTATCAAACAGTGAGTGAGGCGTGATGTAGTCATAGCCCGCCCCCCTCCTCTGCTTGACCATGCTCTTCAAGACCTCATCCATGTGATGAACGTCCTTCAGCCACGGCGCCAGCAACTCGTTTCCTGGAGCCATGTGCCGTTCCTGCTGCCGGACAAAGGACAGAATCGCTGCCGCAAGCCCAGCAGCAATCGGTGTTGCAACCGATGTCCCCGACATGGCCTTGACATGTTCATTGTGGCCGTTCTTGCCAACAGGCCAGTGAGAAGATACGTGCTCCCCAAGGAGACTAAAGTTGACATCTTTATCGTCTGCCGTCGGGTTGAACGTAGAGGGGTTGCCATTTCCATCCGTTGAGTGTATACAAAACACGCTGGGATATTTGGCTGGAAAGGCTCTGCCGAGGTTTGCTCCATCGTTCGATGCCGCAGCGAACAGCAGCGTCTGACTGTGTAATGCATTCGATATGGCTGTCTTCATGGGCTCGTTATACTCCCGAATCCCAAACGACATTGAGATAATGTCTACTTTCCATTCCGAAACTGCGTAATTAATGGCCTACATGAATAGTCAGCTCAGCCTGAAAAAGAAGAAGAATAAGTCTGCTCTCGCATAAATCCAGCCTTGCCTTTGCAATGTCATCATAAGTGTGGCGGTCCAGTGTTTCTCGATTCGCAATTCTGGCAATATAGATCTTAGCACATGTAGCAACGTTGAGTAGAAGACCCAGTGCATGAGTGCCGTGTCCGATCTCGTCTCGAATTTCGTGTGTGGCTGTTCCATGTACAAAGCTTCGCGCATCCTTGATTCGGGGATCCAGTCGTTGGTCCTCGGTCATGAGAAGAGGATTTTCGGGGTCAAATCCGGAATCCAAGATTGCTATCCGCACCGGTTCGAACCCTCTACTCCCAGCGTCGACAGCGTCGAAGGGGTCGACATGGTGATAAACCGAAGACAGAAGATTGTCCATCCATTGCTGCGAAAGCGGATCCCTGAACAGATCATTAGTAGAAAGAAGCCACATAACCACTAGAAATACTCACCCTTTTTCAGAGCCCATCTGGTGACTTGCGTCAAAGAAGTATAAACTCTTCATCGAAGGCTCGACGAAATGTCCGCGGAGTTGAGATCCAGAAGACTGCGCCGGCCCCGCCATCCGCAGCACCACGTCTGAATGGAAGGACGAGTAGGTCGCGGGCGCGGCGTCAGACATCGAACGATACGGAAGTGGTGCGTGTGCCCCGTTGTTCGAATCGGAGACATCAACCTTGCCAGTCTGATGGCGGACAACTTCTTGACCGATGGAACCCCAGCAGAGTTCGTTCTGCCGAGGATCAAAGGAGCCCAGATTCTGTATTCGAAGACCCCACGACTTGAATATCTCGGCCTCGAGTCGTTTGATGACGTTTTGATAGAAGAGCCGCTGAACGTCGACAGACTCAAAGTCAGCCTGCTGCCCAGGGGGGTAGTACTCCCACTGCAGGCATGCCTTGGTAGCGAGATAGTAGTCCACGCCAGCGTCAACCTCCAGAGACTTGAGCATATCAAGGCTGGTATAATAATCGGAATTGACGTTCCTGGCCTCGGGAGGGTCTTTCTGCATCAGCTCCACGGGCGTGCAGTAATGAAGTTCACACAAGAGAATGCCCAGTGCCAGCACGGTGGCATTGGGATGAACCATGTGCTTGGAGCTGTCGGTACTGCCTCCTGAGTCTGTCTTGCGGGCTGAGATGATTGGGATGTGTTCCATGGCCAGAAACGGCTTCGTGATGTCCGGGAGTTCTCCCTCCTGTAGTGGTTCAACGAACAGGATATTCGAATGGTTGAATGAAGGCTGCAGCCACGGCGTCTCTAAGAACGGGAGCAGCGCAGTCGCCAATATGACGGCCAAGATTCGTTTCCCCTTCAGCGGGAGGGCAGATGAACTGCCGCGCAATTCTTGTTGACGCTTGAATAGAGCCGACAAGGATACCGTTCGAGACAGTTGTTCGCCGCCAAACGTCTTTGGTTGCGGCCGAAGCCTCTGGAATATCCCGCCCTCGAGAGCCAAGTGCAAGCAAGTCCGCTGACCGAGGGACTCTGTGATGCTTTGACATATGTGGGCAAACTCAGGCGCATCGCTAACCGTAGGCGCAGAGGCGCTCCTCATCCTGTTGTTGTGTACGTCCCTACCGCGGAAATAAGAGTGTCAGTATAAACATCAATGCACGAAGCTCCATGAAGCTTACTTGATGGTGATTTTGGCTTCTTGCAACGCAGTTTCAATAGGAGACCGTACGCCAAAGAACACCTCGAAGCTCGTCTCAGAGCTGAAATCCTTCTTCTGTTGCGGCAGCGAAAGTCTCACGCTCAACCCCGAGCACTTCTGGCAAACACATATCCAGTGTTTTCGTAACGCGTTGTCCAACGACACCAGATGCCTCCTCATTAGCACGGCGAAGTCGGCATCGGGCTCTTCGACATTGTCGGCAGCATTTGGCTCTTCACGTGGCAGAACCCGGCGCTTCCTCGCCTCCCTCTCCATATACGAGAGCTCCTGGATGACGGCGTCACTGTCTCGTTTCCGCTTACTCACTCGAATGGCTGTGCCCGGATATGATTGCGGACCTTGACTCCGATGCTCCATCATGTTGCGCATCGCCTGAAGCTTCGGATACGGCATATTGTGGCGGAAGCCGAAGCCCTGCTCAGTGGCCTTGTGTTAGTAGGCAGGTGGTTGTGAGAGGCCGACGACAGTCTTGGGGTTTGCCGTTTACCGGGAGCACCTACGGAATCTGATTCTCCATCGGAGTTGTACTGAACATAGTCTTCAAATGCGCGCAACGTCCTTGCAATATGCTCAGGGTCAGGCTCTTCAGATTCGGCGGCTTCTTGCTGCAGAAATGCCTCCGTCCGTAGCCAGGCCTCGGCTGTCCGTGATCTCAACGACGCGGGCCGCGCTGTCTTTTCCGGTCGTCTTCGAACGAAGAAGCCAAGCACAGACTGCAGCAGACCTTGGGAATCATCCACACTCATGGTTGGTTGTATGCACACCCAGAGATGGCGGATCCGAAATATTTCACAGAAACACAGTTCGGGTGTGCTATCAAGGTTTGTTTAGTAGAACAACAGAGAATCGCCACCTATTACATACATACAATCTTATGATAGCAGGACCCGGCGATGACTTCTTTGCACCGTGGAGCTATGTAAGCCTGCGAAACGTGTAGTATGTAGTATGTGTCGCGCCTCGGGTCGATCGACGGGTATTGTGTAATTATACCAAGGCAACCAGGTATCGTGTGGGTGAAACCCCTCTCAGCGGGCTGTGCTAATCTGCTAGGTCTTATTTCTGCAGGGGAGCAAGGCGTCCGAACCAACAAGCGAATCATCATCGTCGCAGATTCCCAGCTCCCCAGCAGCCGACCCTCCATCCCAAAGCTGAGGCGGCAACGGTGGAGGCCATGTGTCTGCCTGCGTGTGGTCACAGGCACGCATGGAGGTACGAGTAGTATGTACGGACTACTTACATGTGTGACTATTGCTGTATAGTCTTGAAATGCTTTTCAATTTTTAAAGCCGTGATCTCTCCGCGCTCATATATATATGTTGATAAACACTTTGTTGAGAGCGTCAATTGCTACCCAGTGCAGGGCATCCTCACCTTCTTCGTGACTTGAATCTATTTCACTGGTTTCCATCCCGCAATTTAGCCCTAACCAGGCGTCTTTCTCTCAACCTTATCATCATCACTTTTTCCTCCTGAGTTGCATCATCGGCCAGCGCAGCTCAGATATTTCGGGAGAAGAACCATGTCAGGAACGGAACTCAAGAAACGACAGGTGCCGAATGTCAACATGAGCACCGCGAACGGCACCACGGGCCAGCCAAAGGCTAACAAGCAGCGAACCGTAACGTGGCAGGAGATTGCTGAATGGCAGTTCGACAACAAGTATATCCTCAGAGGCTATCGACCGGAGAACGCGGACTATCTGGAAATCTTTACCAGCCTGACGTTCTTGCACAACGAAACTTGCAATGTATACACCCATCTTGTCGGTGCTCTGCTCCTACCGCTCGTCGCACCTGTCCTTCTGCGATTCCTGGCTGAGCCTCAATTTACCAACGTCTCATCCATGGACTACTCCATGTTTGGGGTTTACTTTTGGTGTGCGGAAATCTGTTTGGTCTTGAGCGCACTCTATCACTTGATGCAACCGCATTCGCATCCCGTAGAACTATTCTGGCATGGAATGGATCTGCTTGGCATTGTTATTGTGACAGTGGGCACATTTTCTTCCGGCATCTATTATGTGTTCTTCTGCGAAGCAAGCTTGCAAAAGCTGCACTGGGGTATTGTCAGTCCCTCTGAGCAAACCATCACCTTTATCCCCCACCCTCCCCGCCTCTTGGGTCAAGCAAACTCCATAGTAGTTGATACGCTGACAAGAGTCCTAGATCCTGACCACGGGTACTATCACTGGTGTTCTCATCTCGCATCCCCTACTGAGAACGCCGCTATGGCGGAAGGTAAAGGTGGGCGCGTTTGTTGTCTTTGGTGCTTCATCGTTCATACCCCTGCTGCATGGTGTCCAGCGATATGGGCTCGAATACATGCTCCAATACTCAGGCATGAAATGGTACCTTCTCGAGCTTGCCTTCTATGGCACCGGAGTCGGTCTATACGCGGTATGTCTGGCATGAACTTTACATAGTACATCGCCGCGTGTTTCTATGCCCTCGAAAACCATGAGTCACCTCGACTGACGAACCCTCTGCAGTTCCGAGTTCCGGAGCGTTTGGCGCCGGGTACGTTTGATATCTGGGGAAGCTCGCACCAGATCTTTCATGTCGCCATCTTATGCGCAATGGCCGCACATGTAACGGCTCTGCTTCAAGGCTTCACAACTTGTCATACATTGGATGTGTGTCGGTTTCAGGGGGTTCATTGAGCAATGTGAAGCTGCGTAGAAAGCTGAACTGCTCGACCCGGGCCAGGAGATAGGTAGAGACTTTCCATATGTAATACAAGTACATTCATCAGTGTCGAATATCTGACAGTCTCTGAAGAGGTCAAACGTATAGACGCCCTATACTGACTGATATGGTACTAGGTAGGTACTAGCAGTAAACCTAAGCACGCCACTTCCGCCTCGCCCCAAGCAACCACCTCTAAACTGCGTTAGAAGTTCTGTAGTACAAGTACACTTATCTCTATTAGTTCATACCTTAACTCCTCGGGAAGACTAAGGCCGAGGGGTGGAACGCACGGAGACTATAACTGGCAAGTATACGAAGTACTTCTACAGGCAAGACAGTCCGCGGCCTTCTATTTCGCAGCTTATACTGTTGCGAGCACTGTCTACGTTCTATTATGTACAGACACGTTTTATCCGCAGGCATGAGGCATTTTTACCATTGGGCAAACACATGCTGTCAACCAGGGGAGAGCAGAGCCTCATGACACTGGATCTCCTCATTGGAGAGCTAATGCACGGAAGACTTGTGTTTTCGCACCGGGCAGGGTGGAGTTACTGTAGACGGACAGTATAGTATACATGTACAGAACTTGAAGATTGCAGTCATTCGCTACGGCGGGTTCGATCACCTAACATGTACCTTAGTTAGCTTGACCTGAGCAAGGCAGATAATGCAATTGACACCGACGTGATGTGTCTGTTTTCCAATGCGGATACGGTGTCTTCCTACCCGATGTAGTGAGCCGCCGACGGAATTGTAGGGCAAATCAGGCAACCAACCCTTCCTTCTATGTATATCCTGCCGGTAAGTGGGCGGCTAGCAGTGCAACGTGGTTGGTCCAAAGACAGGGATTCTGTCACACATAGCGCGCGTCGTCGCAGGTTCAGGGGTCCTGTAGGGCCTGGCCAAGCAAACACGAAGGAACAGAGTTCGAGATTTGGCCTTTTCTTTGTTACTGTAGTAGTGCGCATTCCAGCTCCTACAGGGTACATGTAAGCAAGGCTGGCATGTAGCAGAAACGAAGTCAGAGAAAAGCGCGGGTGCAGCAAGCAGCGCAAAAGAAGCCCCCCTCTCTTCATCTTCCTTCTTCCTTTCTTCTCCTTCGCCAACAAGTCCCGATGGCATCTGCTGCCCGTCTTCGACTCTCGTCCCCCCAGCCGCCGGTGTCGCCCAAAGAGCGGGGGGATGACTCCCTCCACCCACGGCCTACGGACACCACATCCAGGGTCGTCAACAAGGCACGCAAAGTTCTTCTCTCGTTCGAGGAGCTGCCGAAATGGCATCAGGACAACGAGTTCATTCTCCATGGCTATCGACCGATCTCAGGCTCGGCCATGGTCTCATTCCACAGCTGGTCATACATCCACAACGAGTCGGTCAACATTTTTTCTCATCTCATACCGGCAGTCGCTTTTTTGCTCGGCGAGTGGTATATCCTGGAGTATCTCACCAGTAGATACTCGAATGTGACTGGCGCCGACTTTTTCATCTTCACCTTCTTTCTCTTGACTGCCGTCGTCTGCCTGGGACTGTCAGCGACATACCACACTCTGACGAACCACTCCTCCGAGATTGAGCAATTATTCTTGCGATTTGACCTGGTGGGTATAGTCATCCTCACATTGGGTGACTTTGTATCGGGAATATACATGGTCTTCTGGTGTGAGCCTTTGGAACGCAAGATCTACTGGTCAATGGTGAGTCAACATCCATATATACCTCTTTTGCTGTTTGTTCCCAATCACGTATATAATACTTATTTTGGCTACCAGATTGGAGTACTCGGATCGCTTACCATCTTTATAATGTTAAATCCCCGGTTCCATGGTCCAAAGTACCGCACTTTCCGAACACTTGCGTTTGTAGGGACGGGCTTATCTGGCTTTGCACCTTTGATACATGGTATTTCGATCTTTGGCTTCTCGCAGATGATGAAACAATCGGGGATGCCCTATTATCTAATCGAAGGAGGATTCCTTCTGCTTGGGGCTCTGATTTATGCCGTAAGCCTCCAGATTTTGCACATGATGGGACTCTTTTCTAATAAAACGATGTGTCTACAGACCAAGTTCCCCGAGTGTCGATGGCCAGGGAAATTCGACATATACGGCTCCTCCCATCAACTTTTTCACATCCTGGTAGTCCTTGCCACTGTGACCCAACTGATTGGGATATTGGACGCCTTCGACTATAATTACACCAATCGAACTTGCTCATCTCTATGAGTCATGCCCCAAGGATATTTACATCAGGTATATGCTGGGGTTTTGCCGCATGTCATAGAGTGAACCTGGCGCTGTTATTTGGCCGGACTGGAAGCCGAGAATTTTACGACGACCCAAAGGAGATCATTGATCGAGGAGCGAGTAGATCATGCTTATGAAGCTAGACGAATTGATGATAACGTACAGATAGCGTTAGTGCTGGATTAAGAGACGACCAGTGGTGGAACTGAACCACCGATTCTATGACCTTGTTGTGCGTATGTTTTATCGAGCGAAGATTCGGAAATTGCCTGCCATGGACGTAAAATTTTCAATGTTCTCCTACCTCATTAATTACATATGGTGAAATCTCCTCAGCAGTCACAAGGAACGGATTCAGCAAGTTTTCTACCCAGCCGACATCACCAGTGCTCAGCAACACCCAGCTAATATATCGCCTGCTATGGATTTACATACCGCTTTGGAGAAGGAGTGGCCAGACGCTCCCTCATTACTAAGTTCACAAATATTATAAGCATCTGCTACTGGAAAGTATATGTATATTGCCACTCTCGATACATTTCTGAGGCAATCATAACAATGCATGAAAGCAGCTTGCGGTAGCTCCACCTTCGTGATCTTTTACTGTCTATTGAAGGGCTGAAATGCTCAATTATGAGCCACGCCTATCAAAACAGATATCTGATCCACCGTGATCACCTTCAGAAGACTGAACTTTTCTCCTGACATAGAGGCGCCCTTCATTGCGATGGCGTGATATGGCCCAGGACACTTGGGCAGACTATGCTCGTTGCACATGAAGCAGTATCACTGGAACGTTTGTACAAGTATATGCTTCATTAGACCTGCAAAGGCGAGGGAAGTATTCAAAGTATACTACATGCTTTCAGACTCAAGCTGAGTAAACCTCCATCCTTACTTCAATTGCTCATGGCAAGTTGAACATTTGAGTGACGTCTTTTCGACAATCTTTTCATCTGCCTTGATGGCTAGAGTCCCCGAGCTTCTCCTTCTTCTTCCTTTCGCTCGCTATTGATCCTCCATTCCTTTCAATCACCGTAGCTTTCGTTATTACCTGTGGTGCTACTCTTTCTGTCACCTGGCGTACATTTTTTATCTTTGGGGGATTATCTTGTCTTCCCAATAATCCCCGGCTTCTCCTCGCTGAGGGTTCGGACTTGGTCCCGCGGCTGGTCGGTAGCATCTGTATGACGTCTTCATCTTCGACCTCTATAGCATCTGTTTTCAGTAAAGCTTTAGAGTCGTTTCCATCATTGCTTTTACTCTCTTCTACCTCCATGTTTGCTTTCCTGGAAGATTTAACGACGCTCGCAGAGTTCGTAGGCTTCTTTGGTCTCCCTCTCGGTTTTGCGGTACTGCTGATACAAGAGTTGTCAGACAAATTCATCCCTACCCTGACTTCATCTTCCTCGAACTGAGATATCCACTTACCTGTCGTTACCCATGTCTTCGTCAGCCTGAGCCATTTTGAGCAGCTCCTTGATTCCATCGATAGCAGCTTTTCGCTTGTTGTAATATTTAAAGACCATGTTCTCCGGTTCGCGTTTCGGGGGCTCTGTCATGTTTTTCCCAGATGACTTTTTGGCGCGAGCACCCCGTTTCGATTCGAGTGCGGTCTTGAGTGATTCTTCGGATAGCATGGTCGCGATAGCGCATTCGCCGTATGCGTACTTGGCCCATGGACTGTGGTCGTCCGCGGCAAGCCGGCCCGTCGGAATCGCCTCACTTTGTTCGACTGGCTCGACTTGTAGTTCGACTGGCTCGACTTGTAGTTCAACCTGATCACTACCATTGTCGACCTGCACAGCTTTTTTGACGTATTCAAACTGACCACTGTCATCAAAGACCTGCAAAACAGTGTTCTCTCTCCGATCGCCAAACTCGAATCGGATGAGGAAGTGCGGATCTTCGGTCTGAAGTGCTGGAAGTGGCTGCCAGCAGATTTCCTCAAAGTTTTCCACTCCCTCTAGCTGAGCATCATCAGTGGTCTCAATCAACTCATTGTGTGCGGCCCATAGCTCCTCCTTCAGGGCCGCTTCAGTCCCTTTTCTAGGCGGGTTACGCATATACTTTTCGCGTTCGAGTGCCTCTCTCTGGTGCATGCGTTAGCGATATGAGTCGCTAAGATAGGATCGTTAATGCTCATGGGAGAGGACTCACGGATCTGTTCTCCTTATCTTGGTCTTCTATTGCCATGTTCACGGCCTTTTTTACGGCCGCATAGTTAGGTTTGTTGCCATCCTTGCCAGTCCAGAGATTGTACTTGGTCTTGCCATTGCGATCCAGCCGCGGCCTATTCTTGTCTTGTTGGAGGATGTACTGGACGTATCTTTCCTTCGCTTTTACCCACCTTTCCTGCCCGTCGGCTCTGTCATGGGCATCCGTCGAAAGGGCGTACAGGATGTCGAAATCCTCGTCACTTGTCTCGTCGCCTTCTCCATCGTTTTGAACTGCTTGGTTAGTATCATTCGAATCCCGCTCACCCTCTTCTGCGATGCTCTCAGAGCCGTCTCCAACAGTCAACCGCTTCCGGCCTTCAAAAGCTTCTCCAAGGCGATGGTTAAAGTTGATGTCCTTCAGAGTAACCTCTTCTTTACTGAACCAATACGCTGCGCGAGTTGTGAACAACCCTTGTCTCACCGCACTCTGGTTACCGTTGGCATCAGACAGCCTTTCGAAATAGTCTCTCAAAAAGGCCAGAACGTCCCAAGCTGCGGATGAAAGACACTGTTAGCTTAATCATGAGCACATCCATCAATCGGCGGTAGAAGAGACTCACTGGGGTGCCCATGGCTGCTTCCTGGGGTAACAAGAACCTTGCGAGGTTCCATATACTCAATGATCAGGCCTATGTTTTCCGGGTCCGTGAGCGGCCCCTCTTGTTCTTCCCCGTTTGACTCCGCCTCTGAGTCCGACTCTGACTCCGACGGTTGTTCTTCTTGCTCAGGGTTGTTTTCGCTCTTGACTGCTGAGCGGTGGGCTCCCCCGAGATTCTCCCTTGTCGATCCATGGTGATCCAGCTTGACCATTTCAACGTCACTGTTAGGCCAAGTCTTGTTGAACCAAGTTTGTACAGGCCCGTTAAAAACGTCGGGATATCCATCTCCGCCGGTGTAATACGAGCATAACTTCTGACGTTTCCAGTAGAGGAGAGCAAGGATGGACGTCTCGTTGCGTGTTGGCCTCCCGGCCTTGACAGCTTTCGGCTGTCCAATTCCGAAGCCATTCGCTCCCACGACGCAGAAACGCGGTGTGTTTTCGGCATCGGCCGTATTCTCGTCAGAGTCCAGCCGATTTTCACAATCCTCTTTGGATCTTCTGCGGCTGTATGTGGGCTTGTACTCTTGCCCCGTTTTGCGGATGAACTGGCGAGAGCGAGTAAAAAGGTCCAAGCCTATGAGTTCCTCACCCCATTTGCATCGAAGGAGCCTTTTTCCTTCACTACTCCTCTGTGACGCAGTGTCCATCTGGTCCCAGCGATCTCTTTCGTTTTCTTTCACAAAATGGCGTAGAAAATCGCCTCCTCCATTGAACATGGCTTTCACATCCCATGCACCGCAGCATAGCCAGGCGTCCTCGGCGAAATAAAGAGACGCAAAGTTATTTGGGCTGCTTCTGGTGACGGTGTTCCCATCACGCTTACACCGCGTAAAGGTGATGTCCTTATTGAGAAGCAGATCCTTGACGCCGTGGTAGTGGTCTGCGTCCCAGTGGGTGACGACCCAAGAGTCGAACTTCCAGCCATTGCCAAGCTCGAGGTCAATGAAGCGAAGGCCTTTGAGGATTTGGACCCAGGCGACATACATACCCGCGTTCATGCCGCCATCCATGAGAAACGCCCTGTGCACCTTTTTCGTGGCCGTGTCTACAAGAAAGTGGGCGGAGCAGTCGCCGATGGGCACGGGGATCTGGTAGTTGATCACTTGCCAAGGAGAAGGATTAGCCGTACTGTTAAGCCGTGTTGTCTGTTAGCTACCTGCTGCAAAAAAGCGAGAAGCTGTCAAGCTTGGTGATTTGCACTGACAAATGTTTCTGGGTGTTGTTCAGTATACTCGGGAAGCTTGTAGGTCCTAACACATTATGTGTCGCAACGTTGTCCAGACCACCCGTCATATCTGTGGCATGCGGCTGTACGTTGTTTGTTTCGTTGTTGTTCCTATCATTCTGTGTCAACTAAGCCATGACTCGGCAAACCTCCAAGTACCGACATGAAGAGATTTCTTTTTGGCTTGTATGGATTCGTTTGCGAATGCGCATACAAGCCAAGGTTCTCATAGCTGCTGGTGGATGCATCGTTCATGTTGACAGGCTATAGGTTTGGCAGTTGGCAGACGTTCAAAATAACCGATTGAGGCGATGAGAGCTTCTGTATTCATCCAACGCTCGGCACCGTAGGGTCTTTGTAGGACGAAATGAGGTTGGACTACACGTATGAGGCATCCTCTCAGAGCTCATTGAGTCTACGGCTGAACATAAGATGCCTTCAGTGGTCCAGACTTCATGCCAGGAGCTCTTCAGCCAGCCTCAGGAGTAGGCTATTGCCAATAGCGTGACTATCAGCTTGGACTAGAGTCGGGGTGGCGCTCTCGCGACGGCCCGGGCAGGCGTCTAGTGTTAGTTTCCGGGCTGGGCAGTGGTTGGCATGTTCATCCTGATGGATAACAGCTTCGTCTAGTACGCCGCTTCAATAAAGTTTGGCAATTCGGAAAGTCATGAATAGGGCTATGACTAGAGAAAGAGACCAATTCAATTACAGCTATGGTGCTTGTATGCCATCTCCAGATAATAGTGTAGTGGTTCAGCTTTGATGACGGTGACCTGAGTAATTGTAGGCAAGAAAGCCAAACATTCAAGTGATTCGTTACCTCATGGGAAATCTATGTTCTCTACCGAAGACAGCATTTACAGTGCAATTGTCCAATACTGGACCTGACGCAAACACTCCACCGGCACCAGCAAAAGCTCGACAACGACCGCACGCCCGCATAACTGCGCGCACTGCTCCCGAGTCACCAGCTCGCCCTTGCTCACACCGATTTCCTCAAGAACCTTGGTGACAGAGTCATCCAATCCCCATGCGCGCTGGTAGATGCCTCTTCCTTTCTCGAATGCCGCCTGGAATTCGGGCGTGCCCATCTGGATCGCCTCCGAGATGAGAGCCTGCTCGATCGTCGAGTAGGCGCTCACGCGCACCACAATCGAGCGCTCCGTTCTGGATGAAGTCGTTACTGACTCCGCATGGTAGTCGCCAAACCACGATTCCACGTCGATTTTGACCCTCTTTGTTTCTGTCTCGCTGCGGGAGCTCGCATCCGTGCTGAAGAGAACCGAGGCGTCACCCCCGATCCGGTAGCCGCCGACGTAGAAATCACCATATGTGGCGTGGAAGCCATCAATGCCCTTGCGACGCAGCACGTCAAAGGCATCTGCCGAGAGTTCTGGCGGACGCACAAACGCCACCGTGCCGGCGCGGTAGCTCGTGGTGACTGAGGCCTTGTTGGAGTCCCTGTTTTCCATGACGTCCCTGTCAAATTGTACCGAGACGCTGGCTGAGAGAAAGAGCAGGTCGACACCGACGCCGGCGCCAATGCTGAGATGGTCTGTTGATGCAGACGAGCTCATCACTTCGGACGACCTGAAGCTGCCGCTGCCATCATCTGTCGTGAATTCTATTGGCACCGAGACAAGGGAATCCGTGTCGAATGCCGATTGCATGGGGAATGGGTTTGCGCCATTAGCTGTGGCCGCCGACCGGAAGAACATGCCCAGTGGAAGGACGCGGGCCTGCCATGGGAGCCGGATCGGTGACCGGGTGATTGCTTGCTGGGCCACGCGGGGGATGAGCGGATTGAACACATCGGGGTCGAGGGTATCAACTGTCAGAGGGGCCAGTTTGCTGACTTTGGCAATTCCAGAGACCGGCATGGCGACGGATGCTCATGGTGTTGGTTCTGTGATGCCCAGTTTGGGAGGCGGAAAGACTGAAGTGGTCTTGAAACGGTGTGTGGCCTGGAGTTCAGAATGTCGGAACAATCACTCCTCTGGCATCTTACAGACTCCGCGTCTGGATGCCCGCGGTCCATCCTCAGCCGCCGTGGCTGCGGTCTCGACTGAGTATGACCAGGATGTGAAGCGAGCTGAAAGGGGATCAGCCAGCCCGGTACCATATGCCATGGCGTCGGGATCATCCGAGTGTATTGCGCTTGCGGCTAAGTTTACCAGTCACTTTTCGAAGCCACTCTCGGGGGAAGTAGCGGCTTGTGGCTTGTGGCGAAGAGTGGTGAGCTATTGCAAATCGTCAACCTCATTTGCTCAGGTCGACCGGTCAGTGCTAGAACTATACCCAGCCTGCGTCGAGCTGACATTCTGCAAAAGTTTCATACCGATAGCACATGTAGGAAGACAATACGGAAAACGTTGTGGCTTCAAATATGGCATGATTAAAGTCTGGCCCGCTGTTTGACCCGAAACCCCTGTTGACTATTGACAATAGTCTCATACTCCATCCAGGGCTTCAAGATATCATAATTGAACACATTGGAATAGATCGCTACGAAGGGCCGAGCAAAAAGTTTACTTGAAAAGCTCAAGCTCAATTATTCACTTCACCATCTCGAGTGGCCTGCCGGATTGTGCTTGGCTTGCGGCTTGAGAAACTCCTTCTTTTGAGTCTGGTTGTGTGAATCGGTGTCAAACCATCATGGCTCTGTTACTCGCGCCTTACAACAATGGCATGCGCCTTGGTACGTCGTTTGCATATTACCGAAAGCTTTCCTCACATAGACCACTAACGCGATGTAGGCCAAGGGTAGGCTCTGCAACTTGAAGTCCAAGAAGCAGACGAGGGATCTAACAGCCTTAGCTTCAATTCGTACACGCAGCAAATCTGCATTGACGACGCCGTTGTGATCGACCCCGACCGCATCGACAATGCGGTTACCAACGATGGCTTCACCATGCGAGAGCTTCGCTACGGCATTGGCGCACGTGCAAAAGCCGCCCGCGCCGTCAATGGTGATGTAGATGATGAGGATGAAGATGAAGACGAAGATAATCTTCAACCTCAGCCTCAACTCATTGAGGCAATCCCAACAGTGGCCGCTTTGACGGGTGTTGATGCCTCGAACGGTCAAACACAATCTTTGATCGGACCTGCACCCCCATCAGTCCTTGACAGCATGGCACTTCAACTGAGTCAAGACGTCAAGACGGTGGCCAAGCTTGTCGAAGACATTGCCAGACTTGAAAGTGCCATTGAAGAAGCGGTCGACCCCGACAGTGCGGAGACAAAGCGAGATGCTCTGCTTCTCGAAAAGAAGCGAATGCGCCTTGCTCGTCTCAAAACAAATGGAACTGGCCTCAAGACTGCAAATCCCCGCAGTGCTGCGCGAGAGTTGTCGAAGCGCGGTCCGAGCCAGATTGTCTCGTACAGTTCACGCTTTGTGAACAAGATTAGGTATTTGATGGCTTCGCTATTTGAGTTGCTTATCTGGACACAGCTAATTATTACCAGTGAAATAACTGACGACATGAACATCTCAGGCTCTCTGTCGATCAAGTATGGTGCCATTGGCGGCTCCGGCAAAGGTTCCTTTGTCGACTCAGACAAATTCAAGGAGAGTGATCTCAACTTCTTCATCTCCGTCAAGGTCGTCAACCAGAGCATCAACATCAAAGATGCCCTTGTTTTCCAGGGCCTTCCCTCGGTGAATGAAACCAACTTTCGCTCCGTCTTTGGCGACTGCTTCATATCTGGTTTCCTGGAAGGCGGCGAATTCAATGCCCTCGTGAGCATGAAGGTTGTGAACAAGGACAAGCGCATGGCTGTCAAAGCCGAGTAAATCACCCTCTCTCCGTGTCTATTGACACTCCAGTTGCTCTACGAGGCCGTGGCTAACTGATATTGGACAGAGCCGAGGTCGCTTTGAGCGTTGGAGCTGCGGACATTAAAGCCAATGCCCACGTCGACATAGCCAAGTCGAACTTTTCGTCGCAGACGGAGACGACGATTCAGGTTGGCTGGTCGGGCGGCGGCCACATCAAGCCAGGTAACATTGACCATCCCTTGCCTTTTTCTGCTCAGTATTCTGACTGCATGCAGTGGACCAGCTCTGGACAATTCAGACCCTGATGGAGACGGCTGCCAAGTTTCCTGATCTCGTCGCCAACACTCCTCAGCGTACCTAGTGAGTCTTCGTCGACTATTTCGCCCAAGTACGGAAGACTGGCTAATCATCCGTCTCCAGTGCTATCCTTACCAAATATGAGTCGCTTCGGAGTTACATGGCCCTGAAGCCGCCAAAGCTCAAGCCCATGTTTTACGAAAACGCAGCCATCTACACCAATGCACTGCTGGACGCCTATATGGACTACAAGAATGTAACGTCTTTCCGTCTTCTTAAGGAAGTTGAGTTACAGTTGGCTGATGCTGAGCAGATATACCGCACCCTTGGGACTCAGCTTTTCGACATCCAGGCTAGCACGAAGAAATTTGTAGGCTGGCCTGATGACGTGACAAAGTTTGCGGATTCGACTACCCTCTCTCTCATCGACGACGAAACCCCGTTTGAAGCGACTATCAAGGGGCTTGACCTCGCCCGCCGTGCTTGCCGGTTCCAGATGGTCAAGATTGTCAAGGAAGTCGATACAATCGAGGAGCATCCAGACTATGCCGCCGATGAGAAGCGCCCCGAAGCAATCCAGAGCACCATCATCTTCCGAGACCGGCTTCCCGCCGTCAAGGACAAGGAGAAGGTGCCGTTCTCCGAAATCTTCGGAACCGAAGCCCCTTGCCCCTTGCTTGAGCGCGTTGAAGGCGACGGCGTGACTGAAGCCGAGGCCGCCAAGGCTGCCAGTTATGGTGTAGACCAACCTGACGTTGGCAAGTTTCAAAAGCTGGCGCCCATGGTGGGTTCGCCCCAAGGCACTCTCTTCTGCAACTTGGACTTTGTCAAGGCCGATTTCAGCTTGCGCACCGTCACGGTCGACGTCAACGACGGCGTGGTCATTGGCCTCAGCGTCCGATACACTAACGGTCTTTTGGCTGCCGTGGGAACTGCCGGCGGCCGCAGAAGTACACTGACGGTACACCATGAAGATGGTGAGAAGATCATTGCCTGCTCGATCGAGACGGGCCGTCTCAAGGGCGTGGAAAAGGCCCCGACCCGCGTCACTGCCCTTCGGTTGTATACCAATCGCGGACCGGACCTCTTGGGCAACTCGGAGGACTGGAAGCCTGCCGTAAAGGGAGAAGGCCTCCGTGATGGCAAACAATTCGAGCAGCTCGAGTTGAAACACTTTGACCCCCTGCTCGTCAACGCTCAGATCAAGGGGTTCTGGGGTTACGGCACAACAACGCCACAAATTAACTCCACGAGCGGCATCTTCCGCCTGGGCCCGATCTGGGGTAACAAGGAGGTCTGTTATCTGCGCCATCTTATGTTCGCCGCATTTCGTATACTGACATTAGTGCCTTATAGAGCACCGCTGCCACCGTAGGCATTCCCGATGAGGAACCAATCGACACGGCTAAAATCATGACGAACACGGAGGCTCGCTACTGGAGTGGCTACGAGCATAAGGGTTGGCGAGGGTCCGTCGCCGGCCGGTGTGCCACGTTCGCGGACACCTTCGCCAGACCCTTGCCCATCGTCCCTACGGTCATCTACGGCTTCCGCGTCATCGATGTTGCGAACATCAACGCTCCCCGCCTCGCTCTCAGTCTTCCGTCCGTCTCGGAAACGGGATACACCCTGTCGGCCAAGTCCTTCTTGCATGGGACGGTGAACCTCGAGGCCAGCGTCATGGTCCTGCCACACGGCAAGGTTGCCTTCCAGAACGGCTACGTGGACGCCAGCGACAATCCAGGCGGCCGCACGGCGAACCAGAATGCAAAGGTGTCCGTCACGTTTAGCCAGCCCTTCAAGGAGCCACCAAAGGTCTGCGTGTGGTTCACGGAGATCTCGCAGCCGCGCACCCGACGGTACCTTCGTACCTACGTGGACGACGTCACTCCAGACGGCATGACTGTGCACATTGACACTTGGGACAACAGCGAGTTTGAAGCGGCGCGCGTCGGGTGGCTGGCATGGCCGGCCGAGTGCGACGGCAAGCTGGTCAAGGCCGGCAACAGTTCGTTCGCCAAGGGCTCGGGACCGCAAGAGGCGCCCTGGTACGGCGGCAGCTTCAGCAAAGACCCCAAGGTGTTTACGGGAATCAACTATATCGACTTTCCCATGGATCCAAACAGCCCTGTTCCTCTGCCGATATTTGGGAAGCATGAGTGGGCGACCAAGGACAAGCTGCGCTGGCACGGCGGCACGTGGGGAGACACAATCATGACCCAGATGGGCTTTTGCTGGATTGCGATGGAATAAGAGGCGTTGTATTGTATATATCATCTGGTTATACGTAGGTGTTTGCGGATACGTCAATCTCAGTAATCTGGGTAATGGCTGGAAGCATGAAGTCCACTGGTGTCCTATCGACCATTACTCTAATGGACCGCTCACCACCTCCAGAGATGAGCGCATCTGCGTGTGATTCAACAGCTATCAAGAGTTTGGCCGACTGGATGAGAAGAATGAATGGATTTCATAAGTCGATGGCAAGAACTAAGACATGTAGGTCTCTCAAACTACGTGGACTACCTCTCAAACTACTACTATTCTACGTGCATAATCCTGCGCAAGGTATCAGTTCGTCCAACGTTCCCTCTCGCGAAAATAAGTAGACAGAAAAAAAGGACAGTGAATCAAGAGGGAGCACTAATTCAGAGATATAAGCACACCTTGGCTGCGATGTAACCTACCATGCAGGTGCTCATGATTCGAGTGTTGGGTGCTCGAATTTGTTCAGATCCTTGTTTTTCTGTCCACTCCCCTGCGGTTCTGAGTGCATCGTGATGGCCTCACCATCACATACGACCATAGGTAGTGGAGAACTCGGGGTCCCGTCCGCTCCCCCATAGATAAGCCACTAACCGGCAGATTAGTAGTTGGGTGGGTGACCACCAGCGAACACCGGCTGTTGTATGTTTTTGTCCTTTTTTTGCTGTTCTGCGTGAAGGACGGTAGTTCTGCTTTGGCTCAACCATCAGAGAGTGTTGTTTCTTGAGGAGGCGAGTTGTTTTGATACTAGGGCTTTTAATCGGTTCTGCAAGTCTCGGTTGGGGAGGGAGAACACCTACAGCTCTAGGGCTTGAGAGGCCGGTTTGTGAAAGGCATGTTTAAGGTTGTTCAAGGAAGTTTCGGCTTTGTTATTCATCAGGCTACCTGCAGTTGTTGCAAAGTCTCCTCCTGATGTGGTTCTATTGCGTTGTTGGGATTGATTCAGTCGTTAAGACCGAACTTGTGTTGATTCAGTTATCTCTTGCCAGTCGGTAACTTCACAAAGCCTTTTGCAATTTATCTGCAGTAGTGGTTGCTGCCTTCTTGTAGATCTCAATTTAACATACCACGCTCGCCAAGCCTTGATTAAACCTTATCTTGAGTCATCGCTAATACTTTGTTGTGTGGCTTTCCACGTGAGCGATCGAGACGATCTGGTTTGATCTTGTTAGCCCCCCTTTTTATCCTTCATGACTTCTGCCCTCAAGTATCTCTCTATAGATATTATGAATTTGACATCTGTAGTCTTTATGATCATGCGTGAAGAACGGGATGGTCCTTCGTTGCCTTTACATAGATCCATGCTACGTCTGAGACAAATATTGCTCCTTCTGTGGCTTCAAAAAGGGGAGGGAAATAAGCTCTGGCCTCCGATCTCCGATCTCTCGCAGGTCAATCTGACAGCGTAGTTGCTCCCGATATATGAGTGGCTTGATCGCAACCTTATTTCTCCCAACTGTTGAGCTACAAGGTGACCCCAGTCTGGTCCGTCTCTGCGGATCTCAGTCATTGTATAAGAAGGGCCCTGCCCCCGACGTTTGTATCTAATTGAACCAAAACCTTTACCTATCATCAATATACACAAACATCACACACACTTGTTTTTACACCAAGCCCAGCAGTTCACAACCCCATTTCATCAAACCCTTGAGAAATCCGCATTTCAAGCAAACGGCGTCCGAACCGCAACCGTAATAGCTTACAGAGCCGCACGATGAATTCCAGCAAGTCACGTCGATCTCAACAGACTTATCCAGAACCTCATCTAACATCCGCGGAAATAGAACCGAACGACGTCCGACCGATCATCATATCGGGACCTTCAGGGGTCGGCAAGGGAACCCTCATCCAAATGCTCGAGAACGCACATCCCGGTACGTTCACGAGGACAGTCTCGCACACCACGCGTCAACCCCGGGACGCCGAAGCCGAAGGAAGCACCTACTTTTACGTTTCAAAGCCCGAATTCCAATCACTCATCTCTCAAAACGCCTTCATCGAATACACATACTTCAGCGGCAACTACTACGGTACCAGCAGGCGGACCGTCGCATACCAAACGGCAGAAGGCTTGGTAGTGGTGCTGGAGATTGATGTTGAAGGGGTAAAGCAATTGCGCGAGACTGCGATCATCGACGCTCGCTATGTCCTCATTGAACCGCCGAGCCTTGATGAACTGGAGGCTCGGCTTCGGCAACGGAGCACGAAGACGGAAGTGAGCATCGAAAAGAAACTTGGACAGGCGAGATGCGAGCTTGAGCAAGCGGAGACTTCCGGGCTTTACGACATGGTCCTTGTGAATGAGGATCTTGATGCGTCATACAAGAAACTGGAAGCCTTCATTTGGGGACTATCAACAGATTGAATCCGGGTCTTACCAACAAGTATCGCATGGACCAGAACATACGTGGATAGATTCGCCGTTTGATATCGGCTCACAGAATCCGCCAGATGTATAGAGGACGATTCCTCCCTCGGCACACATCTCAAGAGGGCTTCCGTAGCTCAGTTGGTTAGAGCTTCGTACTAATACTAGAGCTTCCAAGCTCCAATATCAGTAATGCGAAGGTCGCAGGTTCAAGCCCTGCCGGGAGCAAAACGTCTCACGATGCCCTTTCTTCTGTTTTTTTGCCCTTTTTGTCTATAATCAAACTTTTGTGTCTTGTTTTAGTGCCGTTCATTAGCGCGAACACGTGGATACCGTAGAACATTCGCCTTTTCCAAGCTTGTCCTATTCGGGGTCTAGCTCCAGTGCTACTTTGTTAGAGAAGGGCCGCCGCTTTCAGGGGAGCCTTGACAGCATCACACATCCCGCCTATACATGAGAATATAAAAAGCAAACTTGAGCAAAGGTCTTAGCGATTCTTGACGCAGCGTGCAGACGGGACTTTATGCCATTTCATTCAGGCCAACCTTTCTTTCTTGAACAGGCAGGTATTTCCATAAGGGCATAGCGGCACAGAGAACTGGCAATATATGGGCGTCTGTCCCGCCTCCTGTGGCAATAACATCTCTGCTTCGGGCTATAATCGTGTTTGTTCATCGTGGTGTAGCACAAATCTCCCAAGTTTGTGAGATCATTACCCGCTCCGTAGATAATACACTTTATGAGACATGCAGTAAGTCAACAACACTGCTTGTTATCCACGTCGACTCCAGAGAAGAGTGCATCATCGCGAGCTTCACTCTGTGCGCTCTCACCAGTCAAGGTTCAGGAGAAATCGCCAAGGAGCCGGTCACACTTGGACCCTGGCAAACACATGCTTGCTGTTTCATGATGGAATGTGCGAAAATAGATCTTCCAAGCAAAACAGGACGAATCAGCAAATAAAAAGAGAAATGTCACTCCCTCCTCTTGTGTGCTCTCTCTGCGTCACCTCGTCCAACCACGATGGCGTGTCCGCACCGACACCGCGCACCAGCTCGCCTTACCTGCCTCTTCCGCCGCTCAGCGATGCTGGCACACCGTCAAGCAACGCCCTGGGGAATGTAACATGTAACGCGGGATTGCCTCCTGTCTCTGCCCGACCGGACATGAGGCCCGTGTGATAAGGTTAAAAGACCTAGCAAAATCTGGGGCTGCAGCGAGGCGAGTTGCAGCTGATGCTCATAGTTGCGGCCTTTTGACGTTCAATCGGTACAGTTCTCGAACTCTCCTCTCACGCGCGATAGTAACGGCTGTATAGAGTGCAAACCTCCTGGGCCAATGGATGGAAAATGTCTGCTGTGATTGCAGCTTGGCACCATGATCTCCTGCGGGCGAGAGGGGCGTCCTGACTTGTATGGTCTTGGAATCCGCCTCGGAATCTATTTCCAGTGGTTCGGCGAGATTCTCGTCGAGTTCTTTGACCAAGCCGACGTCTCCGACATACGCCTGCTGGGCTTCCTCCTGTCCGGCGCCATTGTTCTGGCTCTGCTCGTCCAGGTCGCGGACCAGCGGGTCCAAGGGGCAGACATTTATATCATGCTGCAGCTGGCGGCTGGCTCATACATCTTCCTCGTGCCCATGTACATATGGAAAGCGCTCACATGCTGCGATCGCAGATGGGATCCGCTCAGGCGGACGAGAGAAACCAACATGGCCATCTTTAACGTCTCGACCATGGTGCTTCTGGTCATCATCTCGGCTCTCCAGCTCTGGTTCTTTAGCACGTATATGCCGACCAAAGGACGCCAATGTGGGTATTACGGCTTCTTCTTCGCAAAGGTCAGGCTCGACAACACGGCGTACGTTGTGATTAACATCATCGTGTACGTCATCGTGATTCTCGTCTGCTTCAGCATTGCTCTCGCATGGACGGGTTTCTGGGATGGACAGTGCGGACCACGAAGACATCGGCGTCGAAGGCGGCACCGTCAGAGAGAGTCAGTCAGCCTCCCCTTGACACCACACATACCTTTACCCATCATGAGCAGCTGCATCTGACACAGTGGCAGAAGACCAGAGCAACTACAGGAGCAGGATGAACAAGAGCGAAACGCAAGGCGAGAGCGAGCCAGACAGCAGCGGTCAGACCTGCTACGCACCATGCGCGGCATATCCAACCTGCTTGTGTACGGGCTTCACATCACCGCCATTGAGCTGACCATACGATGGAACCAGTTCGAAAACATTGACGGCGTGGACACTAGCGCTCAGACGGTTCCGCTGCTGGTGAGCGCCGGCATCCTGGCTCGCTTCCTTCTGTTGCACTTTGAGGGCAGAACCGACGATGCGTCGACTGCCGGAGGTGGTCGGCCCGTCAATCCTGAAGATGGCACAGAACACCAGGTTGAGGATGAGGGCCAGGATCAAGCCGAGGTTCCCAATGCCGAAATGGAGGACCTGGACGATTTCGTCGCGGGCATCGACCTGGACAACGTGAGCGAATTTTTCGAGCACGGCTCTCCGAATTACTGGCTCGCGAGGACGGCGATCCAGAGACGCGAGGCGGCAGAGATGGCGGCGGCGAGGGAGCGACTAAGGGCGAGAGGAGTGGTTCCGCGACCGGCTCGAGTGCATTCAAGAGGCACGACGATTGTGCTATGATTGAAGAGCAGTGAGGGTGAGGGTGAGGGTGAGCATGAGACGGAGAAGAGGAAAGGAGGAAGCTGAAGGAAAGAGGAGTGCCTGGTGTTCGTAGGGGGGCACGTGATTTACGGATGCAATCGATATGCATCCTCCAGTCCGATTGACAATCAAAGATATCTTATCTCCCTTATTCAAGCTGCCTTCTCTATCACATGTTTTTTGAAAGAATAGATTCTGTAACATCATTCCACGCTCGGTAGTAAGATCCAGGCCATCAAGGTTATCCGGCTCAGGCACAGCACCAAGACCGCCCGCCTCTGATTCGACTGACCCCAGCCTGTGGCCCCGCAACCGCGCATCTCTAAAAGTAAACAAAATCAGCCGAAAAGCACCCCTGCTTGCATTGGATCTGCCATCGTCATCATCACCACCAGAGCTCTTCCCTCCATACCTTACAGCTCCATATAACGCACGAGCCACGGGACACGAGACACGAGATACGGCCTTAACCATGGAACCGGAAAAGAGGAAATCCTCCTCAAAGACGTCGTCGAGCAAAGACAAGCGACCAAAGGACAAGGACAAGGACGAGTCCAAGACGCACAAGCTGTCGCTCAAGGGGAGCTCAAGGCTGGTGGCCGAATTTGTATGCTTGGCATCTTTTCACTCTCTTTGACCGGCGCAATTGGGCATTGTCATTGTCTCTAACCGATCGTGCTTCTAGTTTCAATACTCGATACACACAATCCTGTACGAAGCCTCACCACCTTAACCCAGCGAACCAAGCAGCTGACCGTGCTCTCCAAACGACAGATTCCAGCGCGGCGTCTACCCAGCCGAGGACTTCACAGCGTACGACATACCTCCCTCGAGCCCCATCGATTCTAGAAGGACATGTCGGCTAAGCATATCTCACAGCGTCAAGAAATATGGCCTCAACATGCTCGGTACATTTCTTCTCTCCTCCGTCCCAACGATCAAGACAGCAAGCTGATCGTACCGTGTGAATCCAGTCTCCGCCGACGACCAGGTCAAAGCCTACATCAAGAAAATCATGAGCCAGCTCGACAAGTGGATGGTCGGCGGCAAAATCTCCAAGCTCGTCATCGTCATCACCGACAAGGACACGGGCGAGCACGTCGAGCGCTGGCAATTCGATGTACGCCGCGATCCCTCTTCCTCACCAATCCAACAACCACAAACACATCATATTTTCTCGAGACTGAACTGACACCTTTGAACACGAAAGGTCCAAATCTCCGCCCCTCCCCCAAAATCCAAATCCAAACCCCCCTCCGACACCGACGCCACTTCCAACCCACCTTTCCCCTCCTCCGAACAGCAACAAGAAAACTCGTCATCAGCATCGGCCACAACCGCCCTCTTCGCCGAAAAGGACAAGCCCGAAGCCGAGATCCAGGCCGAAATCGCCGCCATCTTCCGCCAAATCACCGCCTCCGTCACATTCCTCCCCCAGCTCACTGGCGACTGCACCTTTAACGTGCTCGTCTACGCAGACGCCGACAGCGACGTCCCCGTCGAGTGGGGGGACTCGGACGCAAAGGAGATCCAGAACGGGGAAAGGGTCCAGCTCAGGGGGTTTAGCACCGCGAATCACCGCGTCGACACCATTGTCAGCTACAGGTTGGGCGATTAGACGACACATACGCTTTTGTATACTTTAAGGGACTGAGTAAGGGATGGATGAATCGAGATTACTTGGCTTTGGGACGGCGTTGAGCGGGAACATATCGGTGCATTATACGGCCTTCACAGGGCTTCCCCCGAAGAATGGGGTAGATATACGGATGCATATTCTCTTATAGGTATCCATGTCTCTGTGGTAGGTAAATCATCTATAAGAAAGCGCAAGGGTAATACATCATGTCCCTTGTTAATACAACAGGCAAGCTCGTCCACAAACACTCTCCAAGCGCTGCCCTACACGAGGCAGCGCGTCAAACGCCGTCTTCCCAATGCATCGTCACAACCTCGTAAATGCAGCAAACGTATTCGCCGGTGCCTCAGACCCTCTTGAAAAAGTACACATACGCAAACTTGCGCATTTCTTCAACATCATGCGCCTCCACTACCTTCTCGTCATTGAAGAGCACCCAGGTAGGTGTCTCCTTGCCCTCCAGGGACTTTCGAATGAAGGCAACGTAGTGACTGATCAAACATGTCAGTGACGGCAAGGAAGAAAGAAGACAAAGCAACTTACCCCGCGTGAATGCTTGTGCCTTTGTGGCACACAATGGACTGCAGCTGGAACCTCGCCGGCAGCGTTGCGCTTCCAGCAGGCTCTTTCTGAGGCGCCTCGCCGCTTTGGCCTGCACTGTCGTCCTCCATGATGCCCTGGTCATCGGGGTGACTGAACAGCCACTCGATGGCTCGCTCAACATCGCCGCCCGTCTCCTTCAGCGCCTTCTTGGCCTGAGGAGCCAAGAATCCCATGGCCCCCAGCATTTCAATTTTGGCGGGATCAGCCGTGTCTGCGCCACCTGATCCGGACCCCAGATCCAGCGGCGCATCGATATCGACGTCGTCTAGATGGGCAAAGAGCCATTCCATAGCCGCGTTGGCATCCGAGTTGCCTGTCGCATGCAAGGCTTTCTCGGCACGGTTGCGCGGGAAGCCCATGGCCTCAAGCTGCGCAACTGCTGACGCATCCGCTACAAATGCAGGCGCTTTGTTCTCGGGTTCCTCGGGCAAGAGCTCCTCCGAGGGCTGAAGTCCCTTGGAAAGATAGCTGTCCAGCAAGAACGGCTCGTCCGGGACAATAACCGGGACGTCAATCTTGACGGGAACCCAGTTGACAACAGCCATCTTTCGTGCATTGACGGCCAACACGTTGGGGAACGTCTTGAACAGCGACTGCTTGGTGAAGCCTGCTTTGCTACCGCACGATGAGCAGGTCAATTCGACCTTCTCGGCGGCAGTGAAGTTATCCAAGCATTCCTTCAGAGTGACCGGCTTGTAGGTGTTTGCGACCTGGCCGCTTTCGTCTGGTTGATCGAGCTTCTCCAATGGCACGTCGATGAAGATGTTGTCTTGTTCGTTGGAGCTGTACCTAACCTTGTGGCATCCGAGACACTGCAACCGCTGCTCCAGAACGAACCGGAAGTCGGCCGTGGGATCCTTCAGGTCTCCGTTGTGCGGTGACCGGCTGATGAGCTTAAAGAGATGCTGGAACAGCTCAAAAGCGTCTTGCTGGCGCATGGTAGAGAATTCTTCGTGTCCTCTGCCTATCAGATGCTTCAGCATGGCGGGCGCCAGCCCCCTCTGGTAGGTTACTTCCGATCCGGACCCTGTGGAGTTATCGGGCACCGAGTAACGACCAGACAGTAACCCGTGAGCCATCTTCCTCAGCTGAGTCTCCAGGTCGGCAGCAGGATCCTGGACAATGGGCAAGTCGTTGCTGGTACTGTAGTAGCGCTCCCGGAACGAGGGCAAGTCAAAGAGGCACTGGATAATGCTGGCCAGGTAGCAGCTGTTGCCCAGATTTTTCAGGCCAGTGAGGCCGGGTCCAAACAAAGGCTTCAGCTCGTGGCCGTCCTCCGTCGTCATGCTAAAGTCCCATTTGAGGTTCTGCTCAATCTGCAGCTCGGTCAAGCTCTTCTCCGTCTTTTGTCGCTCGGCCAGGAGAATGCCCCAGTGGGCAAGGTGCTCTCCAAGCAGCTCGTCTATGCGCTCCTCGTCGCAACGGTAGCAGTAGATGTCGGCAGTGCCCTCGGGGGTAATGGACCCGAGCTTGACAGCCACTCCGTGGCCCGATTCGTTGGCATGGCCCAGGGCGTGCGAATTGCCGTCGACGCCACCCATCTGCTTTCGGCCACAGCCCAGGTTTCCGCATTCCAGGCAAAGCCAAAGGTTCTCTCGCAGATCACAACCTGAACAGTGGCCAAGCTCGCCCTGCTCGATCTTGCGGGGCGGGTGCTGCTGCATGGTCAGGATGTGCTCGCATGTCGTGAGCTCCTGCTCCCACGCCTTCACCTCTTCCTTTCGTGAAAAGGTGTGCGCCTTGAGAATGCCATCGACGATGGGGGCCAGCTTGGCGTTAGTCAGGTCCAGCTCCGTTTGGCACTCGATGCACTTGGCGGCCAAGGCAGTGTCGTATCGATCTTCTTCGGTCTCGGCGGCGATGGCGAGCTTCGTCATCTTGGCGGGCGGTTCATCGCGGTGGACCGTCTTTCGGGTGCGGCGAATGTTGAGGGCGAGCGGGTGACTCCAAACCGCATTGTGAAGCAGCGAGTGCTCTCTGTCGCCGGTGCAGCCACCGTTGAAGCACTGAAGGCAGACATCGAGGCCTCCAGGGCTGTCCTACACAGCAGAAACACAAGGGGAGATGATGAGCCGTCGTCCAGTTACAGCCCGAGGGAAGGAAAATTGCAGGCCGTTGGAGGACATACAATCGAGTCGAAGCATTGCGTGCAGTCTTCCTTGTACACAGACTGGACGGGAGTCGGCGGCTTAAGCTCTGCGGTGACGAAACATCAGCTTCCGTGACTTGGCGATAGCTGCAAAGAGCTGCGAGGTGGCGGGGTAAAGGTTTGACATACCGACAGAGTCGAGATGCGGGCACGACATGTCTCTTGGTGGTGCAGAGGAGACTCGGAGGACAGGCGATGAATGGAGGACGGGCGAGATGACGATGTAGCAGCTATTGGAAGCTGGTGGAGATTCAAGAGAAGAAGCAAAAAGTGAAATCTCGTGAGCACATGCACGTTGGAGGCTGATGTTGATTTCGTTACGTAGTGGCGTTGTTGTTGCCGGGTCAAGCGCTGGGCGAGCCGTTATCGATTATCGTTAGTGGGTGCAGCAGCCTGGAGCTCAGCGGCTACGAGCCCCAGGCACTGCTGAGGTTTGGTGCATGTACTAGCACTGGAGAGTGGGTGACGGTTAGGCTGCCCCTCGGTGACGGCATCGGACGGTGGAGGGGCAGCAGAGAAAATTCGAGAGACGATTGACTGCGTCATGAGTTCCGCCACCAAATATAGGTGGAATATAGGGTAGGTGGAGGGGAATGAAGCGGCCATACAGACTTATAACAGGCTTGTCTATCACTTCGGTTCGAGATAAAATCAAAGATGAATGCCATACTAGCCTTCTCGAATCTTCGGCTACAGTATCGTTGAGTGACTCGTGATATTCAGTATGTACTATTCGCATCGACGCAATTGTATCAATCTTGATTGCCACATTGCGGGGTCGCAGTGCTGACTGGTGAATCTTACTGCAAGAGATGATTGCGAGCAGTCAATATCGAGACACTCGCAACAATGGCTGGCCCTGCCTATCACTCAGTGTATCAGACAACCATCCATCATCATCACTCCCCGATTGTCTGCATTATCGGGATCAGCGGAGTGCAGCATCGATGCCTGAGACAAGCTTTTCTCTATTTCAATATCCCCAAGATCCCGTAATAACACTGGCAAACAAGCTACTCTGGATGCAGTAAGACGCGTCAGCAGCAGGATACAGCAAACGACCGTCCTGCAGCTCGGAGGACGTGTCAAAGTCCGAACGGGCCAACTGAAATGCGCGTCGTCCGTCGCCAGGCCACGTGACCCTATCCCCGTTCACGTGCATCTTATCAGATTGATTTGCAATCTTTTTGCGGAGCAGTGACCAGCAGTTACGTATTGGCAAGGCATCTGATAGGTGACTAAGAGAATAATCAAGCTCTGATTGGCCGCAAGCTCCGACGAGGGCCGAGCTCCACAGCTGCGCATAGACGTAATGGCCGAGAGGGGCGACGCCGCTGATTGGCCGATGGCTGAGACGCACTTGGCCGAAATCGCCATCAGCACTTTTTCGCTTTCTTTCTGCCGGACATTGTATTAAGCGTCGACTCCTCACCTGCAACTATCGCCATTCGCCTTCATTTCTCACTCTTCAATCGACTCTTGACTCTTGACTTCTTGATACTACCCTGATTCCTGAATTCTCATCAATCGATCGCGTCAACTTTATTGAACCTCAACTGCATTCCTCATACCAGCGCATCGCATCTATTGCATCCGAACTGGTTCTCGACATCTCGCACAGTTCCTCACAGCGGAACTCCGCTTCCGCTCATCAATCTTCACACCTTGCAGTACCTCGCCTTCCAGCGAAGCCCTGCAATTATCATCACCACACATCAAGTCGCATCTCGACTCCAGTCAAATCACCTCAATATGTTCTCCAGAGGCCTCCGCGTCGTCTCAAGGCGAGCCATTGCCGCTCCCCTCGCCAGACCTTCTCTCGCCGCTCGCCAGCTCGCGCCTGTCGCACCCGTCCAGGCCAAGCGCTCGTACCACGAAAAGGTGCTGGACCACTACTCGCGCCCCCGGAATGTCGGCTCGATGAACAAGAGCGACGCTGATGTCGGCACCGGTCTTGTCGGCGCTCCCGCCTGCGGCGATGTCATGAAGCTGCAGATCCGCGTCGACCCGGAGACACAGAAGATCTCGGAGGTCAAGTTCAAGACTTTCGGCTGCGGCTCGGCCATCGCCTCCAGCAGCTACCTGACCGAGCTTGTGCGCGGCATGAGCCTGGACGATGCCGGCAAGGTCAAGAACACCGAGATTGCCAAGGAGCTGTGCCTTCCCCCCGTTAAGTGTACGTATATCACCGATTATCCTGCCATCTATCCTATTTGCCTTGAGTCTCCGTGATGCTAACCTTTTGCCTGCAGTGCATTGCTCCATGCTTGCCGAGGATGCCATCAAGTCTGCCATTTCGGACTACTACACCAAGAACCCCTCACGGAAACCCACCGACCTGAGCGGCACCAGCATGAAAATGCCGACGTCCGACGCCGTTGCGGCCTGAGCTTACCGTCACATTGGTGAGATAGGACACGACGCAAATGAAAAAAGCAAAAAAACAAATTATCCGCTCTGTTTTCTTATACCAGCGATGGTCGGCATGAATTGGTGGGGAATATCGCAGTCACTCTGATTTTGTGACGAGGGTGGAAAGAGAAAAAGCCCAGATTGGAAGACCTTCTTTCATCAAGATGCTGTCTTTTGATTTACGCCATGCCTCTTTTTTATTTCAAAAGCGGTTACACGGTACCGGAGATGAATAATGGAGCGTGTCCACCACTGAAAATTGAGCACTCAGTGGTGTTGGGGTTACAAAATCGATGTATGGATGTGCGTTGCTTTAGCACTTTGGGCATATGTTGTTGATGAGGAGCTTGACAAAGGCAAGGAGGAACGAAACCTGTAAATCAGAAGCTGAAACAAAAAAATATTTGATATCCTTGACAACCTGTCAACTCAATCTGCGTCCTTCCATCCATGCATCTCTACGACTCCCACTCATCCATCGCCACGTTGGACTCACATTTTCCCCAGGATTCCATGCACTATCGGGCTCTGCTAGTCCCAAGCCGCGGCATGCGCATTACGCCGCAGCCGATTGGAAAAAAACCAAGTAAAAAGCCTCGCGCTTTTCTTGGGGGGCCCCGAAAAATCCGAGCTTGATGCCGACACATACCGCATTGGGACGGCTTATCCACACTTGTTTAATAACCAGGTAGAGTTCCTTTACAGCGATGGCTGTTTAGCTGTGCTCAGTCTGTGACATGGGAGGTTAAAGATTACACTTGGAGTTTCAGCTGTAATGTATCAAGTTGTTAATAGAGCACTTAACTATGAGCGGAGCTTGATAACTTATGGTATAAGAGATTGGTGCTTACCTACTGCATAGGTATATAAGAAAGAATTTGGCTGCTATGGTCAATGGGTATGGCTGAGAAGAGGAACAGGGTCCGAGGACCCGATATCACGACTACCAACTACCTCTTATTACATATGTATATACAGCTTTATACAAAACAACCATCTCTACCAATGATCCCCTCAAAAAGGTCTCCTCGCCTGATGCGCCCCATGCAAACCAAGCGGAATCGCAAAATCCGCCTCCGCCCTCCCCATCTCCTCCATCGTTCTCGCATCCAAGCACAGCAGATACGACTTCTCCAGCGTCCCGTCTAGCACCACCGAGAGCAGCACCCCGTCGTCCTCGTCCGTGCCTCCCGGCCGAGGCACAAAGATGGCTTCGCCGGGGGAATGCCCCTTGGGACCGCTCCATATGAGAGTGGCCTTGGTGTGCAGGTCTGTCTTGGCGATGGAGTCGGCGAAGACGTAGAGGCCTCTGTTGGTTACGGTGTAGACGTATCGGTATGGCTGGCCGGCGAGCTTGGGGTTGATGGTGGGAAGCTCGCCGACGTGAGGGGTGGGAATGGAGAGGACCTCTTCGGCTACGGCAGATGCCTTTTCCTTGGACGATTGTGGCTTGGACGGGAGGCGGAAGCGATATCGCGAGAGACGGTTCTGGGTGGTTTTGTAGAACTGCTTGTCGAGCATAGTCTTCTTCGTCGCATCGTTTCGGTCAAGGAGAATGTCGTAGTAGAACATGCGCATGATGTCAGTGTTGTTGTACGAGATGGCGTCCATGCAAATCTCTGTATGGCTATTGCCGCTCTCGTCCTCGACCACCTCCTCAAACGCATTCGCTGAGTGGAAGAAGAACCCAGCCGGAGTCGAAAATTCCGCCACGACGCCCTTCCCCTGCCTTCGGTCCACCACCGCCCACCTGCACGGAACAGAGGGATCAAACGGCTTAATGGCGTCGAGAATGTTCCTCTCCCAGAGAATCTTCAAGCCACCCCACGCAAATTGCGTTGACTGGACGCAGAAGACAATATAGTTTTGCGTCATGAAGAAGCTGTGCATGTACGCCGCCGGAAAGTCCTTGCTCGAAATGGTGGCAAGAATGTCGGTTGTCCCGTCATGGGCGTTGACCCGGAAGATGCGGTACGTCGGATGAGGCCCGGCTAGCTCCAGGTTGAAGTTGAACATGTCTCCCGTCTCGGGATCGCGCTGCGTGTGAGCGCAAGAAATTGGGCCCTTCAGGTCAGGATGGAGAGACGTCTGCTTGGCGTTGCCAATGGGCTCCAGTGTCTTGGGGTCGAGCTTGCTCACGGCCGAGCTGTCGGTGAGCACGTACAAGGCCTTGCCCTTTGACGAATCTCCCTGCTCAACGTCATCGCCGCCGGGCATATCTGGAATGACGGCGACGTTGGTGTTGCTCTTGCCAGGGACGAAGACGGTCATGACCTTTGCAAAGATTCCAATACAGGGGTCAGCCCGCTGAGCAAAGGTGACGCTCGACGGCCAGCCCTTCTTTTTGATCTCAGCAACGGCTTCATCTGAGTGTCGCCGCGAGGAATACGTCACAGTTGCGCTGCCACCGGCCTCTGAGGGCGGGATAATGTCGAATCGATGGCTATGGGCGATGCCGTCAAACCAGTGGGAGATGAAGTGGGTGCCCCTGACCGTGCCCTCCACTCTGTCCAGACCTGGTCCGGTTCTGAACAGAGAGCCAGCAGCCCATGATGGGATGGTGCCCTTGACCGTCAGCTGGACTGGTCCACGATGCTCCTCTAGTCCTTCAAACTGTAGTGTTGCATTGTCAGCCGATGGAGCTGCATAATGCGAGGGTGAGAGATGAAGCTACCTGAGCCTTCGATGGCCATTCCTTCCATGCTTGGTTTTCCCAGTTGGTGAGTCTCTGCTGCACGTCGTTGTCTGTATCCTCCGCCGTGCGAGAAATGACTCCCTGGCTGTTAAGCGCCATGGCTGATAATGATCTCGGGAGCAGTGGGTTGAATAGGGGGCGTTGATTTCTGCTTGAGGGCACAGATAATCGCAAGTGGTTGTGTAGTGCCGCCAAGCTGGGACGGCCGCGCATAGGCGGGACTATTGAGGCACTCGAGAGGGATGAGAACGTGAGTGACTCAAGTGCAGTTGTTGTAGATTTGATCGTTGAGCATGACAGATAGTTTCCATCGTTGCATGGGAGGATCCCTCTCGTTATATACCTGACGGCTGGGACAGCACCGTCACAAGCTACCCAGGTGAATGCGCTGACTTACACGACGGGCCACGTAATTGTGCCGCAAATCGCATCGCCTCGTCTGCCCTTGGCGCCGAAAGAAGCACCATCTCGTCGCCAGATTACAGCTTGTCTCGCCCCAGAATGAGAATCCGACGATGGGCTTCAGCAGCCTCCGCATCTCACTCACCTCGCGCCACCCAAAAATGGCACCCAATCAGGAGACAGGGACAGGCATCTCCAGGACCGGGGACTGCATGCAAGCTCCGGCAGCCACAAGTTCATCCTGGCCCACATGGCGTCGAGCGCAAGCGAATGCGAGCTTCAAAATGCTGTCATGTCGTTGACATCGACGTCTTTCAATATTTAATCGAGCCTGAGCAACTGCGGGCTGTTACAAGCAGCGGTAGCACCAAGCTGGCAGTTGGAGCGGCATTCGTCTTGTTTGCAAGAGCTCCCAGTAGATGGAATTGTGATCTTGGGATTCGAAGTGCGCTGAGTCTTCTCGTGAAAATGTAGCCGGGTATCTCAAGTGTCCAACATGAGCTACCTTGAGGTAGTCTTGACATGGATCGAGTTTCAACGACAGCACCGCATTTTTACCACCTGTCCAAGCTTCCAACAGACACGACATGCCATTCTGAACAAGAGACGAAGCGGCTGCCAAACTGACCCTGCCTGGAAATTAACTCAGTCAGATGCTGGACCAAGATTCCCGTTTAGGCAATGAATTCGAGGGTTGTCAGGGCTAGTCACGCTATCATTGCGCGCAACCCCTGTATAGTGTATCATGGCCGCAGGACACATCCATCACCAACATCGTGTGTTCGTATGATGTGCAGCTTTCTCCCTGGCTAATTGACTGCTTTCTGGTGTTTCTATAGTGAGGTGCCAGCTGTCATGGGGCGGAGGTTCGAAGACTTCATGGAGTCTATCCAGGGTTTGGTGTACGATGTCCCCCCCAGTTGGAGACGGGGTCGCATTTGCCTCGCTTAGCACTTCCGCATTCACCCAGTGTCATCGTTGGCTGGCCTCACCTCTTGAAGGATCAATGCCAAGCCTTGATGAGTGTCCTCTCTCTCCTCGTATTGCATTGGCGCTTGAAATAAGTGTCGTTAGCTGCAAAGGCGAGACAAGAGCCAATTGCATGCAAATGCATATCGGCTAATCTCGAGACCATCTGCACCGTTAGACGTGCGATGCGATGCGATGTGCTTCGAAGTCGAACGCAACAGTGGCCTGACTTAGATGTAGGTGATGGCAATGGCTGAGTCTGGAGTCGCTCGATCGAGTGCTGCAGGAATGCACATTCGTGATTGCAGTCACCATACCGCATTGTCCGAGATGTTCCGTGCGACATCTGGCTTCGCGTGAACGTGCTCCGCGGCCACATTTTCAGGATGGGAAAACACGCCCGTCCGCCAGGAACTCTTCAATGTGCTTCTTCCTTGCCGCCGCCAGCGCATTGAGCTCTACACGCCCCGAATCTTGCGGCGCATCCGGGTTCGGCAGCTCGCTGACCCGGCCGACTACGCGCGCAAGCAGAACGCGCATCCTCTCGAGCTCCTTCTCCACGGGCCCATCGCGGGTCACTAGATTCTCCTGGACGCCGACGCCGTCCGTGGTCCGAAAGGGCTCGACTGACTTCTCGAGGGCCCGAAAGCGCTCAACTCTCTGTCTCAGCTCTTTGCGTCGTTGGCTGAGGTCGGCTAGTTGGCGAACCGTCTCCGCGTAGCGGTTGGCTTCCATAGGATAGGCATCGACATCCTTGTGAGACGGCCAGGCGGCGGGAAGTGATTCAATGGCATTCTCGTCGACTGCGAAAGAATGTTGTCAGACATTATCCTCGCGCTGATGCTCTTTGAGTGTTGTCAGACAGCAGCAGCACCTACCTAGATCAAGCTCTCGTCCAATCCCGCCTCCAGCATCGTCCGGGTTGCCCAGCCTCCGCTCGGCGTCCCTCGAATACAAGTTGCTGATCTGCTCGGCCACGTGCCGGCTTGCCTGGGGCGCATAGACGCGGCGACAGTGCTGCTGGATTGTGCGATTGACGCTTGCGACGGCATCGTCGACGAGGCGGTTGGGAATTGCATGCTCAGACGCGTCGTTGGAGGCGCGCCAGGCTCGAGACGGCGCAATCGGCTGGGAGAGGAGGTTTGTCTGCGCAGAGACGAAAGTCTGCTTGACGGAGGAGATTGTGGGAGCGGGAGGCATCGGATGTGGGCGGTCGGTTCTGTGGTGAAGATGCTTAGAAGAAGTTGTCGCGATCAGTGCTCGAGCTTGCACAAGCTGTGGAGTGAGCCCTGGAGCTCCCCACTGGTTGATAGCGCATCTACAGGGGCTCCATGGCGGGGTTTGCGGGTAGTACTACCAACCATCTGGGACTCCACGGTCTGGATCAATGCTTTTTCAATCATCTGGTCTTCGAGTATCGTTTGTTCAGCATTCTGCAGACGATCGCACCTTGCCTTATTCTTTTTGTAAAGTATAGGGATCGATGAAGCTGTTGTTCAATCCCGTGTGTTGATGATTTTGTTATCAATTACGAAGTATAGCCTCTACAACCAAGTCTATCGTGCTTCGTTCGATCTACAACCAGACACTCACCATTCATACATACCTACCTTACTTAAGGTAAGACGACGGACACACGTACTGGAAGCACAGGCAACAGGCAGAACCCCATATCCCAAAGTCAAACTCATCTTGGACATACCTCCATTCATGCTGGACATTCCCCAGAGATGATGCGATCACAGTCACAACTGAGGGTAACGAGGTCGACAACACAGGCGCTGAAGAAACAGCCTCATGCGGTGCCACGTCTGACACGGCCCCAAAAACCCTCAGCCACTCCGACGCTGTTTGAACCAATTGCAATCGGGGACAAGCAATTAGCAATTACCATGGCCCTCCTGAGTGGAAGTGGCTGCCTGCAAGCTGCAGACATCATTGATGTGAAGGTACAGAAACCTTGACTGATGTCTTGTGTTGGCCAAAGCGTGCAGCCGGACGGTTGGTTTTACGATGGGAGGCGACACGGACATTCGCTATATAGGTATTGTTTCATGGCCTAATCCAATGCACACATACCCAATCATACTACTATTGAACTCAAGACTCGCGATCCATATTTGAATAGGAGCGGTAGAAAAGGGCGACTCATATGGTTGAGTGTGTGTGTATACATGCTGCCAGAGCGATGGCGGGTTAGGCCCTGATTGGGTTGAAATGTGCATTAGAGGTGCTGCAGGACATGCAGCCTTGCTATCCATTCTTTTCTCGCATTCTGATTCTAATTCTGATTCTGATTTCTTTCTTCCTTCCATTTGCCAATTGAATAATCGCGAATTGAATCACCGTCATTGCAATTCCATGAACCAGCGCTGCGTTCGGGGTACCTCACGAATGGTGACACCACGTCGACTGAGACCTGCGAGACATCAATTCAGACCTCCGCCATAGACTCGACGCCTAATTCTCCTACGCGAACGTCTGTTACATCCGCCGTTCCGCAACCATAAACAACCGGCTATAAGCGCGAGACATTTTCGGCCATCTTCGCCATGGCCCCAAGACGAGCAGTTGCCGATGCCTCACCGAGCTCGCAACGCCGACTCCGGCTCTCTGAAGACCTGCCACCTCAAGGTCACCGGATCTCCCGTCAGAGAGACCAGAGATACACGAGAAAAGAAATACAGCGGGCAAAGATTCTACTGGAAAAACATTTGTGTTCAGAAAAAGAAGAGACGGATACAGATGCCGACACCGATACTGACGCCGACACGCGGTGGGAGCGAAGAACTCGTGGAGACGCAAAGGCGTTGTGGGTCGAGCAGCTTTATCGCTATGAGGAATTGTGATTCCATGGCGAGGCATCCTTTCCTCAGCCCAATCTGCAGTCTGTCTGACGGACTGGTTGCCACGATAACCTGGTCTGCACGGATGTCCAGCAGACAACAGTCTTTAGATGACAACTTGCTCCCACCTCTTCATACGGTCTACCGATTGAACGAATAGCGTTTATTGAGCAAGAAATGATTCATGATCAATGTCATTTTGTTATCCGTTCCTGTGCAATGTGATGCTGTTGTATACGGTCGCCATTCTGATGCAAGACTTCGGATACCTGGGACTGCTTCGTGGCCACAGTGAAGGACTCGACGAAGATTGCACATCAATACCCACCTAGATCCTATATATGTTTATAATGGATGTACTTCCATCATACCTAGTTCCAGGGTCTTACAGTACATACATACAGATGGGAAGATGCGATAAGGGGCAGTCTATGTACTTGCATACACAAGCGCTCCCCAGAATACCACATGCACTTACGCTTTATAGGCATGCACTCTGCCTTGGGTCCCACAACATGAAAGCTGCCGCAACTTGACTGGCGGGATGAACTGATCGGAATCGCCCCAGCAGTCTGACCCTCTCCCCCGCTCTCTGCCAGATGCCTTGGGAAGAGTTCAAGAAGACCATCAGCGTCCAGGCAGACCAAGGTCATTGACGAAGTAAAAGACCAGTATCTTCTACCCAGAACAACGCCCTCTATTATATGGGCGGCCAACCGATACGGCAATGGCAGACGCTCTCGGGCTCTTCGCCAACATAATTGCAGTGGTTGACCTCTTCATCAAAATCGGTGTGCAGTGCTCTATATACTGTTCAGGCGTCAAGTACGCCCCTCGTGATATTCGGCAGATACTGAACGAAGCCGACAAAACCACCGCAACCTTAGAAGACCTCAAGCGTCTTCTTGCTAGTCCGAATGGCGCAAGACTTTCTTCGTCGCAAAGAATCCTCCGAAGCATAGGGGATGCTCGCTTGCAGCTACAAGACCTCGCCGTCAAGCTTGAAGGAGAATTAAGGACAGGAACGGGAGCGAGCCTGCAGCGGTTAAGGTGGCCGCTGAAGAAAGAGCAGGTTGCCGGCATAATCAGTCAGCTTCAGAAATGCAGGGCATCAATTGCTTTGGATTTACAGGTTGATCAAACGTACGTAAGACAGTATATCTCTTCGTGCCTCTCTATCTTACATGTACTCACGAACTTGTTCGCGACTTTTGTCAACAGTGCACTGCTTCTCAACGTACACCAGGAGGCTGTATTGGCAAAGCTCAAATCAGCCAAAGGAGCGGCATTCGATTCTCCCAGCCACGCCAACAGCTCCAGATGCTATTCCGGCACAAGAGAAGCTATTCTGGAACAGATCAAAGCATGGAGCACCAGATCAGATGCCCAGTGCATCTTTTGGCTGAATGGAGGCGCGGGCACCGGCAAGTCGACGATATCCCGGACCGTTGCGCAGTGGTTTGTGGACAAAAAGATGCTCGGTGCCAGTTTCTTCTTCAAACACGGAGAAGCTGATCGTGGTAACATGGCTCTTTTCTTCCCAACGATAGCGTCTCAGCTTATCCAGACATTCACTCAGACTGCGCCACATGTTCGAGCAGCAGTCGAGGCCGACCCTACCATCTATGACAGGTCAATCAAGGAGCAGTTCGATAAACTCATTGCAGATCCAATCAAGATGGCATCTGAGGCTTCCAAGCTACCAACGATAGTGGTTGTTGCCGACGCACTTGATGAGTGCGACAACGATGAGCATGTGAGGTTGGTCATTCACCTCCTCTCACAGACGAAGCATTTCACATCCGCCAGCCTGAAGTTCTTCGTCACCAGCAGACCAGAACTGGCCATCCGACTGGGCTTTGCGGACATCTGTGGACAATACGAAGACCTAATTCTCCATCAAACACCTCGGGTTGCCATTGAACACGACATTACGTTGTTCCTGGAGCATGAGATGGCTATGATTCGGCATGACTACAATAAATCTGTATCCGGAAACAGGCAACTGCCACCATCTTGGCCCGGTAACGACAAATTTCAGCAGCTGGTTTCCAGGTCTGTGCCTTTATTCATTTTCGCTGCAACAGCTTGCCGCTTCATCCAGGACCGAAGGATCGGTGGGCCCAAGGAGCAACTGGCGAAGATCTTGGAGCAACAGACAGGTCACGGATCGATATCTAACTTGGACGCCACCTACCTCCCGATAGTAAACGGACTCGTGGCAGGGCTTTCTGATGCTGAGAAGGGTTTTGTTTCCGAGCGGTTCAGACGCATCGTCGGCTCTATAGTCACTCTGGCGAGCCCTCTTTGCGCACCGTCTCTCGCCCGTCTTCTGGATATCCCCCTTGAGACGCTAGAGGATCAGTTAGATCTGCTGCACTCCGTTCTTTACATTCCCCCGGATGCTCGCCAGCCAGTACGAATACTACATCTCTCTTTCCGCGATTTCCTCGTTGATCCAGCCAAGGCCAATGAGGCAGACAGACATTCGCTGTGGATAGACGAGCGAAAAGCCCACCAAATATTGGCAACGCGTTGTCTAGAGCTGCTCTTGGAAGAAGGTACTCTGAAGAAGAACATTTGCGACCTGAAACTGCCAAGCACTCCGCGATCAGATGTTAAACAATCGGCCCTCCAAACCGCCCTACCATCTGAGGTGCAATATGCCTGTCTGTACTGGGTTTTCCACTGGAAGGAGAGTATGGACAAAATCGAAGATGGTGGGCTGGTCGATCGGTTTTTGAACAAGCACTTGCTGCATTGGCTGGAAGCCCTCGGCTTGATTGGACGAACCGCGGAAGCAATCGGAATGGTAAACGATCTGATGAGATTTGTTCATGTAGGATATTTTCCGCATCTTTGTTGATATACAGCCCATCATGGTAGAGCTAACAATTGTTTGATACAGCCCGAAAACGGTGTCTTTACCTCACTACTCCTTCGAGATGTTCGACGAATTATCCTCAGCAATCGGGCCATCATAGACATATCGCCTCTTCAAATTTACTACTCGGCCATTGTCTTCGCGCCGGAACATAGCATTGTCAGAACCCGGTTTCAAAGCGAACTACCTCCCTGGTTGACCATATCGCCGCCAGCCGCTTCCAGGTGGGATGCATGTCTACAGACGCTTGAGGGACACGGGACCTTTGTCAGCTCAGTTGCGTTCTCACATGACTCAAAGATGCTCGCATCGGCATCTTGGGGCGGTACGGCTAAGATCTGGGATGTTGCATCCGGCATCTGTATCTCAACACTTCGGGAGGCCATCTCGAAACCTCAATTCTCGCACGTTGCATTCTCGCATGATTCGAAATTCCTTGCTTCAACAACGCCTAATAACGACATTGAGCTCTGGGATGCTGTAACCAGCACTTGTGATAAGATTCTCAAAGGCCACCACAGCGTCATCAGATCCATCGCTTTCTCACATGACTCTAGAATACTTGCGGCGGCGTTTCAGGACTGTATTATCAAGCTCTGGGATACTATAAGCGGCATCTGCACTTTCAAACTCAACGGTCATAGCAAGTCCGTCGATTCGATCGCTTTCTCGCAAGATTTTACAACGCTTGTGTCAGCCTCAGCGGACTCTTCCATCAGATTCTGGGATGTCGCAACCGGTGATTGTAAAACAACGATCAAGGTCGCCGATGATGCTTTCTGGACGACCGCCTTCTCCCACGATTGCAGGATACTTGCATCAGCATCAAGCCCATACAGCAATTGTATCAGACTATGGGAGACCACCAATGGTGAATGTAAATCAACATTGAAGCTCCATGGCGATAGAGTTATCTCGGTCTGTTTCTCTCATGATTCTAAGATGCTCGCATCGGCGTCTGGCGAGAGCGATGTCAGACTCTGGGATATTGCGACAAGCACAAGTATAGCCGTCTTCAAGGGTCACGCTGGAGGAGTCTTGGGATTTACATTTTCTCACGATTCCAAGCTACTTGCAACGGCGTCGACTGACAACACCATCAAAGTATGGGATATTGAGGCTGACGTTGGCCAAATACCACTTTCACCGTGAATGACAGCTTGATCGGTGGCATCAAGCTGGTAAAGGGGACGAATACACTGATTACAGAATCCAAAGATGAAGTAATCCAGCTATGGGATGTTCCAACAGCCTCCCGCATAGCAACTCTGACTGGATGCAGTGCCTGGCCATTCTCGATTGCAGTTGCACCCAATTCCGAAATGCTCGCGTCTACTTCAATTGCGAATGATCGAATCCAGCTCTGGAACGTCATGACCGGAGCTGAAATAGCTACAATAGAGGGTCACAATAGTCCAGTTCTCTCAGACGAGTCATGGCGTGATGATGCATCAAATCCGCTGATGTCTGAGCGTGGCGGCTGTCGGTATATCAAAGTCTGGTCTCCAAATGAGAATAAGTACAGCCCGTATGGGGGTTGGTACTCGGCAATCAGCGCAATCACAATCTCCCATGACTCTCGGTTGCTCGCTTCAGCATCGGCAGTTGATGGAATCATCAAGGTGTGGGACGTCGGCTCAGGCGACTGCATAGCTACACTCACTGGGCATTCCAACTGGGTCAACTACCTCGCATTTTTACCACAATCAGATGTACTTGTATCATCGTCGGGTGATCGCACAATTAGGATTTGGGAGATTTGCACTGCTTCCTGCTCAGCAACACTCGAAGGGCAAAGTGAACCCTATACAGAAGCAATCGCCTTGTCTCACGACTACAATATGCTTGCATCAGGGAAGGACGATGGAAGTATCGAAATTTGGAATGTCTCGAAGAGAGACCTCCAAATACGATTTCGAGGGGCAAGTCAGAATCCAGTACATATACTTGCCTTCTCACGCTGTTGCTGCTTGCTTCAATAGCATCGCGGCAGCGGGATGAAGAACACTTTTATAAGTCGCATTATACGCTTGAGTTTTGGAACGTCTCAACTGGCCAGTGCCTAGCTACGGCCGACATTCACTTTCTTGCTCTGCATTGCATTTCTTTCGACAAAGCGGGACCCTGTCTCTCTACCAGTGTTGGCAAATATACACTGAACGGTACGTACGACTCAAAGGACAGGCAAACGCCGCTGACATGAACAGGGACCCGAACAGGAGCAATGCTATCGGATGGGGTAGTAGGAGATTCGCTACTTCTATCTTCCGGTAACTTTTATATTAGCCGCCAGGGTATTGGCCTCAGCGAGGACTCAGAGTGGGTTATGTGGAAGGGGGACAGAATGATATGGCTCCCGCCAGCCTATCGACCATCTGGCAGCGCTGTAATAGACTCGACACTGGCTATCGGATGCTCCCAACCACACCCGGTCTTCTTGAAAATTTCCCCTGACCTCATCCAGCTCGAATATCAGAACCTCACTGATGCATAGACGATGCAATCTGATGCATTTTAAGGATGTTGATATTTTTCCTATGAACGTGTTCTCCCAATGCTGCGAAGGGACAGGATGGCCTGACGCACAGATGCTGAGTACTTAGTCCTTTGGAAACTTTTTGAACGCATCCATGAGTTTATCAAGTGGTGCAGAGAGGAGCCCAACTACAGTCTCGAACGGTGGCTTACCTGGGGCGGAAGGGTGGCTGTGAGTGGGCACAAACTTCTTGGTCCTTTGAAAGCTCTTAGCAAGCTGCCGAGACTCGTCTCCAGACACGGCTTGTTCCAGCTTCGGCAGGTCTTCCTCTTCTTCCTCCCTTATATGCTGCTTCAAATCGGTGTAAAGGCTCTTTAACGTGGGGATGAAGTCTGGGTCTTTGGCGGAGAGCTTCTGGAACTCGTAGAGCTTCTCTTTGACCTACAGTATTCCACCTTGGTTAACTATCGATCAAACTTAGAGAGATATTATAGTGCACCTTACCTTTTGGTGCTCCTCACGGTCTTTTTGAGCAATCTGCTGGCCATTGATGAGCGACTTCTCAAACACTGGATACACGACTAGCTCTTCGCTGATGGAATGGCGGGCAAGTTCCCAAACGAATTGGTTCTGATATCTCGTCTGCTCGTCGAGATCTTTCGATTGGGTGATGCGGTTGTAGTAGTCCTCTAGCTCGCGGTGGTCCTTGACGATGGCGTCGCTGATGCGGCTCATGAGGAGTGGCGTGGTCGAGAAGCATCTAGGTTGGATTTGACGAGTGACTCGACTCGCGAGGCAGAATGCTTGGGTTCTGAAGAGGGACATTTTGGAGGATTGCTATGGTTGGAATGGATAGAGCGGCTAGACTGTGGTGATATTCGGATGATAGATATGATCGAAATGATTCGGATCCTTTGAACTGTTGTTGGTGGAGGACACAAGATCACTGTCTCATAGTAGTGATCAATTTCGCCTCTGATTTCTGGCCCAAGATCTTTCACGTAATGATGAGCTGCCGTTCTAGCATCGCCCGAAATATCGAGCTGTCATGGGCTTACAGGATGGGCGTTGGACCGAAGCCAATCCGGGTGCCCTTCCGGATTGCCACCCTCTAATCGCCGCATTTGCGTTTGATCATTTCCTTGAAACCGTGCTATTCATTCAGGGCATCTCCTCCAGGGATGACAGAGCAGACTTATGCCGGGCGAATCTGTTAGTTGCTTTTAGCGTAATGGTGATGCGGAGAAAGGCTGCAAGAGAAAAAGAAGCTTTAGATTATGCGTACAAGTTCGTTGGGTGACGTCCGCTTGAGGTAAACAATCTTACCGAGAGATCGACGATCTGCGGCGACTATATTATATCTTGTATTTCCTTGGATTAGAAGCGGTGCCATTGGCCACCTGGACGGGATGTTACAAGGCCAAGTGTGTAAGGATCAATTGCATGGCTATGATTGGTTCCAATGTTCATGCTTTTCGTCGCTACTACATGTACTAACCAGCCGTGAATTGCATCTCCGAGGTGGTCCAAGTGTTCGTATTCATCTCAAGCTACCTAATACAATGCAACATACACATACTCGTACAATCTCTCTCGACTACGGCCGGGCTGCGCATTATTCAATGCTTTGCCTTTTTGCGAGGCCGAAAGTCGGCAGAATACGATTTAAAAAAGTCATTCGGCTCCGTGGGATGAGTCCCCGTCACATCATGGAAGGCCGTCGTGGCGATATAGTTCGTCTTGCCCTCGCGGACTAGGCTGTAGTACTCCAGGATGAACTCCTTTTCAGACTCGTCGCTTTCACTCTGAGAGGACAGGACTCTCTTGGCTTCGCGTCTTTGCTCAGTGTTAGTCGACAGCGGAGTTACACCCGTGGAAATGCGTGGTTGACTTACTCGGAGATGTTTTCGAACTCAATGTTGACTGCCAGCGCTTTGCTCGCTGCCTCGGCCAGCTCTTTTCCGGCGCATAGTTGCGGTCCGGTAACAATCATCATCTGGCCTCGGTGCCTGTCATCAAACCCATGCTTGCCTTTGCCGGCAAGGACATGAGCAGCTACATGGGCAATGTCCTGCAGAAGCCGATTAGCATTATGCTGGGCGGGTTGGGCACAGTTTGACTCACGCCCAGCGCAACGGGGGCAAACTTGTGATTCTCCCCGATTGGCAGCGGGAGCACCCCGTCTGCCTTGGCCTGCTCTGAATATAGCAGCAAGTTCTCTGCGTAGAATCCAGCACTGCAGATGTGGCACCGTCAGTATTTGTGTGATTTCGTTTATCCACAGCATTGGAGAACAAACCGAATCACGCAGGGTGAATGGCCGAGGGGCGTATCGGGATCCCCCTTGCTAGCCAAGACCGCGCTTTCAATGTCGATGAACTCTCTCAGACGAGGCTGCCTCTGGCTGTCCGCATAGTCACAGCCGGCAGAGCTGATGAGGAGAACGTTAGCCACGCCCGCCTTCTTGGCAGCACTTGCAAGCTCCATGGTAATGTCCAGCTTGTCGCGGTGGGCGGGAGGAACCAGGCAGATGGTGTCGCAGCCAATATCCTTGAGGGCCTTGACCATGGTCCGCTCGCGGCCGGGTTGATGGTGGACAAGCTTGCCTCCCAGCTCGGTGAATTCTTGCGCCCGTGGCGAGGAGGTATCCAATGCCAGGCCTGTGATGCTGCTGATTTGGCGAGCGAACTTGCCCTCTTTGAGGAGCAGCTCGGCGATGAGGAAGCCGGTTTGGCCTTCGACGGCCGTGATGCAGATGTTTCGGGACATTTTGCTATGCGACTCAATCAGATGCGGTTTACATTCCACTTTCGCGATATGTTGCGTAGCAAGCGGTCGATGCTAATGGGTGATATTATAGTTGTGGGATATACGGAGTAAGTAAATGCACGGTGTGTTTCAAGGCTCAGCATCGTTGGTTTTGTTTACTCCAAAGCCCGACGTCACTGTGATCGATTCCGTTGCTGCATGTAAGAAGAGGGTGCCCGTGAAAGTTTGCCGCCGATTATTCGTGATTGACATCATGTGTCTGGCGGGAGATTCACTCCGGCTTCTGACAGGGATTGCTTTGGCATGCAGCTACCCTTTTGTGGTGACGTGTTGGAAACACATTTAGTAAATAGCTGCCACCATGCAAAATACGGGAGCTGGCAATGAGAAAGGGGAGCACAAGTCCAAATGGAAGACGTCGTAGATGACACAACCATGATTGAGGGCTTTACACGAGATCCTCACCAGCTCGTTTTGAGGGTGAGATCTGGTCTCATAAGTAGGGGGCGAACTCTGCAGTATCCCGAGACTTTGTTGGTCTCATCGCCTCATCTATCGCAGCCTATTCACCAACAGTCTCAGAACGCCTCAATAAGGAATTCACCACGATGGAAAGTAGTAATTCCAACCAGTTTGATCCCCGTCAGCATCCCCTGAAAGCAACCGCAGCCGCCATTGGCGCGGGCGTGCAAGGGGAGCGTCGCGCACCTCGCATGAGCCACATGCAGAGCGCGAATGAAGGGCCTGCGGATATCATTGCCAAGGTATCCGGTGTTGTGTCTGGCGGTAAGAGGGAGGATGACGGCCTCTACTTTACCAACAATGAGGGAATTCCGTTTCCCGATCCGTAAGTCGTGGTTGGCTGAGTGGCTGGGTTAGGTGATTGACTTACACGTGGATAGTGCCCATAGCAAGACTGTCGGAGGAATCCCAGTTGCAAGTGATGTGTTTCTCTTCCAGTAAGTAGGCCGGATACAATGCTTTAAAGCTGTGATTGACGATTCATAGGAAGCAGCAGCATTTCAACCGATCCAAGCCATTGGAGCGTAAGTACACATACCCACGGGCTGATAGCCATCAGGAGAGACCTACTTACATGTCCTTATAGGAATGGTTCACCCTTGCGGCTCTGGAGCTTTTGGCTACTTTGAGTGCACTCAGGATGTCACCGACCTCACCGTACGACATGCCCCTTCCACTCCTATGAACGATGAAGCAAGACACTAATGATTCGTCTTGGACCACCTAGAAAGCCGACTTCCTTTCCAGCCGTGGTGAGAAAACGCCCGTCTTTGTGCGATTCTCTACCGTGACTTTTGGTCGCGAGTTCCCAGACCAAGGGCGAAACCCGCGCGGATTTGCCATCAAGTTTTACACCACGGAGGGCAACTATGACATTGTTGGCCTCAACTTTGTGAGTACACGCAGCAGGTAGATATCTCAATTTGCTGAAGCTGACTCTTTGTAGCCCGTGTTCTTCTGTCGAGATCCCATTCAGGGTCCCGATGTCATTCGCTCCCAGAGCCGTAACCCAAGGAACTTTCTCCTGGACTTTGATGCCCTGTTCGATCTCCTTGCCAACACCCCAGAGGCCAACCACGCGGGGCTTATGTTCTTCAGCGACCATGGAACTCCTTAAGGCTGGCGTTTCAACCATGGATATGGCTGCCACACCTTCAAGTGGGTGAACAAGAACGGCGAATTTGTCTACATCAAGTACCACTTCATCGCCAAGCACGGACAAAAGACCTTTACCGACGAGGAAGCCGTCGCCATGTGCGGCAGAGACCCGGATTATTCCAAGCGCGATCTCTGGGATGCAATTGAGCGCGGCGAGGAGATCGAATGGACTGCTTATGTGCAGGTGATGCAGCCCGACCAGGCAGATCCCGATAAGCTTGGCTTCGACCCCTTTGATGTTACCAAGGTCTGGCCGAGGAGTCAATTCCCCATGAAGGAGTTTGGCCGGCTCGTGCTGAACAAGAACCCGGAGAACTTCCACCGCGATGTGGAACAGGCCGCTTTTTCACCTGGCAGCATGGTGCCAGGCATCGAGGACTCTCCGGATCCGCTGCTTCAGTTCCGCATGTTCTTCTACCGTGACGCTCAGTACCATCGCATCGGTGTCAACTTGCATCAAATTCCGGTCAACTGTCCTTTCATGGCCAAGTCGTATGCGTCGCTCAACTTTGACGGCCCGATGAGGACGGACGCCAATCATGCCGGCAACAAGCAGTACGCTCCCAACAGCTTTGCGCACAAGTTCCGGCCCGACACGGCGGAGGCGCCGTATGCTGTCAGCGATAACATTGTTAGCCGGAAGAGCCACTACTGGCACGAGGGTAAAAAGAATGACTACGACCAAGCGACGGAGCTCTGGACCAGAGTTATGACGCCTCAGGAGAGGGAGAATACGTGCAAGAATACGGCCAAGTATCTCAGCCTCGTGAAATATAAAAATATCAGGGTACGTTGAAGATGCGAAGTGATGAGATGAAGTGTTTACTGACGAGTCTTATGTATCAGTCTAAGTATCTCGCTCAGCTCTACAACATCTCTCCCGACTACGCGACTGGCGTCTTCGAACTTCTCAATGAAACCGAGTTTGACTTGAACGAAGTCAAGAGCCTGGCAGAAACAGCCCAGGAGTGGTACAAGGAGAAGAAATTTATGCCTTCTACTGGGGAGAAGTTGATGGGTAATGTCCCTGGGATGCCTGTGTATAATAATATGTGAATGTATTGATGTGAACAAAAGACTTGACATTCTATCATTATCCGGCTTCTGGTATATAATCGATGAAGAACAGCACATGAATCTTTGTCTATCTCTCAAGATTCCTGCTTTATGAATCCAATTCCTGCCCCAATGATTCGTTCAAGGGCCGCGAGCGCTCTTTTCCTTTGAGCTGCCCTTACTTTCTCGGTCTGTGTCAAGCTGTGGTTATCTTCGCTACTCTCAGACAACTCGGTCTTGATCATAGCAAGGGCATGACGAGCACTCAGCCTCCCCGCTTCTGCACGTCCGTACGCGACGGCTGTTCTTAGAAGGTTTTTGATGGTTCGACCCTATAACGGACAGTAAGTATAACATGCACGTGCTCCAATACGATCTTGTAGGTACCAAGTGATGATGCTCACATTCAGACCCAAGTTTCCCAATTCAGAAAACACCTCATCCGTCCACGAGTCATCTGTCTGCAACTTGTTCTTGTTGATCAGATTTCGCCAGATGGCCGACTGAGCGTCTGGTGACAAAGCAGGATACGTTATTGTCACATGGATTCGACTCTTGAACGCATCGTCAAAGTCCTCTTTTCTGTTTGTCGTCAAAAAGAGAACACCTTGAAAATATTCAAGCTTCCTGAGGAAAACTGTGGCACATTACGTACATTAGCCTGGAGAATGGTGATGGGGAAAATGGTCAGACACTTCATACCTGCAACAACAGCATTTCTGTCCATTTCAGCCGAGTTGCGCTTACACAAAAGTACATCGGCTTCGTCAAGGAGGGAAACGGCGTTCCATCTCTTCGTAAGCTCAAAAATGTTGTTAAGCCGCTCTTCGACCCTATCGACAGCAGTACTAAGTTCACCTCCACTCACGGAATACAGCGGTCTTTTTAACTAGTCCGCAACACTCTCTGGGCAAATAGCATTAGTTGACGTCCACATCTTTGGAAAATGCAGGTCACCTTACCAGCTGTGAGTGTCTTTCCTAATCCAGGTTCTCTAACATTTACATTAGCGAAATATATGTGTGATGATGGACCACGTGGCAACTCACCCATGAAGTAGGAATATCAAGCCTTGTCCTTTGCCGGCTATTACATCATCGAAGGAGACAGACCCGGATTCATGACCCTTCACAAGAGACTCAATGAGGCCTTTGGTCATATGCTCAAGCCGAAGAAACCCAAAAGCATTCGTATTCCATTCAACATCCTGTAATTCGTCACTCCGGAGCCACATCCACTTCTTTTCTCCAAGCCCAAAGCCAGGTACAAGGGCTGGGTATAGAAGCTCAACATCTTCCTTTTTTATGTGGAATGTTTCAGCAACCTCTTTGGAAAGGTGGACAAGGTCCTCCTTATCGGAGGTGGTTTCTTCCCCAGATTCTTCGGTTTGCAATGGGTCCGAATGAGCCTTCAGTTCATATGCATCGACATCCTCTGCATCAGAATCGGATTCGGCATGGTAAAACCCTCGTGGAAGCTTCGACTTAGCCTTCTTTGGCTTCTTTTTAAATTCTTCGAGCGTACAATAGTACCGTCTGTGGTTGGCGATATACTGCCAGAAATCGACCATAAATCGCCCCGTGATCTGCCGGATGGTGAGCAAACTGGAAAATCTATGATGTCTAGGGATCGTGCGCTATAACCTACCTGCACGCGATCCGCAGCTCGGATCTGGGACAATCCATATGATCTGAAATCTTGGTCCCAGGCAGCTCCGGTATATGACTGAGCCCGGAATCCCAGCAGATCGTCTCCGAGAACGCTTCGAAGCTTCAAAGATCTTCGTAGAAGTGACGCGGCAGTCTCGTCCCAGTTCTTGCAGTGATCGATGGGTATCAGATCCAGTTCCGAGATTTTGCAAAGCTGCATACCACTCATTGGGATAGAATATGTCTGGCTAGCCAATCCTGGGCGTACGCCATCAAATCCGATACGCAATCCTGTAACATTCCAATAAGAAGCGCCCGTTCTAGTCTGCATGAAGGAAACATTGCGACAGATCCAACACTCTTCAATCGCTCCTTGTTTGAGGACAACTAAGCTGTTGGGAGGGTAGATCGTCCAAAGAATGTCGCCCATGACTCGACCCTCTTTGATGTTTTTCTCATAGTCTTTCACTATGCTGGAGAGATGGCCATTATCCCGAATGAAATCGTGCAGCAGCTTCATCTCACGGCGTAGATCTTCGGTCTGTGTTTTGTCATTCGCTAGGGCTTCAATTTCGTGTCTGTAGAAGAAGAGCTCGCAGAAAGGGCTCATTATCTTCATTGGGAACGATTGAAGGTCAATGTTCTGGTAACAGTTCACAATCATCTTGCGCAGTGCCGCGCAGAGAGTCTCGGACTGGATCTCCAGTTCATGTCGGATCGGAAACGATCCGTGCTTCTGCTGTACCCAAACACGACGAAGGACAATTGTATACTCATTGTATGTGGGGGCTTTTTTTGCGTTGATTGTCCTACTTCTAGGATGGAACTTCTTGAATGGAATGTATTCGACTTCTCGTCCTCCAGGACCCTCAGTGATGTATTCAACAATATCGGCGAAACCTTTTGAAGGTCCCTTAGATATCGTTTCTTTCTTCAAGACTCGACAAATCGCATTAATAAATCGCCATAGGAAGAAAAGTTTAATCAACAACAACTCACCTGTTCGCCATTTTCCTTGCTTTTGCCTTTCTCATCCTTCTCAGCGAATAGATCGGGCAGTACTGACGTGTAATCCGCAAGCGACATTGCCCTTTTCTCTTGGTTTTGATGAGACAAATCCTATAATTCTTGATTTCGAAGAATGGGGTGCTCTGTAGGGAGTCGATGCAACACTTATCCAGGACTAGGTAGGTAGTAAATATGGTATTCAGCCTCTCCCACCTTACGCAACTCTCTGTATAGTTTCGCGCGATATGGGTGATTGTAGCTCTGCTCTGATTTCCACTTCTTGACAATTAATCGGACCAATTGTAGCCGCATTATCCTGCGAGTGTCATACGCGCTTTTGCCTTGCATGGGTAAATATTCACTGCAACTGAGCCAGACCAATCAATTTGGGCTTCGGTAAGACGCAATTCTTGGCAATGACTTGCTGTTTGAGAAGACGGTTGCCTTGCAAGGTCAACGAACCTATCAAACCTTTCAATCACGCTTTCAGCTCCGACGCCTCAATACTGATGCGTTTTTAGGCATCAAAATCTGGATGCATCCCGCAATCACCAGCTGAGAGGCCTCTGCTATTGATTCACTTAGCACCTGCTGGCGTTTCTTTCAGCTGTGATGTTCTAACAAGCCTTCCTATGATGGCCTGCCACGTCGAGTGCATGAGTCTGCCACATTCTGCACCGTAATTCAGCCGCAATTGTCACCTAACCACTTCGTCTGTTGATTGACCAAGGGATCATGCAAAGAGAACCACTGTTGGGACTGGCTGAGCCTTCCGAGATAAGGCATCACCTACGGCCTTAACTTTTATCTGCAAGGGACGTGGGCTAGAGGGTCCGTGAGAGCTCTGAGGAATGATGATGTAGAGGCTTATCAAAGGATATATTTTGGTTACCTGTGGTTAAGTCATCTTAACTCATGAACCCGACATGTGGCACGCTTCCTGACAACTTCCCACCGTCAAACAATCATTACTGATCTTCTGACAGCTTCAGCCTCATCTCGCTTCTAGACACCATGGAGGCCGGAAATGGGCTCCCAAAGCCTGTGACTGCCAACACTTCGAAGCATTCGCTTAGGTCCGACTGCTTGGAGTGGCTCAGACACTTAAGGCAGCTAGAAAAAGACGCACAAGTGCCTCTCGATGAGGGTCAAGTGCCGCACAGCAGAGGCTCCAAAACCCGTCGAGCCTTTCCCTATGCCGACCTCAGCGAAAGCGACGTTTTCGAAGTGTTACATATTCATGAGCGATACAGACTGCCATCTCTAGTTGAAGATACTGAGGTAGCCGATCTACCCAACTTCGAAGACGTTACTCCTTATGACGTTACGAAAGAGCAGCAAAAGATGCTATGGGAAAAAGAAGCCTCAAGACTCGTTGCAGTTGTACAGTCGGATACTCCGCTGGAATTCGAAGGCTCATCGGATTTCAAGGCAGACTCAAAGAAATCCTATGAGCTACTGACGGACCTTGCAGCCCAAGTCTGGCTGGGAGAGTGTATTGTTACCTATGATGCACAAAGCTTGTTCTCCGAGCATTGCAAACAGCTCTGCTACAATAGTTTGCTCAGAAGAAGCCGCTCGACCATTGACTATATCTGCAACAAAGATGATGAGGATGACGACGAAGAGGATATTCGAGACAAAATGGCTCAGCGTGCGACAAAGATCGATGTGGTCAACTTCATCAACTATGTCACCGCTGTCTTTGTACGGAACTTTTGTATGGCCACAGAAGGGAAAAGCTTCCATGCCAGAATCATCGCAAATCTGGCAAGAATATCTACCAAACTAAAGGTTGTGGCAACCAGACCGCTGGAGTTTTGCCAGACATCGATTGCCAACGGCGTACCTGATAGAGGCGCCGTCGATCTCCCGACTCATTATGGAATGCGAGGTCGTCAGACTGGCATTATGAACGAGTTCAGCCAGGGGTTAGGACCGATGCCCGAGTCGGAGAGTCCGATGCTGGCCAAGCTGAGGGCCTTGGATCCCGAACGAGATGGCAATCCTGATCGGACTAGCAAGAAGGATTCATTACGAAAGATGTATTACTTCAATTGTTCCAAGCATCAAGCCATGATCCACGAAATGCTTGGTTTCGTCCTCCTCTCACTGCGGGGAGGAAACCAGCTGACGAGTGCCTCCATTTCATCATACGAGATGACTGCGATTGTCTTCAAGACTGGATTCGAGAAGTTCCCAGCTCTGGTATTCCAAGACCGTGATAATGACTTCTTGGGAACTTCTGATGCATCGAACATCAACTGTGCTCGAAGTGCATTCCACAACCTCGACCAAGCCATAAAAAAGATACAGTCTCAAATCAGACGGGATACGACATCAAGCGACGAGACGAGCACTCTCATTTCTACCAAGCCCTCTGAGGCCCCAAATCAACAGGCCGGTGAGGACGAATCGGTCGGTACCTGCATAACATGGGCTTTTGAGACAGACGACCTTCATAGGGAGAGCCTACGAACGCCAAGCAAGCTGCGACTGAATTCCATGACTCAAGTCATCAGTGTAATTGTTCCTTTCCTATTCACCAATCCAATCGCCGTTTCTATCTGCGAAAAGTTCATCTCTTTGAGCATCTTCACGGAGTTGAGTGAGGAGCGACGGCTGAATCCAGTCAAACATTCGGATTTTGACCGCTACTTTGCATTCTTCTCTTTGTCAACGAAAGAGTATAATAATTCCCAATCTGTCAGCCAGCCACATGGAGCAAAATCTCTTTCCCACTCGTTGATCCGACAAAAGACGCTGCTTTCAAGAAGGCATGATGAAAAAGAACACGTCAATTTGGACCAACTTGTCGACGACTCACGCGACTCAAAGCTGATCGAGCAATTCCAGATAAAGGTCGACGCTGATCAGAAGAAGATGAAGTCTTGGGTCTATGAAGAGAAAGGCGTCATGGTCCAATGCAAGGTTTACGTCTTCGCCATCATGTTTCTTTGTGTGATCCTTGTCATGGGTGGTATTGCATTCGGAGCCTCAGTCGGCCAACGTATCTCTGGCGTTGACCCCTTCAATGTCACATCATACTGCTGGGTTCTCGCTGCATTCATCCTCCTCATCGCCAAAAGCGTCCGCGTTCACAATTGGTCATGGAACGACTTTCTCCATGGCCGCGTGCTTTGCAAGAGTGTCTCAGAGCTGTCTTCAGTGACGGGAATCGACGACCAAACCATCCTTGTGAAGCTATTGCAGGATGAATTCTTCTCCTTCTTGGAGACGCGAGGGCCTTATAACGCAGTTTTTCGTCGGAGGTCACAGGATGACGGCTTTTCGATTGACCGACCACTGACTATGTGGACAATGCTGTTTTCTGGGCTCATCATGGTTGAAGTTGAGGTAGCCCGCGGCCGTGGTCTGGTGTGTCTTGATCTTCGTCGAGGAACCTTGCTTGATACCATCAAGCGTCTCGGCGAGCACCACGACGAAGAATCAATTTACATACACAGCAGCCAGCTACTTCATGAAGAGGGTCAACGGAGCGGGGGGGATAAAAATACTATCAGATTGAAAAAGGATAAAACATTTTGGATACAGGCTGTTGGGTTCTACAACAATAAGGATGCCAAGTTCATTTAGCTCGCTATATGTAAAATGTACCATACCGCAATGATGAAGCGATCTTTCTGATACACAAAGCGCGAGACAGTGTATGTATTGCTTGGTGGAAAACCCGGTTGATAACGCATAACCTATGCAGTGGACCGGTACCGTGGTGAACGATGGTATAGAGGTAAGATATCCTCCATTGGTTCCATGAAGATTCAACAGCAAAATGGTGTAGCCATGCGATCGTAATAAACTGCTAAAATGGATCATTCACTCGATTTGGTCGATTATTCGAGCATTGCGCCATTATTGCGAGGCTCGTGATTACTATCTGTGTCGCACTCTGAGCTCACCAAAACTATCAACATATTGCTCGAGAATTATGTCGATATGGAAGCTCAGAACTTCATGCAGTTTCACAAGACACCGCATTCGTGGATTATTTAAACAGGCAAATTTCTTGGGTGAGGCACCACTTATGAAGGCCTTTTGGTGGCAACACAAGGCTATGGCAAGGCTGCTTATTGATTCTGGTGCTGATGTTGAGGCCCAGACTACAATTATTGGCAAACGGTTTCCAACATCATTCTCATCAGGAGATGGAGCGAGATTTGGCGAAGTGGCTCAACAAGTTGAACGCCTCTAATGCCGGTACAGGGGAATAACAAGAAAGAAGCGAATTGGAACAATAACGTCAGCACATGAGGCCGGATTGAGATGTTAGTTGCTATTGCGATAGAGGTGCATGATCGTGGTCCGTAAGAAACCGAGATCCTAAGATTATACCTCGACATCGTTTCAGCATTAAATGTGTGTATAGATAGGTAACCATTATCCAAATGAACCGACTTAGCTTACTTCAACTGTCAAGGTATTTGCCTTGCGAACAGTTTTCGTGGTGTGCAACCAGCAAATAAAGGTACTCACTGGCGTAATATGTCTGGCAATCATGTCGTACTAGAAGACCAAGACGGAGCTCAACACTATATCAGTGACAAAGATACCAGGCGGTTTGATCAAGACACAGCTATAAGCACCTCATCTAGTAGATACTGAGCACATATGTACTACCTACTAGGTAGCCGGGCGATATGCAGGTGACTGTGCATGATACGATTTGCCAACTTGAATTCAGGAGAATATGAGGTTGAGGCTGTCCGATAGAACTGTGGAGGCATTTGTTTAGGTATGCTTGCTTAGGTGATCAGCGGAGATACTAGTGGGGAATGGAGATCTGATCCGATGGCTACTTATCGATAACGACTTTTTTCCTGACATTTTTTTTTCCCTTATCGTAGCCCAAGACCCGCCATCTTTTTCGCAGCGTACATAGATCGGTCGCAACTCTCCAGATACAATCGAGTCCGGATTGCAAGTTGCCGCAATCGATACATATCCTCTCTTCACGGCAAATACAGGGACTCTCTATTCAAAATGGCCGCAACCAAGCACCTCCGCGCGGAGGCCGAGGACAGCGTGGCCGAGAACCGCCCGGTCAAGAAGTCCAAGGTCGACGGCGCTGGCGACGATGCCGAAAAGGCGCGACTGAAGAAGGAGAAGAAGGAGAAGAAGAAGGAAAAGAAAGAAAAGAAGCAGAAGCTGGAAGAGTCCAAGCCTACCGAAGATGAAGACAAGAACGAGGCGCCCGTAGAGAACGGCGCTGATGAGAGTAAGAAGGAGAAGAAGAAGTCAAAGAAGGACAAGAAGGACAAGAAAGATAAGAAGGAGAAGAAGCAAAACGACGAGAGCAAAGAGCAGGCCGTCGAAGAACAGCGCGAGAGCATGGACATTGACCAAGACGAGAAGCCCGCCGAGGAGAAGAAGAAGTCCAAGAAGGACCGCAAAGCCAGCAAGCCCGCCGCGCAAGAAGCCTCCAGCGGCCGCGAATACGTCCAGACGATGAGCCTGTCCAACGTCCCCCAGTCCGAGATTGACGAGTACCTGTCCAAGAACGAGATCGTCATCACCGACCCCCGAAACACTACCGGCAAGCTCCGCCCCGTCACCGAGTTCCACCATCTCCCTTCCACCAACCTGCTGGAGAAGAAGCCGTCGCCCTTTGCGAGCTACAAGGCGCCCACGCCCATTCAGGCCGCCTCATGGCCGTCTACTCTCTCCGGCCGCGATGTCGTCGGTGTGGCTGAGACGGGATCCGGCAAGACCATGGCTTTCGCGCTTCCCTGTGTTGAGGCTATCTCCGTCATCGGAACAAAGGGCGTCAAGGCCGTTGTTGTTTCGCCCACCAGAGAGCTGGCCATGCAGACTCATGAGCAATTGGCTCGTCTGGCTGCCCTGCTGAGGCTCAAGTGCGTCTGCCTCTACGGTGGTGCTTCAAAGGATGACCAGCGAGCGCTGCTCCAGAGGGGCGCTGACATTATCGTCGCCACTCCTGGTCGATTGAAGGACTTTATGTCTGACGGAACGGTTGACCTGAGCGGCTGCCGATTTGCCGTTCTGGACGAGGCCGATCGTATGCTGGACAAGGGCTTCGAGGAGGACATCAAGATGATCCTCGGTGCTTGCCCTCCCCGTGAGGAGCGCCAGACGCTCATGTTCACTGCTACATGGCCAACGTCTGTCCAGAGCCTGGCCTCTACCTTCATGGTCGACCCCGTCAAGATCACCATCGGATCGCGCGGAAAGGAGACCGAGAACGGCTCGGTCGAGCTCCAAGCCAACACCCGCATCACGCAGAGAGTCGAAGTCCTCGACGGCCGAGACAAGGAGACCCGACTCCTGCAAATCATCAAGCAGCACCAGCAGGGCAAGCAGAAGGACGATCGTATCCTCGTCTTCTGCCTGTACAAGAAGGAGGCCACGCGCGTCGAGAGCTTCCTTGCCCGCAAGGGCGTTCGCGTCGGCGGCATTCACGGAGACTTGAAGCAGGAGCAGCGAACGCGCAGCTTGGAGGCGTTCAAGACGGGCAAGACGCCTGTCCTGGTTGCTACGGATGTGGCTGCGCGAGGATTGGATATCCCCGAGGTCAAGCTGGTCATCAATGTTACTGTGAGTTAAATCGATCCTGAATCTCTGGTGACTTGTGTCTAACCGTCTATTCTTCTAGTTCCCTCTGACCATTGAGGACTATGTTCACCGTATCGGACGAACGGGCAGAGCTGGCAAGACTGGCGAGGCCATCACTATGTTTACCGTCCAAGACAAGGCGCACTCTGGCTCGTAAGTTGCCACTTTATCGCAGCATGTGCTACGCTCCTGAATTAGAATGCTAACACGACTTCAACAGCCTCATCAACATCCTCAAGGGCGCCAACCAGCCCGTTCCGGACGAGCTGATGAAGTTTGGCACCGTCGTCAAGAAGAAGACGCACGACATGTACGGCGGCTTCTTCAAGGACGTTGACCCCAACCAGAAGTCAACAAAGATTACTTTCGACTAATTTCAGGGCATGGGTGGCTGTTCGGTACGTGTGTACGGGAAAATGGGTTTCTTTTAGTGTTCTGTTAAGTTCTGTTTTTCTTCTTACTCTTGTTATCACTCGCGTTTGCTTGCTTTGCGGCCTCGGATAGACTGGAAGCATTCGAGCAGGAACCTGCGCTCTAGAAATACACTGCAGCACCATGTTAGTCGGCTGTATGTCCCGAGGAGATACCAAAAAGGGCGCGGCATGTAGATCTGCATTTACATACATGATCATCAGCAATGGAATGGCAGAGCCAACAATCTTGATGAGCGTTGCGAATGGTCGATCTGGGCCATCAGCTTCAATGTTCAACCACCGTAAGAGTCCTAGTGTGGATAGTGAGACGGCGACTGTGGTTGTGGGAAATAGCGATGCCGGTTCAAAGTCGAGGCCGAGTGACTTGAAGTATCTGACAATGAAAGCACCACTCCAGATGATTCGACATAGCATGTTGATGGTGTTGGCGTAGACGAGGCCATGAGCACCGAGCTGGAGAACGCTCATGAAGAGGAAGGAAGACGCAGCAAAGACCGCTGAAAAGATGCTCATCCAGAACGATTGACGGTGAACTTGAGCCTCTGTGGCCACAGAAGCAACAAAGGCTTCAGTGATCCCGTTAAGTCCCATGAAGGGAATATAGAAACAATAGGTGCCCAGGACTTGGCCGGCTCCTGAGCTGGTCCAGCGCCTGCCTGCCACGATGGACAGAAGTGGCGGGGCTGCAATCGGTCCTATGCTGATGATGATAGCAGACAAGAGAATATATAGCCGCAGAATAGTGTGCAGATTGCGCTTTGCCTCCTTAGCTGATGCAGAGGGCTGCGATGAGGACTGGCTGCTGTTAAGGGAGGATGGAGAGGGTGAAGACAACAGACGAGAAAAGTAGCTGCGACTGCTTTCCTCGACGGGCTGGAAGAGAAGGCGGGCAAGTAGGCTTCCGTAGTTGTTCGCCAAAGCATACACGCCCTGAACTTGGGGCGTAGAGAAGAGCGAAATAAGGAATGTATCGCCTTGGGTGAGCAGATGCTTGACCACGCTTTGGGCCATCATGCTTCCGGCAAGACTCACCGTCGGCTTGTAAAAGTGCGACAGCACGAAGACGACTTCCTTGCTGGAGGCGAGCCGTTTGGGCAGAAGCGAGAATCCGGTAGTGAGCGCCAGACGGTATGCGGAGGCGAAGTAGACCAGGAGAAGGGAGATGCCGTATGACAGCTGGCCGAGCGCAAAGGGGAGGACGCCGATATCCACGCCCTTCTGAGAGGCCCAGACGGCAGACCCAAAGACGACGATGCAGCGAAGAAACGTGGCGATGGACTCGGCGGCCGCGCGAGTGCCGAACTGCAGACGCGTCTGCATCAGGACGAAGCAGGGCTCGGACAGCAGCTCGACCATGGCGGCAGCGCCGTAGAGCCAGAGGGACTCGACAAGCCAGGGAGTCTCGAGTGTGGCGGCGGGAGCTGAAGCGAGATACATCCATCCCAGGGCAATGCTGACAAAGGCACCCAGTCCCACGGCGAGATATCCCAGGTTCACCACCGCCTGGCCTTCGACAGCAGCAGCGGAAGAGCCATCGTCAGCATCATTCTTGGTGCCTGTTGCTGCTGCTCCGGCAATGCCCTGGCGCTGGATGGCAACGCGCAGGCTCTCACGGGCGAAGAAGAGGATGGAGAGGTAGTAGACTTCGAGCTGTGTGGAGAGGCCGAGGAGGGGCGCGGTGAGGAAGCGCAGGAGGAGCTGGTTGGCGATGAAGGTGATGAGGCGGGAGGCGACTTGGAGGATGATGAGGAGGGAGGCGCCTTTGAGGGCGGAGTTTTGGGAGGATGTGGGCGATGAAGATGGGGTTGGTGAGTTGTTTTGAGGAGGCTGAGGGTTGTTGGTGTCGTCTGGGGGCGGCATTATGGGCTCATGGGGGGTGTATGTTGATGATGGCGTGGAGACGTTGATGTCGAACATACACGTGGATGTTTTGGAGATGAGGTTGAGCTGGCCCAAAGCGGCGCAGGCGGTGGAGTTGGTTGATGATTGGAATTGGAGGTGATTTAGTGGGCGAGGTCCCTAGAGATCGCTGAAGGCGCCTGTAATACAGAGCACCTCACCGGCGCGCTACCCTACACATCAGACTTGGGGTGTCGGGCTGGTTTTTTCTTCATTTGAACCATCAATCTCGAGAGAATATATGGATGACGAGCAATATGTGGCAAGATTCGGGATGTATCTGGAAGTAAGAAAAGATGAGGTCGATGACGGGGAATGGCTTCACGAATTTCCGGCTCAAATCAGAGTGGATCTTATAGGCAAACATTCGATAGCTCGAATAGACAAAGATCATGCATGAGGTGAACCCGCGTACATTGCATGTAGGTAAAGATAATATACAAAGGGCAAACACAGACGAAGAGAGAAGCAAACAACATGAAAGAGGAAACAAAAAAAGCGAATTCAAGGATGAAGAGCAGAGATTCAGCGCCAACATCTGCGGCTCGACATAGCAGAGCGCTTCATCCAGAATTCCAGCTCGACTGCGAATCAATATCCTTCAGATTGCATCCAATAATATCGTCTAGCTTGCCACTACAGTCTTTACATATCTTACACACAAACAAAGAATGTTAAAGTTACGCGCAGGTCCATCAGCTGTGTATGGCTGACCAGTGGGCGTGCCCTTGATGCATCGACGGCATCCTGTTATGCGGTTCAGTCCAACTCCCTCCATCCAAACAGTCCAGTCTCTTCCTCAGCCGGACGCCTTCCAGTAGCCTAGCATCAGGCCTCAGAATAAACAGTATCGTGAGTGTTCTTGCGCTTTGCGTGCCTGGGGCTACAGCCAGGGCTGTGGTCGCCTGTGGAGCCGTCATCGGTGCGGGTGCAGTCGGTGTGCTCAGAGTCAGTGGTGTCGGAATCGGTGCTGTCATACTCGAGCATTTTTCTGATCTCCTGATATTGGGACGGATGGCAGCTCCGTAGCGTGCACTGTATCGTACTTCGAGCATAATTGTTGGCAGAAGGAGCATTGGCTTGGACTGTGCAGTCCGTCATGATCTTCTTCATGATGGCACCTGCGGTACTGAACTGGCCTTTGGTGTCGAGACTGCTGGCCAGCTGGACACTGCTCCGAATGAAATCCTTGGCATGGGCACCATTGACACCGGCCTTCCGGTAGTCCTGCGTCTCCGAAATATAACGCAGTCGAAAGGGCACCAGCACACTGTCCATCTCGGGGTTGTACCTGGGCTTCGTGCTGCCGGTTTGTCCCGAATGGCGAGCATCCCCTGAGATCCCCAGTCGAGCCCACATGTCAGGCTCGCCATCTTCATGCTCTACTAGAGGTGGTTCTCTTATATCGGCAGACAAACCTTCGTCTTCTGTCGCCGAGGACTGAAGAGGATCCATCTGAGCCGTGTCGGAACCTGCAATCGAAGGGAGCCAGCTGCTTTCGATAAGATTGCCGCTGCTCACTCCATCGAATTCAGATCCAAACTCGCCGTATTTGAGGTCCACAAAGTCTCCAGGTAGCGACACCTGGGACAAGAAGACGAGATGGCGAGCAATGTGCTCATGCACATCTTCGGAGATGTGCTCATCATCGTACTGGGTGCAGAATAGGCAGCTGCGTAGGGGCTGGCATGGAGGATACCAATGATCAAACTCCGAGTCTTCCATAGCACTGTCGCCGTGATCAATCAAATGTTGCCGGAAGTCGTCTTTGTCCTCAAAAGATATCGCGAAGTGGTGGTGGTGGCATTTCCAGCCACCTCCCATGTGATACCTTTCGATGTGCATCATCCACTGTTCATACGAGTCGAACATTGCAGACGGACTTGGGCAGATCTCGTAAACGCACACAAAGGGCATCAGATCCTGCATGATGTGTTGACTAAAGGGGTGGTCAGTATGTGCAGAAGGGGAGTCTGTTGGTGTGGATACGTACAGCCAATTCTCTCTCGTGAACTCTTCTGGCCGATACACTTCAAAGCAATAGGGGCATTCCATCTCGGTGCAGCTGGAGGGGCGAGGCGGGAGATCCGCAGTGGAAAACATGGGCTTGTCTATTCTTTGCTTCTTTGAGTGTAGATGCCCGTTTCCAGACGTACAAGCAGTTGGGGCTGTTCGAATAGAGAGACTTGTCTGTGTTGGCACTCTCATCATTGAATCTGGTTGTTGACTGCTTTGCAAGGCTGTTGTGGCTCCCCTGCTGGGGACATTTTTGCCTTTGCACGAACCTTGGGCTGTTGAGCAAGATAGTTGAGGCTGTAATCCATTTAAAGGCCGGTGATCGTGGGCCTTTTCCGATTTTGCCTTTAGAGAGCACAGGTATTGATGTCGCCTGAATATTGTGTTCTCCAGTCTCTTTCTGATCACTTTGCTGGTGTCTTTCAAGGTTGCGTCCAGGTAATTCCGCACGCTGTCTCTGAATTTGCATGTAAGATTTACTCTAGTCTGCTCATCGTATTCGAAGTATAAAGAGGCACTGTCCGCGCGTTGCAATAAAATGCCCGATCGACTAAATAGTCGCCAGAGTTTGAACAGCTTCTCAAACACATCATCAATAGTTGCCTGCTCATCGGCATCTGGCTCTGTTATGGAGGAGATCTGCCTGGAATTGCGCGAGTCCAGATCATGCATCTCGCTCTTGATAACTTCAGCAAGGCGCGTAAGCAAGCTCGTGATACCACGGTGAGGTACAGAACCCACCACAAGGCGCCAGTCCATGGAGTCTCGATTGTTGGAGGTGGCTCTAGTCCAATACGCCCATGAGCCGAATCTGTCCGAGCTGTCGGTGACCGAGGGCAGTTTGTCGCGATCGAGTTGAGACAAGAGGCCAAGATATTCGCGAAAGAGGCCTCTGCACTGCGTTGCTAACTCAAAGATGCTCATGATGGCGAACGTTTTGGCTTCAGCCAGCTGCTCAAAATTGGAGTCGTAGTCGAGACCGTATTTTTGGGAAAGGAAACTGGCTCATGAGCGGGTTTTCATATCAGGCGTTGGCTGCCTGAGGCGGCCAGCAGGGAGTGGTTATCGTCTGTGACACCGCCACCTGCTGTTTGTGTAGCACGGACAAACGAGCGGTGATGGTCAAGCAAACATAAGGGTGTTCACGTGGCCGTAACTTGTGTTACAGTGGATGCCTAGCCAGGGGCAACTTGCTTGAGTGTCTTTCCCAGCCGTGACTTTGATCCCTCAGTTGGAACCTTCTTTGAAAGCCAAACCTCTCCCGGAAGCCAACACTATTTTATCTAAACAATTGTTTTGAGACAACAAACATTCTTTTTTATAGAAAATGGAGTATTACGTTCTTTAAGACTAGCAATCCTCCGCACATCCATTATTGACCAATGTGTCAAACTCAGCCTGGTACGAAAGGGCATGAAGACGGTTCACAGGTGAGTACTGAGAATGCAGTGTCTACGGTTTAGGGCACCCTTTCAAGTTGCCCGGAATTGTTGTCTCGCGAGAGAAGACGACCACTATGTCACAATCTCAGCTCAGATGACTCTGAAGAGTTGGCAATTGACTTGAGCATGCTATGTTAACAGATAGACAGAGTGCCACCCTTGTCACCTTTGTCTTCAGAGCTTGGAGACTGCTTCAAACATGTCACGCGTTGCTTGGAGCAAATCCTTGGAGAGAGATACGTTTGCAATCACGCACCAAACACCCAGTCAGACCAGGGACTTGATCAGGGAATACTCCTGTGGAAATTTGCCTGCTTGATTAGTCTCCCGTCTGATCTCAGATCGGATTAGCTATACGATGTGGGGTTGAGGAGACTTTGTGACAGCTCTCACATTTTGGAATCATCTTGGTGAAATAAGGGGCGCCAATATTGGAAGTATCAATATATAGGCAGCAGGGGGCAAATCCAGTCATAGGCACAAGTACGAGCTATGCTCCGTCCAATAGAAGTAGATCAAGCAAGACAATTGACATACTTTTCAACATATCTCATGGAAGAGAACTAAGTAACCCTCTCAGTTATTTGTCGGTTATCCTTTTACTTAGCAGAGTGTCTTCTTGATGTTCATCATTTATGTATAAGTTCTATTTCATTACTGTTCATCAGTCATTAAACAAATATGCAAGTCAGCTAGCTATTAATCTCGTTTCTCAACTTCGCTCCTGGCCTTGAATAACCGTCTGACGTACGAGTCATCCTCATCGTCTTTACTAAATTCAGCAGCAAACCTGCCCGACCTCTGCACTTTCCGCTGCTCCTGCGTCTCTGGGCTCGGCGACGCTGTCATGGCTCGATCAATAGGCTCAAACACAGGTCGTAGGAACGTTGGCTTGTGAGGATTGAGGACTCCGTACGCCATTGAAGCTCCATGTCGAATGGCAAGCTTGTTGCAGTCGAAGCCGGCCCCATTCCTCAGCCGTCTGTTAGCACCCTTTGCTATCAACAGCTTGACAACGTCGACCTGATCAGCAACCACTGCAAGGAGCAAAGGCGTGTCCCTGGTACGCTGAAGCCGGGCATCTATCGCAGCACCAGCGGCAAGTAATGCTTCTACCGCCGCTGTAGCGCCGACTTGGGCTGCGTGATGGAGGGGCGTGAAGCCGAATACGTTGCGAACATTGACCTTGGCCCCTAAACTGAGCAGGGCAGTTACCATCTCTGCATTGCCGTTTCGACAGGCGACATCAAGAGGAGTGTTGTCTTCTTTGTTTCGAACATTTGGATTTGCTCCGCAAGCGATGATTTCCCGAACAATGTCTGGTGAGCCATAGTAGACTGCGATAAACAGAGACTGAGTCAAATCGCAGGATAGCGGAAGGGACATTCTCTTGACTGACAGACGATAGCTCAATTCGCGAATGCAGGACTTTAGTCCCAGGGCAATGAAAGCCTGTAAGAAATCCCCCCAATCGACCTGATGGAAACGATGAGCTCGTGGTAGGTGCAAGCCGTCCTGAAAGCTGTACCATAGACGCAGGCATTGAGGGCCCTGGTCAAGAAGCAGATCAAGAACCGCGGCTTGTGAGATTTGCGATTGCTCTGCTGACGCCAAATGTGTTTCCAGAGATTGAATACAATATTCGAGTAACGGAAGCTCGGAGAAAACGAGCTTAATGGCTCTGAACATGCCACGCGTATATGAGTCGACTTCAGAAACCGTGTATGGCCCGTAGGTTGTAGAGTTGTAACTGCTCAACAGATCTTGTCTTGCCCTCTCTATTGCGGTGTTGTTGATGGTTTCATCCGAACTTATCCACTGTAGAAATTTGGTCGGCTGATACCACTTCGAAGGTCTTCTAGAGGACAGGCTGCTACAAGACCTCAGTAAGATCATGGAAGCACAGGTCAGCGTAGCCTGCTGAGAAAGGTATCTCATGCAGGCGAGGGCATTATAATGGTTACCAAAACCCGGCAGGTACACATGATAGTCTGAAGACAGCAGTATCGCAAGTCCTTTCTGCAGGAGGAACCCTGGCACCGTTTGATGAATAAACTGGACTCGATCTGGCTCCCCTTCTCGAGAGCTCTTCTCAATAGTAAGAAGACCGCGGGAACGGCTTCTGATGTATCTTTCCGTTTGAGGGCCTTTGTTGATGAACTGTTGCGATCTTCTCCAAGAGTCGAAAGTGACGATAGAGTTATTTTGGCTGAACTGCATGGCAAAGCATAGCTCGAGCGAACTCAGTCTCCTTGTGGCGAAGAGCATCCAGCTCAGCATATTATATGTATCCCTTCGTTCATGATGCCCGAGCTTTAGAAATATCTGGGTGAAGAGGCCGTCCAGTTCGCGAGGCGTATCGTAGAGTGCTTCTAGCTTCTCGTCCAGCGTCTCTCCATTGTCGTCTGCTTCGAGGATACTGCTCGTAACCAGATCCACCCAAAGAAAAATGCCGTCAGCCCTAGAAAGGATTGATTGGATCATGTTCTCATTGTTTGGAGCGTCGGACATGTGAGCCAGCTTTTGGTACGTAAATGTCTCAATGTCGGCGTAGTTCTTTGTCTCGACCCAAATTTCAGGGCAATTCTCTATGTAGATATTGGGATAATGTCGGCTGGATAGGCAGACTCTGAATCTGCTGAAAGGCTTCTGGGATTCTTCTGGACAGACTTGCAGTCGAAAGAACTGTAGAAGGAGGCGAACCTCGTCCACCGAACCTTCATCCAGGCCATCGAGGAGGAATATCGTTGGTCTCCAGGTTGATAGCTTTGATGAGATTTCCAGGACACCCATAAGCTCTTCAGTCTGCCATTCCAAGTTGCGGCCTTTGACAAAACGACTGTCCGATGCGATCATGAAGTCCCTAAGGAGTTGGTCATTCTGTGTGAAAATTTGGTGAAGAACAGACTGTAACAGGCCACGGCTCGACTTTTCCAGAGCTTCTCCAGAAGCATCGTAGAAGTAGGAGGCTATGGTCACCGCATTGCTGTCCGTGCGCTTGAGTAGTTCTGCTAGGGTGTGCTTCATCAAAGTGGATTTGCCTGAGCCGGCACTCCCCTTGACCCAAAGGAATCGATGGTCGCCGCTCAACCAGGCCTGGTAAGTTGGGTCCTGCGAAAGCCAGTTGCCAGTGCCTTTGCATGGACTTCTAATCACCAGTTGTCGATGATACATCTGTGGGAACTCCAACGACTCGAGCACTGATGATCATCAGCTTGGAGAGTATGTATGTAAGCTCTCAGTATCCGACCTACCTTTCTGGCAATTTGTTTCCAGAATCCTTTGGGCGGCCTCCTTCTTCTTGGTATCTAAGAGAGAAGGTTACTAGGATTTTCCAAGGCCAAGTTCGGACAGTTGAGGACCTTACCAAACATCTCGCTCAGCATTGGAGGATCTCGAACAGCGGGCACCACAGACAACAGTTCCCTCGCGTAGGCAGCGGCAGTGAGAGCGGCGTAGGGCTGCCAGCTCGCATTCTTGTGTGAGTCGGCATAGTCGCAGATTCCCCGTATGACGAGGCACGGGAACCGGTTCATGAGCCCAGCAGCTTCCATCTCGAAGCAGAGAACACCGCCAAGCTCCTCACTGAGCTTATCTCGAGCCACGCCGTCTCTCATAACTTGATTCCCGGATGCGATCGTACCGTGATGGACCCTGACCCCTGGCCCGTTGCGGACAGGACGGTCGATGAGATTTTGTTTTGAACAGCCGTCGCAGGTAGAGGCTCCGACGTGTTGATAGGTAGCCTCATAGAGGTGATCAACTCCAGCGCTCTCACGAGAGAAATGAGGCAGATGTTTGACGCGGGAGATGTGAACCGACAGCATGTCTTTGTACCTCAACTGACGAGCTTGCAGCTGTGCGAGAGCGTTAAGAAGAACCGTCGGAGGCGTGTTCAGAAAGCCAGTCCGCTCGAACCCACCAGGTCGTGTCTTGCCCAGGTCATATTGCACCACGCCTCCATGCATCGACTGCGGCTGACTGACAACAACGTCACCAAGTCGAACATCTTCAACCCCCGGCACGCCTCCGCCAACTCCCACCATCAGCCCAAATCGCATCGCAGGGAAATCCGACTGCAGCTGGACAGCAACAGCCGCGGCCGAGTTTGTACCCGTTTGACCAGCTGGAAGCGTCGCCAGGACGACATTGTGGTCTCCGATACGGCCAAGTGTGTATGAGCAGGTGTTTTTATCGTCGATGATTTCGTGTTCCTCGTCCAGCATCTCCTGCGCCGCAGCCAGCTCTATCGGCAGGGCGCAGATCCAACCCACGGTGTAGTCGCTCGGCTGGAGGCTTGTAGTTGATCGCTCCATCTATGCATATGCGGCTCTACATGTGTAAGTGACGCGGCCGCGATGATACGGACGACGATAATGCAGGTTATATCTATGCAGGCAGCAAGAGGCACAAACGAACGATGTATTTGCACAGCCCCGCGCTCCTGTTCATATTGCTGCCTTCTTGTGACTGGTTGGAAAAATAGTTTGTCCAGCCGCATGCAGTCTGATCCTTTGATCGACGAGTCTCGCAAGGGGATAGAACTCTGGAGGTGAGTATGTAGTGTGCAAGAGAGTTGTACGAGGAAAGCACTTGACATGTCAACTATACTCTATGGCAGCAAGGTGTCTCTTTAATCGGTTGTGATAATTGGTTCAGTAAATCGAGCGACAAGATAGTTCAGATAATGCTGGTTATGAGATGCAATCCAGAGACAGCTACTAGCCTCTTTGAATCACCTGCATGGTGACATGCAGCGAGCCATAGTGTGAAGAACCAGGCCGTCTCATCCTATTCACAGTGAGATCCAAGCTTATTACTGACATCTATGATTGCGACAATGCCTTCTCGTCTTAACAACGTCGCCCAATACTCCGATTAGCAAAAAACGAATTCAGAGGACGAACATTACCGAAAGTCGAAGCTCGAAGCTAATATGGAACGACGAAGTTTCAACATAGGATTATACAGCAGCTATGTTATCTGAACGTCTGCTGTGATAGACTTTCTCTTCCATTGAATCGGCCTTTATGCCGTAGTCTATGTTCTCGAGGATACTATTGAAGTTCTGTCTGGGTCAATTCCATAAGTTCAAAACGATGAAGAAAAGCTCGGGCTGATCGTATACTGCAGATTATCAGAGGGTCGAAGATGAGCAGAGCTGATGTGAATTATCATATGGCCTCTAAGTACACTCTTTGATCAGTCAACGTAGGCGTTGGATAGGGTCTCAAAAATACAGACCAAAGGTACGTCTGCTGGAGATTAAGGCATGTTCCTATATCTCCCCAGACGTAACCCAAGTATCCAGACGTCACATTGCCGATCCGTATAGTTGTGAATAGCATCATACAGCACATGTTACTGGCCACCAATCCAGCAACCACTTGGACAAAAAGTAATTCGTCTCCAATCTGCCCGACTACGTGTAACTGCAGTGGAAGGTCTGGGGGAGGCAAATATCACTCTAGAATCTTCATGCCCATTGTCCTGCTCGCCAGTTGTCCATTGTCAGACACAGACGCTCAAAGATACCCTATAGAAATTACCAGGGCTCTTCGTCTTTTTCTTAGGCGCGTTCCCAGAGCATAGTGAATCATTTGATTGAGACTTGCAACATGGAGGCGTCTAGATTCACACTAACATGAGAAGAATTCAAGGCCTCCTGCCACACTGGGATTTAACGCTCCAACGCCCGTCTCCTTATGTCTCAGAAAGAAGCCATCCAACAATCAAGTAGCCCAGTACTTCCCTTTCGTGGCTTAACCACAGTCAGACTTAGAACATGCTCGCGTACATAATACCTGTAGATCCAAGCCTCTGCCCCCAAATGGCTTACCTTCTCACTACTGCCCCTATTCGATCGACAAGTGCCAACAGCCTCACCAGACTAATAAGACGGATACCAGCCCGTCCTCTCCAAAAACCACTTCGCCTACCAAACGGTCTACCGTTTGCACGCACCAAGCGGCCTACCGCTTTCAAGCACCAACCCATCGCTCCCTTCCTCCCACACGGGCCAGAGAGTATGACTCGCGCCCCATTCACCAACTGGCGAACCATTGGCCAAGGAAAACTAAACGAAGCGAATTTCGCATTCTGCCCCGTGCTTCTTTGGCTTCTCTCATTAGTGTTGTGTAAAAATTAATCACAGAAACTCGGCAGACGTTCCTATTCATCCCGAGGTACCGGAACCGGTGGGAGTGGAGGAGAGGAGACAGGGTCCCGCATGAATAAGAAGAAGAAAAACGTGGCGGCTCCTAAATTGATTGAAGCCGGTGATCCAACGGGATCGCTCCCGGAGTGTGGCTCCCCCTTAGTCCAACTTTTTCCTTCCTGTGTAAAAAGACGATTTGAATCAATTGGAGCTAGTAACTGCTAGCAAGAAAGTTGCCCTCGGTTAGTTAAGTAGTTAAGGACGAGCTCTGGCTTGTATGTTTGCCGAAAGCCGCCGGCTTGTTTTACTTACACGACCCTCGCAGAAAGCATTGACTTGTTTTTATATTGCTGCCTGGGGTTTGCGGAGTCCAGCTCTTCCGGGGATCGAAGGACTACTAGCGGCTGGAGAAATGATGCTGAGTTGGGCTAGGTGCATTAGCTGGAACGAAGAGGACGGGGATGGGTGATCCGCACAGCCGTCGCTCCTACTATCGTGAGCTAATAGTCATGAAGTTTCCACAGTTGGTATTTTCTAGATGAAGAACTGCACGCAAGAGATGGGTAGTAGGGGAAGCCGTCTCCGGGTAAAGGCGATCCTGTTTTTGCCGGAGCATTCTAGGGCTAGGCAGCGGCGTTCTAGCTGTCCGGTAGATCGATAGACCAGGAATGCCACGCAGACAGGGACCGTTAGCATGTTGATACTACTGCTGGGTTGCATATAACGAAGCGCAGGCGACACTCCTATGTTAAGACACTCCTCCCTGGCATATGCACCAGCAAATGCTTGAATGACTCGATTCTGGATGGCGCACGAGTGTAGCTACTGCAATCCGGTGGTGTTCAGCTGCCACTTCTTATCATCCAGCAGAGCCTTCAGCTGGCCGTCCAGCCACTTCATATCTTCTTTGCTCACACCTGGTCCACCAGCCCTGGAACTCTTTGTCAGTCATGTACACCAGTGAAAGCCACAGTAGTTGTTGGAAAATGCTAAGGGATGAACATACCAATGACCCCAGATGGATGGGAACGGAATACACTGTCCAACGCCCTCCATCATATGCTGCACCTCGTACTCTGAATCTTCAGGAGGGAAATACAGGTCTGTCTTCCCTGGCAGAACAAGTGTTTTGGCCTTGATGCTCTTCATGGCCAGCTCCAAGTTCTTATTATACGGCTCCTGGTCAGAGCAATCGGCAGCTTGCCACGTGTGAAGCATGGTGAGCAGGTTTTCAGGGTCTGAACGAGTCGTTAACAAGCACGCTGCAAGCCAGACGGATGAGAGAACAAACCTTTGGCCAAGGCCCACGACTCCCAGAAGTTGACCATGAAGTCCTCGAGGTTCTTGTACCCCAGCTCTGTTTCATAGACCTTGTCCCTGTAAAAGACCTGGCTGAACCCCCATCCCGCATATACACGCCCGAAAGCCTTCAGCCCGACGACCCTTTCCTCCTCCGTCCACGCGCGATACATCGGTGCTGACTCGCCGGCAGCACTACCAGCGGAAGCTGCTCCCTTGGCGGCGAGTAGCGCACTCTTGACGCCCTCGAGAAACACCTGGTTATGCAGCGACGTGCGTGCGCTCCCGCAGAACGGCACCCCCAGGTCCATGAAGTCGGGATACTGCGTGAGCCACTGGTACGTCTGTCCAGCGCCCATGCTCCATCCCAGAACCATCCGCGCGTGCTTCACACCCAGGTGCTCGGTTATGAGCCGATGCTGCGCGGTGACATTGTCTTTGACGGTGATGTTGGGGAAGGGCTTGAGGGGAGACGGGCGGGGCGTGTTGGAGGGGCTGCTGGACTGTCCGTTGCCGAAGAGAGCTGGGACGATGATGAAATATCGGCGAGGGTCGAGGGCTTTGTCTTCGCCTATGAGCCATTCGTTGTCTGAGATGGCGCCGCTGAACCACGAGGGGTAGATGATGGCGGGAGAGGAGGCGTCGCCAAAGGTCTTGTAGGCGATGAAGGCATTTGGAAGGGTCTGGCCGGAGACGAGTTTGAAGTCGCCCAGTTGGAAGACGCTGTAGTCTAATTCGCTCCCCATGATTGTCACTTCTTATTTCGAACCTGGTAGATACAGATACTTTCGTCTTGTAAGTGGAAGAACTGAAGGTGGTGATGCCCCTCGCGGACGAGACTATCTTTGCGAGGGGCTCCCGACGTATGCCGAGTAAAAGCGCGGGCAAGTGCCTCGTCGCGTCCAGATACTGTCTTAGACATTGTGGCCTTTATTCTTGGAGAATGGCTCTTGATTCGATAGAATCTGTCATTGAGCACGGCGTGGTGAGGGGAAGCTGCATGTACAATACGACTCTCTGAGCACGTGAGCTTTACGATTGCATATACCTGCGCAAGATTCTGCTCAAGTAGGTAGATGCTTATCAGCCAACTACAATTACAGCGATTCGACCTGAACTTGCGATGTCGAAGATTATCGTGAAATCTGTGCTGTGGTGTTTTCTTCCCGATAATGGATCTCACATTCATTGTGCTCCGTAGTAGATGGGCGGCTGTCGCTATAATTAGCAGCAATTTGCGGCTGTCGCTCCGGCTCCGGACAGCTTCACGCAGCCTTGTCCACCTTATTCTGCTGCTGACCAGGAGACCTCTGCCGTCCAGAGACGTTGATAGCACTATGTGCTCGACATGAGCCACAGCCAAAGCAAAGGTAGAGTCATATTCGGGGGGCCGCAGCCAGAGTTGCCCGATCGGTCCGTCCCGTCAGCAACTACCATGAGCACAGCTCGACGGCCGTTGATGAGAGTCCTGCAGAAAACAGAGACGCGGTGAACAATGAATCAGCTTACGGATGGCAAAATTTTCACCCAATTTACGGGAGCAAGATGCTCATTTATCACGTATGACAGCACTTCTTTTGTCAGCTCGAATCCCAATCTCCTGGGTCTAGCGCTTTGCAGCGCGGGCCGAGTCGAGAGCCAGGGACATCGCCGCGGCTGGTGCTGACGATGCAGGCATTCTAGCGCAAATTGCTGCAACATGTCCCCTATTTCCTCGTCCCTATTCCAACTCCGGGTTGGACCATCTCACGCCTAAGCATCTAGAAGAATGGAATGAAACAGTGAAACGTGGGATCCCTCCCGGGCGGCGTGGACTGTGCTTTCCACGGAGAAATTTGCCTGTGTTGTCAATATCGCAAGCATGGCCAACCCGGTTGAGACCGCAGAGTTGGGCGGACGGAACAATGAACGTTGAGTTGGCCGTTTGGTCTGTTGGGCGGCGGCGGTGACAAGCACCATGTCGCCGTCAAAATGAAGAGATGAAAGGCTGGCTGTTTGAAGCCGACCACACTGTTGTGTTGTAGTGCAGCAACTCAAGCATCTTTAGCGCCAACTCGCACTTGACATTGGGTTGCACACCTGGAGAATTCAGCCTCCGGGCGATCGCTTGACGGAGAAGCTCAGGAGAGGATGGGATAGAGGATGGGTGGGTGGGTGGAGGGGTAGTGTGCTGGTATTACTCCGTGATGCTTCGCAGATGCTCTCGAGCAGCAAGGCTGATGATATGGCGTCCCAATTGTTGACTGCATCAAAGGCTTGCTCTCTATTGATGTTTTTGCCTTCCTATCCCGTGTCGCGTACTCCGAGGTTGGTGACTGGATTGTCATCCCATCCAGCCCCGAAACGCGGCACACTTCGCACTGTTGCTCCCTCTCGCCCGTGGACGCCGTCGTCTCTCTCCGCAGTCCAGAGTCATCTCCCGCGGGTTGGGTGGGTGGACACTCGATAGCGTTTGGGGTGCCTGGGGTTGACGAAGCGGGATGCAGCTATAGAGTTGGCCCACTCACTCTTGGTTTTCCCTCTGTCCACTTTGGTAGGATTCTGGAGTAAAACCGACGGCACCTCTCGTTGATCGTCAGTGACAGCCCGGAGACGGTTGAAGAGTCTGGTCGAGACACACTTGACTCGGACCAGGAGGGAGGTATAAGGCTGCCATTGGTGAGTCCAGCGAGAACCGACGTCCGACGCAAATTGACGCAGCAGTCGATGCGAGCCTGGCATTGGTGGTGGCTGCGGGGCGTCGTCACCCAAGATATTGATCCAATTTCCGCCTCAGATGTGTGTCCAAGTAACACAGGACAGTACGCAGGCACAACCGCTGAGTGGCACGACGTGGACATTGTAGGAGAGAGAGGCCCGTAGCAGAAGACACATATCAGCCAGTCCAAGCAGTAAGCGGTGATGGTGATTGTGATCAAGGTGATGACGGTGATGATGCCACCTCCCGCAAGCAGCAGCCACCACGCCTCTCGCCGTGCAGCATCGCGTCTGACAGGTCGCCTGGCCGAGCCGATCCAGTTGCAGGTCGCCCACCCATCACGACGGAATCGAAGCCTCTTGCTAGGCGAAGACACGCAGCTCCGTTTCTGCTGCCACCTCGAATCAGCAGCTAGTGCTAGTAATCCGCTCTTGCAGCTCTAGTTTCTGCAGCATCGAGCTGCCAAGGACGGACTGGCGGGGGAGCTGCGAGCGGTGCAGGGGTTTTGCAGGCAAGCGACGAGGAGCCCTGCATGGGTTCAGTCGGATTCCGCTGCCTTTCTGATGGCGATGGCCTGACTTCAAGGTTGAGCTTGGGGGGACAAGGGGCCTAGTCCCGGTTGCTGCATAGCTGCGCGTATAGCGATCGAGTTGAGTTAAGCATGTGAATCTGCTGCCGCTAGAGCGCCACGCTGCGGTGCCGAAAGCCACCACACGCGGCAGATACGTAATAGTGCGGCCAGGAGAGAAATGAAGGGCCATTGTCAATTTACATGGAAATCTCTTTCATTCTCTGTTTAGACCGAGGAATTCCGCCCAGAAATGCTGCGTCCCTTCTGGGCCATGCGAAGCTATCTTGTAATTGATTGCTTTTCGTCTCCACTGCCTGACGCCTAGTGGAATCAATTGCTTAATTCCATAAAGCAAGTATGTCCTCCGTCCATCGTAGCCTTGTACAGGATACCTGGTTCCCCCATACTCTTGCATCCCCAGCGTCACGGAACTGGTACCTTCGCCCGACCACTGGCCAGGTGGCCTGCCCTGACTCGAGCCGCTCACCAGCGAAATACAGGTCACGTTACCGAAATTCTGCACTCTCTCACCGCAGGGCTGACGGTCGGCTATGTTCGGAAAAGCACACGCACAAGACCATTGACCAGGCATCAACAAACGACGAGCAGGGATCATCACGCTGTTCCCCATGGATGTCCTTCGGCTGTCGTCTCGTCTGCCCACTGCTGTGGTGAGCTAGTACATACGAGTGCTAGCAGCAGCCACGTGAAGTCGTGGTCCTGCCCGTAATGACGATGGCTAACCACAGGGGCGGAGGAGGACGAAGGAATATGAAGACGCGCGCGTCGTGACATCGTCGCCGTGACGAAATTCAAGCAGCAGAGCCTTCACCGGCAAATCGCGACCCTCGCCCTGTCCCTCCCTTCCTGCCGTCCATAGCTTTCAAAGCAACGCCGTCGCGAATCCGCCGTCTGACACGATGACGAGGACCTGCTACTGGCCTCTGCTTTGATAGCCTTGCACAATTGCATCGCCACTTGGAACACCGTCCCCAGCCATTCGTCTTCCCGTTGGACCAGACGACTGGGGGAGCGGCGCCAGTGACCCCCGGACAAGCAGCTGATTCGCCATCCTGGTTGGTTGGCTGAATCGCTAATGCTTGGCCCGTCCCTCTCGGAATCGCACCCCGCAGTCGCATGTCTGACTTTCTGGGTGCGGAGAGACACGTTCAGCCACGCTGCCCCCTGTACCTGCGTCTCTTTTCCCGTTCTCTCTGTGTCTTATCGTCTTCGCCAGTGTCTTTTGCATAGCAAACTTGGTTGCTTTGAGGATAGAATGCTTCATGTCGATGCGTGCGCTTTTTGCGCCGGACGGACTCCCGCCCTTCCGGGGTCAACGTCGACAACTGGACAGACCCTGAAACGTCAAGCAGTTCGCAGAAGGACATGCAGCAGCGCGCTGCAACATGCGGTGCGTCCATGGCATACGAATTACCGGGTTCTGCATCTGCATGGATGCGGATATCAAGGACTCGGAGACTACAAGTTTGGCCGTGGATGAAGCAGCAGCTAATCCTATTGGCATACCTCTCTTACACCAGCACCCCGGACAAGCACTCGCATCAAGGCACGCATTACATGTACTGTACCAGGGCGACCAAGTGCTGCTCGCAGCCTGCACTGGGACGGTTGGCACTGCGCAAATGAGGCATACCGCATGGACGTGAATCCCTCATCGGGTAAAAAGTCGCACACACGATATGCAGACAGGGCTCGGATCAGCAAGCCGCCATGGTCCAGAGACCCTTCAGGGGGGTCCGAGATAGTCCCGCAAAAGCTCAGCTCGCACCTATCAAAAAGGTAGGCAACCCTTCCACCGGCCAATTGGGCCATGGTTGCAACCAGTGGCGCTGTGGCGTCTTGATCCAGCGAAATTGGGGCCCCGACCGGAGGGTCTGAGGGTCAAAATCTCTTCCCCAGGACCACGAGTTTTAGTGCGTGAGACCACACTTTGGAGCTCGCCAACAGGCTGCCACTTTCAGGTACAGAGGTACTCTGCTGGTATTCACGAGGCACGACAATGCTAGTGCTCCTACAAATTGGACATGGATCCCGTAGCGTCTCCATCACGCCTCCGTTTCTATCCAAGTACGAAGGGCATCGTGTGTCCCAAGTTCTCGCACACGACGCTACCAACGCCCTCAGGCGGAGGATGCGTTCTCGGTCCGGTTTTTTCCCCCAAGCTATCGGATCTCCCAGTCCGCAGCTGGCCTAGCCACCGACCCGGGAAGCTTTCTTCTTATTTTATTTTCAACTTTGAAAACTTCCTGGGACGCAAACGGCTTGCATTCGAGAACACCAAGAGGTGACCTTTGGCCCAGCTGCTTGTCCCGGTTTGCGCGCTTGGGAATCTACCCTTGTCGGCCATCACCACCGTCGCTTCTCCTCCTCTCAGCTCCTCCATCCTCCCCCTTCCACCCAACTCGACAAGCGACAAGGCTTTTCTCCCGACTCCCTGTCGACCAACTCGTCGAATCAGTTCTCACACGCTCCTTCGTACATCTTCGTATATCTCCTGTTTTTCTGACCCCGCGGGGAAACGGCCACATTCTCTCCTCTACACCACCTCGGTCTGTTTATCCGCTATTATCAGGTTCCACTGGCTGAAGCAATTCCCCAGCCATCATGGAGTCTCCGCCATTTGCTACAGATCTGGATCGGATAGCGTGAGTCTGCTTCAACCCCCCCTTTCGTTAGTTTTGGAGTCGAATCCGGGGGCTCGACCATTCTGGGCGAAGCCAAAGGCCGTAGCCTACAGTGCCCATTTGAACCCGAGGGATCCATGAGGCTAATTCAGGGTTCGCCTTTTTCGTTATAAACAGAGACACCCTGCGTCGCATTAACACTGATGATACACCCATCTCTCCGCGGCACAATGCCCCATCATCCTTTGAACCAGACACAGCCGTCGAAGGAAACGCAGACAACATGAACACAGAACCTCGCTACCATGCGTCGTCTCGCGACTTCGCGGTGCCTCCGCCGTCCAAGGGCCAGGCCGTCGCCCAATGGCTGGAGGAGAGTGATGATGTGGTCGACGAATATCACATGCCCATGCAGAGAGACTCGAGAGGATCCCTCCCCCGTCGGCCACCGTCCAGAGATCAGGCCCAAAGCATTCGACGCGAGTCGGTGAATTCGCAACGCAAATCATCCAACGCCTCATCCAACTACTACCAGCCAGGCTACAGCCTCTATCCCGCTCCATCCAAGCCCCTACCGCCTCTTCCCACCCCCAAGTCCACAACTCACCGCGTGCCCTCCCGCGACTCCTCAGATCGATCATCCATCAGCACTCATCGCTCCTCTCAAATCTCCGCGACCACATCCACGCCTGATGCCACCACTGTCAGCTTCTCACCGCCCCCTCGTCGCAGCAGGGTCCCTGCCAATTTCTACAGGCCTCCGGATCCCTCTGAACTTCTTCCTCCGCCGCGCAAGTCGTCTCGTCCCGCTGAAGTCGTCTTCTGGAAGCTTCTTCAATCAGATGACAAGAAGAATGGCCCTGTCCACTACCTCGATATGTCGTCTAGCCTTGCCACCATGGCGACCAAGCATGGAAACAACATCATCAAGGTCTGGTCCACGGCGGGGGGTACTGTTCAGCAAATCATCAAGTTTTCCTCCTACACCGCCGCGCAGTCCCGCTCCCGCGAATATCTCATTCGCAGCCACGCCATCCTCTCCGAGCCGACAAATCTCATTGCCATTGCCACACGCTTTGGTAGATACATTGAGATCTGGAACTGGGCCAAGAAGAAGTGTCTTCAGACGATTGACGATGCTGATCGTTGGACCTCAGCCCAGATCGAATCCTACGACGGCGCCCTCAGCTCCCTTGCCATTTACTCTGGCGAGAAGGGGCTGATTGACGTGTACAGGGCGACGCCTGAGAAGAAGCCCTTTGTCAAGTCGCGAACCATTGACCTCAACAAGGTTGATCTGCCATTCGTCCCCCAGTACCCGGAGCTTGCCCTCTCCAAGACAAGCCCTCTCCTCGCCCTTGCAGCTGGACCGCGCCCTCCACGTCAAGGCCACCCGCCGCCCGAGAAGGAGACGCTTCTCGTCGCATGGGACACTACCGAGGGCGGCTCGAACAAGCCCTATCGCGTAGCCAGGCCATGGCAGCACAAGGAATTGGACACGGCCATACCGTGCGACATGGTCACTTATGGAAGCGCCGTCGTGTCCATCTGGATCCCTGCTACTTTCCGCGCTGTGCCCGCTACCAATGGCGGATCTGGCTACAACCTCGCTCCCGTCACCGTCCCGTACCGATATGTTCTGGTCTGGGATCTTGCGGCCAACTCGACGCGAACCTTTGGCATTCCTAACACGACGTCCTGCCTGTCGCCTGATTGCCGGTTTGTAGCCTATTGCCACGCGACCGGAACCGACATTGGCGCTCGAGGCAGCATCGTCATTCTGGATGTCATGACGGGCAAGGAAGTCTGGAGCTGGCCCGACCCAGAGGCTTTGGCCATCGACTACACTCCTCGGCCTGGCTTTGAACAGTTTGACGACCTCTCCCGCGTTTCGGAGCTCTCTTTCTCTGCCGACGGAAAATTCTTGAATGTCGGTGACCTGGACGGCCATATCGGCATGTATGAAGTGCGTGAATCTACCGGAGACCGATTACAGCTCCACATGATTTAGCACAGTGATTTCACGGATATGGGAAACTTTTTCGTTGTTATGATGTTATGCTTGATTGCAATGTTTTGTCGCTATGCTTGGACGACCGAAGGTTAGGGTATATAACCGCCTACAATAATTCAGATACCACGGGTTCATACTGGCTGTTACGCACTTGACGACTACGAAGTTGCCTTGCATCCTCCTTGTGCCTTTGTACTTCCTCTTTGTGCAAAGTTGCTGTATGTGATTGGCAATCTGCTTCCGCGAGCTCCACAGCTATCGAATGACCAAGATAACCATTGCCACCCCACGATTTCTGATCGATAACTCTAATGCAGCTATCGCCCCTTATCGTCGATTTTGGCAGCGCCCCTTGGGTCTGGACGATAATTTCCAGATCAGCTCTTGGCGCACGTTGCGGATGAGACACAAAAAGAAAAGCAATGGGCGATCCGATCGTGGCTCTTTTCCGGGGAAAGGGTAGGGTAGGGGAGGGGGGAGACGTCAAATGAGATGAAATGCGTGAGGCCACGTGTGTGGCCGGGGTTTGGGGAATTCAAGGGTCCCACTGGTTTTGGGCTAGGTCTTTTGGGTGGCCTTGGGGGTGGAGATGGTGATGCCTTTTCTGGGGAAGCTTTTCTAGGGTAGGGCTGGGAGAGCGTGATGACGGAGGTGCTGGAAGATAGATCCTGAATGTTCCTTCGGAGGGGGTGAATGGCTCGGATCGAGAGTCGTGGTGGTTTTGGAGGTTTAAAGAGCGTTTATACATGACTCTTAACACCCATTTGTTGGTAGACATTAGTATCATCGCGCTTCTCATGGTAATCGTATCTGCTCTCTCATAGATGCACACCGAAATGTGGTACGTAGAAGACTTGTGACGACTCATACTCAACATCCACCACTCGATTGTTATTCACCCCCCCCCCCCCTCCTTTACTTTCAATTCGTTGGGGCTTTAATGGGACTCGGTTCATTGTTTTGAGCTACTTGGCTGCAGTTTTCATTTATGCAGAAGGTAGGTGTTGCATTCCCATATGATTCACGTAGCATGCACTTTCAATAGCGGTCAAACCTTGAAAGGGTACTCAGTCATTTCATTTTTTTATGGCTTTCGAATATCACTGTGAAGAGCGTTGGGCATAGGGTATGATAGATACTGAAGCCTTCACAGTCTTGCCAACTTCCCTCCTGTAGTCTCATATCTTCTCTGTGGAGCACAAGGCAACTCTTTGTGTGGAAATACGTGATTCTGTTCAAAGACGGCGATGCGACAGGCAAATAAAATGCTTGGATATTGAAGAAAAGCTCTTCTTACCCTCCAATTTGCCTTGTGCCCCAGCACTACGAAGTTTATGGGCCAGAAGTTATGCACATGGCCAACTGATATTACGTTCAACCCCGATCTAGTACCAGATCGAAAGAGAAAATCCGGCCAGTAAATGGCTAACAACGTGAATTTTTGTGTAAATTGAGCTGCGTCTAGCTCTCAGTCAAGCAGAATCGAGGAGTTTATAAGATCATGCTGCTTTGAGATGTGAAGTCGCTGTTGAACGTCAGGCCAAGTTGTAAGAGCAAGAGGTCCAACATATAATGGGAGCTTACAAGCTCAGTTCTGCATGAAATCCGGCTAATGTCTTTGCATTTAGGCAACACAATCTTGTGATAGCAAGCGTCATACGGTTGGCTTCAGCTCAGTGCGTCAGTAAACGAGAGAGTGAGCTTTGTAATCCCAAGACGCTTCTTCGGCATGGCAGGAGTCGGGTTGAGGGGTAAAAGACCAGGTTAAGCTTACATGTAGGTTGACTGGGTCATAAGCACCTTACTTCACAGGCTAAAAAAGCAATAGAAAATATACAAATCGTCGTACGTTCTTCTGCCCGAGGCTGCCGTCGATTACAACTCCTCTTGATTATTACGGGTCACACGACTTTGCTGTTGTGAAACTATTCATCTGAGTGACGACTACAGATACAAATCTCATGAGATATCAGTGTATACAAATGACTTATAGGATGTAAAAAAGTGAACCTTGCAGAAGAGGGCTGCTTAGACTCCCATCGCAATCTGATCTTTATGCTCTATCTGTTTGAGTAAGCTGACAATTCTCTTTGTATGCCATGGTTATACACAACATGGAGTAAGAGACCATTCCACACGCATGTTCGAGACCGAGACCCCCGCAACATACGGCGCATAACCTTGATCATATGCCTAATAGTATTCACATGATGTTAAAAAAATGCCTTTGTTCTGAAGCCTTTCATACAGCCGCCTCTGTCTATGTCGCTCCGCAGCTCCGAAAATAGACTACATAATCAGCAGGCTAAATCGTATACTTAGCCGGATGCACCCCAGATCCGCTTGACGTCGATGGAACAGTATTAGCGGGATGCATCAGTTCCCAATATCTCGACAATAGTCATATTCAAATGGATGGGCGTTAATCATGTTCGGCACTTGCGTGCCGAAGACCTGGCGTCTACCGTCTTTAGGCAAAACTCCACGAGAAAGATGCTTGAGCTTCGTTTCAACGTCACTCAATGCGTTGATGTCTCAAAACCATCCGTTGGTGCGAACTGTATATAAAATCAAGCTGTCCAATCTTTTAATTACACTGTCATCAAGACAATCTCATTGCTTCTTATGCTTCAAGGCCTTCGTGATGGTCAGCTTTTCCTCTCTCGTGGTCGCCTTGGTTGGCATCGCCACCACCCTGGCCGCCCCCTTGGACGAATCCCTCAACGCAAACCTCACTGAACGTGGACCCAGCAACTTTGTTCTGGGAGGACACAATGCTGTCCGCCGTGCCACCATAAACTACAACCAAGACTACACCACCGGCGGAGACGTTGTTTACACGCACTCAAACACGGGCTTTGCTGTCAACTGGTCCTACCCGAATGACTTTGTCGTGGGCGTGGGCTGGAACCCCGGTGGCTCTGCGTAAGGACCGCCCGATACTCATTCAGTCCATTGCCATACTGATATTGTACTTGTTATAGCCCCATCAACTTCAGCGGCAACTTTGGTGTCGGTAGCGGCGTTGGCCTGCTCTCCGTCTACGGCTGGAGCACCAACCCCCTTGTCGAGTACTACGTCGTAGAAGACAACTTCGGCTTCACCACCGGCGGCACGGTGAAAGGCAGCGTCACCAGCGACGGATCGAGCTACACGATCTGGGAGAACACGCGCGTCAACGAGCCTTCCATCGTCGGTACGGCAACATTTCAGCAGTACATCTCGATCCGGAACTCCAAGAGGTCGAGTGGTACGGTCACTGTTGCGAACCATTTCAATGCGTGGAGATCGCTGGGGATGAATCTGGGCACTATGAATTATCAGGTTGTTGCTGTGGAAGGATGGGGAGGGCAAGGTGGCGTACAGCAAACTGTCTCCAACTAGGTAGCAACTGGACTGCTCTCCGAATTGCAATACTCCGTTGCCTTGAGTTTGATCCTCGAGCATTAAATGCCTGTAGTGTTGTACCTTTAGTATGACTAAGTGCAAGTGGAAATTGCTGAGGTGATTACATCCAGCCGCATTCGAGTTAACGGACAGCCCTACGACTACCTGGCTTACCTACCTAGGAATTGGGTTCGATCTAAAGGTACTCAGCATGCATAGAGTCCCTTAGTCAGAGTCATACTAGAGTTCAAGCAGCTCACAAAGGAACACTGGGACTCTTCGACCTCGTAAGAATGAAAGTAATGTCTGTATATTGCTGACACATCTTCATATTCTACAAAGATGTATTAAACAGTTACTGTAAGGCCAATTGTGCTAGGCCGATCGCTGTTCGTTCCATCCCTGACATTAAGATTCAAAATCAAACCAAAGATGCCTCAAAGTATCCCCCATGTCCCTCCAAGGTCCCTCCATACTCTAAGTGTCCCCTAGGCAGCTTTAATCGCGCTTAAGAATGCTTCTTGCAGCTGATAGTGAAGCGGTTCTGCCAGTCCACGGGCTTCTGGGAGAAGGTCTGGAAGTCCTGGTGCGGGTCGGAAATGTCGGCAACCTTGGTAGTGAAGTCCCTCAGGACGATGCACTCCACGTTCTGGAAGTCGGCGGTGAACTGGAGGCTGGTGACGAAGAGGGTGCCATCCTTCTCCAGGTTGGTGTGTCCGTAAGCCTGTCCGAGTTCTACGGGACGGCCGTCAAGAGGGATTCGGGCATTGCCGTTTGCTCCAGTCTGATCGTTGGCAAACTGGACTTGGACGGTGCCGACATCGCGAGGGCTGGGAGCGGCAGAGGCCGTCAGGGCAAGGAGGGAGAGAGACGAGGCGATAGCGAAGCGCATTTTGGCGAAGATGAAGTTGTTGGATGGATTTTGAGCTAAAAAGTGTGATGGTTTGATGTTTGTTGTAGTGCTGCTGTAGTAGTTGTTGATGCTGTAGAAGAATCGTTGGAAAGCGAGATGAAAAGCTGCTTATATAGATCACTTCTTCACATGAATATCTATTATTAAAAGAAAATACTATAAATAATATTGACTTTTGCCCACTGTCATAATTGTGTAACCCAGCACTATATTGCACCAGACTTCGGAGTTGTCTTTTTTGGTGTTATGATTCCTGTTACTCGTTGCGGCAAGCTTGTAAGTGCTATAAGCTGAGTCTGGGCTGACTCCATCTCCAAATTGTTTCCCATCCTTCATCCTCGAGCTAGCTGTGGCTTTGGACGCCACAGCGTTCGCTTACCCCAGAGACGTCATCTTCCCGACGCTTCCAAAGCCCACCTTACCAAGGCTGAACATGTTCGTTCCGGAGCCGTGCGGATGTCGTCAGGATGTCATTTTAGTCCCGGAGACCCGACATCCCGGCGTCCCGCTCCGTCCACGCGGTATCCAGCATCACATGCAGCTTATTTCGTATTCCTGTGAGTCTCGAATAGCATACGCTGTGCTATCCAGTTTCCTCCAAGCAGCTCCAAAAGTGCGTGAGGCTCTATGGAGTCTCTCTAGATTACCATCATCTCCGGCAATAGATCATTCCGAGGCTAATAGCAAGACCTAAATGACGGCGAGCTAGAGAGCATCTTTTCCATCGTGCAATTCCGTAAGCGGATCTTACAGCAAGCCAAATTTAGCTGGCTTATTTACTAGCTAGCAGCCTCAAAGCCGTCAGCTGCAAGTAAAAGTCAGCCGCACGCTCCGAGTCTGAGCCTCGACGATTTTTCCGCCAAGGTATGTTGTGCGACATTCTAGCGCCAAAATACGAGAACTGCATTCAAGTCGGGCCATGGAAACTCACGTACGTCCTCAATAACTTGAGAAGAATTTTGACTTGTCAATCCTTTCCATCCTGGAGGAATCGTAGCCAAAAGCCCAGAACATCGTCAGCTATGCCTCGACCGTTGGAATGGACGCTGCGCCTGCTCTCTCTCATATGATGATGGTGGCTGCCTGGAGCGCTCTGTGAATCCGTGCTTTCCTTCTACTCTACGGACTATGGTCTGCCAAAGTTTGTTCATCGTACTGTGCGATTGCCAGTTGACAGCTCATATTAATTGTCTGGCAAAGGTGGTGTGCCCGACCTTACGATTTGAGCTCGGAGGGTGGAATGCAACAATGGTCAGAGGCTTAACGGTCTGGTCGATCACGCCTTTTCCATTGGATGTAAATGATATGGCTTTAGCCTAGGATTCTGAATGTAAGCCATCGGAGTATTGGGTTTTCATGTGTAAGATGAATAAATCAAGTTTTTCGAGGGTATCACCTGAGGCCGTTTGACTGGGCTGAGTGGCTCCATGTAGATGGTCTTTTCCTTTGGTCGGCGAATCTTCGTGTCCGACTACAGCTCCCAATGGGCTCTGGAAGCGTATACCTTTCGTAGCTCCTGACAATCAGTTTTTGAAATGACTAAAAATTGTGATACCAGGGCCCAGCAAGGTCTTGAGTATCAAAAACTACCGTTTCGATCGATGATCTCTGTTGTGATAGTGATGGACCTACAGAAAGCAACGTTGTCAGAAGCTTAACGAGATGCTATCATGTCACTCCACAGGACGATATAAGAAGAAGACAAAGTGGAAGCCTTGAGTTCCCTTGTCAAATTGCATTTGGTCTGACCATCAAGATACAATCCTCTTTATTGTTTGTTATCAAATTCAGAAATCTTGTATTTCCTTTGGCATGATGAAGCCATGTGCAATAAGGCTCCCCGACCATGGCTGAGCAATTCTGAGCTGTCAATCGTGAAGCTTCGCCAGAGTTTGATCACAATGAAGAGCTAAAAGCCGTTTGTACGCCACCTCTTGATCTAAAACGAGCTTTATCTTCATAAAAATCGCGGGATGGCCCATCTGCGTCGTAGCTACAGCCACCACGGCGGCGCTTACAACGCCTGTTACGAATGTTTTCAGGTAACAGAGCTTAGGTCCCAATCAAGCCAAGGCGAGAAACTCATGTATTTAGGTCGCACAGTGATATGTTCGTTAGGCACCAGCGTTCTGATTCAGCTTGGATGAAGACCATGGTCAAGACCTTATCTTGTGGCAGTTGTAGGGATTATACCACACCTCCGACTGCTGCTCTCAGGCAAATCGCCCTTCACTTGCATCGGTATACCCTGATAATCCTCCTATGGAATGGTATTCTGAAGCTTGTTCGGGAGATCCATTATTCTAATAATTGGCCAGACCATGAGGTTGAAGGAATGAAGTTTCTCGTTGAAAAGAAGACTGGAGTACAGCAAGCGATGAAGCAGTTAGATCGTCTGGAGTTATGGCTATAGCAGGAACCCTGAACGCTTCAAGAAACATATTTCATATTGTGCAAGACTAGGTAAGGAAAAAACCAAACAGCATACTTTTCGTAATCGTGCTTTCAGACAAGCCACCCAACCTCGAGAACCGGGAGGGTGTTGAGGAAGCGGATGCCATCGACGCCTCTTCCGAAGCCATAATATTCTCGATTACTTGGCAGGGGAATCAAGTAAAGAGGCCAGACTAAGATTCTACGATACACATCTGAATATTAACATTTTGAGCACTTTGTGTTGTATGGTTTCGACTTCAAAGTTGCGCTAAGTCTTCGCATATTCTCCTCTCTTACAGCCAGCCTCAAACTGCACATTTTCCTTCAAACGCCAGCAGCTTCTGTCTTGTCTACTAGAGAGCCCCTACATGCTTTCTTCTACTACCTAATCCATTGCGGCTAGGCTCGTAGAACATACGAAAACTCCAGCACCATGACCACCTTGGGAACCTCATCCATGAGGAACTGCCTGGACATTACGTCTTGAAGCCAAAACTAACGCCGAAGCAAAGGACTAGCGGGACAACAGTATGTTGAGTGGATAGGCAACGTTGAACATCAATAACAACCCGTTTGAGCTGCCCTACAAACTACTAGGTAACTAAGTTCGTACCACAAACCTTATGCCCAAAGCCCAAACTCGGCAGTGGAGATACTCAATCTACCAAACGGCGTCCCACTACCGTGATGCGAAATCGCGGATGAATTTGGCAAGCTTCTCCGCACCCTCGAGAGAAATCGAGTTGTAATTGGAAGCTCGGATGCCTTTGAGCTCGCGGTGGCCCTTCAGCCCAGTCAGCCCCAAGGCAGCAGCGTCCTTGAGGAATGTTTCCTCGACGGCATCGCCACCCTTGATTCTGAAGCAGATGTTCATACGTGACCGTACTGTCTTGTCGGGGATGATCTGGTAAATGTCGGGATAGGCCTCGAGGGCTTCATAGATGAGTTGAGCCTTCTTGTCGGAGAGGACCTGCTGTCCTTGGACCTTGTCGGGATGTTGTTGTAACAGGCGCTTCAACACCCGACCCGCGATAAATATACTATGGAAGAAGCGATTAATTTGTTTAAACTTATAAGAAGACGTATTTTGGGAATATGTACTTACTCGAAAATGCTCAATGTGTTATAAAGACTGTTGTTTTTGGCAATAGTTTCGAATTCGAGGATGCGAGGCGGGACTGGTAGTGAGAGCTGTCTCATCAAGGCTGCAGAAGGCTGTTGGAGGAAGCGTTTCTGGATGATGACGACGGTGATACCAGTCGATCCGAGGTTCTTTTGGGCGCCGAAGAAGATGGCTGCGTACTTGGATACCGGGATTTTCCTCGAAAGGATATTGGAGCTCATATCAGCGACAACGATTGGTCCGTCAGGCCCCGGCTCGAGACACTTGGGGAATCCAGGGAACTCGACGCCGTGGACTGTCTCATTGTCGCATAGAAAAACCATGGCATGATCGCGAGAGAGTTTCCAGGTATCCTCGCTCGGGATCGTTCCAAACTTGCCGTCGTTCTCTTTACGGCCATCAGCCACGATGTTGACATGTTCCGGGCCAAAAAGTCGCTCGGCTTCGGCCGCTGCTTTCTGTGACCAGCCGCCAGTGATTATGTAGTCAATCTTGAGATTCTCCACGGCCGACTTGAGCTTCGGGACTGCGCTCTCATCGCTTTCCGAACCCTGCACTTCCTTCTGTTTGCGAGTGACCCAGTTGCCAACAAAGTTGTATGCCATGCTGGCAAATTGTCCGGAGCCTCCTCCCTGCATAAACAGGATTTCGTAGTCGTCTGGTATGTCCAGGTACGAGACCAGATCGGCCTTGGCCTCATTGATTATGGTCGCCGCAATCTGCGATCGATGCGAATGTTCGGCAACTACATACGGAGAAACCAGATGTCAGCGTCATTCGTCAGAGACAGCCGACGAAAGGTCACTTCAGAATGCGTCCTGGAGCTTCCTGGTGGAAGGAAGGGGAACGGCCTTCGGGAGCTCCATACCTCCAAGGCCAGTGTCATTGTAATTGAGAAGCGCCGCGGCAGCTTCCTCGAGGACGTCAGTGGGCAGCAAAGCTGGCCCAGCACCGAAACTATCACAATCACGAGTCAGCAATACGAAGACATTGTTGCTTCCAAGACAGGCCAGGAAAGACATATGAACGAGCTGTAAAAGGTTTCTTACTAGGTGATGTCTGATCTGGACGGCATGGCGGCGATGAATTCCCGATTGCTTGGACTTGGGATATCTGACTGATGAAGAGGACTGGTCGCGAATATGACTCCGAGGAGTTTTCCCGTCTCTTTTACCTCCCCTCCATCTCGAGCGACTTCGGCTGTCGATTAGATAAGCGATTAGATAGCGGGGCAGCGGGAGAGCAGCTCCGTGTGCGCACGGGCCTTGGAAATGCCGCGATGCCCCGCTGATGCACCGGCCTAATAAGGCAGCTGCGTGCATGTGTGCAGCAGAGTCTCCATCCTCGGAGTTGAACATCATCTCCTTCACACCATTCAACAGGCACCTCTCAACGTCGCATCATCATCCGAGTATGTCCATACTCTGGGCCTGCCTCCCTTGGCCGCGAATTTTGGGAAATACCAGAGATTGCTCACTCTTCTGTTAAAAGTAGTTCTACTATTGTCCTACGTTATGCTACTTTAGCCATTGCCCTCAGGCTGGTAGAGACTTTCGAAAATTCCAGCAATATGACCGCCACCATGACGTTTTATAGCCTCCAGCACTCAATTCTTATATAGCCATGTAGGTGCTCAAGTTTAAGCTGGATTCTTCTACATAACCACATATATGCTTTCAACCTTTGACAATTGCCAGAGTCGACTCTTGGTCGCTTAATTAAATGAACTGCGCGGGGTCCTTCATCAGCCGCTTGGACACCTCATCCATGATTAATGTTCTGGATGTTGTAGCGGTTTTAAGCATGAGCTTCAGTGCAACTGCATGACCCATTGGCGTGGTTTCTGAGGGTTTCACTGATTCTTTCACGTCGATGACCAGTTGGCAGAGCCTCTGTTGGTAATCAGATTGAGCTGTCGTCTCTGGAAGACGGCTCATTACTGGCCTCAGTTCGGTCAGCCGAATCGCATCTCACAGATTGGTCCCCGGGGAGAAATTGGAGCCTTTAAGCGTTCAAGCGGCCATTGTAGACATGGCTCAGATCCGCGAGCCAATGCCACGTGGGTTGACCTCATGGCGATGGTATTTCCGTTGTAAAACCTCGATTCTATCACAAGCTAGGCCTCCCAGTCCCGAGCCTCACCAAACGGACCACAGTATATGAACAACCAGTGAGCCCCGGAAAGCGCTTTCAGACTACTAGATAAGGCAATGACTCGTGCGGATCTTGAAGTAATGCTTTAAGGTCATGAAAGAAGGTGCGAGAAGTCGGGACGCCTCCCGGGGAGAGGCCGGGGAGTTCAAGCTGGATCGTGCATCTGAGCTGACAAGCGTGGGGTAAACGTGTGGAGAAGACGCCTCCCGGGGGAGAATCCGGGGCAGTCCGGGGAGAGCTTGGCTGGTGTCTTGATCGTCATGGCTTTTGATATGAATCAGAGCGGCCGGAAATGTACCCCGGATTTTGGGAAGACAGGTGTATAGCAGGGGTAACTCCCCGCGAAAGAGGTGCTCTTTGAAGCAAGCATCGTGTGACTATATAAGACTATGTCTCAGTGGCTTACACGCCCAACGCAAGCGGACATCCAAGGCAATCCATATAATGCTTTCACAGCCTTTATAAGAAGATAAGATGTTTGGCCACCAGTTGACAGGTGTGTACTCTTTGGCTCTCCTTTGCCTGGGCAGCTTGCCTCTTGCCGGTGCCTCAGTTGTCCATCGCCCGAGCGCACCCTCGGCTCACACTGTGAACGGGACTTATACCGGCCTCACTCTCGAATCCTTCAACCAGGAGGCCTTTTACGGCATCCCCTTTGCAATCCCTCCGCTGGGAGACCTGCGGCTGCGCTACCCCGTGCCGTACAATCAGTCATGGGCTGGCACTCGCAATGCCACCGTGCGGTCAGACTCATGCCCCGGCTTTGACAAGCCCTTTGCCCAGGGCTTCGCCGACGGCTTAACCATGAGCGAGAACTGTCTGACCCTTGACATTGTGAGACCTGCCAACGTCAAGCCCGGAGACAACCTACCCGTCTTCTTCTGGATCTACGGCGGCGGCTTCAAAGCCGGCGGATCGGCTGACCCGCGCTATAACACGTCCTTTATAGTGCGCAACTCGATGGAGATGAAGAAGCCCATCATTGCCGTCGTGCCCAACTATCGCACAGGAGCTTTTGGCTTGCTGGCCTCCAAAGAGGTTGCGGCAGCCGGCGTCGGCAATATTGCCCTGTTTGACCAGCGGCTGGCGATGGAATGGGTGTCTGAGAACATCCGCGCGTTCGGCGGCGATCCCACAAAGGTCACAATTGCGGGCGAGAGCGCGGGAGGCTCCTCGGCTGGATACCATCTGGTGGCGTTTGGGGGAAAGAATAACGGCCTCTTCAGGAGTGCCATCTTGGAGAGCTCGAGCTTGCTTGGTGCTACGAGTAAGTCTTCTTTAGCATCTAGTCTGGATACAGGGAGATGATATCGATGATTCGCTGACATTTTAAAAAGTGAACACGGTCGAAACACTGAACCTAACTTACCAAGGGTGGTATGATAACATTACCACAACGGTTGGCTGCAACACCGCCGCAGACTCCCTGGCCTGCCTCCGCACCGTCCCTTACCCAAAGTTCTTCAGTGCCATTAATGGCTTTCAGTTCAAGCCATACATTGACGGCAAGTTTGTAACCCAGCCTCCATCCGTCTCCATTGCAAAAGGCCAGATCGCGGATGTCGCCCTCATCATGGGATCCAACACGGATGAGGGCACTGCCGAGTTCTTTACGCCTAGGGGGACCTTGAACAACGACAGCGACATTGCGTCTCTCGTCGCCCATCTTGCGAATGGTCTCAGCGAAGAGATTGTCTCCAACGTCCTTCGTCTCTACCCCGATGATCCCATCCAGGGCTGTCCCTTTGGCACTGGACCCGAGCGGTTTGCAGACCAGGGCGTCCAGTACAAGCGCGGCGCCGCCATCACTGGCGACTTGAACATCCACGCTGGCCGTCGTGCCTATGCCGTGAGCCATAGCCAACGCAGAAAGCACCCGATCTACACGTACCGCTTCGACCAGCCGCCGTGGGATATGAAAGAAGTCGACGTCACCATCACCGCCCCCGTATTTGTCACGCACTACAGTGAGATTGTCCATGTTTTCGATAACCCGGACAAGAACGTCAACTGGATCGGGCCGTATCCCATTCTTTCGGAATTGGCCAACTATGTGTCGCGGTCTTGGGTTTCGTTTATCCACGATCAGAATCCGAATAATCACGGTCTTCAGGGTAAGCCGGTCTGGCCCAGATACGACGCCTCCCAGCCACAGAATATCGTTTTCAGGGCTGGTGCCAGCTGGATTGAGAAGGATGATTGGAGAAAGGAGCAGTTGGCATATTGGAGCACGATCTGGTCGGAGGTCATGACATAGTCGTATCCCATACTTTATCCGATCCTGGTAGCTCTCCTCTTGAGAAAAAGCTCAAGAGATGCAGTCTGCAAGCCAGGAAAAATTGAGAGAGGTATTTAGGAGAGAATAAGGAAACGATATTACGAAAATCTCCTGTGATTTTATCTATAAAGCAATCTGTCACACAGTTGAGCACATACGACCACAGGTAGCGGAATATTCGGGGTCTCGTCTGCTCCCCCATAGACAAGCCACTAACCGGCAGATTAGTAGTCAAGTGGGTGACCATTGGCGAACACCGGCTGTTGTATGTTTTCTTTTTACATTCTTTTTTGCTTGGTTTAGCCCCACAATCGTGTTTGTTGCGTGTTCATGTATATTGCGAATATTATTGGCAGACATGTGACTATGGACCAACAATGTCCTGCGCATCATCCATCCTTCGGGCTTCAATCCAGGAGATGGCCTCTTCCCGATTGCGGCAAACATGAGGCTGCCCTCTCTCCTTATCGTCCGGCGTTGACATGGACCCTTCTAAAGTCATGTCGAGATTGCATAGGATGCTGTTTCGAAGATACTCAAAACAATGGGCTGCATGCCTCGGGTTGTCTTCTTCACTAGGCCCATTCAGTATCAACTGGTGATAGCTATCCACGCTGTAGTATAACTAGAAATCGTTCAACATGGTCAGCTTATAAAACGACTTCCAGGAGCGACTGGTGTTGGCAGCATTGACTTACGCAGTGCAGCGCATGCGTCCATGATGCCTCGAATAACGGGCCGGAACGAATGGGGTCGTCGGTGATGGGATTGCCAAGTAATGGATGATCTTTGTAGTCGGGGATAAGAACACTTCCGCTTCCCACTACAGTACAGTAACGGTTAGTATTATACCCTCTCATAAGATTGACAGCATGGCAGTGGCTACGTACGTGGCATCAACATATCCCAATTTCTCCGGATCTCCATTCGATTCTCGTTCGACGTCATGTTCGGGATGAATTTATCCTCTTCAGGCTTGAGATATGTGTACGTATGCGAAACTGTCTAATGGTTAGTAAAGAGGTCCCAGATAATGAAGGCGGGATAGAGTTGGCTCTCACGTGTCTTGTACAGGCCATTAATGTCACCACCCGTCTCGACAAACTGGCCTCCTGGACCTATTCCCTGAAGATCGTTGCCTAAGTTCGTGCTACCACCTTGCTTCAGACAGAGCAACAGGATGATGATCGTCTGTAAGCCGACAACTACCCCCCATCGTAGCCACGTCCAGAAGTTGGAGGACATCTTGGCTCTTTCTATCAGTCGATGCGCGAAGGAAGATGCTGATTCGTCTGCGTCGTCTCGTAAAGACAGAAAAGCCGTCTTGTCGAAGACGTCAGCATTCGAAGAGATCTTTGTTGTGTCCGATGCATTATCTTCTAGGTCGACGTCTTGGCCCTCTTGAGGTTCGTCATTTCGTTTGAGTTTGAAGTATTTCCCGGCGAAAGCCATGTTGACGATGAATTATTAAGTTGCGTAAATGTATAGAAAGTGAAGAAGAAAACGCCAGCGCAAAGTGAATGAAATAGAAATGTTTCTCTCTGTACCAGCAGGAGATGGACGGTTGAGGATGTCAAAAAAAGGAAGAAACAACCATCCACTGGACAAAACCGAGTTCCAAACAGTTCAACAATGGCCTCCTCTTATTACGATCAATCATCGAAACTTGTGCTGTTTGATGCGACAAGAAACCTCTCCTCAAGACCTATTCCCTGAAACACATATTTCTCCTAATCTTTACGAAGCGATGAGATTGGTCAAACTAGGGAGTTATGCGACGAGTGTTTGGGCGGCTAGGCGAAACAGGAGTCGGAGATATGCTGGTACCCGCGTTGTGTCAGGGTTGCCGGGGGTCGGCAGATGATTTCCGCTTCGGAATTACAAGACTCGAAATCTTTTTCTTTGCAGAAACATGGGGATAGTTCTACCATTACTATGCGTTATAATTGATTCGAACATGTTATCACGCCACACGCTAGGTCGGAGGAGAGACCCCTAGGTATGATTTCGAGCCAGCAGTACCAAGGGGCTACTAAAGTGACGACTCCCTGGACGCAGCACCACCAGCGGCGGCTAGTGTAGACATCACTACCAAAGCACCCATCTACACGAATTCTACAAGGTTGCATGATCACAGCTAACTATATGCAAACAGAGGTGAAAACCATTCAATACAAAGTATCCAAGCTTGAAAGTAATGGTAATGATAATGGTAATAATAAAAATAGATATCTAAGGCGAAAAGTGCATATTGGTATAAGCGTAACCAAGACTATCTTACACAGCACATCGCAAACAAGGCCAAACGCTGCATTTAGTGCTCCAACACCTCCATGTTCCCAACAGAATGGTCCAACGCCCACTGGCGCACTCCCTCAAAATCTCGACAAACGTGCTTCGAGTTCAGTTGCGGCCAGGCGAGCGGATCGTCTGGAACCATGTAGAAAGTGAAAAGACCAATGTCCGCGTTACACTGAATGTTGAGTCGAAGCACTTCGATGCAATGATCTATACACGTGTGAGCTGAGGCCATGTCTGGACGTGTGAGAGATGCGCTTACCGGTGTGTGCTTGAAGGGCTTCTGGACCGTGACTGAACTCTCCACCAAGCGGTTCGTAATACTCTTTATAGGTGACCCGTCGCAAGAGGTTCAGGCAGTGCAGGTGGTGAAAGACTTCCATGCCGACTCTGTACCCTTCCTCTCCGGTAGTTGGATGGTTGACCTTGAGGGAAGTTTCTGGCATATCCAACTTGGAGAGGTCGGACTTTGATAACCACTGGTCGCCCACTTTCATGCAGTTGTTAGAGCTGGTGACCACTCAGCAATTTGGCCGCGAAACTCACTATCGTAGGAAATCTCCCTCCAGACTCTGTCAACCTCGGGTCCAGCGCCAACGAAGGGATTGCCCTTTGATGTGATGTTATATCTGACTTGCTTGTATTGCACAGCGGTGTCGGCGGGTGCTGCATATGCCAGTTAGCTATCTTGTCTTGATGTGCAATGCAGCATGCATCACTACTTACACCAGGCTGAAGTCTGCCGAACGGCATGGAGGGTTGATGATCGCAACATCGCTGTGCTAACGAGCATTCCACACGAAGTAAGAAGCAAAGCTGCGTGCACAACCCAGAGCCATTTTGACCTGATCCATCCAGACGCTGATTCACGGCCGGAAGCCTTCAAAAACAGTTCCGAATCGCGCGAAAGATAGTCTAGATCATCGATGGCTCGCAGAGTCGAAGTAGAATCAGATGACAGACGACTGGGGTTCTCGCCAGGCAAAGATACTTCCACAGGTCGATATTGGAAAGCCATGGTTGTGCAAACGAGAATGGTATGAATGAAATCGCATGCGATTTTCGGTCTGAAAGAACTTTGGTTCTGCGTAGGATAATGAACTTTGAAATTCTTTTTCTTGGATGAGAAGAGAAACGTGATGAAAAGTGGGCAGCAGGTTAACATGTAGTAGAGACGGGCGAAACAGGCGTGAACGTTGCCGAGGTCATAAAGACGGAACATAAATCTAGCTCGTCTCATATTGAATCAGCTAATCATTTTTTGCAGAAAAGATGAACCGATTCCCAAACCGCTAGATTCGAATACTGGCCATGTTTTGCAGCCGTCTGGAACTACAGCCGTTTCATTGCCTGTTGTGATGCACGTCTGTAACTTCATGTTCCTAGCAGTCGCGCCAAATCGACAGGGGACTCAGAACTGGGGTATGGCCATAGAATGCTGCTACAGCCTAGAACACCACAGGAGCCTCAACGCGAGATTGATCGTCAGTTTCAATTGGCGCTCGCTTAGGATTCCAGCTGAATAGCGAATGCATTTTTCGTTTCAACAACATTCCTGGACAGAAGTTCTCGTTGCAGAGCGATTCGCCTGTTCTCGAATCTCCGCCGACAGGCCGAGTATTCTAGAGAACTATAAAACAACTCTGTAGTTCACGTCCTTCTCAGTCCCTTTTCCTGGCTCTCATCCATCATCTCATCTCATCTTCCATCTCATCTTCTTTCTTTTCACACTTTCGACTGCCGGCCGGTCTTTTATTTTTCTTCATCTGTCTTTTTTGCAGTTCTTTCTTCTTTCCTTTTCTCCTACATTTCCCTCTCAATACCAAACATCCAACTCTTTCCACCATGCGTCCCTCTTCAATCACCAATGCCTTTGTTTTCGGCCTCCTTGGCTTGGCCCCCATCGCTGCCGGCCTCTCAGTGCCTGGCTCGACAACAGACGTGGAGCGTCGATACGTTGTAAGTGAACTTGATTCAGGATATGAAACGCCTCAGGCTAACCAGATGAACTAGGGTTCCGGTGCAGCTTTAGCCTCCAAATTCGTACGCTCCATCATTGCGGAACTTGACGCTCGCCACCATACCGAGGCCCAGATTGCCGCCAAGGAGGCTGCTGCTGCCAAGAAGGGTGGAAAGAAGCATCAAGCCCGGGAGGCTGATGTGATTCCTCCGGATGACGAATTCGGCTCATGGGCCGACAAGAGGGCACCGCATCATACCGAGGCCCAGATTGCTGCCAAAGAGGCCGCTGCTGCAAAGCAAGGTGGAAAGAAGCATCAGGCCCGCGATCCCCACCATACCGAGGCACAGATTGCTGCTAAGGAGGCTGCTGCTGCCAAGAAGGGTGGAAAGAAGCATCAAGCTCGCGAGGCTGATGTGATTCCTCCGGATGATGAGTTTGGATCGTGGGCTGACAAGCGCGCACCCCATCACACCGAAGCTCAGATTGCCGCGAAGGAGGCTGCTGCCGCCAAGCAAGGTGGAAAGAAGCATCAAGCCCGGGAGGCTGATGTGATTCCTCCTGATGACGAGTTCGGCTCATGGGCCGACAAGAGGGCTCCCCATCACACTGAGGCCCAAATTGCTGCCAAAGAGGCCGCTGCTGCTAAGGGTGGAAAGAAGCATCAGGCTCGTGAGGCTGATGTTGTTCCCGAAGACGACGAGTTTGGTTCATGGGCTGATAAGCGCGCACCCCACCACACCGAAGCTCAGATCGCTGCCAAAGAGGCTGCTGCTGCCAAGCAAGGTGGAAAGAAGCACCAGGCTCGTGAGGCTGATGTTGTTCCGGAGGATGACGAATTCGGTTCATGGGCTGACAAGCGCGCACCCCATCACACCGAGGCCCAGATCGCCGCGAAGGAGGCTGCTGCTGCCAAGAAGACCGGAGCCAAGCAGTCCAAGAACAAGTCTAACTGAGCCTGAAGTGGACAGTTTACTGTTGGCCAGTCATAAGCACTCCAGTCATGGATATTGGATAGGAGGATGCAGAATGTGGAGATGAGCAGAGAGATGGATCGCCATAGTTGATTAGCTGTTAGCTCGAATCCTACTATGGTTTACTTCAAAATCAGCCTTTGTGTTGAAAATGATATGTTTGGATGTTTGGAATTCACCGAAACTGTTGTGCTTCACCAGCAAACTTCTACTTTCACTTTTGTTTGTTATTCTGCTTCCAGTTCAGAAGTGATATAGGTAGAGTAGAGTAGGTAGACGTAGACGTTGCATCGTCTACAAAGGCCCTTTCTCCTTCGCATCTTCGTTTAATAGTGCATGCTCGGTTCGCCATGGAATCGTGTCAGGACCATGTTTGCCGGACCTTCAGCTTCAAGGGACGTGAAAAGTCTCTCAATAGGTAGGTAGTCATTATGATTGTTGACGACATGGTCATACGTTGCACCCTCGGGGGATGCTGGTAGGTTCTCCGCCAAATACACTAAAGAAAGCAATCCGCAAGCCAGAGGAGATTAAGAGGCTCATTCAGTAAATATACATAGAAGAATGAGTAGTTGTAAGAATATCATCTCTCCGGGTAAACCCTGCGCTCTGCTGCTAACCCCTGCCTCATATAGGCTGAATTGCTACATGACTAAGCACATACGACCATAGGTAGTGGAGAGCTCGGGGTCCCGTCTGCTCCCCCATAGATAAGCCACTAACCGGCAGATTAGTAGTTGGGTGGGTGACCACCAGCGAACACCGGCTGTTGTATGTTTTTATATTTTTGCCTCTCTTCACATTGATAACATGTACCTATTTGTCGGGTGACCTCGTGGGGGCTTCATGAAAGCTGTTGCAGTGGTTTGTCAACCACATACGGGGATAGTGGAATGGCCACCCCCGCAGTCAGATCTATCCTGAGGGCAGGTCAAACTGCTTATACTAACATCAGGGGATCTCAAGTAATTCCTAGCCATATTTGCCCGGGTTACGCAGGCTCGGTTCGCGTGGAGACGATGAAGTCTCACCAGCCATCCGCCGCTTCAGTGGACTGCATCGTGATATGTCTTCTCGGCAACCTCAGCTCATTGCCTGATGCCACAGCAACCAGTGCTTGAGCTCCGGTGCTTTGGAACACTGCTGACAAGTGAGGCGCGAGGTGATCCATGGCCAAGCTCTCTACTTTAGCCCTTTCCAAGACCTTCTGCGTGACACGCGCGAGAAATCTCAGTCTTGTCAGTCCTGTTGTCTGGCCGTCCAGCCTCGGCAATTCGACTTGAAGCCTGCTGAGCGTTTCCTCTAACTGCAACTTGTGATCTTTTGAGCTTGGGTCCCAAAACTCTTCCAGAGTTTCAAGACATTGGTGATGATATATATGGCTAGCAGTGTTGTTAAACAGAGCCGTGACGAAAATCGTGACAGGGTATTGGCGCTTAACTTCGTAGGTCGAAAAGCTTGTCTCATCCAGACGTACACGGACATTCTTCTTTGCACCGTGCCTGAGGAACCTTGAAAACATTGAATTGCTGATCGCTTTCGCGAAATTTCGGCCGCCTTCAAGTCCGCAGGCTTGTCGCAGGAAGAGACACCACGCAGATTCCTTCTCTCCATCATTAGGGTCGTGTCCGCGCTCAAGAAACTTAGCAATGATGTTGATATGCCCTTGTGACCACTCGAGCGGGACAACGGCAGTGTATAATGGCCACTCGAATGGGTTATCGAAGAAGTCCGGGTCTTCGTCGAGTTTGACAAGGACATATGTATCAACACCGGCGGTGAGAATCTCAGAACGAAAGATGAAATCAGCTGAAACATTTACAAAGTCGGCGGCGCTACGGCCCAAAGCGCCCTGGTACAGTCCTTCGACAGCATCAAGGTGCATCAATGCTGACTCTTGACACTCTTCGAGGGCATCGTTTGCATATTTAAGGCCTTGTCGCCAGTACGGTTCGTCGTCAGCTAGGTCGACCCATTCTGCAGTTCGCATCCAGCATCTGAAGAGGAAAACGAAACCCTTGAGAGTCGAGAGGTTCACCTTGAATTCCTGGCCGCTTTTTTGACATATATAGTCGCTCATCTCCTTGGTGAGGAGAAAATCGCGGACAGTTCGATGGAGGAATTCGACCCTGTTCTGCTTGATTTCTAACAAGCCACCGCACCTCGCATTCATCCGACGGCGGCACTGGTCAAGAGTGGCATCAAGCTGGTCGGCGGTGTGGGAATCCGTCGACCTATTCAGAGCAAAATCTTTGTCCTCCTCCTCGTATTCGAGCATATGGTAAAACTCAAGCTGCAGTGCCTGCCTTGCATTTATCGCTATTCGCAGTGTCCGCGCCATGGGTTCGTGATAAAGAGGGTCAATCACCTCTAGCATGTGTTTGAAGAAGGGCTCGAGCTCGGTCGGAAGGCTGTCGAGTCTCCTCTGCAAGTCCCTCATGGTGTCCCCATTAATCAACCCGTCTCTCAGTGATCGGGTCACGAGGAAAACCCACAGGAATACGCCATGCGCTCGTTCAGTGACCTGATTGACGATTGACTCCATATCCCATCTTGCAAAGTGTCGCTCGTTCCATCGCGGGTGTTCAAGCAGCCGGCTCTGAGTATACGCCAAGATATCTTGCCGCGTGAGGTTGTGAATGTATAGCTTCTGAGAACTGTTGATGCCAAAAGCATCTTCGAAAACGTTCCAAGGTCGACTTGAAAGACAAAACTTGAAATTTGCCGATTTAGACAACTCTCTGAGCACCTGACACATCTCAAAGTGGTCGCCGTCGAATTCGTCGAGTCCGTCGATGAACATGCAGTATCTGGTTGAAGAGCGGTGCCGGCCTAGAACTCGCAGAGTCTCGAGGAGTTCTCGGTTGCTCCATTCCTTGCTGTGAGCAGAATCCAGCGGCCCGGTTCTTGACCATCGCTGTGGGATAACTTTGGCCATTTGCTCGGGGCACGCGCGAAAAATGTCGTACAGGAGCGCTCGGAGCAGACCCTGCTGGGATTTCTGAATAGGCGTGCCAGCAGTCCAGAAAAAGTGAGTTGCGATAGCGAGTTTATTCGACTCTGCCCATTCTTCAAGCCATCTCCTTGTGCGTTCGTGGTCGGCGATAAATCTCATCAGAGTTGACTTGCCGGATCCTGCTTTGCCGGACACCCAGAATATCCCATTTCCGTGCCTCAGCCAATTGAGGAGGAGTACTCTTTCATTAGAATCATCCCTCTGTCCGTCTTTTGAAGGATCCAGTATCCATTGAAACGTCGTGTCGTGTGCCATTGGGATATCGTCGTGGCGTCGCGGTCGAGCCGAGAAATTCAAGCTCTTGAGACAGGCTTGTTCCTTCGCAATGGTTGCCAGTTCCCGCTCAGTCAAGTCTAGGCTCGATACTCCCGCTACTAGGCTTTCTATCTCATCGGAATCCAGAATCAAAAGGCTGCCGTCTTGAATGCCCCTTTCATGGGCTGCCTGCTTTATGAGGTATGCTGTGCTAGTGGTGTCAGATGATGATTCAACATCCGTGCGAAGGAGGGCTTCCCGTTCTGCAGCCGAAGGGATTTGCTTTTCAATCGTTTTTAGGCGACTAGCGAGATTGTCGAATCTTGTCGATTGATCTAGTTTCATTGCAATACTTTGGTCCCGAAGTTTGTTCACAGCATGAAGCGTGGAAGACTGCTGATGACTGAAATATGGGTCATACACATCAATCAGCAGAAACAACGTACTCAAAGAAATGCAGACGTACCTGACTATGGGCAGAAAATGGAAGTATATCATCTTCTGATACCGGTTTATCCTCACTTCCAAGTCCTTAACCTTCTTGCTACTCCACACAGTCCTCAATGCAACTTTGAGCCCCTTCACTGGACGGAAAGATGTCCCATCGATACGAAGCTTCCCCAGAGTCTCCAGAAGGGTTTGGCATAGAGTGTGGCAGTCCGCACAGAGCTCCTTCAGAACGGTGTAATGCGACCGAAGTTCAACTTGCTGGCCGGCGTCCGTCATATCGACCACTGAGCTACGTAACGCTCTCACATCATGACTGTCGGATCCTTGTTGGCTCGTCACCTCGCTCAACCCAATGCTAAATTCGCTCAGTCTCTCGTATATCTTTTGGAGCTCCAAAGTATCTTGAGAGGCGCCATGGGCCGACCCTGCTATCTCGGCACCAGTTGAGATGAGCTTTGACAAGAAGTCGACGAATTGTACCGCATTACTGCCCAATCCTATAGCGGCTAATGCCTCCATGGGACCGATTTGTTTATTTCGACGATGGTTGCAGCTGGTAATTGAGAGTTAATATTGGTGGGATCAACTTTCTACCCAATTGCACACATGGATGTAAGAAGTGCAAATTGATCTGCGATGAAAGGATGCCAAAGCGCACATAACAGACTGTATGTACTTTGAATCGTTGGATGAGTGCAGGACTGGCAGGGCGCTGAGCTACCTACAAATAGGCACGACGGGGCTCTGAAACCGACAAGAAACAACGCCTTGCCAGGCTGCCTCGGTGGCTGTGCTACAAACCCCTGTCGTATCGCATGCAAGTGCCGCCAAATGCGTGGCACTCAAGTTAAGCCATCCTCGCCGAAGTAGGCTCCCATGGGGTTATCCAGCATATCGTGGACAATGAATCGGTCTCGTCTAGATCATGTCGAGGTCTATATATCGGTAGAATATCCGATCACGCGGTCTTAGAGCCGACATGCGGCGGCTAGGTAACTCTTTGGTGTCGCAGCTGTCCTTAAAACTGCCATTATCCCTGATTCTCGTAGCAATACGCAGCCTGGTGGTTTCTAGACTTTGACAGACCTGATATCACAGGTAAAGTAGGGTGAAGAAGGTATACAGTATGCGTGGATACCAAGCTCTGTGTCTCCGACGCTGGGAGCGGCAATGGGTTTCGGTGAGGAGTTGGGGCCAATGACTTGTCTAGCCGACCTCACAACGTGGACCATGTCCTATAAATTCGCCTTACGGCTCTGCAGGCCTTACATTCATCGCTCTCTACACGAAGTTAAGCTACACGAAGCGTTTTTCCCAGGGCACTGCCGTCTCAGCCTCGATTACAGCGTTCGTCCAAGCCGTGACGTGGCGCAGTACATACTTGGCCTCTGTAGCCAACCAACCATACACATCCGCCGTACACACACCGCACACCCTGGGCACACCCTCTGCTCGGATCAAAGCAGATCAATATTTTGGATACAAGTCTTATAATACATTGGTGACTATGCTTGAGCTTCTATATGCCATTGCAGTCGAAGCTAAAGCGCCTCTCCTTGGTCAAGAGAACCTACCACTTACATCGACCCTACATGGAGTAATAGACCAATAAGCTTTATACACAAGTGGAAGCAGAAGGATCCCTTGTCTCTTCCCTTAACATCAAAAACGTCCAAGTTCGTGAAATTTCACTTACCCAGTCAAAGAGGAGGAAGGTAGCAATACCCATCCAACAAATTCAGCATACGACTTAGTCTTCAAGTACTTGATTAGTTTCCATTTCTGGCCGAAAGGTGGCACCAATTAAAGAACTGCAGCATCCTGGCTACTCGAAGAAGATTCAGAGAGCAACGCGCCAATAGCCTTGACAACGGTTCTCTTCTGCTCCGCGAACCCAGGGGCTCCCAGGGCAAAAATAACAGCATTTTGGCCCCTAAAAAGCAGATTGGAGGACGGATTTGGTAGAATCCGCCGAGAGTGAATAATGCTGTGAGAATGATCTTGTCGATACTACCACTAGCATATGACATTACTAGTAGAGATATAGGTGACGAGGGGGTGACAATATATAGCCACAGACTCCGACAATAGCAACATTATTGTAAGCCATTCCGGACTTTGCAAGGCAATACCCCCGGGTTCCTAAGGTAAACAGCTCAATTAAGCGGATACGGTAAAATGAATGAGTAGCTTGTTTAAACATCAATGATGTTGTCTTCCCGACAGTGGTCATGCTGGTGGCGCTGGTTACTGGGTGCCGTGGGCTTCGGGGAGGGGAACAACCTAGGGAGGGCAGGGTACTCTATACTTGTGGCTGGGAACAGCATTTGGAAGGGCCTAATCTTTTGTAATATATTTTTGCCTTTTTCTCCTTTATTTCCTTTTTCCTTTTTTATTCTTCTCCCTTCTCCAACTGAATCTGTCTAAGAAGTATGTCCATGTGGTTTTTTAGACGGTAGCTCGCCTGAGGAGACAACTTATGATAAGACAGTACCAGGCTAGCTTGTTGCTTTAGGAACTACCTATAAGAGGGATTACAGGGTGGACCTTTTATGTATGACAATGGGCTCTCCTAATAAGGCATTCACTGATTACGCCTAAAGCTGCAAAATTCTGATATGCATAGAAGTAGTCCGGCAAGACCATGATAAAGTGCTGACTCCGGATCGCTGGCTCACCCTCCAGGCGCCGTTTGCCCAATTCAGTTGTGGCACCCGGGATAGTTGCTCTTTTACAAAAGTTTGAATAATTGGTGGCTTGTGGATTCACTAACTCTCTGTGCGAATGGTACCTGTATTTGAACTTTGTAGATCATCGAGATCAGGGGAAAGGGGAATGCACTCAACAATGTATCTTATTGACCAGGCATTTGTTTGTCAAATTGAGGCTTATAATTGCCAATCCAGTATTGTGCGAAAAATTCTTTGTTGGACATGCAATTCGATGCAAGTGGAAGTTTCCGTGAAGTCAATATGCTTCCCTATGGCGGGGCCGCTGAGGAGCGACTACTAGCAGCAACACCATGGCTCCAGATGTTCACGCCATATTTAGTTCGTCGCGTACGATCAGCTCGTAAAAAGCCTACGCCTACCGAAATAGCCATCGGACTATAAGGAATCAATCTGGTCAACCGTCTTTATAATGTTAATCGTTGCCGCACCTTTAAATGCAATTACCGAGCTTGTCTAACCCGAAAGTGTGGCATCCCATTGTCGCGGCCCAATCGCAAGGCTCGCTGCTCGATTCCTCACAATGCAAACATCTAACGCCATCGCGAGGGCCCCGGTTTAGTCTCACACAACGTTATCGTCGAGGCAACCCCCAGAAAAGCGGGATTATCGTGGGGAATCTTTTTCATAACAGAACTTTGAGGACCTACGTACTTCCTATCAGGCATTAGGTTATGATAATCATGTATGTATGTATAGGTGTGTCGTGGTTGGGGCTGATGATAAAGCGACTCCCGCTTTGATATGATATCCCCTGCATGCAACCTCGGGCAAGGTTATGGCTAGACTACTCTGTATCTACACAAGCATCGTCGTCACGCAACTCGCCATCGAGCCAAGAGAGCCAATGGCAGCTCATCCAGTCCGTGACAAAGCCGTTGATCCCAGCAATGATGTGATTGCTCTCAATCATCGCGACACCCCGAGCATCGCAATCTTCTGCAAAACGACGTAGCTGCAGAAAGGTCAACCACCCATTCCAAGGCCTCGGCCTATCTGCAGCGTCTGATGGTGTAATAGATGCCCCGACAACGCGGTAACGTATGCCGGCTCGTCGCCAATATATAAGAGGCGAACGCCCGCTGCTTTGGGACAGACTGGGAACTTGAGCCAGGGCTTCTTGTGATACGACGTCAGCTCAGCAGCAAGTTGATCTCGCCACAATGTCGCACAGCGTGGTGCCAGCGCCACAGGATGGCAAGGAAGGAATTGCCGACGAGAAAGCCGTCTTCACGTCCCAGGAGTCGTCGGTAACAGGCGAAGTTCCGGAACGTAAAGATGAGGCGTTTGGGTCGACCAAGGACCATCCCTTTGCTGACCCGGCCATGGCTGCGCACTGGCGCGGCGTGTATGAGAAGGCAAACTATGAAAACCGGCACAGGTTTGATCCCGAGTTTACGTGGACGGCAGAGGAGGAGAGGAGACTGGTCAGAAAGGTATCTTGCTACTACGTGATACTCGGATGCCTCGTTGTAATTGGTTGCTAATATTGAGAAAGATTGACCTGAGGATCATGCTGTGGGCTTGGATCATGTTTTGCGCTCTCGACCTTCATCGACGGAATATCAATCGCGCCATCTCAGACAACATGGTAGGGAAAATATCAATGCCCATCTCACGTATCAAGAGCTTCAACTAACACCCACCAGCTTCCGGAGGTTGGCATGAACACAAACGACTTCAACTACGGACAAACGGTGAGACACCCATTGTCTTCATTTAGTTAAACTGATCAGGCATACTAACTACCGCTCCATCCAGATCTTCCTCGTTACATTCCTCGCCGCCGAGCTGCCCAGCGGCCTGATAAGCAAGCGAGTCGGCGCCGACGTCTGGATCCCATTCATCATGATGAGCTGGTCCCTCATTGCGGGCAGCCAGGCTTTCATCCATAACAGATCGTCCTTTTTTGCCATTAAAGCTCTTCTTGGCCTCTTCATGGGCGGCTTCATTCCGTACGTGCTCCCATACGACGTGGAAGAATGACGAATAGCTAACACGAAGCAGCGACATCGTGCTCTGGCTCACCTACTTTTACAAGTCGAACGAACTTCCCGTCAGATTGGCCTGGTTCTGGACTGCCCTGAGTACGGTCAACATTGTGGGCTCACTGATCGCCTCTGGCGTCCTTCAGATGAGAGGCATTGCAGGCTGGGGCGGCTGGCGATGGCTGTAAGCAATTCAAACCTCGATTTTGACAGTAACTCCCTCTCTAACACCTGATCCAGATTCCTCATCGAAGGTATCCTGACCCTCATCATTGGCACATTCTCGTGGGTTCTCATGCCCCCCGGACCGTGCCAAACCCGAAATTGGTTCCGCGGCAAAGACGGCTGGTTCACCGAGCGTGAGGAGTCCATCATGGTCAACCGGCTCTTGCGTGATGATCCCAGCAAAGGAGACATGAACAACCGGTAAGTACTCAGCGATGCGAAACACGGGCTTAAGGTACAGAAGCTCACGATGCCGCAGACAAGCCGTCGGCCCCGTCCTCCTCTTAAAGGTCCTCAAAGACTGGGAGCAGTGGCCGCTCTACCTCCTCGGCCTCCTCGTCTACATCCCGCCCGCCCCTCCGAGCACATACCTGTCGTACATCCTCCGCAACATCGGCTTCTCCGTGTTCAAGGCCAACCTGCTCACCATCCCGTCCCAATTCCTCTTTGCAGTCAACCTCATCATTATATCCTGGGTCTCTGAACGCTTCAAGGAACGCGCAATTATCTCGTCCATTTCCAACATCTGGATCTTCCCGTGGCTCGTCGCTCTGGTGACTCTTGACGCAGAATCTTCACCATGGATACGATATGCGCTTTTGACGGGCCTACTCAGTTACCCGTACTGCCACGCCATTGTCGTCAGCTGGAACGCAAAGAACAGCAACGCAGTCCGTACGAGAGCCGTCAGCGCGGCTCTGTACAACATGTTTGTGCAGAGCGGCAACATCATCTCGTCCAACATCTACCGCGACGACGATCAGCCTCTGTACAGACGAGGCAACAAGATTTTGCTGGCTATCAACTGCTTCAACATTGTTCTCTTTTACGCGGTCAAGGTGTTTTACATCTGGCGGAACAAAATCAGGGAGAGGCAGTGGAACGCCATGACGAAGGAGGAGCAGGAGGACTATTCGCTGAATACCACGGATGAAGGGATGAAGCGTCTAGACTTTAGGTTTGTGCACTAGATGGATGCTGGATAGATGTCGACCAGGCCTAGGTACCTTGGATAGTGCACTCTTTCGTCCAAACTGACTCCTGATGTACACTCTGCGTTTTTGCCCACCGACCAACAATTATCCGGCGCGAACCTGGTGTAGGCGGTACGGCTGCAAGGGCAGCTTGTCAGTTCGATACCACAACGTTCCAAGTACGGGACATTCCATCACCGTTCCGGCTTGTCGCTTGGCAGTCTAATACGTCCCTTGCAAGCCTATAACTAGCAAATACAGCATAGTATGGGGTATTCATAAGTGTGTCAGCAAGCAAGCAAGTAGATACGAGGATTCTGTTGTACGTCTCAATGCTGTCGGTGCTCTGTTCCTACTGTTACTGTTGCCATATGTTTGTTGGACGTCAAGACGCAGCGAGCACCAGATGCTCCGGAAGACTTTCGACAAGCTCAATTCTCTTCTCCTCTAGCCATCCTCAATCGCCCCGAGGCGGGAAAAGATGCCCCAAGCTTTATAGTGATGACTTTGTCACTTCACTATCCACACAATGGGATAACAATCAGCGTCCATAGCAGCGTCAATGGTCTTCAGGGAAGCCTTGGTGTGATCGTACCCGAATAATCTTTTGCAGACTGAACCCGGGCCGGGCCGGACATGATGAGGCTCGAGAGCGAGGCGCGCCAGAGACGACAGCTTCCTTTCAAGCGTCAGAATAACTGGACGAGTGTGCCGTACAGTCCGTACAACCCATTGGACTAGGTATGCAAGCATAGGAGCTTCCACACCAGGAAGCCCCTTTCATCATGGTCATGATGGCTTCATAATGCCAACAAGGAAAGACAACCTTCAACCCATCACGTGACTGGTCTGGTGGTCTAGTGGTATGATTCTCGCTTAGGGAAAACCCAAAGTTGATTCTGCGAGAGGTCCCGGGTTCAATCCCCGGCCAGACCCTTCTTTTTCCTGCCTATCTCAAACTTTTTCTCATATTTTTTTCAACTTCACAACCGCCAGGGCGAAATCTTGATGAGCTTGTTACCGTCCACCAGACAGACATCAACATCTTCCCATTGGTCTGGTGGTCTAGTGGTATGATTCTCGCTTAGGGACAACCCTACAGCTTGTTTGCGAGAGGTCCCGGGTTCAATCCCCGGCCAGACCCTGTCGGATTCCGTCGACATTCTTTTTGGAGGATGAAGCCCTGTAGAGCTGTCCCGTATCCTTTTTTTTTTTCGTTCAGCTGAATTGATATACTGTCTATCCCTCAGCTACCTAATATTTAGATATGTTAGGTCGTACTGGCAAAGTCAATTGGCGCCACTCTGGCTACTGGAGCGTCCGGATGTAACCAATGGCTTCCCTTTGGGATTAGATCCATCGTTGCCCAGCGTACACAGCATACCCAGGTAGAACCAAGTGCAGCCAGAAAGGGGGAAATGATGAGTTTCAGAAAGAAGTCCCCTTGCACGTATCAAAATCATCATCCACTGCCTTGGATGAGAATGAAACACCGACAGGAAGCTGTGCGGTGGTGCATTAGTGTAGTTGGAGTTGCCTTTGACACAGCGACAGTCCGTAGAGCATATGCTCAAGAGACGTAGGTATACTCTGGCATATATGACCTGGGAGAAGGCATGAAAGGGTCTGTGAAATGCGAAGGCGCGGTCAAACTAATGTGTAATACCTAATACATAAAACTAACGAGGGACTCGAATAGAGGTTGCCAAAGTAAACTCTCACGGGACCCTAGATATGCCTAGTAACTACCTCCCCTCATCATTGAGCGGTAACGTCATTGGCATCTACCCCAGGCCTTTTGCTTCACGGCAGTCGCTGATAGCACAGTAAGATATCCGTCTTCATTCCTCTTCAAGCTTCCGTTGCCCCGTATAATTGCTGCACTCACATGCATGTTGGATATATATATATATACATATAAGGCGTAGCAACATACCCCCTGCCTCATCATGCCAGATCACTTCTTCCTACTCTTCGTCTTGGCGCCATCAAAGTAGGCATCAACGACATCCTTTGCCGTCTCCTCGACGATTTTGCGCGGCACCCATGTTGCCTCTGAACGCTCAAACCCAGTCCACTCGACCAGCAGTTTGCTCCGGATCTTGTTGTGCTTGAGAATGGAAAAGACCTCGTACATCTCCGGGTCTGCCGGGTTCTTGAGCCGGCCCCGATGTGTGCGCCAGTACTCAAAGAGGGCCTCGGGGCAATCGTGGTGCAGATTCGCCTCGGGCTCCCAGGTGGTTTCGCCGCTGTCCCATTTCACCTGGATCTCGATGGAGTGACCGACCCAGCGATATCCGACGAAGCCTTCAAAGCCGTATACTTCTTCCTCTCCTTCTTCCTCTTCTCCCCACTCTCCCTCATCTTGCACCACGCCCACCGCTTTATCGGCTGCCCCAGCCTCTTCGTCCAGTTGCGGCTCCTCAGTCTCCTCCGTTCCTATGTCAGCCCGACACAGAATCTCTGAGATGCGTCCAGTCCGCATTGGCGGCCTTGCCGAGGATGTTGCTACCACATTCATCGCGCTGGTTGCCGCGCGAGGCGTCGATGCCGACACCACCTCATGTTGTTCCAGCTGCACCGAGTCTCCCACTGTGTCATTCGCCTGGTAAGCTTCACCACTGTCTTCATACTCCTTCTGCAGAGTCTCGTCGCTCGTCAATCTCCTGGCAAGCGACCGTCGTTTTGTCGACCCAGGAGTAGTCTTTTTCAGCCGCGGTGAGTCTGGGCCTGCAATGCTGGGAGAGGTTCCAAGTGAAACCCGTGGTGAGGCTCTGGCCCGCTTGCTTGGGGTGAAGAGAGGTAAAGCGGAGATGATGGACTGCATTCTTTTTCTTTTTTGCCGTGATGACCGTGTGGCTCAGCTGAACTCAAAGCGAAAAGATAGGAAACATAAACAAACATTCCCCTGGGGTCGCGTTGGTTGTGCCTTTGTTAACATTTGAAGTATTGAGACCCCTTTGTTTGTTTACTTTCTTTACCTTAGTCAGCAGCCTCTCACCTTCTGCGACCGCATGATCATCTACCACGACGTACTCGTATCGCAGCGCACGTGACACTTCTTTGCCCAAGTACCTACATGGACTTTGGAGCGCAGGTCTCTCCACGACCCCAGTCTCAATTTGCAAACAAAGCGCGAGAAGTGGTTTCTTGTGCGGCATCTCCTTGCGTTGATCGCTCTGGGAGAGCTTCAAGGAAGCGGGCGAAGGCGTGGATGTTGACGTGCGAGTCGTAAGCACAAGCAAAGACAGGCATATGCGGGTGACAGACATGTTTGGGACCAGGTACAGCAGCCGAACCTTTGGGAATCTCAAGAACTTCTCGCCGTTCCTCTCTGGACTGACTTATGCAAGTACCTATGCTACGGGTGCCGCGTATCTATGTGGGCGCGTATAGGATGAAGGGTGTAAGGAGAACCCAGCAAATCTCTGCCGAATGATTCAGCAAAGTAATAGATTGAGGCCGCATTTACACACAGGCCAATACTTAGTGGTATGAGGTATTCCAAACAAAATTGGGATGCTGGAGAGCCAGGTTGCTGTACAGGAAAGCCGCTCCAGTCCGAAAACCGTGTCCACGCATGGGATATAGATAACTTAGTACTCTTCGGCCTCTCAAGTCACATAACCTCCCTCCCCCATATTCCCGATGAGTTAGGCTGAGAGAGGCGCGGCGTCGTCGACGACAACGACGCCAGTGATGGTGCTCGTGCTGGTAGTGCTGCTGCTTGAGCAACGCAGCGCCGTCCGAGCGAGCGCATCTTTACGCCCCAGTGACAGAGAGTGTTTGGCCAGGAGCGGCAATGGTCATGAGGTCCGTCGCTGGTAATGTGGTCAAACAAGGCCACACATACGTAGGTCGTGGCGGTGGTTCGAGTCGGGAGTGTATGCACTGTCGAGAAGCGGTTTCGGCGCTCATCCAAGGCAACATGCAATCCTAGGCAAACTCGTTTGTTCGTCACACTCTCGATACAAGCGACCCTTCTACAGAGACAGTACCGAGAAATGGGTAACGTAAGATGGGGGGTGGTAACGTCAGGTCCTGGCACGACTTGGTCCTTGTGTAGCGGGGAGGTTGTCTGGCTAATTCGGGAAGTCCTTCGTGCGCGAGCATTGCTGTGTACGAGAGCGAGTAGTCTCTGATTGAGCGATGAGCTCAATGCTTTAGACCACCTCAGCACCCGTCATAGTGGATGAAGTATCGCCATGCCTGCCTGTGATTTGTAAGGCGGCAGAGCTGCTTCGACTTCGTCTTTGACGATGGTGCTTGCTGGGCCCTGCCTGGGCTGTATTTGGTTTGCAAAGCGTTGGGCCCACGGTTTCCATGGCCCAGGCTCCAGCTGAGCCGACCAGTTCTGGTCTGGCTGGACAATCTTACCCCAAACAGCACCACAGTGCTCCTGCCATTGCGACAACGGCTGCTTCTTGTGCCACTGCTGCTGCCAGTGCCAATATGACTAGAGCTGCTTCTTCTGTGCAGACGTCTGCTGCCGCCACCGCTCGTCGGAGCCCGCGGCCGGACCGGGAGCGGAGCCGGAGGCGGGGCTCGTGGTCGGGGCCAGGGCCGAGATCAGGGACCGGACCCCGGGCAGTTCGACGTCGTCGCCGCGGTGATCGCGTGTCGGCTGGCGGGGGCCACAAGCATGGCCAGGGCGAAGCACTCGGCAAAGAACATCGTGAGCCCGCCCAAGATAGTCGCGATCGAGGCGACCTACTGGAGCCACAGGGGGAGCCTACCGGGCGCCCCAGCCAAGATGACCGTCATTGTCATCGTCGGCATCGTTGGCATCGTCATCGTCATCGTCATCGTTGTCGTTGTCGTTTCTGTTATTGTTGTTATTGTTGTCGCCGTTGCTGTCGCTGTTGCTTCTGACAGGGGAGAGCGATGGCGAGAGGAGAATCAGAATTGATGCCGTCCTAACGTGTTTTCCTGATATTTACCCATTGACTTGAGGGCAAGAGCGACAGGTTTGAGGGCAAGACCAGAAGTCAGTCCGCACCTCTTGCGTCCGATTGCGTTTTCCGCACGTCGTCTGGCGTGACTGTCGAAGTCCGTGACTCGGGCCGAAATTTGTCTTTGCGGCAGCCCTCTCTCACGACAAGATCTAACTCCTGCGCAACCAGATGCAGCCACTCTTCGGCTATGTGGATAAATATTGCCGACCACACCAAAGACGACCGCAATTCCCTATTCCGCGCCTGACAGTCGCCCACCCGTAGCAGGGTCTATGCTTCGGTAGCTACCTAAGGTGGAGGTAGGTTCACATAGGGGTACTCGACATGCTTCTGTACTGGATGAGATGCGTCTCCCTCCAGTTAATATGCTCCAATCGGCCAGTTACTCTTGATCAGTACAGTGAAGGACAGTCTCTCGAAACAAGGAGCCTCACGATCAAGGACTTAGTAGATATCGTGCGTCGCGCTCGGCAAGAATTTTGCAGTACTCCAATGGCCACTGTGTATATTTTTTGTATGACGGGGGAAGCCTCTCGGCCAGATCCTTTGTCCACTTGATGATGACGAATTTTCTGCCAGGGTATTCTGGCTCTTCAGACTTGGCGAGACAGGCATTGCCAAGCACGTAATCGAGGAGAAACATGTGGATGATGAGAAGATGGCCCGTGTAGTTTTCGCTACCCACAAAGGCCATGAAGTCTTGGTTGTTAAAGGTGGTTGGCATAACGAACAATGTGACAAACTCTCTCCAGGCTGCGTATGGCTTGTCAGTAACGGCATGATAAATTATGAGGCTTCTCGTCGTACCGGCTAGACACGATGTGCGCAGATTGTTAACACATCTAACCATGCAATCACAATATGCCACCTCGTTGAGCGTCTGGCACAAGGGCCTCAGTTGAAGAGCAGAGGCCGCGAACCCTTGGATGACTTCATAGTTCCGCGGCTGTTCGCAGATGAGCCTCTCCAAGGACCGGTCGTGCTCCAGCGGCGTGAAATACTTGAAGATGGACATCTCGTAATTGGTAATGATGGTCGAAGCGACCAAGTTGCCGCCTCGCGTTGTCGTGATGTAGTCGATCATGCTGTCCGGCATAAGAGAGGACTGGGCCACGAGGCATATCACCGCCGCCATCAGCGCATCTGCATCCGCGGGCTTTGTCGGAGGATGATCGAGCTGTTGGTTGACGAGCTTCATGGCAGTGATGCGATGCTGCAGCGCCTGCGACGTGTAGTCGACATTGCCGTGCTGAGACAGATGGGAGGCTCCGAGGCCCAAGACAGCATGTGCGAGATAGTCATACTAAGCCGGTAACACGTACACACGCCCTTTGGTGTCAGCCGTGCATGCAAGACGACATAGGGCTGAACGAGGCGCGATTTCGCATCGGAGGCGGATGTAATCTCACCTGGTGTGACATTGCGGCCGCGTCCATCCACACATCCTTGGCCTTTAGCGGCAGCGTGGGGAAGGCCGCGAGGAGGAATTGGTGATAGAAGCGCAAGTCTTCCAGCGCGATACTGGAGAGGGCAGCACGCGGAGGAAGCGAGGAGGAGGAAGACGACGAGGATGAAGAGAAGAATGATGATGACGGCGTTGATGAGGGAGCCGGCGTCGGATAGCTGCAGTTTAGACCGAGGCGGCAGCACGGCGAGCAGAACGGGCGGACCTCGTTGCACTTGACTCGCCTCCTTTTGCAGTTGAAGCATCCCAGCCGCGACTTGAAGTGGCCCCGCCGACTAAGCGGCTTGCTGGGCTTGCGGACCACGGCAGTTGACGAGGCTTGTTCCGACGACGGCGAGTCGTGTAAGTCGACGGACGAATCATCCGAAGGATTGGGACTTCTGCTGTGCTGCGGCTGAGGCATAGTGGAGGTGCCTATCGAGCGGTTGATTCACTTGATGGAGAGATATGAAGATGAAGAAGATACGGGGAGGAGGAGGTAAAGGAGGAGAAGAGTTGATAAAGAACAAAGGGTAGGGGGGTTTGTTGAGATGGGTGAGTGAGTCTCCTTCGTGCTATCGCGGCTCAAGAGGCTGAATCGAACTTTTGTTTAGCGGCGACCGCAAACGATGCATCACGCCGTCGTCGCAACTGCAACGGAATGTCTTCAACCAGAGCTTCCTCCTAGGCAGCAATTGACGCTCTCAAGAATGTTCTGCGCGGTGTCGAGGCCCTTCAGCTTAGAGAAGCCGCGCTTTGCAATGTCTCTCTCTGTCCTCTTTTTGGGAATTTGTTCTTTGCTTACGGCGGGAATCGCAAATAACGCGCAATTATGGCTTCTGGCACCTTTCGCGAGAGAGAGGCGCCTCCAGCATAGAAAATAACTGGCTCTCAAACTGGCCAAATCGGCGTCCAATGGAGGCTGATTCACGTGATGGAGGCTGATGCCTTACATGTCTAGCTCTCGTATCCCCTCCCCGACGAGGATGACTGGTTCTGATAGGTGGGATTTGGACAGGACAGGGGCCGTGCTGGGGCGTCTTGGTCGATTCTTGGGTTACCCGACATCTGGACAGAGGGATGGGGAAACGTTCAGGACGCGATCAAGCGACCTTTCAGAATGGTTACTTCATAGCCTACGGTGCGGGATGGGCATAGGGTGCTGTATAGCTGCTCCCTGAAAGCCTCGCGTCATGGTGCTGTTTAACGAAGAAGTAATGGCTTCGTTCTCATCACAAGCTGTATAAAGATGTGATACAAGCCTCATGACGGATGCCTTGTTGACGTGGACTCCCCGCGATATCTCGGCGACATCGGCCAGACGGTAGACAGCCTTGCCGAATATTCTGGCCAATGAACACGACGGTCCACGACACTCACCAACGCGGATTCAGCAAGACCATCGCTCACGATGCCTCAATAGGCTTCATAAGATGCCAGCGTGGCTGAGCCATCTCATCAGCTGCCTACGAACGGGACACAGCCGGGCTTCTGACTCGGGGCGACGCGGCCCTGTCGTGTCGTTCGATGCTGATATCGGTGAGTGAGCGCAATGCTTGCGTCACTCAGGCTCCTGTAGGATGAGGGAATTAGTGATCCCAACGACTGCTTCTTTCATTTGGGGACACATTCTCTCCCGGGCGTTTGCCGTGCATGCGGACTTGATCGCATTGCCACTACGTCTGTCGTCAAGGCTGTCAATGCGGCGCGGGCTATGAAGCACGGAGTTGCTGGAAAGATTAACCTCTTCCGCACCCGCTGTATTCTGCTTCGGATCTGAGATCAAGCTTCTCATTGCTGGGGCTCATGCAGAACACAAGGTCGACGTGGGCCTCCATTCGCATCTGGGCATCACTCCGGGTACGGCTTTGATGCGGGCAACATTATGTGTGTAGTCCAAGGTCGGGTGCTTCGGCCGACAGGCTAATGCAGCGGCAAATCCGTGGCTCAGCATCAATACCCTGAACGCGCGGATTGCGGGATACAACGACGTCTCGGCGCTGAGACAGCAGCTCGTATCTGGGGACTGAGAGCAAGACGTCAAGGCGCGGGGGAAGACGCAGGCGAGTACGGCTAGGGCGACATCAGCTACGCGATGCCGAGTCGGAGCGCCGCGTTCCGCTGGCGGCCCGGGCCGAAGGGGCAGGGGCCGCACATTTCGGAGTCTGCGGCAGTTGCTGGGACGAGGGATGCGCGTGAGAGGACGATGAGAGTGGCCACGGGTTTGGCGGGTTTTGCGATGGATGTTTTGGGGGTGGAGGAGCTTGCTGAGGAGGCCGAGTGATATGGGTTGAGAATGACGGCGTAAGAGGAGGCTCATAAATCCGTGTGAGTCTGGTATAAAGGGCATTTACCGCACCCACCGGCGCAAGTTCAATTCGAGAATCATTTCACAATACCTTGATGGCATATAGAAGCGAAAGCTCCTCATCTGCACATCCCATGTCGCTACCTAACCATACCCAGGTACGTACGGAGAGAAACCTGCCAGTTCCTAGGATAGATTGACTTTATACCTACGCAGGTAGGTAGGTATGAATAGGAACAGGAGACTTTTAATTCTACATGGCCGGCTTCAGGCCAACACTCGATTAGTCTGTGCCTCTGCCCTCATCAAGCCTGTTAAGCGCCGAGCTCTGATGCAGGTCGTCTGTAGCTGAGATGAAGTGCCAGCTTTTTACTGGTCAGACGCCTGCAGCCTGAATATTCATGGTAGATGCAAAGAAGGGAGGGCAGCCATTGGAGAGAGCCTTGGGCATTGATCTCTTTTCGTGGCTCAGCCTCAGCTCCCGTGTCTGCCCAATTCTCGTTTTCGTGCTCTATTTGCCACATCAAGGCAGAGGCACTCTGTCGTCCAGTATACACGACACTTCAACCTACGACTGTCGCTCCTGCATTATCATAGAAACGAGGCATCGCTCTCCGAGCATTATTGGCGAGATGGCTCAGCCGCTGCGAGGCGTTCGCCTGAAACAGGTCAACAGCGTCGACATAGGCGACGACGAACCAAATGTCGACATCATTGCCATCCATGGCCTGGACACTAAGTCACCCGACACGTGGACCTGGAGAGCCAAAGACAGCAACGAGCCTAGTGTCAACTGGCTGTCGGATCCGAACATGCTACCAGCCAAATTGAAGCGGGTTCGCATCTTCACTTGCGACTGGCCGGCGGACCTGCTTCAGGACTCAGACTCGGTCCCATGGACAGTCGGGGAGTTTGCGCGGCGCTTGCTCGCCGGAATCCTCGACATGAGATTTTCCCTGGCAGCAGATGCTAAAGGTCGAGATCGGCCGATTCTTTTCATCGCCTCGTGCCTCGGTGGCATCATCTTGATGAAGGCTCTGGTCATGGCTGATAGGCCTGAAAGCGACTACTACGCCATCCGAAAGGCCACACGCGGCATCGTCTTCCTCGCTACTCCATTCAGAGGCACCTCCTTCCAAGATATAGCCGCCTGGGTAGAGCCAATGTTGAAAACATGGGCCTCGCTCCGAAATCGATCCGTGGCCCAGTTGCTTGACAGCGTGAAAGGATCGACGTATGAGCTTGAACAGCTTGTTCGCACATTCACTCGGCTATGCCAGGATACGGATCACCCTTGCAAAGCACACACTTTTTACGAAACACGTATGACAATCCTTCAGAGCAAGGTCTTGCCGGCGGCTCTTCTGCTGTGGCTTGGCCAGTCGAAGCTTGTATGTACTATGAACGCTTCTTGATGTATTGCTTCTCCAAGGATCGTGAGTGCTAACCCGTGACAGCTGGTTGATCGTAGCTCAGCTACTCTGGACATTGACTCGGATCCCTTGCCACTTGAAAGACGGCATGTAATGATGAACAAATTTTGCGGGCCTCACGATGCCGACTACGAGACTGTCACCGGAAGGCTTGATGCGCTTCTCCAGATGGTTCGAAATGGACCGCTGCAGCAGGCAGACGCCTGGATTCGAGACAAACATTACACGGCGGACAGGCTTCGGATTCAACGCCTCTCTGGTCAGCTACTGCCGATGGATCAGTGCTATATCAATCTCGTCATCGTGGAGCGTCCTGGAGAAAGTACGCAGAAGTTGAAAGAAACTCAGTCGTCTCCATTTTCAGTTTTCGCCCGACAGATGCTTGAGGCGCCGGATGATACAAGTCAGATCGAGCTGTCAACAATTTTCAACGAGCGCAAGGGACGCGACGGTAATCCCATGCAACCAAGAAGAATCCTTATCCGAGGACGCGCGGGGGTCGGAAAGACTACCTTGTGCAAAAAGATCATCCATGAATTTCAGCGATGCACATGGACCCAATGGAACAAGATTTTCGATCGTATACTTTGGGTGCCTCTGCGGAATCTCAAGCTAGATGAAAGGAAAAGACCGGGATACAACTATGAATGCCTGTTCAGCGATGAGTATTTCTCTCTGCCAGAGAGCAAGCCGAAGCTTGCTCGAGAACTGGCCAAGGCGTTAGCGACTAAGAGCAGCAAGACACTCTTCCTTCTCGACGGGCTAGACGAGGTACCACAGCTTATGGTCGGCGAAAGCCCCATGGCTCTTTTCCTACGGGACCACCTCTTGAAGCAGCCAAACGTCATTATTACTTCTCGGCCGTCTGGCAAATCTCTACCTGGTATGGATCTGGAATTAGAGACGATCGGATTCTACGAGGAGCAGGTGGAAGCTTACCTCAACGCCGACCCCGGAATAGAGCCGAAAATCAACGAGGTCAAAGTTTTTCTTCAGCAACATTGGTTACTCCAAGGCCTTGTACGCATTCCGGTTCAGCTAGATGCACTCTGTTACACTTGGAGTGACTTCGACTCCGGAACGTCGCCAGAAACCATGACGGAGATATACCAAGCAATTGAGCAGAAGCTGTGGAGAAAAGATGCCGTGAGATTGGAGCGGATGACCCAAGATGAGGCCGACTCTTCTCACTGTACTGAGATTGAGGACAAAGTCGAGTCTGAAGTCCACCTTCTGGAATGCCTTGCCTTTGCCGGGATGCACAGCGACGTGTTAGACTACACTTCTACACACCGGGAAAAGGTCTGTAGAGCTTGGAGGTCTTCTAGAAAGGCACATGCACTTGTGCTTCCACTCGACGAGACCCTCAGTCGGCTTTCTTTTCTGCGCTCATCTGACACTTCGACAAGGATCAAGGATAGAAGCTACCACTTTATCCATTTGACCTTTCAGGAGTACTTTGCTGCTCGTTACTTTGTCCACCAATGGTCATCTAGAGAACCTCTTTGTGCGCTGGAACTTGGCACGCAAGAGAAGGGAAGTATGAAAGAGCTCGATGCGGAAAGCTTCCTTCGAAGAGAGAAGTACAATGCACGATATGACATCTTTTGGCGCTTCGTCACCGGCTTACTCCACGCTGGCAAAGACGAGGATGAATTGTGCCGCTTCTTCCGCCTGATCGAGGACCAGCCGCGAGATCTCCTTGGCCCAGTACATCAACGATTGATCATGCACTGTTTGAGCGAAGTACCATCTTCAGATGGCATCGAATCCTTCGCTCTTCTTCGAAAAAGGTTGGAGCATCAACTCTCGCAGTGGCTGAAATTCGAATGCAAACTGGCTAGTATTGACGAAGGCTACCTGCAATTATTCGGGCGCCAAGTGCATTTAGTCAGAGAAGTCGAGTTTCCCGAAAAGTGCTTAAACAATATCCTGGAAAGAGCATCTGAGGACGCCAAGCGAGCGGTGTTGTATGGTTTGGAAACGAGACCCAGACTGCCACGGAGCACAATCGATCTGATGACCAGCTGGATTGAGTCTGAGGACATTGACTCTACGTGGATACATCCCGTTCTTCGCATACTATCTTCACATCATGATTTACCAATCCGAACACTCAACGCTCTGATCAGGTGCATCGATGATGGTAACTTCAGGACCCAAGAATATGCGGTAGATGCACTCCGCGCACAAGGGACTTTGTCTGAAAAAATCCGTGATATTATAGCATCACGGGTGAAGAATGGGCATCCGACTTTTCAACGAAGGGCGTTGTTTACTCTCAGCGGTTTACCGCTTGAATATGCCATTGCCATTACAGTGGCCCAGCTGGACCATTCAGATGCTGTTATTCGACGACACACATTACAGTCGCTCTTGTACGATGATGATTTTCCTGGATACGTCATCCAGGCTGTAGCTGCACGCCTTGAAGACCGGCATAAAAACATTCGACTCGATGCGTTGTCTGTGCTGAATGACCGAGAGGCCTTGCCCCAAGATGCCATCAAGCTCGTGGTAGCACATCTTGGAGACAAAGATTTTTTCATTCAAGATAGCGTATTAAAGGTACTTCGGAGCCAGAAAACGCTGCCGGAAGACATCCTCAAAGACCTTGTAGCACAATTACAGGTCCACGATAAGGGGACCCAAGCTGCAGCATTGAAAGCGCTTAATGGAACGTCCACCATATCGGAAAATGTGATGAAAGCTGTGGCGACATTGGTGGCAATCCGAGACGACATATTACAAATTGTCATCGACAAGGACATACTCGAACCCTCATCAAATCTGCAAGAGGGTATATTGCGTACCGCAGTCCATTGGATTACGGACGAAAATATCCATATTCAATCAGTCGCATTTCGCCTTCTCGCTGTGGCACACCATTTAACTGGCGATGTTATCTCATCCATGTCAGGGCTACTTCGGAATCATGACGAGGCTATCAAACTGAAGATACTCAGTCTATTCTCGGGACAATACAAAATACCGACAGATGCCCTCGAAGTGGTAGCAGCACAGCTCGAACCTCAAAGCAAGCGTATCACGAGAGCGGCACTCAATGTGCTGGCACTTTCTTGTCTTCAAGGAACCCAAACCCTGCCTCTTGATCTTCTCCGGGCTGCAGGACCACTCCTGACAGATGAAGACACGGGTATCAAATGCAAAGTGCTAAAAGCGCTCTCTGGGCCTTCAGAACTGCCAAATGATATTCTCAGTGCTATAGTACGTCAGTTCAAGGATCCTTACCAGCCTATGACGATGCGATGTGATGCTCTATCAGCACTCAGAAAACAGCCGTATCTATCTGCAGAGATTGTCAGTGAGATCGCGGAGAAGTTGCAAGACCGAGATGCAGCTGTTCGAGAGCAAGCAGCTCTCACGCTCACGGGTCAGTCAACCTTGCCTCAAGGGGTGGTGAAAGCTCTCGCGGCACAGTTAGAACATGATGATGAGGATGTTCGTTTGGCAGCAGCCAAGGCGCTTTGTGATCGATCATTGTCCGAAGATATCCTCGATGCGATAGCGGCACGGTTAGCAGACCCTGACGGTTTTGTCAGGAGAGCTGCTCTGAAAGCATTGGAGAGCAAGCCAGACTTGCCCCAGAGGATTGTCAAAGCTGTATTGCAGAGTCTATCCAATGAAGACCGGCATACCAGACAACGAGCCATTCATGTGCTTGTAAACCAAGCTTCGCTAATACCTGAAGTACTTCATGTCCTCGCGTCACGACTTAAGTTGTCGCCTGGAGACGAACAAGTGGAAATATTAGTATATCTTCAACACTACCCGACTCTATCCCATGAGATACTTCACATCGTTGCATCACAGCTTAACGACGCACCAATGCATTTAACTCATTGGAAAGATATCAGGCAGGCAGCTATGAAAGTCTTCAGATGTCAATCAGCTTTGCCCGATACCATCTTGAAGAAAGCGACCATTTGCCATACGTTGCTTAAACAGAGCTTCAGTGAGCATATCAGTTGTTATGTTATGGATGGAGTCACTTACCTTGATATGCCGCATGGTCTGGGGAAAGTCACCTTAAAAGGCAATCCAAACGAGTTCATGGAGGCAATGTTGGAAATGCAGAGGGAAGTCGGTATTCCACGCCAGATCGATGGTTTGGGTGCGTGAAACATATTGCTACTATCAATATTTATTCGGGTTATACACCTCTGCTGCTTCTAGGAAAAATTCCTATGCTTATATACTCCTGACGGTAGAGTAGACATCTGCTTCACACATGCACACAGCTTCGCTTACATCATCCTCTCTGTGAGAGAGCCCTGTAAATGGAATCATGACAGTCAAGAGCATAACGTCAGACAAATCTGGACTTTATCTCATTTTGCAGACGTTGTGAAGCAGTCACCGCAAGCCGATGTCAGCCCCAGAACTCCTCAGGATTCCAGGTTTCTTAAGCATATTTAGCGAGCGCCTGCAACCTATCCATTGTTACTCCGTACACCACCTCAGGTGGCAACGATATTGGGTCAGTTTAACGAAGTCTTCCCAAACATGCCACTGCCTGCTGGGTCCATAACATTCCGCCATATAGGATTTGTCCGCATGGCGGCTGAGACCTGATGGACAACCCCGCAGCCGGCCGCCCCGGCCAACAACAGTCTTTGAAGTCTGCACACGAATTCGATGAATAAATTGCTGAGACCCGTTGAGTATTACCTGGCAGGTAATAGACTTGGACCAACAAGCATCGTGGGCACTCAGTCGGCTGCATGCATGATGGCACCGCGATTGTAACTGTGAGGAAGTACACAAATGTAGTCACATGTCCAGCTCACGGCACACAAAGAGCCGCCTATATTAACCCGTTTCCTCTCACGCCATCCCTTTCCTCTATGACTTGCCAACCAGGTGGCTAGCAAACCGTTGACCCTACAATACACTTCGATACGTGTCAGTTCCGCTCTGTGACAGTAACATTCAACATAACTGACATAACTGCCCTTGGTCAGTGCACATCTGGGAGGGGAATCATACGTTCCGCAAGCTCGCATACCGAGGAGGCCAATGTTTCTCAGCAAACTGTTAAGCATCGCTCTCCTCAGTACAAACAGGCTCGCGGGGCTTCAAACATACCTCTGCCCCTCAAACCGAGAGTTGCTCCAGAAACTGTTGGGCATCATGACGGAGAAAACAGACGACTCGTCCACCACTTGCACCCAATTTACGCCAGAAACATCTGAACCAACCATCTTGGGAGAACCATGGGATGGTCGTCGCTATGCGGTTCCTTGGCCCGGTAATAAGTACCACATCTTTATGAACGAAACCGATCGGGTGATTTGCACTCACCATGGTGGTGACGTCTACGTCTACGATATCAACCAGGACGTTAACAAGCAATACACGTGGCTGTGCGTGGAAAAGAATGGGTATTTTGGCTTTGTCAATACAGATACCGGCAGATACATTGGCCATAATGACCGAGGTGTGCTGCGCGCAGACGCGTGGCATCTCGAAGCGTGGGAGCTCATGACAGTGAGAAAGCACCCGGAGGGAGGTTACGAGCTGTTGATGCCTCACTGGTGGCACACGCTGAAGAAGGTTTCTGTATTGTCGGACTCTGATAATGTGCTCTTGACACAGCATGGAACCACGCTTTGGCAATTCGTCAAGGCTGACTAGAAAGGTGTGCCCACAAACATATATGGTTCGACTTGCTTATTACATAGTCAGTCTTGCAGCATGTCACTGGTTACTCTGTAATATTTTACGATCAGTCCATGGTGATGATTATACTACCCTCGTTTGGCGGGTTACTGCGTATAACATGACAGAAGCGTAGCATGAAAAAAGCCTTGCTCATATCCTGTTGGGCACGAGGCTGGGGGCTGCATAAGCGGTCTCTTGTTTTGTAGGCCTCCCACATTAGGCCTCCCACATACGACCTCACAGCAGGCCAATTTGCACCACTTGAGACGAGCGGATGCCAAGTGCAGCCACCAGCCAACAGCGTCGATGAGGAGGTGCTTCGTACGTGGTCGACGAACATTGGACAAGCCCCCAACGATCAAGTGCTTGAAACACTCTGCCTCCACGGCTGCGCGCCTATCTGCATGCCTCAGTCCTACGAGTATTGACGCGGATGCGCAGTAATTGGCCGCGCTGGTTTGCATCTTATGCCACGGCGGGTAGCAGAATTTATGCTCCGATCTGCTGGTCTTTTATCTCGCGATATACCCTATTCTCTGGAGACGATCGAGTCGAGATATTCTTTGTTAACGACACACGATGGCACCGTTTCAGTGCAGCGCCTGCTCACAGCTCTTTGGGACCCGGCCCAAAATGTTCGAACATGCTCTGAGCACTGGCCACGATGTGAATCACTGTTGCCGGAAATGTTCCCGATGGTTCAAGACTGAAGGCGATCAAAAAGCGCACATGAACTCATCCATCCACGTCAACTGCAAGGAGGCAGCAAAGCCTGTGCCAAGCATTCCAAATGCATCAACTGGACAGAGCAGTCAGCTCTTCAACAATGCACCACCTGTAGTGCAGCTGCGATTCGGGAGGGTCACGTACACTCGGCTTGAAAGAAATGAGCAGGAAGCTGTTTTCAAGAAGCTCTCAGCTCGTTGCCATTCCGTGGGGAGCCTTGTTAACGAAGGATACACGGTGGACCTTGCAAAGGGACCAGCGACCAAGCCCAGAAAACCAAGGCCAAGTCTCGCAGACTTTCGCCAGACACCGATGTGGCAGCCTGCCATCAAAAAGAGGCGTGCTGTTGTGATTGACTGCGAGATGGCAGAGGCCATGGACGGATCGGATGAGTTGATCAGTGTCTGCGCAATCGATTTCCTAACGGGTGAGACGTTGGTGAATAACTTGGTCATCCCCACACGACCAATTAAGAACTGGAGAGAGGACATCCACGGCATAGATGTTTCGAAGTTATACGGGGCGATAATGGAGCAAAAGGCTCTTAGCGGCTGGGAAGCTGCTCGACAGGAGCTGTGGAGACATATCGATGAGACAACAATTCTGATCGGGCAAACCGTATGCTACGATTTCGAGGCTCTCCGCCTCGTCCACACGCGCGTCGTGGACTCCGCAATGCTCGCCGCGGAGGCCGTCTTCAACAATTGGATCGGGAAGAAGCCGGGCCGGAGGTGGGGACTCCAGGAGTTGTGCAAGGCTTTCCTCGGAATCGAGATACGCGTTGAAGGGGGAATCCATGACAATTTGGAGGATGTCTTAGCTGCTAGAGAGGTTGTGCTGCAGATCTTGTTGAAGCCGGCGGAGTTTAAGAGGTGGGCAGACAAGGCGCGGGAAGATTTCCGGAAGCCCAAGGCAGGGAAAAAGAAGGCAAACAAGAAGGGAGGGACGACGACGACGTCTCACCTCGCCGGATGTACAACATCGTGGAACTCGTATCAAGAGTACCGCCCGAGGGTGAGCCCATATGACGGGTCATGGACTTGGGACACTGGTTATCATTTTCATGATGATAGGTAGGTATTAGCCCCATGATGAATACGACTATGCCTGGCTTGATTAGAGAGTGCCTAGTTTGTGGCAAGCACTCCGTCCTGGCAATTTCTGGCATATAGCCGCCAATTGCTGAGATCTTCCTACTGCTTGCTGTGGGTTGTTCAAGATCAGAGGCTCAATGCTTCCTGCTCCGGTGACCGAAAAGTGCGTTGCCCCGAAAGTCCATCGCCAGTGGAATACGGATTGGAAAGGATCCTAATGTAGGCATCGCCTACGTAGTCGTTGCAGAGAATGCCCCATTCAGCCAAGGCATTTTCCTTCCCATTTGCGTGCCGTAGATCCGGTAAATCAGCCTTGTGTTAGGCATCCCAGTGACGCAAATAGAGAAATCTCATTTCTTTATCTAAAAACAAGATAGATCAAGTTCTAATCGGCGTGATAATAGAACAATAGCCATTCCTAGTCTACTTTTGGAAGTCAAGCGAACTTTAACATCATGCCCACGCCGGACATATTTCATAGACAGCTTGAAGGGCGCAGACGGATGCCCTGGCCAAGAGAAAATAGGTCTCGATCCACGATTCCAAATCATTCTCATTGCTGGACGCTATCTCAATCAACGTCATCCATTGGAGAGGCTTGATATAGAACAGCCCCATGATCATTGTCATGACATCCAGTCCATCGCGCTGTAATGCTTCTAGAATGATGATGCGGGCGTTCGTGCAACGCTAGAATCGGCACAATCGTCCGATCCCTATCAGCACTTAATTCCAATGCGGAGGAGCCAGGATTGAGCCTTTAGCTTATCTGTAACTCTGCTGTCAAACTGCAACCGTAAACGTCGAAGGCTAGGAATCTCGGATTCCCCTGCTGGGGGTTGTTCAGGCGCCCTCCGATGTCATTACAGGGAGTGCTGCTGCGAATTGGACCCCGTGATGGGACAAGATTGGCTAAAGAACAGACTATTGCCTCGTTGGGCTGAACAAAAGCTGGCTGAACATAGATAATTGGATAGATGAATGAATCTTTATTGGAGGTCTCGAGAGATCCCTGATTTCTCAGCCAATTACTCAGTTGTTCCGCACATGCACATGCAGGCCGGCGGATGATGAGGGCCGGGTTTAGGTGCCGTTTGAAGTTTAGCAGATAACATCAGCTGTCGCTCGCCCTATTCGACGCTGCTCTTTATCATCATATCCCAATTGACAGGCCGCAGACATAAATTCCCATTGACTCCGCGGCATCGTGTCTCCTCTACCATAGACGGTTCACCGCACACCCCGAGTACAGCAGTATAGCATTGAGGTGGAGTGGAAAATAAATCGCAAATATGAAGATTGGCCCGCCGCAGACGCAGCCGCAGCCGTCTGATGGCGATTACATGTACTCGGACTCGCTCCCTGTCTATTATTTGACCCAGACCGCTCCCGATGTTCCGGAACTTCCAGATGACGCTGCCAATGCCGAGAGATCGGAAGATATCAATGCTCAATTTACTACCCTTTCCTTCTACAGGCCGTCGAATGAGCATATCAACCTCAGCTACGGCATCTGGGAGGATACGTGTCTCGCCCACCTCAAGCTCCTGCATGCCATTCAGTCGATGAAGGAGGAGATTGGCTACACCGACGGATTGTGGAATCTCTGGGATAGCCGCGGCAAATGGGCATTGGAGGATCTTCGCGTGGAAGCCGACTGGCCAACGATTCGGATGCTCGAAAAGACAAACTCGGCCACTGTGACGAAAGCTGGTCATAGCAGGTTGCGCGAGAAGAGATGGGCGCTGTTTGTCGCGCGTGCCGTTGATCGATACGAGGCGTGGTGGAATTCCCTTGTTGAGACGGAGATGCTGACGGAGCAGGATATGGCAGCGCCTGAGAATCCCAAGTATAAGAGGTTCCCCAACGGTCACAAGCTGAGATGGAAAGCAAAGATGCTGCCGCCTTTAGGTGAGATTTCGATTCAGAGCTTCACGTTGAGTATACTGATGCATGTTTCTTGCAGACGTTTTGATGGTCCTTCACACGCATATGCTCAATCCGCGGGCTTTCCTTGAAGACGCCATGCGGTATGGACTGGCCTCATTCTGGCCAGCCGGCATGCCGTGGGAGTTGATACACCGGGCCATTGATGCGGACTTCAACTATAATGTGTCTGATCAAGCGAAGATCCAGTGGGTTGCCAAAACAGGGCACCGCTGGCGGAATCAAGACGACGACATGTCCAAAATACTCAAATGCCCTTTCTGTCCAAGTAAAAACGAGGTTCCGTGGACGACATGTGGGATGAAGAAAGACATGACAGACATTGAGTAAGCACAGGCCCAACTACGCAGTCGCACTCCCTATTTACCCCCTCAGATTCACAGGCCTCATCGGCAACGGATACGGCGACGGCAAATTTAACCATAGGTGCCCTTCATGCGGAAATGAAAACTACAAAGAGCTTCTATCAGTGTCGAAATTCGTGTCCGACTCCTCACTTCTCCTATCTCAGTCCGTGCCGATGCCGGGAACAGTTCTTGACCCCGGTTCTGGCTGTCCTGAACTTGTACCAGAAGGCAGTGCTGGCGAAAGATATTTCAGAACGTTCCCCAATCGCATGATCAAGCTGGAGTTACGGAGCTCAGTACTTGAGCTGATTAAACCGCCGCTTCAGCCATCAGAGAAGAGCGACAAAGTGAAGTCGAAAGAAAAGAAGAAGAAGAAGAAGAAGAACAAAAAGGAGGCACAGGAGAAAGAGAAAGCCCCTCCTCGCCTCAACATGCATGCAGTCAGGGAAATGATACAGGACGTTCTGACCAATGTCAAGAGAATCCGCAACGTCGATTCAGACAGAGGCCTTTTTGGACGCAACCAAATACACCCTTGGGCCGGCATCACAATCCGCAAGATGATGAGCCGGTACTGGCAGAACTTCTCTCCTTTTGCGCTCGATCTCTGCGCAGCGGTGATGCGGCAGGGCGTTTTTATTGAGAAGATGGTGAATATCGACTGGCTGCATAGCCCAACGGCGAGGGATACTATGACGCGGCTCATCGTCAAATACGACCTCTTTGTGCAGATTATGCAGAAGCATCCGGGCAAGGTGGTTGTGCCGACGCTGGATGTCGATTTGGCGTGGCATACGCATCAGCTTACGCCTTCACATTATTATTACTATACGGTTTCGAAGACGGGGCGTTTTATCGATCACGATGATAAGATTGATGAGGATAAGCTCAGTCGGTGCTTTGAGTGGACGACGAAGACGTATCAAGACATGTTTGGGGCCGTATACAGCGAGTGCACATGCTGGTATTGTGAAAGTCAGTTGTTTCTCTCCCCTCTCTTCCTCATGATGACAATCACGGGGAATGCTAAATGTCCGGACATCTTGTCAGCGATTCGCTCTTCACAAATATCGCCTATAGGCAGACTCCTCGGCCTTTCATCAACCGAAAAGCTATCAGAAGCCTTTCACAAGTCTGAGGCAGCCGAAACGTGTCCACCAGACAAGTCGGCTCACATATCTTTCCACAACGCCGTCAAGACGATTGAAACAGCAGGCCGGAAAAAGGTCACTGCACGTGCGCGTGCCCGCCAGCGCCAGTGGTTTGAACAAGAGTATAAGAAAGCGGCCAAGCGGGCGGAGAAAAAGGGTCGGCCGATGCCGCCGAGGGACGAGTATTTTAACAATTGGGGTGCTCGATATACCAGTAAGTCATTGCCTGCTGCTTCCTCCCACCTCCTTGGCGATATGGAGAGGACTGACGCCATGTCCGTCAGTGTATGGTCCGTACCCTTTCCCGCCGTGGTTTGCTCCGGGAATGTACTACGGCTGGGATCCGTCGACCGTTACCAACGGTGCAGGAGCGTGGGCGAACTGTGCTGGAGGATCTTGCGGCAACGGAGGCATAGCTGCTGGTTCCTGCGGCGGTGCTGGAGGATGCAATAATGGCTACGGAGGGGTACGTGACAGCCCTTGGAATTGTTTCCTGCATAATGGCGTAGCTTCGCAGATCTAACCAGTCGTCTAGAGATGCGGATCGAGCGGTGCTGGAAATGGTGCGGGAGGGGGAGGCGGCGGAGGTGGAGGGGGATGCGGAGGGGGAGCTGGCTGTGGTAAGTGATTCGAACTATTGAGCTGTTTTGCAAATGATGCTGACGATGATGCTCAGGCGGTGGCTGAGGGACATGTACTATCACTGCTATTGTGCGGCTGCGCTTGTACAACTAAGCGTTGATGCTGTTGACTTCATAGCATTTGCTTCCCCACAGGAGGTTGATTTGTTGAACCATTGAACGCTGTCATGTCGAAAGAGCCGTCCAGTTTTGGCTGCTTACGTGCCATCACTTTTCCTTGACCCCTGCCTGTCGTGAAGCAAGTCGACCTTCGGCATCATCTCCCTTGATTTAAGCCTCAAGGTAAGGTTTGCGCCGCAGAGGCTGTCGACACTCGAATCCTCCCCGCTGAATACCTTGAGATCCGCTAACAAATAAGCGTGACGCGATGCGTTCAGCCACAAGCACAACACGGTGCTAATAAATACGAGGGCCGGGGCATTTTCAAGGGAGGCTTAGACCCCTGCAGGCACCAACCCCCCTAACCATGCCCTCGTTTGCCCATCTTCCATCACCCGTCGCTCGTTGGAAGCTGCGACAAAAACCTGCTGATGAACGGACGGCCGGAGTGAAGCAGCAAACGCATCGGACTCCATCATGTGGCTGCCCAGGGTTGACGATGCCGGGCCCGTTGCTGGATTCGCCGGTGCGGCGCTGCTCTTCGCGACGGTTGCGCACTGGCTGTCTTCGCCAGAGTCGGAAATGTACTCGGAGGTGGTCTGCTGGGCGGTGCTACCGGTTGTCATCAGATCCCTAAATAAGCCACAGCCGAACAGGTCGCTGTCGAGGCCTGTAGTCGCTGGCAAGTCCAGGACGACGTCTTCGACGACGGCCATGCTGTGGGGTTATGCTGCGAATATTGCCATCTATACGTTCTTCAAGACTGAGGCTGGCCTGATCCAATTCATTGTGAGATTGATTCACGAAGATCTTTGAATGACTGGGCCTGTGCTAATTGTATTGACAGCCTGCATTGACCCCTTTGTTACTCACAGTCAAGAGATACCGCGGGTCCGATTCGGGTTCCAAACCTCCCGAGTTGGTGACTCCCCTGGTGAACACATACTGGGGTCCCATCCTGGCTGGTTCTTTCTGCGTCCTAACCTTCTCCGACTGGAGTATTCGAGCATTTCTGCTCTGTATCATCCCGACGTGTTTTCTTTTCATTGTGTATACTACTCTTTTACCAAGGGTTGAGACATCTACACATCTCCCGTCCATCAGCTTCGACAATGCCATTCGTCCGCTTTCTGCGCGCGTCGTCATCCTCCTGCTGTGCATATGGGGAATAGACACAATCTTTTTCGGATTGACTGCGACTGTCCTGACCAGTACATTCCTTATTGGTCTTCTGAAAGCGTTGTCTTGGTACTTTGTCATCCAGGTCGTAAGTCTTCCCTCGCCCACGCAAATGGAACTTAGAGTGAAGTCTTCATTTTGCTAAACCATCACTGCCCAGGCCCGAGATGCTTCTTGGGTTGCTGCTCCCCTGATCAGCACCTTCAGCATTTCGTTTACAAACAATCCAATGAACGAGTCAACCGACTTCCAGGCTATCGCTTACGTCCTGGTTTCCATCATTAGTCTTGGCCAACTGATTGCTCTCTTGCCGAGACAAGCCAAATTGAGGCTCGCGCTATGGGCGTTTGGCCTTGCATCGTTGATACCCCTTTTGCTAAACATCTGGTTGATCCGGGATGCGCAACAGTCGGCAAAGGCATTTGGCCCTCAGAAAGAGCACCCCGTCGAGACCCTTGTGCGCAGCGGCAAGGCGAACTTTAAGAGTCTGCTCCAGAGGCAGTCTGGCTCATACGCAGAGGCTGTTGAGGCATACCGGCGTCGATATGATGCCGCACCGCCTCCGGGATTCGAAGAGTGGTATGAGTTTGCAGTTCGCCATAACTCGCCCATCATCGACGATTTCGACGCCATTCATCGTGCGGTTTCGCCTTTCTGGGAGCTCAGTGGAAGACGGGTCTCTGAGACGTTGAACCAGATTCATTTTGCGCAAAACAGTGAGATGTGGTTCTGCAGCGTTGATGGTGCATCTGCCACGACTGACTGCACTCATGCGTATCGAACCTTTGACAGACATCTCAAATATCTGCTTGATAGGCTCTTCCAGGGCTTGGACGGCGCGCTTCCGGACGTCAAGTTCCTCGTCAATCATTTTGACGAGCCACGAATCTTGCTTCCGACATGGGGAGCGGAAGAGGCTCGGAATCATCCGCAGTTTAACATCACTGACCTATCGCGGCGACCGATTTGGGACGAGATTACAAAGTTCTGTGCCTCCAAGGAAGAAGGCAGCAAAGCAAAGGCAAAGCAATCTTCCATACAGACGTTTGGTCTGCCTTTCGTCACGGATCATCCTTCTGCGATGGATCTGTGCGAACATCCAGAATACCGCAACATGCACGGCCTCTTCATGAGCCCCGTGTCCTTTTCTTTGGTCGAGGGGCTTATCCCAGCTCTGTCGACCGGCTCACCGTCGACAATGGGAGATATCTTGCTCCCGAGTCCTGCATATATTGAAGGCGAGTTTACATACGACGACTCAAAGGAGATTGGCTGGGAGCAGAAGCGCAATAACCTCTACTGGGCCGGGTCCACGACCGGCGGCTTCGCTACGGATGCGAACTGGTCCTCGTACCAACGGCAAAGATTTGTGAAGCTGGCGCAAAATCTTGAGCATGGGCAGTATTACTATCTGCGAGAGATTCGAGGCGTCATCCAGCGCGTCGCTTCGTCGTTTTTAAATGGCCGCCTATTTGACGTGGCATTCACGAGAATCTTCCAGTGCGAAAGGAGGTATTGTAGAGACCAGAGGAGATTCTTCAAGCCCGCCGGCTGGGCAGACAAAGACAAGGCGCTGCGCTCGCGTCTCGTCTTTGATATTGATGGAAACGGGATCAGTGGACGTTACTACAAGCTGCTGGCATCCAAGTCGGCCCCCATGAAGCAGACGCTCCTTAGAGAGTGGCACGACGATCGGCTTGTGCCCTGGGTTCATTATATCCCTGTCAGCCAGAGCCTGGAGGAGCTTCCGGAGCTGGTGTTTTACCTGACGTCTACCGAAGCCGGGCAGAAGCGGGCGAGGGAGATTGCAGAGCAGGGACGGGATTGGTTCTTCAAGGCGTTGAGGGAGGAGGATATGGCGGTTTACATGTATCGCTTGTTGTTGGAGCTGGCGAGGCTTCAGGATACGAGCAGAGAAGCGGGATCTGCGTGATATGTAATGACAGTTTGCTGTTTGATGAGTGCTGGATATTTGCAATAGATTGGATAACTTTTGTGCCAAATAATGGCGGCTCACTAAAAGTGCCTTGTATATATGTGGTTAGAAAATGCAGCCATGTCTCGTGAATCCTACCGAATGGCGCTGTGACTCACTCGACAGCTGATTGAGACTCACAATGAATCGCCATTCACGAACAAGCATCTATATGTCGTCAACGTACACTTCAGACAGTTGATCAATATGGCATCATCAGCGAATCCCACGGCGCTGCATCCCTTCCAAGCAGCCGCCATCGCCAACATCAGAGCCCAAGCCCTGCAGCTCAAGCCAGATGCTCTCGCCAACATCAACCACATTTTCCGCATGTCTAACATCCCCATAGCAAAGCTGGATGACGTCCGAAAAGCGATTGCTCAGAATGCCCGTGTTGCACTGCATTTCCACCCCGACCGCCCGTCTCGCAACGGCCGCACAGTCGTTGAATCTCTTCTGGAAGACGGCACTTATCGGAATCAGTTTGAAACGGGCATCTCAAACGGCCTCGTTGCGACGCAGTTGGGAGGTGCTCGCGATGAATGGGAGAGAGGTCTCTTTAGCGGTGCATATCACGGTTTTGCCTCCAGTGGCTCAGATACTCTGGATGCTTTTGATCCGTCGCTGAGGCCGAAATACGGTGCCTTGGATCTCATGCGTAATTCTGACGGTCCTGCACCGAGATTCGGGTCGTGCTACTTTCTGCTTCGCCCAGAGGTCTCTTCACGGTCTACATTCACCTTTGGGGGCTCGCAGGCTGCTCCGTGGGATAGAGGGACGATTGATGAGTTTGATGCGATCTTGGCCGCTTTACTGGAAGAATGCTTCACAAGAGATGCTGCGCTGGGGGTGGAAGATGTGAGGCCGAAGCAGATGGTGGACTATATCAACGCTCTGAGCGAGTCCCTTCTTGTGGAAGACAAATACAACAGACTCCCGAGCCGTAACCTGGATCGCTTGATCGAGGCGCAAATCCATGGTAATGTTCTCCTCTCGCGCGATGTGGAAGCTCTGGTTGTTGATCCGTCGTTTTTCGCCCGCGGCGACACTGGGTTTCTTCTAAAGGCACTGGGCGAAACGTATGGCTTTCCGGTCATTGTGCATCACGGGTTTCGGTTGCCTTTAGAGAACGTTCCGGATGACTTTCGGGGTCCTACGATGCCTTCTCTGGCGGCAAGGATTGCGCTTGACGGCGTTGTGGATGTGCAAGTCGTTGGGGAGGCAGTGAGAGATGCAGTTTCTGGCGGACAGTTGCTGAGGGATAGAGGGACTTTGGCGGAGATTTTGCAGGAACTGAAGCTGTTGTGGCATGTCTTGGTTCGATATGGGTAAGGGATTCGGATCGCTGAGCCGAGATAGGATACGAGGTACGAGGGGGTGGATTCCTAGCACGTACGGAGTATCGGTGCCACATATGGTCTTGTCCGTAGTTCAGACCGTTTATTAATCTCATGCAGATGAAGCGAATGACGACGTGTGAAAATAAGCACAAGAGAAGGAATTCATCCCTAATCATACTGGATCACAACTAATCACGGCCTCCACGAACCAAGTGCTTACCCATACCCTTCTCCGCGCCGCTCCCTCTTCCCACAACGCCTCATCTCCTGATTGGCAAAGTCAATTGCTCGTCCTACATGTATTACCTGCCTCCTACCAAAACACAACAGACCACCAAGAACGGGCAGCAGTATGTATTCGTCCGCCGAATGACTCTTGCCGCGCGGGCGCTTACTCAAGCTTGTCCTCCCCTCCTAGAACCGTTCAGTCTAGCCTCGGACTCGTCGGGGCGGGTCAGAAGGCTTTTTGTTGGAGGTTCCCCCCCCCCCCCCCCCCAAGCGGATTTCGGTAAGCCGCCCAGGGGTTCGTCGTTAAAGTGGTGTTTGGTAAGCGGGTTTTGAAAGGATCGGAAGTCGGACAATGGCGATGGATCGTTACTAGTAGCACCAAGTGTACGACGTAATAACTGGATTCGTGTGCGATAGCTGTCAGGATGGTAGCGGAGCCTGGAGCGGAGTTTGGGTCGCTGTTTATGTTAGGGGGTTGCTTCTGTTTTGAATTCTGTAATAAAACATCTTTCTTTTGCTCCTACGACGTGCCTTTGTAGCTGCTCTCCTCCATCTTCCAGCCGTGGCTTCGGGTTGCCGACAGCCCGTTCCTGGACCGCCGCCATCATGGCTTCCTCTCCTGAACCTGTGTCCCGCAGCGAAAACGGCTACCGCTATGATTCCATCACCGATCCCAATCCCGTCCAAACTGAGGCGACCTCGCCATCATCGTCGCCTCCTCCCCTGGCGAAGCCGACGGTCCGACTCCTTGCGCCCGATCTCCAGCGCGGCCTCCTGATGGCCCTGATGGCCATGGACCACGTCGCTCTTGGTCTGAATACGTGGCAGCATGGAACGAATATCGATGGCGAGATGGACGGTCTTGTTGTTCGCCGCTGGAACTTTACTACCGCTTACATCGTCCGCACCTTGACGCATTTTTGTGCTCCCGGATTCACATTCCTGCTCGGCATGGGAGTTGTACTGCTCTCACAATCTCGTACGCGCCTCGGATGGTCGGCTGGCAGGTTGATGCAGTATTACGCCATGAGAGGACTCGTTCTGACGGCAGTGACGGTGGTGGTTGGATGGATCGCGTCGGGAGGTCGGGTGTGGTTCTTGAATGTGGTGTTGTTCTCGCTGGCGGTCGACTATGTTCTGGCGGGGATGATGTGGCTGCTGATGGATCGGACGGAGGAATGGCTGGCCGAGGTGCTGGAGAGAGGGCTCTTGATACTGGATAAGCGTTCAGGAACTGTGTATGGCGGTGGAAATGCTGATGACGAGGATGAAGAGGGGGGTGTGAGCCAGCCGTTGCTGCTCGGACGAAGACACGCCGCCAGAGAAAGCGAGAGAGCTGCTGCGGCTGCGTCGTTGTCGTGGCACATTCACAATGCCCTGCTCGTTATCCTCAGCGTCATCACTATCTGGTGGAACATCTGGCTTTCTGAAGATGACGGCCACTGCAGCCTCGAGACAAAGGGAGACGATTCGGCGTCGGCTCAGTTTGTACCAACCTCGAAGCATCCCTTGCTCGCCATCTGGTTCTGGTACGTCCAGAGCGAGCACGTCATGTCCAACTTCCCCCCCATCGCCTGGCTCTCCTTTGCCATCCTCGGACTTCTCTACGGCCGCATCCTCACCGTTCGAAAGTGGACAACGTCTGCTATCGCCATTGGTCACGCCTCTGCAGGCGCCATCTTTTCCATCATCTTCGTCCTCACCAGGCTTCTTCGTGTGGGCAATCTCTCAGAGGACTGTCTTCATACCCCCGCGCAGGACGGTCAGGGCCCGGGCGAGAACCCTTACCTTGCCTCGCCAGCGTCGTTCTTCTACATCATCAAGTACCCCCCGGATGTTGCCTTCTGGGCCTTTACCATGGCGGGCAACCTGTTTATGCTCGGAGCATTTGCTGCCATCCCTGCACAGATTGCAAGGCGCTTCGGCATGCTTCTGTCTTTTGGCACGTCCGCGCTCTTTTTCTACGTCGTCCACCTGAACGTCGTCATGTCTCCTCTTGGAACGCTCATCAAGGAAACGTTTGGCAGCGAGGCTGGGCATGAAGACCCGATGCATCCTGGAAGTACCAAAGGCATCACCAACCTGTTTGGGTACTTTGCCCTGTGGTTTTCTCTGCTGCTCATCATGTGGCCGGCGTGCTTCTATTACGGTCGTTTCAAGAGCACGAGGCACGCAGACTCTTTGTGGAGGTTCTTTTAAAAGCGTGCAGCGGTTATAGATGTAGAAAGGGACATGGTGTTGATGGTATATATAGTGTATTCATGAACAATATCTAGAAAGAAGCGTATATCCACCTGCGCCTTGCATATGCATGCCGTATGATGAGAAAGAAAAGGAAAAAAGAATGCGCTTCAATTATGTGTATCATCCAATGTTCGTGATTCGTTATTTGCGGAGTCCGTATCGTTGGAGCCAGCTGCCCTCCTTTTTCGCCCCCTTCTCTCGCACGCTCGTGTCCCTCTGTAGGTTCTGCTTATTTTGCTGTTCTTGCAGTTCTCGTTGTTCCCGCTGTTCTCGCTGCAGCAGCTGCTGCTGTCTCTGTAGTTGTAATTGCTGCTCTCGCAGTCTCTGCTGCTGTTGCTGCTCCCACTTCAACTCCGCTCTGCTCAGCGTCGCAGCCGCGTCCCAGAAGTCTCTTTTCTGAGCGACGTCTCTGGGCAACTCTCCTCGTCTGTTCCTTATAGTAGGATTTGCCCCCAGGTCACGCAACGCGCGAATCACCTCTCGCCGCTCCGCATCTCCGTCCTCAGCAGATCGAGCGGCGTAATGAAGGGGCGTCCTTCCGTCTGTTGTCAGGCAGTTGGGATCGGCTTTTCCGCGCTCGATGAGCATCTCGACGGTTGCGGCTGATGCATAGCGGGCAGCCAGGTGAAGGGGCATGCAGCCTCCGTCAGCACGAGCGTGGACGTCTGCGCCGTGGTCGAGGAGGTACATTGCGACGGCCATATGATCGCGCTCAACGGCGAGATGAAGAGGTGTTAACCCGTGAGGATCGCAGGAGTTGGGAGGTGCTTGACGCATGCAGTTGGCGACGGTTCGAACATCGCCCTCCCACGCAGCGTCTAGCAGGATATCTTTCGGACTTGGGAGCGTATTTGACTGATCAGGTTCTGCTGTGGGTGCATCTGTAGAGGTATGGGACGCAGGCTGTTGCTGCTCAACGGACGGCTCCGAACGGGGAGGAGTCGGTGGGTTTGCGGCGGCTTTTGGAGGATTCACGGGGGGTTCAAAGTGTTCCTTGGTCTTGGGAGATAGTTCTGGCGATGGAGGAGGTCGATTCGGTACTGCAGTTGGTGGTTGCTGCATTGGGGCGTGAACAAATGGTTCTGGTGCTGGATTTACGTGTATCCTGGATTTCTGCTGAGGGGGCGATGGTGCATTTGGTGTGGCTGTGCCTGTTGATGAGGGTGAGGGTCTCTTCAACGCTCGACTATTACCGTTTATTAGCATGGATAGCTCAAGAGACGATGAAGACGCACTCACGCGTATATGTTTGACATGAGGGTACCCAGCTGCAATAGCTGCTGCTGCAACTCGGCATCGGCCGCCTTGATCTGCTCCTCGCCCTCGTGCTTATAGTTGTACGAGTGCCAGAATCCCTCCAGGCGCCCAAGAGCCGTGCCGTCCTGCTTGGCAGCTCCGGAGAAGCCCGCCAGCAATTTCGTCATCCTCTTCAATGTCTCACTTGTGCTGTCAATGGCGTCCTCGATGTGAGACTTGAGCACCTGGCCGGTTTCGTCCTCGATCAGGTCCGGCCGTGCCTCGATGCACTCCTTCATCTGCTGAATCGTGTCCCGCGTGGTTGAGATCTTGGCAGTGAGGGCGCGGATCTCGTCGGGGGCATCGTTGACGTTGTTAAACCATTCGACCCATTCTTTGGCCTTGTCTGCGTGTTCTGAGAGTGCGCGAATGCCGGCATATGTGGCGAATGAAGTTGGGAATTTGCTGAAAAAGCTGTCCGAGCCTTTGCGCTCGTGTTTTGTGCGGCGTGATGGCGAACTGGGGGGCCGGGAAGAGCTGTGCTGAGGATTTAGATGGCCGTTCGTATTGTAACCATCTACGGAATTTGAGCGGTGCCTATCGGTCGCTGCAGAGGGCCTATGGTAGGGAGAGCTTCCTCTCCTACTGGGCTGCGGCCTATTATTCGATGACGCTGACGGCGGATATCGTCGGGCCTCCTGCCTGGCCTCCCTTGAAGCCGCGCTCAATTCAGATTTATGCGCAGAGACCGGTAGTGCGCCAGCGGCGACGGCTGCTCCATGCCCCGGCCGATCACGTCGTTCACGATCATGGCTGTCGCTTCGATGCGATCGCGAGGGAACCGGAGACTGCGGCATCTCGTGATGCCTGGGAACTTCAGACGAGGAATATCGACGCCGGGGCGGTGATCGGGATTGGCGAGTGTGGTGACCACCAGTAGAGCCAGACGGTCTCTGGCGCGAGTGAGGCGACACAGACGCCCGAGATGCAGAGTCTCTCCGTCTGCTAGACGACGACACCATCGACTTGTCAAGATCGTCCCGGTGCGGCCTCGCGTCTTTCGATAATGGTGGTCGCTGGAGCTCCGAAGGCGGCCGCCGCTCGTCGACGGACACCGACGCCCGGCGACGTCTGGGTTCGCCGGATTGCTTCATTAGATCTTTTGGCGCATCGTCGCGACGGTTTCGGGAGAAGAGGCTGGAGCCCATGGCCTTGACGGAACTCGATCGGAAGGGCAGCTTGCTGCGGGACATGGTTTCGGCGCTGGCATTTCACGGCGGTGTCGGTGATGGTTGTTTCTGGAAGGGTCTGTCGTCTGTTCGGTTGTTCTAGGTAGCGACGGCAAGGGAAATACCTATGCAGTAGACAGAGGTCATGGGGAGAGAGTAATGGAGGGGGGAGATGATGAAGTTTGAAGGCCTGCGAGCCCTCTTGACTCAATCAGCTCCAGCTCATGCTGGAGAGCCAGAGTGCAGCCTGCTGCCTTTCGAAAGAGCACGAGGACGCAGTCAGTCGGCATGACGCTATGAGCACGAGGCCAGGCTTCAAAGGTGGGTGAGACGATGGTTCTAGTGTGGGAGCTGCCAACCAGCCACAGCGTGGCTTTGCGACCTCGAGCTTTGCATGGGGGGGCCATGCACGACCGAGACTTGGCCTGGGTTCTCTCATGTTCTAATTCTGCTATGGTGACGGACTGATGCAAACAAGTTTGTTGGTTCGAGAGGGGAGGCTTGTACGTACGCAGCATCTGATGAAAGGAGTCATTCCGCACGCCTCTCAACTGATATTACTCGTACAAGTCTTACGACATACAGCACAAGCGGACAGGACTCGACTCGGTCTATAGGCTTTTCCGTGCACACAAGATACCGGTAAGGCAGGCCATAGCCGGCTTTGCGACGCATCGGTGTAACTTGTTCGACGGGGGCAATTGGGCAATTGGAAAAGCGTAATATCCAGGTGCCGAGGATGTAACCTGTTCACTCTGTATCTATCGAACACTTCATGATGATCATGTAGCGCCCGCTCTGTTGGAATGGTGATCATGCAAGATGCGCGCATCAAAGATCGTTATTCGTACAAACAGAGCAATACCGGTATTGCGCCATGATCATCAAGGCTGCTTCTCTCTTTGAAGCTCATGGGGGCCACAGCTTCCGCGTTTTCCCGCAGTCGGTCTTTTCCGAGACAAGCAAGCTTCAGCCTCTTGACCTGCAGCTGTTTCGATGTGCTTCTCGGATGATCACAGCCACACTTGGTTATATGCGGCACCTCATTGTTGGTTGAGGCTGAGCTTTGTAGAATTTTACATCCTACGACACCGAAAACAATGTTTCCTCTGTCAGGTAGAATTTTGAAAAAAGACAAGAAAAGCATGCTTCATTCAGAAATATCATCTGATCCTTGCTGCTCATGGTTCCCAAAGCCTTCCGGGCAGCTACATCCAGCCACTGCCAATCAGGTAGCTTCACCACCACACGCTACCCTGCAAACAGGCAAATGCGATAGCAGCTTCATGAGGGAGGTGGCACCATGCCATTGTTTCTTAAGATCGATTACATCGAGACGAAATTGCAATATTCTTCTCTCTGAGAGATGATCATGATTTTGCTGCTGAATGCCCTCATTCCCCTGCTCAACCGAGTTTGTAAACCGCCGATATAGCCGTCTTTGTCTGGTGATACCGCATATAGCCTGTTGGTGTTAAAAACCGGGGCTACAATGAACAAAGACGGATTAATCTTCCATCAACATATGAGCAACCTGCTGCACATCTTACTTCCGGTCTACACCAACCAGATATCTATTTGCAGAGACACCCCAATTTTGACATCGTCTATTGCTGCTGGCATCTGAGAATCTGACGCATCAGGATGGCATCATCTAGGGCTGTTCGTTGCCCCTCAGTTTGGCGACGATGCATGTCCTCCACTGCGCAATACTCCAATGGCTATGACAGCACAATCTCCAACCTGAGGCTGAATGAAAACACGGCTGTTATATATCAAGGTAATCAACCAATATATCAAAATAGACTTGTAACTTTCCTACTGACATAACGCAGGATTCACCGGGAAAGCCGTAAATATGAGACCCCGCTCACCGTTACGAGTGCCATACTGACCAGGAGACGATACATCCAGGCGACGGCAAATGCCAAGGACACCATTGCTTATGGCACTCGCATCGTAGGCGGAATCTCACCGGGCAAAGGGGGCTCGACTCATCTCGATTTGCCTGTCTTTAATACCGTCGATGAGGTGAGAGCTGCATATATCAGTCCATCTTGTCTTCTAACGCTACTCGCAGGCCATGAAGGCGGTTCGTCCTCATGTGAGTGCTGTCTTTGTACCTGCCAAATTCGCGGCCAAGGCCATTATGGAGTCAATAGAGGCCGAAGTTCCCCTAGTCGTGTCCGTGGCAGAGCATATTCCCGTACACGACATGCTACGAGTACACGAGATGCTTCGGACCCAGAGCAAGACGCGTCTTGTAGGGCCAAACTGCCCAGGCATCATAGCCCCAGAGCGGTGTCGTGTGGGGATCATGCCGTACAAACAGTATCGAAGAGGCTGCATAGGCATCGTCTCAAAGTCGGGCACCCTGAGCTATGAAGCTGTGGGGGCAACGACTGCAGTTGGGCTGGGACAGAGCACAGTGTTGGGTATGGGGGGTGATTTACTCCCAGGTGAGACAACATATTCGTCTCGTATAGCTACATGAGCCTGTAGAAGTCGGCTGACACGTTGATAGGTACTACCTTGGCAGATGGCCTGCGACTCTTCTTCGAGGATGATGAGACCAAAGGCATCATTGTGATTGGAGAAATTGGCGGAGAAGCGGAACTCAGAGCAGCCGACCTGATCCGGGAATATCGCCAATCAACGCCTCGGCCCAAGCCAATTGTAGCAATGGTTGCCGGGAAGACAGCTCCACTGGGGAGGACCATGGGCCATGCGGGTGCGGTGCTGACCTCCAGGGATGTGCCCGCGGATATCAAGGCTAAGGCACTTGAGGATGCTGGGGCTGTGGTGGTTCCGCATCCAGGGGTTATGGGAGTCACTATGAAGAAGCTGCTCGACGTATAACTCTGAATAACCGAACTATCAAAAACAAAGCACAGAAAGAACATCGCATAGCTAGCAAAGAGACAGGAAATGCAAAAACACATCATGAAAAAACAGGAATCGACCATAATATCGAAGACCTAGCCACCTGGACCCCTCTTCCTCTTGATACCACCGTGAACTTCGTCCATATGGCGTTTGACGAAGTCGGGCCTCTCCAGTATTACGCCACAGCGCTGACACTTCTTCCTGATGGGCTTACGGTTGGTTTCCTCGGCCCACTTGACATGTCTGCTCCAGATGTGCTTCTCAATCTCCTTGTTGAACTGCGCACGGTAGGGACAGCCTTCATCTTCCTTGGGACACCTCAAAGGCTTATCATGCCATCCGTAATGGCGACTATAGAGCATAACAGTCAGTAAAACCTTCAACCACAGCCCATGCTTCTAAGAGTGTAAGGGGCATTATTATGATTCAAAGGCCATGGAACCAACTTACTTGAGCTGGTACTGCTTCTCAAAGGCCCTTGCACATCCAACTCGATCGCAAACAAAGGGAAGTGTCGCCATAGCAGGAGAATCAGCAGCTGGAGGTGCCGAGCCCACGCCAACGCCCAGCAAATGGAAGGGTTCTGTTAGGGTACCGGCAACAGGAGTTCCAGATCGGTCTAGGCCGTCGATATAATGTTCGAGATTGAACTCGGACGAAGAATCGGACATAGTAATAGAAGAAATAGGGGAGTATTGATCAACGGGAGACATCTGATCTTCTGCTCCGTTCAAACCATCGCTCGCTCGCGCCTGTGGAAACATTTGCGAGTCTCCATCTGGAGGCTAAGTCTCTTTCTGGGAGCACCCGGCTTGAGACGGAGGAGTCTCGACATCAACGTCCAAGAAAGGACCCGTCTGTACGCCAACCCCTGGAGGCGTATGAGTATAACCCGTGCTGCTGAGCAGGCTTGGGTCGATTGTGGACCCGTGAGCCCATTCCTGTGCTCCCCATACAGCCTGCGTGATAGGCTGGGGTTCGAGTGATATCTCGGTATCCCTGTATAGAAGCTGCAATTCTTCAGACAGTGCGTCTTCGCCCATCATAGGATCGGTAGCGGCGGGCTTGAACGGCGGGCTGCCATCCGGGGCCATTTTGGGCAGCGGCTGTAGTATTCTCTATTGCTGATGCTGGCGTGTGGGTATCGGATTCCGTTTCATCGATATGCACGAGATTCGGCCTGAGGTTGCCACTCACGGCGGTATTCTGATCCACCTCTTCCACCACCGAGATGCTTTGCGACTTAGACTGACGGAGTGGGTAAATGTAGTCCACCCCCTTCGAGTGCCACTGACTAGGAGAGCCGGGGCCACTGGCGTGGTTCTTTGTTTTTTAGAGGTCTGTACTGTACTTCGTAATGCTCCAGCTCTTTGAGTGCCACACCATCTACATGTACGCAGAGATCTTACACAGACGGCTGAGAAGAGCACACTGTATGCCCACCGGGCCCCTGGATGAAGGCTTGTCTAATATCGTGACTGGAGGAGACACTGTAAGACGAGGCTGAGAAGGAAAGAAACACTGAAGTCAGCATCAACTGGGGTTCGAGATCGAAGTTGAAAGCGGCATATACCGTAACGAAATCCTCAACCACGCAGATGTGGTCCAGTGCAAGACCAGATATAAGAAGCAAAACCCTTCCTCCTCAAGTGCGGCCGCCCCGGCGAGATGCAAAACAAAGGTATATCAATGTAGACTCCGCCCGGCTCTTGGCGTGTGCTTCGTACGGTCTCCTCACACGATGATGGTTTGAATCGTCAACTAGGCTCGCGTGGGAATGATGGCTGCGAATCCTGGCCTCGTTGACGCGGGCGGTCAACAATCATAAGTATTCCAATCCCTGTCCTAGAGCGGAGTCTGTGTACGATTTGCTGGTGGAGTCGTGCCTGCGAGATGAGGGAGGACGGCGTGTGCTGATAGGTCGAGCCAGCTGTTTTGGTGCTGAAGTCAACCAGCCTCGTGTGAATCCTCTGTTTACCTTGTCTAGGACAGGATCACTTGCTTTACCCCATGGCTTTCAAAACGCCTTGCATTATACCTCGCATCGAGGCATATCTGCCCAACTTCTATCTAAAAAGAAGGACTTCTACAATGCTTGATGTTGAAGCATCAACCAACTACGAACCTGTGTGAGCCTTGTTTGGGCGCCTTTGGCCAAACGCTGGCCAACACATGGTAACCCTGCACGTCGCTTGAAGATTAGACGCCTGCAAGGTTTCCACGCTCACAATCCGTAGGCCACCCACAGCTTATAGACCTCCCGCAGGCCTGGAAAGACCCAATGGGAGCAACACGATCCATTCGACGGCCTTCCCCCAGGACCCATCTCAGCCTAGCCCCGATTATAGGCCGCCCAAATGTCTCTGAGACGCAGGAAGGTTACGGAGTCACAGGGGGCGGCCCACGGGCTGACAGAGCAGCGAAGTGTGTAGCACTGCATCCAATGATAAAGCGTGTATCGCCGCGTTGGCCCAGAGAAGCGTCCGAATTCTGAACGGCGATTCGCCTTGCGGTGCTCGAGGTTGCGTACAATGATGCCATGCAACAGCTGGATTGCCGAGCCACGTCGTTGTAGGACTTTGGATTCTGTGCCGAGTGGTGTAATAACGGGATTGAGGTAAAAGAGAGCAGTCTGCCGAAGAAATTTATATGAGGGGAAAATTACAAATTGGCATAGTGGTCAACACCACCTCTCCAAATTTATAGATAGTTCTCAGCACAACCGGATTCTCCTCAACAGAAACAACATCATCAGTCAATCGGCGACATGCCACCATCCAAAGGTATGCAATAGGGCAAACCGTGAGATACTCAACGGACTAGACACTTATGCTGTTCAAGGCGCCAAATCCAAAATGGGCGAGCCGATTCCCTTGCGAGCAAAGTTCTCTAGACGCTTCTACGAGCCCATCCTCCTCGAGGTAGCGTTGAGAGGGATTCGGCCGCCAAACTTTTCTGACACTCAGCGTGCGCCCAACACCATTCGTGACAGCGGCGACAGTACGGAGCAGATCTTCAAATACTTCGTTAACAGACTCGCCCAGGTTTGCGACAACCTACGAGGGCGAAACGGAGCTACTGTTACGAGCATCGCCGTGCTGGAAGAGCCTGAGGGTGTCCATTATATTATCGGATCTAACAATCGGAAGGCAGAAAAGCTGCATGACGTTGAAGTGTTTGTCAAAGAGTTGCTGAACATCACAGCAAAGTCGACACACCGACAGGCGGACAGAGGCTTGTCAGTACGCAAAGAAGCTCTGTGGCACATTCTCAAATTTGACGAGAACCGTGTTCGATTTTATCTTACCAGCACGGTTGAGTATTTGAAGCTTTGCATCGAAGACTACGATAGAAAACATGGTGACAAACCATCGGGTAAGTCCACCGTTCGGGCCCTCCTAAGAATCTTACTTACATACCTTGAACGAAACACCAGCAGAAGCATCAAACTTTCGGGCACAACTCTCCGAGTTAACGGAACTGCTTAAATTCCACGAAGACAAAGAGCTTGACGAACCAGGATGTGAGTCTCTTCAATCTGTGACCGTCAAGACATAAAACTGATGACAATAAAATATATAGACTTTGCCGCTTGCGAAGCGCTTTTCTCGTTCATTTATCACGCTCAACTTCAGAAATTCGGAGACTCAATCTCGGAGCAAGCACGAGATGACCAAATCGATAGCAACAAGAAGTGGATGGAACTCCGCCACTTCGTTGGCCGCTTGCAATCTTACTACCTCGCTGTCGAGACAATCTTTCGTGCAAGTCGGCTCTGGAAACGACTGTTTCACGATTTCAAAGTGACGGCCATCCCTTCGGCTCCTATTCACCCGCATCCGCTATGCAGGAAGCGACCTGTTGCAAACGAGATACTTGGAAGGATGTCTTCCGACGAGGACAGGATAGCCCGATGCCGTTCCCTGGCTGCCGAGCTACAACAATTCGGGCTGGATGAAAAGCTCTTGACCGAGTGCAATGACCTTTCCCAAACGCACACGGTTCATTCCGAAGTCCTCATCCTGGACTACGTGCTGAGGTACATGCAGGCAGCCGAGGACGCGAACTTTTGGAACAACTGGCGGTATATCGGGAGCAGCAAGCCAACGTGCCGCCTCTGCAACTACTACTTCACTGCTCACCCAAGCGGAGTGCATGTTCGCGAGTCACACAACAATTTGTATCCTCACTGGCGCGCCCCAGATGTCTTTGACGAGGGTGCGATGAAGGCGACTGAGAAGTTGCTCGACGCAGTGATCAAGAGGACGAGAGCCGATGCGATGCGATCTCTCGAATCGCAGATTGTGCAAGGGAGAAGATTTGACTCTAATTCGTTCTCGTATCAACCCCCTCATAAGACTGCGACTTCGGTCAGCGAGCTTGTTTCTACTTTTACGAGCTTAGGTCTTATTGAGGAGGAGGATGTCAGGAGCACTGCTGCGGAACTTCATGATCAGAAGGAAGAGGTGGAAGTTGTCTTTCGAGGACGGAGATTCTTGGCGGCTCGTAGTTGAAAGGAGGTTTTCCTTACGGAGCCAAGATTGAAGAAGCTTCTGGGTAGGTTGATCAGTAAGTTAAGCAGTCAAGATGGCGTTATGACTCTCGAATGGACATGAATGTACTGACAGGGGTGCTATCGTTGGAGAGTCGAATCTATTCGTCTAGTCAAACAGCATATGCTAGAACTAAGCCGCGGTGACAGCCTGTGTGTCTCTTTCGACTTGGCAAAAAGTGATATTGTTGCCAAAGGGATCAATAACTGTGAGCTCCCGAGCATCCGGTCCCCCGTAGCCTTTCTCCAACCCCGGCCTCATATACCGGTATTGCTTGGCGATAAGCTCCTCGTGATACCCAGTGATTCCCTGCCTCATCATGACACGGCTTTTGACACCCGGGCTTCCATCTGCATGATGTTCGCTGAGGTGCAGAATGAGATTGCCCTTGGAGATTTGGCGATACAATGGCGCGTTGTCGTCGAAACGGTGATCCCAGTCTACCGTGAATCCGAGGAAGTCAAGGTAGAATTCGTCGGCCTTTTTGATGTCGAATATCCGTAAAATCGGAACGACTGACTGGAAATCCGGATTCATGTCGGATTCAATGGCTTGAATATGGGAACGATTTGTGAGATAAGATTAAGTTGGTGGAGGGAAATCGGGTGCGATGAAGGTTGAAGGACTGAATTCACGCACACCTTGGGCGCTTGAAGTGAAGCCGGAATAACGCTACTATAAGTATTAGCCTATACGTGATGGTTGAACAAAGACTAACAACTGGGAAGGTAAATCGGCAATTGAAGCAACTGGCATCGCGGTGAGTCCTGACGTGATCGTGAAAAGCGCAAATCTTGGTATGAGCTGCGGTGGTATATGCCCATGGTATGTATGTTGTAATGACACATGAGTTTCTTTCTTATAGGCGGTTAGTTTGAGATATGCATCAATAACTTCCTGCGAGTCTCAAAATGCCTAAAGACCTGACCAATGAATGAATCATCCCGTAAAGCAAATAAATGATCTCGACCAAATAAACATGCTGCTGTTCAAATAAGATGCTAAGGTTGATTCACAGATGCAGGGTCTCAGTCGCAAGCATCTCCTGCATCAGATCGATAAGAGCCCAAGCTCCAGGGCCGTCTTCGGGCCATGTGCAGCCGACTTCGGGTGCGGGGGAGTTGCAGCCGGTCATGCTGAACGAATGGAGATGATCCGTGGGGTAGATGAAGCCGATGCGGAGGTACTGCTTTTGGGCAGATCTGGGGATCACGATAGCGGAGATTCCTGCAAAGGGATACCGGTACTGGACGACGCCGTGATCAACTGACTCCTCACAGACTGGAAGCTGCTTGTGAGGGCACTGCATCCATGTGATGGGCTTACGAGAACGCTGTTGCAATAGCGAATTACAGATAGCCATGTGTATTGACGGTAGCAGTCGGGTGGGAATGGTCGAAACTCCATGCTGAATGTCCGACTGCGACAGGGCCAAAGTTCGCGGACATAGCTACAATCACCACTGCATAGTCTCCAGTCCGTGATCACAGTATTCCGGTTGGCCGTCCCGGATCCAGTGGCTTTTCGATAGTTTCCTTAAAACGATATCGGACGCGAATAGGCTATTGCCTGTCCACGTGGATATTGTGAGGCATCAATGGAGGAATGTCTCCGTGATGCCGTTGCTTTGGGCTGGTCTCCCAACATGGCCTTTCACCTTAAATAGTCGCCGCCGTAGCACGACTCCCAATTCACTTCTAGAAAACCCTATCTTATAACCACTCAATTGAGTCTGAAGTATCTGGCCGACCCTCCTGTCAAGTTTCCTCGTATCAACATGGCTCACATCATCACATTACCTACGTTCAAACTACAGGGCAATGTCTCCCAGCTGCATGCTAGAACCATTGCAGAGCGCTGGATAAGAGACTTTGAGGACGCTCTCAGAAGCAACGACCGAGAAAATCTCGAGAAATTGTTTGTCAAAGATGCCTGGATCCGCGACTTGCTTGCGTTGAGCTGGGACTTTCGCACTCTTCAGAGTCGTGATAATGTCCTGAGCTATCTTCAAGAGAACCACGATGCCGGCATCAAGAACCTTCGCCTTCGTGACTACGGATCATTCCAGCCCGCGTTCAGGAAACCATATCCAGACATGCAATGGGTCGAAAGCATGTTCGACTTTGAGTCACGATATGGCGGTGGAAAGGGCATGCTTCGACTGGTCCTGGACGGCGATAACAGCGATGAATGGAAATGCTATCTAATTCATTTTGTTCTCCAAGAACTCAAAGATTGCAAAGAGAAGACTGGATTTACTCGTCCAGAAGGATATGTCGATACCTCAGGCGGCAATTGGCAGCAGCGACGCGAGAGGCAAAGGGAATTTCTCGATGAAGATCCGGCTGTGCTCATTGTTGGGGCTGGTCAGTCTGGCCTCTCGACTGCTGCTCGACTGCAGCAACTTGGAGTACCAGCACTGATTATTGAGAAGAATGGGCGTGTTGGCGATAGCTGGCGCAAACGCTACAAGGTATGATCGGACAAGGCTCTCTCCCTGCCTGATGCTATGCAGACACTCACTTCGGGACCTATAGACCCTCATGACGCATGACCCCATCCAATACTGCCACCTCCCATATATCCCCTTTCCCGCTCACTGGCCCTTGTTTATGCCAAAAGACAAGCTTGCCGATTGGCTCGAAGCATATGCCAGTCTGATGGAGCTCAATGTCTGGTGCAGCACTGAGCTGCAAACCTCTTCATTTGACGATGCAGCCAAAGTTTGGACAGTAACAGTGAAGCGACCAGATGGTTCAACACGCACCATCAAGCCAAGGCACGTCGTCCTCGCTACAGGAAACGCCGGTGACGCCATCATCCCTCACTTCGATGGCATTGAAAGCTTCAAGGGATCTGTCTACCACGGGAGCCAGCACAAGGATGCCTCAGAGCACGCCGACCTCTCGAGCAAACACGTCGTGGTCATTGGCTCGGGAACATCTTCCCACGATCTCTGCCAGAACTTTTACGAATGCGGCGCTGCATCCGTTACAATGCTACAGCGTGGTAGCAGCCATATCATGACGGCGAAGAAGGGCCTCGCGATGCTCCATTCGGGAACGTACGAGGAGGGCGGGCCGCCGACTGAAGACTGCGACGTGTATAGTCAGAGCATGCCGATTCCTGTTCAGTTTGCGACTAACGTGTACAAGACCAATGAGATCAAAATAGTTGACAAGGATATCCTAGAAGGACTGGAAAAGGTCGGATTCCAGCTCGACTTTGCGGAAGATGGAAGCGGCATCTATCGCAAGTATATCACTAAAGGAGGCGGCTACTATATCGACGTCGGATGCAGTCAGCTCATCATCGACGGAAAGGTCAAACTCAAAGTAAACCCCGGAGGCATCAAGTCCTTCACTCCAGATGGGCTACTTCTCGCAGATGGCTCCGAACTCAAGGCAGATATCGTCCTTTTGGCAACAGGCTACCAGACAATGCACAGCACAGCACGGAGCATTTTCGGAGACAAGGTAGCATCGAGGCTGGGAAAGGTCTGGGACCTGAACGAAGAAGGCGAGATTAATTCGGTAAGTTCTCTCGAGAGTGCTCTGGGAAGGGTGCGTCTGAGCTGACAAACGTTCTCTCCTGCAGATCTGGCGATATAGCGGACATCCCAACTTTTGGTTCATGGGTGGGAGTCTGGCTTTGTGCCGGACGTACTCGCGGATGCTGGCGCTGCAGATCAAGGCGAGCGAACTAGGTATCTACGAGGCACCCGGGAAGAAGGTAGTGAGCAACGGTGTACACAACGGGGTGTGACCCAGGTGTAGAAGGAAGTAAAGGTAGCCATGATCATAGTCTTTTCCTAGTAAAGCCTTTGACTTAGACGTCTAGCATGATAAGCTTCCAGCGTAGGAATTATTTACGACCAGATACTGCTGCTGCTATTATTGCTTGTTAGACAACACAGAGGCTGCTTACCTTACCCTCACAGCACCTGTATTCTCTTCAAGGGGGTCAGGAGGAGGTTGAAGCACTCTGACAACCGTAACCCTACCCGAATGTAGTAATACATGATAGTCAGATCGGGTGCAGAAGTAGGGACGAGGAGCCACGGCAATTGGACTGTCAAGGGGCTTGGAAACAATATAGAGGTCAAGAGTGTCCCCGGCGTTTTTCTTTCCCCGTTCGGAGCCAGCCTCGGCCCGATGTAACGAGAGAAAACTGGAGATATTCCGAATTTGTCCTTGAAAGTCACCTCCTTGAAAGCACGGATTCTCAGACTGCACTTCCTCCCTCTATAGTGGGTTGGTGAGTTGTGGCAGGTTGTTCCTTTGGGTAATTCTCATTACAAACTAGGCCTTCTATTGTGTATACCTCTAAACCCGCCTTTGAGAGAGAGGCTTTGTGATTCGACCGTTTCGTACGTGTAATTCGTGATTCGAGTCGATCGGGTTTATCGTGTCTATGGCTTCGCAGTATAGTCGTTGAAATACAAGAAACATCGAAACGGCGTCGAGAAAGACGTAGTTTTGGTAGCTGAAGTTGGAAAAGTGATCGATTCGTCGCGTTTATATGTGGAATAATCATTGCCTCGTTAACATGTCGTGTCTATCGTATATGCCAGTCCTTTTCTCTTCCCATCCCTTTCTGACCCTTTATCTGTCTCGCCGTCTTCGCTGCTCGTCCATCATAAGTCAGGCACAGGATCGACTTTCTTGATGACTCTCGCCGGAGAACCAACGGCGACGGAGAACTCCGGAATCGACTTCGTCACAACGCTGCCCGCCCCTATCGTGCATCCCTTGCCGATCGTCACGCCCGGCATGATGGTCGTGTTTCCTCCGATCCAGCAGTCGTCACCAATGATGACGCTGCCGCCGTATTCGATGCCGGCGCGGCGCGATGCTACTCCCGTCTCGTGTGTGGCGCCGAAGATGGACACATTGGGTCCGAACAGGACGCGGTTACCGATTGTGACCATTCCGCAGTCGAGGATCACGAGGCTGAGTCGAAGGAAGAAGAAGCCATTGTCAGCAAACGGTTATCGAGCCAGAAGCGAAGCGCCTCTGCTTTTCCTCTCTGTTTCCACACATACTTGAAGTTGGCGTAGAAGTCGTCTCCAATCTGAATGTTACATCCGTAGTCGACGTTGAAGGGCGTCTCGATGAAGGGGTTCTTTCCGATCTTGCCCAGCATCTCATTCAGGATCCTCTCTCTCTCCGCCACCAGCGTGTCGTTCGTGGCGTCGTCGGGGAAGTAGCTGTTGTACTTGTGCATAAGCCTCCGAGCACGAAACCTTCCTTCGATAAGCTCTGGCGCCTGTGAATTGTAACTGCGCAAGAGAGACGGATAGTTAGCGTCAGTGTGAATCTTCAGTGGATAGGAGAGGAATCAGGCATTTCCTTACAGCATCCCTGAGATCATCTTTTCGTAGTCCTCGCACCACGGGATATGGATGAGAGTCTTTGCGTGCTCAATCGCAGCGGGATCTTTCTCCGTGCTAGCCATGATGATGAAACGATGATGCTAAAGGTGAATTTTCTTTTTTCAAAGTTGAGAAAAGCCACCAAGATCGGCACCAAGAAGCTCTACTATGGATAGGAGGGGAAAGAGAAGATGACTCGAGACAAGACTTCCTCCGCAATAATATACCAAAAACAAACCCTCACTCAGTCCATGCCGGCGAGCACAAACGTGTTCATAGTTCCATGTCCCTTTTTTGGTTCTTCCCAACCTTGAATGCCTCAGTGGCGGGGGGGCAAGCATTATAGAGCCAGTCAGCAGCACCCTTCCCTTTTTACCCCTTCGCCCCCCCCCTCCTCTCTCACCTCAAGCCCGTTCACTATTTTGGATGCTATAGTGGAAATGGATCAATAAATGGGATGCTTGAACGCACTGTCCGAAGAACACCCGCTAGGTACGGATTAGAGGCTACAAGTTGCTTTGTTAGTATAAACGGGAATACCATCTTGAGCTTTTTCGGCCGATCCGGCTGGCTCCCCCACTAGGCATAGTGGAGATGAATGCACTGGGACGAGACTCTCTTGAGATGAGTTGCACAATACGAAGCACGGGGTTCTCCGTTCGACTATGTGTACGGAGTAGCATGTATGATTATGTCGGGAATCGCGCTACTACTTGACATGGGACCTCTCACGGCGAGCCAAGTTTCTGACATGAACTCGTGGATTCTCGGTGTTCTATCCGTTCCCCTGGAGAGAGACGGCAGCCGGCGAGAGAAGAGAGCTAAGAAGAGTCCCCAGCCAGCTGAACCGCCTTCTGTGCCGCACGCCCAAAATCCGATTCGACATGGAGCCCGAGGTCTGCATCCGCCAGCTATTTTGCCCGCTATAAGTCAGGTCATCTGTCATAACCAAAAAATAAAGAACAATAGAAGTGCGGTGTGAAACAAGGGGGGGGGGGGAATATCCTCCGGGACCAATCTGCTGGTACGACTCCGTACTTTTGTCCTTGGCATTTACACAGGGCACTCACCAGCTTCAATCCCTGCGCCGAATTGGTTCCCTGAAGGCGCACGACAAGTGGGACGGCCAGGGTCATCTCCTGCGCGGCTCCAATGATGGATTCGGCAATCATGTCGCAGCGGGTGATTCCTGGGTCGCGAGGTATTCACAGTGTCAGCTCGGCCCTCCGATAACATGGCAATTAGAAGAAGACTCCAAAGAATAGAAATCACACACCTCCGTAGATGTTAATCAATATCGCTTTTACCCGCTTGTCGCCCAGCACGATGCCGAGAGCTTGAATCATCGTCTCCTTGGTCGCCTGACCCCCGGCGTCTAAGAAATTAGCACTGGCCCCGCCGTGAAGCCCGATTGCATCGTTTGTGGCCATCGCCAGCCCTGCTCCGTTGACGATGTTGCCAATGTTGCCGGTGAGCTTGATGTAGACCAGGTTGTGCTGCTCGGCCCTGACCTCGTCGTGCACCTCCTGACTCGTGTCGCGCAGGCGGAAGAGATCTGGCTGCCGATGGGCCGCATCGTCGTCAACGACTAGCCGGGCGTCGAGGCAGGTGAAGAGGCCGGAGTCTAGTCGAGCTAGAGGGTTGATTTCCAACAGTGTGGCGTCTGTTTCTTTGAAGATCCTATAGGCTCTTGTGAGAATGTCATCGAGGTTTGTGTCATCTGCGTCTACTATGCCGAGATGTCTGGCAATCTGCGAGACCAGCCCTTCGGTGATACCTTGAGAGAAACCAAACGTGAACGAGGTGCCTTTTCCGGAGATGTTATTCCCAGAGATATTTCCTTTGCTGCCGTCGTTATCACATTTGGAAAAGATGATCATTGGACAGTAATTCTCTCGGTCAATCGTCATGGCCAGGTACCACTGCTCCTCGTGAGCCAGCCTTTCAGAGACCAAGACCTGCTTGACAGTCAAGGATCGATGGCGGGTATTTTCCGAGATTGCCTGGCGATTAAGCATCCTCGCGGCCGTGTCAAGGCCCTGCTCGGGGCTGTCGACTGTCTGCATGCCCCCTCTCAGCCCACCCTCAAACAGGAGCTTGTCTAGGTCTCCATGGAGGACCTGGGCTCGTAACACGCAGCTTTTACCTAACGCCCTTACGGCATCACGAGCCTCGAAAGGCGTCTGCGCCAAGATTGCTCGCGGAACCGGAATTCCGTGCTAAGTACTTCTTGTAAGCGTTTAGTAATCGGGTTTCATTATCGCGAACGCACTGATCTGAGCAGTTGTTGAGTGTCATGGCCGTGCAAAGTCAGCTGTCTTAACTGCTGTTTCGTCGATGCGAGCTGCAGGACGTCAGCTTTGTTTCTGAGCGTGGCACTCAATAACCTCCTGATCCCTCTCATCTCTTCAATGAGTTCAGTGAAGCATTAAGGAGCGGCTGTATAGCAGACCTTTGGTGGTCGAGTCAGGACCCCCGCCCGGGCTATCGTAGTCCGAGATAGATTCATCTGAAGCTTCTCTGAAGGTGGACTCGCGGGGATATCGTTGCTAGCCTCGAAAGTAAGACGTGAATTTCAGATATAAGTCTTCTATTAGCGGGAACGACAAATAGCAAATTCCATGTTCTGAAAGCGATATTTGATGCCTGTGTTTCGGCATAGATGCCGTGTAAAGCCCCTCGATCCCTCAAGTAGCCGGGTTCAGTTAGCCATGTCACCGGACGGAGTACGTGTACCGAGTGTCCCGTCCCTGCAAAGCTTGGCCCCCACAAACTGTCTTTAGCTAAGCTCTGAGGCTTATGGGGATTCGGTAGAGCGGATACTACCTGGAACACGGCCCACTGTCAACGTGACACAATTCGTGGTCTGAGCGGTATGAAGCTGGTGGTGATAGAAACTACTCTGCTGCATATAATCGATGATGGCACTATGATGGCAAGATGAAAAGGAGGCGTGAATAAAAGAAGTAAACGGCTATACCAATTGTTATATGTAAACCACTATCAATTTCGGTCTATAAATTTGAATCAGAGGACAGTTTCGATACTAAAATCAACTGCTCGACGCTTATGCTCTTTTGATTATGGAAGCCTTCATTATCACCACTCCGTCCTTTGCAGCCACTACCTCAAACACTTGGCCATCGGGAGCCACGAGGACGTCCACAGTCCGTATTTGATACTCCTCTCCTGCATAGACTGGTGACACGGCCCTGTAGCTGATTTCATCAGGCCCTGTGCCCCTTCCATGAACATCTCTCCAGTAATCCAGCAAGTTGATGACGTTCAGGGGCCCGTGTACCACGACGCCAGGGTGGCCCTCAGCAGTCCTAGTCCAGTCTTCATTGTAATGAATCTTATGACCATTAAATGTCAGAGCTGAAAATCGAAACAGGCCAACGGGGGACCATGACAGCCTGCGTACTGGAAACGCTACAGTCAGGGGATGGTTAGCTGGCGAGCTGCAATGTAAACCCAGCATTGACATGCTCATGGAATAGTGATAGAACTCACTGCTGTCATTTATCATCACATCAGAAACCGAAGATGGAGCTAGGATGTTGCCGTCGACACTCCGAAGCGCCACGCCCCCTTGAGCATCAGACTGTCCTTGTATCACTGGTCGAAAAACCCATGACCGTGTGTCGACCAGTGCCAGTCCTCGTGATCCGTACAGCTTTTTCTCTACCTCGACAAGCACCATCTCACCAGCAGATCGACTCGTCTTCGAAACCGCACTGATCAGCTTCGTGTGTTCCTCGGCCTCGTCCCCTACTCTCAGGGGGTTCCCCCTATCAAACTTGATATGACCACCCGCCCACATCCTCCTCGTAAATGGAGCGGGCGCATTGAACGTCCGGTCACTCCCGTCAGCACCAAGATCGGCTTCGACATCGTATGGCGTGAAATAGACAAGGTGGTGTGCCGGGGGCACGGGAGTGCCCGCAGGCGCACTTGTCCTGCGCATGTCGTGGCCATCGAGGACTGGCCGGCCAAGCGTTACTGCGAGCTTCTGGAGCTGATTCGAGTCAATGTACTGGCTACGCTTGATAACCTTGTGCGCATAGTGCTCCATCATATGAGACGCTGCTTCGGCCGCTGTCCGGATCTGGGGAGTTGGCGTTGATGAGTGACGAGCTCTTTGAACAAGTAGCTGCTTTGCAGCTCTCTTGCTGTGCCGTAGTCTATTCATCATGGCCCGTCCATGAATACTGGGAAAATGCGACAAATGCGTCCTTCGCCCTTGAAATCAGAATTTCAAACGACGCTCTCCCGCGTCTTCGAAATTTATGTGGTTCTCGATCCAGATACCACGATTGCCTCGAAATCTCAACTTGAGGGCGTCGCGAGTCAAGCTTCCCCTCTGTTTATCGACTCATTCGGCTACTTGAGTCTCGAGATGCCGACTCTGTTGATCATTCCAACTAGATTGCAATCAGCTTACAGCGGCCACCAGTCCACTAAGACCATTCGTTAGCTGCTTAGAATTATACTGGCTAATTGCAACTTGCCACTGCCTGTGCGTAAACTGATTTATATCCGGAATTTTGCATGCATTTTTGTACCATTTATTACAACTGATTCGCACAATATACGAACATTCTGTAGAAGTATGTAGAAGAATCTCCTATTCACTTGTCTGCGATCAACAGCCTCCGCCGCTATGATATTCACTCCACAATGATTCCAGACTCAGTCATGTAAAAGGAGGCTGAAACATCCCCTTACCCTGAGCATCCGCCTCATCCTACTCTATATGGCATTATATTCGCTCGAGCCGCTCGCTGCCAGTATTAACGCCGTCAGCCCCGTTCGGCTGTCGTCGTTTGAAGCATAGAATTAGGGGACCGGCATTCCCACATGCGCACTGCGGCCACGGCAGTGGATTTAACGCCGCGAGCGGTGCGAGAGGCCGCCGTCCCTGATAACTGTACGGAGCCTGTATATACAAGTACGCTGGGGAAAGAAGACCACTGTCCAGGTATGTAAAGCAGAGAATGGCATCACTAGCGACGCATCTCTTCGGGGGCCAGATCGCAAGCCCTCTATTTTGGGAAAAACTTACGCAGCCCCAGTCAAGCGAGCGAGCGGCGTGCCTGGGTTGCATATGGAGGCAGATCTAAATTAGCCCTGTGCAAAACCACTCAACACTTCGGACCAGTCACCGCTAGATCTAGAACCTTGACATGCGGCAGGATAAGCAGTAGTAGTAGTTTCGGCCGAGGACTTTGACGCGTGCCTTAGCTCCCGAGGGAGAGAAATGCTGGGCCTGGCCTGGTCTGGTGTGGGGATGGAAGGGGGGGCCTATTCACGGAATACGGAGTAAGAAAACACCACGGCTGCGGTGCTATAATAAGCTGCCTGACATCATTGTCTGCCGGGGATTGCTGTCAGGGAATCTTCTCAAACTGCCTCGATATGGCAATGTTGATGCTTGCCAGGGACCTTGATGGAGGGCACAATAATCCATCAAAGGGGGAGCAGCGGGCGTTGGAGAAATATCCGTGCCGCTAAGCTGAGCAGCCATCTCCCCCTGTGGGATTCTGCTCAACGGGCGTAACTTTCACTCATAGTTGGGGTCATTCTACCTGGGTCGCAGTGAATTCTGCTGAAGCTGCGATGCGCCGGTCGCAGCTACATATTACTTACCAACCGTATGGCATGTCGGATTGAGGGTTGCCATGGCCTCGAATGATACTTATACAATGATACCCGTCATCGCGACAGGCATTGGGTACCCTTGCATAAAACGCCTTATTCTTGACATGGCCAGCCAGTCGCTGCCACTCTATTACGAAGCACACCTGCAGCCGCGAACGGAAGAACATGGTGGTGAGGAGAGCAGGGGATTGATCCTCCGAAACAGAAGACACAACCATCCAAGGCCGACAAGACAAAGTTTCTCCGGCCCAGGGCAGCAACAGCAGAACACAGGCCGGTGACTGTCGCTGGATTCGTTGCAATAGCTGTGGAAGCCTTCCAAGCTGGGCAGGTGATCGTGTGCTCTGTGAGTTCCTGTCTTCATATTATCGGCGATTCTGTTGTTGTTTACCCTAGTTTTGTATTTTGTGTGTGAAATCGAGTGCTATTTATCACGACTCGGAACAGCATCTACAGTTACTGGGTAGGTGCATGTAATTCGCGCCCTTCGCAGCGATGTCGGACCGGTGACGCATGTGGCTCTGGGGATCGACGACCAACAGCTTCGAGCTTCTGATATATCAAACAAACACTTCCTATAACTTCAGAGTCATTGCAGTAAAGCTTTACAACTCGCCTTCGCGAAGCGTTCACAGGCGAATATACTCGCACATGGTTGATGCCCTCATTTCCGTGGCCAAGCTGGCAACTACACCATGGCTGACTCAATTTCTCACGAAACCCATGAGCTGAACCGCGTCTCTTCAGGTCCTCATGGCCACGATGATTCAAACAACTCCGTCCAAAATGCGCAAGCTCTCCCTCCGGCGGATCACGGTCGCGCCGCGTATGTTGCTCTGGCATGTTGCACTCTTGCGCAGGCTCCCATCTGGGGTAATTCCTTCAGCCTCTATCCGCCGTCAATGGTCCATCAACGGCTCACCACAATACTGCAGGTTACTCCGTCTCGTTCGGCATCTTCCAGAAGTACTACAGCGATCCCATGCACGGCATCGATGCTTCTGCTGGGGCCATCGCCACGGTGGGGTCCATGCAAATGGGCGTCATGTATCTCCTCATGCCCGTCATCTTCACCATACTGAGCAAGTATCCATATCTGCGGCGCTGGTGCGGTCCTCTGGGACTGGCACTCACGGTAACGAGTTTGTCTGCTTCTGCCTTTGTCGGCAGCATCGCAGGCCTGATCGCGACACAAGGGGCTCTCTATTCCATCGGATGCGGGCTTCTCTTCAGTCCCATCTCCCTGTATATGGACGAGTGGTTCATTGAGCGGAAAGGCATTGCCTATGGCATCATGTGGTCAGGTAAATCATCTGTCGGCGTCGCGATGCCTTTCATCTTCAACCTCCTGCTGCAACGGTTTGGACTTCGAGCCACCATCCTCTCCTGGGCCATTGCGTCAGCCATCCTGATATCACCGACGCTCTTCCTCCTCAAGCCACGCATCCCCTTGAGTTCCGCATCGCATGCGCGGCCGCTGTCATTTGCCTTTCTCCGCCATACTTCATTCTGGACGATGCAGCTCGGAATCATCATCCAGTCCTTCGGCTATCTCATGCCCAGCACATACCTCGCCAGCTATGCTTCAGCCATTGGCCTTTCTTCGGTGACAGGTCCCATACTGCTTGCACTGTTTTCCACCGCTTCGGTGCCGGGTTCGTTAATTCACGGCTGGCTGGGCGACAAGCTTTCTGCAACGAAAGTCATCCTCATTTCGTCTTTCGGCAGTGCCGTCCCTGTTTTCCTGCTTTGGGGACTTGGCCACCAGATGAGTACAATGGTTGTCTTCGTCATCCTCTACGGCTTCTTTGCCGGCGGGTTCAGCTCAACATGGTCGAGTATGCTGCATGAGATCAAAGGAGATGACAGGGCTGCAGAGACGTCTCTTATCTTTGGCCTCCTGTTGGGAGGTCGAGGCCTGGGATATGTGCTTGGCGGGCCGGTTAGTGGCGCTCTCGTGTCATCAAAGGGAGCTATCGCAGAGGAGCCATTAGGGTATGCAACCAAATACGGGCCCATGATTCTCTGCACTGGCGTTACTGCCGTTATGGGGGCTTGGGCTCCGTTGTGGAAGGGCGCAAGGGTCGCAGGCAGGGTGGGAATGAGGACTTGCTCTCGCATATTTACTTCTACCGCCTGAATGCTAGCATGCCTCGCTCTAGGATGTATCTGGGCGTAATTCAAGAAGCTGGTTACTTGATGCCATCTGATGGTGTAAATCCTAGATAGCACTTCAGAAGTGACTGCCCAATGCCGCATTATCAGAGGCATTCGACGACGAGGCTGCCGTACATCAGGATATCGTTGCATCATTACATCAAAGCTTAGTCATTCTATATATGCTACACTTACTCTGGCTTATAATGGGCTTTTAGAAAGGCCTTGTACTGATCATACTTGGATCTGAATGGTGGTATACCAGGATTCCCGGTCACAAGATCCTCGTTGTTGCTATGGCAGATTCCCAGTAACTCGGGAACGCGCCATCTCTGTGTAAAAGACTACACTAGTGCGTAAGACCAGGGTATTGTGGATTGATGAGCTATCATATGCTGTTGGTTGAGATTCTTTTCTTATTCTCCGTATGGTTCCGTGCCTCAAGCAAGGGTAGTGTGGGGAAGATGCTTTAACTCTTCTCGAATGATCCGGGGAACTGGGTATGAAATGGTGCGAATCTAGCGTAAGTGCCTGTTAGGCAAGCTCTAAGCAATTATACGGGGTAGCAGAAGTCGTATCAGCCTTGTCAGTAAACATCAGGTTCAAGAGCGGCCTGAGCAGCTGGCTACCCCCATCACACTTCAAAAACTTCCTCAAAGGTACTATCCTAATTCTCCCCCCAGGCATCAATTCACATGTCTATCCAGGGTTGTAATGCCTTTACTCATTACAAATCTGAATCAATGCCCCTCTCCTCCGACGGGACCTTGATCGTTTCAACTTACTCCAGCTCCTCCACATCCTTTATCTCAGTTCAGAGTACACCAGCTTCATCAACTGAGTGATAGAAGACCGCCATGAACGTGCCCTTTCATAGACAGGACCACCGCTTTGGCCCAATATCCAGCCACCACGGTCGCTGCACGAGCGCCCTGCTATCCAAGAATTGCACAGTTAGAACAAGAAGTGCCACCTCCACCGCACAAGGATATACAAAACAGCCTATCGTCTTAACCTTGCGAACTACATCTGCTTCCCTCCCGCATCATGTCAGTCAAGCTGAGTGCAATGCTGTCGAATATGCTCAACACGTCCTGCAGGCCGCGATTCCCAAATGCCGCCTTGGCTCCTGGGGTGAATGCCTCGAATCCAGCGTCGCCGTTGGTTGTGCCACAGACGGCAGGTGAATGGAAGCATTTGACGAGGTATTCGAGGTCTTATGTCCAGATACACTTATGGCAGGCTTTTGCCGCTGTCATTCCACCACGTCTTGTTCTCTGATGAACTGTACATATTGATGTGTCCCTTGCCAAGGCCGGTGCTACTGAGGCGTATCTGATCGGCGATGCGATCGTGAAGTTGTTCGAGATTGACGAGATGCTGGAGTGACTGCGGAGGGAGATACCAAGTACACACTCTACGAAGGCTTATATTTGCAATAGAGAGATGGTGAGATAGGCTCGTCCACTAGAGACAAGCTGTACGAATGAATATGCAGCTCTCACACAACACAAGCCTGGGCTCCCAACCTTACAGCGTATGTCCTGAAACCAAGAGTTTATACTTTACTCAGGAGTAACTTCCAAGCACTGAGTAGCATTAGCAGCGAATAGTAACATCATATATTCATCGAGGTAGCTTTCTGATAGTTGTACACAGTTGACGCAAGAGCACAAGTCAGACACCAGATACGGATTGCGAAGATACACAGTCCATATGACTATCCATGTGCCCAGCTAGCGGTCTGCAAGGAATCCAAGCCCCTCCTATCCTCATATCATTTAGCTGGTGGTAATGCATTCAGCCAAGGATGTCGCAAAAGATCCGTTGTCGACGGACGCTCTGCAGGATCAATCTTCATCAAGAATTTGAGAAACGAGGCGCAATCATCTCTCTGTTCCTGTGATAAACCAAGCATAAAAGCCTCAGATGAGAGGCCGGGACGGGTAAAAGGCTCGTGATCCTTTATACGCCCCTCATTGTCGAACAGATCATGGACAAGCTCTTGATTCCCTTTGTCGAGAAAGCTCTTCGGGAATGGCCCGAAGAGGTCAACAATCTCAAAGAGGTGTTCCTTAACGTAGTATCGTCCGTCGGGAGGGCCTCTGCCGTCGAACATTCGCACAGCCCGGTAGACTTCCAAAACTACAGCGCCCAAGTTCCACCAGTCAGTAGATGCGTCCCAATGAGCACCGATGAGGACCTCAGGAGAGCGAAGGGTAGTTCGCTGAGATGTCTGTCGGTCCAGCTGGCAACTCCCCAGTCACCTAGCGCCACATCGAACTCGATCACGCGAGTAACGTCTGCCTCGTTGACGTAGAATCGATGGAGCGGACAACGTGGGATTGGGCGGTATTGTGTCTCTTGCCTGTCTTGTTGGGGAGTGGGCTCCTTGAGTAAGCCCGACTCGATCATGGAGTAGTCACGAAACTTGACAAAAATGTTATCGGGCTTGATATCTGTTCATGAAGCTTGGTCAGCCTTGGGAGCAAAGCAAAATAATTTGCTGCTAATACCTGTATGGACAACGCTGTGGTCATGAGCGAAATCAAGTGCTACAAGAAGCTGTATTATGAACTTCCGCATGACCGGCTCTGGTATCATGTTTTCACGAAACAAGGTGCCAAAGCTGCGGAGTGTCTCTCCCATGAGTTCAAAGACAAAGCATTTGTGTGTGCCATTCGGGCCTTGATGCTGAAAGTCGTGAAGAAGGTGGCAGACAAAGGGATAGCCCGGATGGCTCTTATCTCCATCGCGAAGATGGGTAAGAATATCCATCTCAAACGTCTCTTTGCCTGGGCCGTAGTACGCAGCGCTCAGTATCTTGAGTGCCCGAAATTTTTTGGAATCATCGTCGTCACTTTACAATCCGGAGTGTCAGCCCTACATGACCCTCATTGGAAGTCATGCTGCACTCACCTGGCTTGTAAATCCCTGACAAGCCACACAGTCGAGTAGCGGCCATATCCGATTTTGTTCAAAACTTTCCATCTTTCGTCAAAGACATCGCCAATGTATACCGAATGGAAACCGCCAGGTCGATAGGCGGCCCTGCCCTCGTCAATGTCTTCTTCAGGAGCTGCATCAGGCTGAGGCACAGCATTAGGCAAAGCCTGCTCAGTAGCAGGGTCTTCCTGATGTGTTTGCCCGGATGCAAACGATCCCGGCTCGTGCTGGCAAACATCCATGTTGCGAGAATCTCGATCTGAGAAAATCGCAGAGCAGTAGATATTACATGAAGATGAAGAAAATTTGGGTTCAGAGCCTGGTTAATACACCCGCTGTTTGCCTTGTATCGGCAGGGATGTCTACGCAGCCTTGGGCGCGTAACGTGATGAAATTCGAAGAACCGCCACGGAACCAACAAACGAACAGACAACAGGCGGCAATTGCAAGAACTGAACCAACGCGAACAACAAACATTAGTCGGCTCTCAGCCCCCAACACTCCGGACCCCCAACTGATAACTGCACATATACAAACGAACGAGGAACCCCAACACAGATTAAGGAAACATCTCAACCCTTGCCCTTCCCAGCTCCAGATTTCCGTTCCCCAGCAGCAAATCAATCTTACTACCTTGCCAATGTCTTGCGTGCGCCTCCTCACGAATAAAGTCGCGGATTTTCCGATCCCACAAGGTGTTTTCCTCATCCAGCTCCTCGTTATCAGCATCAACGACGTCAATGCCACCACCCGACAGCGTCTCACTTATAGGGTACGAGCCCGCAAATTCCCAGTCCAGGATACCCAGGATTTGGTCGCCCTTGCTCAAGATGTTGCGACCATGAAAGTCCCCATGAACAAGCGTAAATGGCTCATCCAATATGTCGCTTTGTGCCAGAGCATCTCGCCTTTGCTGCAGCTGTTTTATGAAGTCCGGGACAGAGACCTCCTGGAACAGATCTTGGTCAACATCGTCTGTATCTGCGTGCGAGTAATACGCAATCTCTCGTTCATAGCAGGCAAGAATATACTCCTTGGTAGTTCTGTAAGGTCCGATGGGATAGTACTGGTTGCTGTGAAGCTTGAATCGCCCTTTAAAAATCTTGGCACCCTCAACGGTAGGGGCAGATTGGAAGTCGTCAGGATCCAATCCACCGATCATGGAAAAAGGAATGTCCGCAAGATCGACGGTGATTTTAGCTAGCTGTTTTGCCATAGACTCTTTCTCCTCGAATGTTAGAGTCATCCAGTTGGAGCTGAGAGGCGTGGCATCGATATATTCCTCCGCTATGAAAGAGGCGCTCTGTTCATCTGTAGCTTCATAGAAGAAAACGTGTGGGACTGGGATATGGGGGAGCTTTGTGGCAATGAACTTCTTGAAGGCGACGTCATTGGTGATTTGGTGCGGGAGAAGGGCATCTTCACAAGGAAGGCGTAGGACATATTCGTCAAAAGAGCGTGTGGCAATGTGGGAATTGCCCTGACCATTGAACCCTGACTGGTCAACCTGCGCGTTGTCAGCGGGCCATGAATCAGTCATCCAAGCCAGCCAAATCGTATCTCACCTTGAAATAACCATGCAGTCTCACGAGCCAGATCGTGTTATAACCTCCCTTAGCCAGCAGAGTAACAGATCGGAATATAGCAGCCTCGCCCGCATCCAGTTCCAGACACTGAGGCTTCGGGTCCTGCTGGCTCTCCATCACCGCGCGAACCTTACGCACGATCGCATTGTTTGCACTTCTTAGGGTATCCAGTGCTATCACTGCGGTAGTAGTAGACTTTGGGATGGACATTGCACTGGATTTGGTGGTCTTTGCAGAAGCCGTTCTTGTTGCAGCACTGGCAGTGGTGGGTGGTGGGCATGATGGAAGGAGTTATGAGAAACTCAGGACGATGAAGTACGTTTTGTGCAACTGGAAGTCACGTGGCTGTTGAGAAGCAGCTCAAGATTTGATGAATGGTTTTGAATTCACAACTTCATCCTCTGTCAGCGATGCCATAGTGGGCTTTTATAAATGAGCTTAGGCAACGAGGCTTCCTTTGCTCTCACTCATCTTCTTGTGCATCTAACACTGTTCCCTTCAAAGAGGCGACTTTCTTCCAAACTCATTGCACGCGCCTCATGCGGACTTGCGTGTGGGGAGAATCCTTCAGTCTTCGGATCATGCAAGGGAGTGTATACTGTTAGGCAGCAGCCAGCCTTGCCCTTGGCATTGGCCAGTGTCCATCGTTATGGAGGGTCGCGTGTCGCCTTTTTCATGCCTTTTTCTTTTTTTTAACTGCCTTAATCACTCTTCAAAATCCCATTGGACATCCTCCGCTCTTTGTATGTGACGTGGAATTCGTCTGTTCTGTGCGGTGTGCTCAACAGGCTTCAGAGGCCAAATATGAAGATTCTCGCCAATATCTGTGGACATGTTGGCATCAGCACGAGGCCGTAAACTGCTATGCGTGCATGATAGCCTAACATGACTCTCATTTTCATCTTTACAACGATGATCCGGGGTGTGTATGGAGTAGCGTGTGGTGATATGTACATAGGTAGCTTGAGAATATGTACATGTTTCAACCTTGGTTGGAAGCTGCTTTTGCCATTGGAATAAACCTATGCAAAGGCTGCAGGAAGATAGAGAATTTGTAACAAGAAAATTGGTATGGACGTCCCAGAAATAGTAACGACGTCCGTTATTTGTTCGTACACTTATGGGACTGCGTTCAAACCATGGGTTTGCTATCCAGCATCGCTATCTCACCAATACAGAGTAAAGGCTAGTCTTGGGTATTTTAACGATTGGCTCGAGATAGAAGCCTATGACAGGGCTAGTAGGATACAGCAATGGTAGCAGAAAGAAGCCACTTGCTTCACTTTCTCAGACATAAACAGTCACAGAGCCGTGGCACTCCTGAGACGCTGGATAGCCAAGCTGAAGTGGCGGATAGCAACTCCATTTGACGACTCTTATCTGGTTTGTCTCTCGTGTCCGTGCTCAGTTCCCTTCACATACCTACATAAGCTTCTAATCTCTACTTTGCTGGTTGAGTGCAGACGAATATAGCCCAGATCCGTATCGACGTTTCCCTATGGAAGTCGACTTTGAGTCATGAAGAAGGCTGACAGCGCGTTCGTCCCCAAACTGCCCTAAAAGTGGAATACCGGGAATTAAAAGCCGATTCCTCAATCCTTAACAGCACCGAACAGCGAAGATGCCCCTTTGTTACGTTGTTCGTTCCCGCTTGTGAGACAAATTAACCCATAACGGAGGGCTTTAGCGGGAGGCGCCGCATCTCCCTCCGTCAGCGACAATTTCCTATTCGGGCCCACGAGACCCATCGTATTGCTAAAGAGGATAATTCATAGTCTGATGCTTATATCTTCAGCCTTTCCGCATAATGTCATCCATTGCGCCTGATACAAGTAAAGCCCCGTCAGCGCAGTTTGGACAGTTGTCGATTTGAGGAGCAGCTTGAAGATATATAGTCAGAGAGTCTCGCCATTTCTTGCAAGACAACACAAAGTAAACACACACCAATCAATACCTTCAACCAACTAGCCCACTCAGAATATCTCTGTAGAACGGCACCTCTTGCAGAATGACCACCGTCGAAACGAGCCGTTACGCAGCAGCACATGCGGACCAGCATGGCCCCGGCGACGCAAGGCCTACTGCCTTCCAAATTATCAAGGACGAGCAAAGAGAGGGATCCATGAGCGACAAGGTCGTCTTCATCACTGGCTGTTCTTCTGGTCTGAGGATCGAGACAGCGCGAGCGATGAAAGCCACCGGCGCGACCCTCTTTGTTACCGCTCGCAACCTGGAAAAGGCGAAGCAAGCCCTCGGTGACATCCTTGACGGCGGACGTGTTCATCTCCTCAAGCTGGACCTCGAATCCCTCGACAGCGTCCGCGCCTGTGTCGAGGAATTCAAGTCCAAGAGCAGCACCCTCAACATCCTCATCGAGAACGCCGGTATCCGCCACGTGCCCTTTGGCAGAACGCAGGACGGCTACGAAAAGCACTGGGGAACCAACCACCTCTCACATTTCCTTCTGCTGGAGCTTCTCAGGCCGATCCTCATAGCGTCAGCGACGCCGGAATTTTGCTCTCGCGCCGTCATCGTTTCGTCCACGGCTCACAGAAACGCTCCCATGGACTTTGGGGACCTCAACTGGGAAAAGCGGAAATATGTTCCCTCGATTGCATACGGCCAAAGCAAACTGGCTAATGTCTACACTGCGAGTGAGGTCAACAGGCGGTATGGCGCACGGGGCTTCATGCATGGAGTGTGCACCCTGGAGGTATTCGGACGGGACTTCAGGCAGCCACTAAGTGGGATGTCGGCGACTGGCTCGTCGTCATCAAGTCCGGCCCCATGGCAACACTCATGACGATGATGAACGCTGAGCAAGGTGCGTCGACGTCGGTATGGGCTGCCGTGAGCAGGGATTTGGAAGGTCAAGGTGGGAAATACCTGGAGAGGAATCGTTTCAGCGAGCCGTTAAAGAAGGGGTGGAAGATGATTGACCCAGGGCATGCCGAATGGGCCTATGATGGGGAGGCTGCAGCGAGATTGTACGACTTGTCTTTGAAGGAGGTCGGTCTCTAATCATTTGATCTCAGGTGTGACACAGCATCCAGGTGGCTTTTAGTCTGCTTTCTAGAAACTTTACGTCGCCGCTTCGTCTTGCTTTATGTACGAATACTTTGTATTGTTATGCTAATAGTATATCGTTTTTCTGTGCTTTTCTGGGAAGAGAAATGATCCTTCTCTGCCTTGATGAGCTTCGCATCGTTATCATCATGCTGTGTCCACTGGTCCTATATCTAACTTCCGCGGGCAATCTTCTGCAGCTGCGAGAGATTTCCGTTGAAGATATCAGAATCTCCGCCCCAGGGAGACGCATCACTGTTCTGCCAGATCGTATAAACGCTCCATCCATTGGGCAGCGCACCAACAGAGCTAGAATACCGCGCAATAACAAGAGGCGATTTGCTGCCAAACGAGCCATTGTTTCCAGTACACAGCTGCCACCAACTTGTAGAGGTGTAAATGAGAGGATACTGGGTCGTAGCGGCGTGGTAAGTGTTGACAAAGTCGTTGATCCAGCTGACCATGGCGCTCGCACTCAAGCCGTAGCAGCTGTCGCCGCTAGGAGCGTACTCGAGATCAAGCATACCAGGAAGGGTGATGCCATCCGCAGACCAGCCTCCTCCGTGCTGGAGGAAGTAGTTGGCTTGGGCAGCACCGGAAGAGGAGGCGGGCTGAGCAAAATGGTAACCGCCCCGGATGAAGCCAGCTGCAGTGGCTTTGGTATAATGATCGCTGAAGCTGGGATCAGTGTAGGTGGTGCCCTCAGTAGCCTAAGTAATACATTAGATGCTTATTTCATGGCGTGCATTGGGCGCTGAGTATGAACCTTGATGATCACGAAACGTGCACCATCAGCATAGGCTTTGGCAAAGTCAACGGTGGCTTGGTAATGAGAGATGTCGAATCCTGGAACGGTTGCGCTGGCCACAGAAGCCAGAGCCGCCAACTGGACGGCAATGGGAGTCAGGAACTTCATGATGGTATGCTATAGAATCTGAAGACTTGTTGTGAGTTGGCTGAGTCGGACAGTCGGCGTCTGGGGCATGAGAGGACCTTATATATTCGGCCAGGCCGTCGCTTTGAGACAGTGTAACCCTCTCGTAAAGATCTCCATATGCAAAATTATTAGAGAGTAGTTCACTAGGAAGGTCCTTGTTGTTCAAGGTTAGTAGACTGACTCAGGTGTCGTAATAGATGCAGATTGACTCAGCTTGATGATTCGATGCAATCAGATTCTCCCTCTAATTCCCGTGCTCTTCGATAGAGCATCCGGTTGCCATCCCCCGCATTTAGTGCTGTACAACCACTCATGATCGGCGGGCTATCTGAGAGCTGAACATGACCCCTGGCCATGGATGGGGGCATTTGGTCGAGTTTGGCAGGTGATTTACTGCGGGAAACCGGTTAGAGAGGCGCCACCCTGGAATGCGGATGAGAAACGTGGGACATGTCCAATCCTCGTACTAACGACTGGAAGATGAATAGGTTCCTTCTCGTTGCAAATGGTAAATGTTTTTAGGTCATGTCTGGCGAGCAATTTTCCAATATTCTATGCTTGGGATATTTGCTAGCTTGTGCCTGTCTGGAGATTCAACTGATGGGGTTATCATCTGCAGCATATCAATGCACTTCCACATGCTGCGCACTGCTTCCTCTTCATGGAATAGCGTATCCTGCAACAGTGTTGCGTCAAGTACGCCGATTGGATGCGACGAAATAAAGCGGATGCAGCAACGCGGGACGGCAACGGAATCTTTGTTCCTGAATAGTGATGCAATCCATGTCTGTCTATCAATTACGAGTTATCCGTCGGTGTCCAGATCCAGGCGTAGCCACATAGCCACATAACCAGCTGAGAAGCCGGCTACTACTATCTCAATGTTCCTCGTGTTTGTGTAACATCATCGGCATCGTACAACCAGCGATGGGGAGGTAATATCCTGAGAAGCTTGTTTAGGTCATATGGGGATGGGTAGATCAGACATGTGTGTATTCGTACATGTACATCATATTAAACAAACTTTATCATTTATTCTGAGCACTGTTTTGGACTGCTTCTCTTTATTCCGTTATACAACAGGACATCAATTCCCATTTTCCCATCAAATCAAGGGGTATACAACTCCAGTGAATGAGTCCACCTGGCAAGAAATTTCCAATCTGATCCAACTCCATCTCCAGCAGGCCCCTCAGTAAACGTTGCAAAAAATACAAACAGTCCCAGATAATAGCGTCGCCCCTACTCGGAACGCATGTACCGCTCAGGACCAAAGCCTTGATATATACCGAGACAGTCTGTCGAACATGCCTCGACACTCAGGCTCAGCCGAGCGACTCTCGGCTGTGGTAGGTCGCTCAGCAACCACGTCAATGTCCAGTTTGGGCCTCTGGACAGTCAAATGGGAATCTGTTGCCATTTCAGATCCCACAATGCCGACGACGGATGGCTGAGCCTCATGTGGTTCCGACTCATCGGCATCATCCGCCGCAGCAGGAGTTTGTGGGCGTCCGGTCCCTGTGTGTATCGCGATGTTGTTGATCACGACGTAGACTGGGCGGGTGTGGGAGGGACGCCGAATGGCGCCACGACGAACGATGGAGACGTCATCACGTTGACGCCGACGCAACGTTTGAAGATTGTTGCGTCTGGAGGTGGATAGGTTGCCATCCCGTGGCTGGGAGAGAGGTGGGAAGTATTCGGCTACAATCGCCATTGTGAGAGCGTTGCACGGAATCGATGTGATTGTGCAAGAAGAGGCAAAGATTTGGGGTCAGAGTGGGAAGCAGCTGTTGGAAAGGCGAGATGCACAGAGTAGATGTGAGAATCGAAGAGCGCAGGGGCTGTAGAGGGGAGGAATCGATGCAATTTATACCTTTGGAAGCAGTTACCGCTCTGCCTCAACATTCTCATTGAGAACAGTGCACTAATGATACGTTTTGAGGCTATCCCGAACGGGCTTTCGCCCAGAACCTTGATGCTGAAGAAGGTTTATGTTAGTTGACATTGACGTCTATTGTACTTAGCCTCGAATAAGATTGAGGACAGCTTCAAAGACAAAGGTGACGCGCTTATTGGTGTTGTCAACCATTGCCATAATGGCTATACAGTGATCTTTGGACTGCTCATTAGCCTTATGGAAATGCTGGCTGAGATGTTCCTCGATCTCTCAGATGATGTGGAAGAGAGCTTTGTACTTTTCATCGACGTTGTGTGCTGATGCGCTTCACAACGACACTGTGGACAAGTTTGGCGGACCGGATGTTAAGAGTTGGGAGGACAAGCAGAAGTTTTCAAACTCAACCCCGTCAGGGCAAGTAAAACCGGGTGAGATTCCCTCCAGTCTTCGTATAAGCTTGGCTTGTATTTGGCTACGTTCATGTTTGTATTAGTTCAGGTTCCCAGTAGGAGGTTAAACCCCTGTGGCGTCCCATTAACTCGGAACTGAACAGGCAACTGAGGAAATAAGGTTAGGTCGGTGAGATAAGCTTCTCGGAAAATTCCCGATAATCTAGATAAACTCTTTAAATAAGGTAAGGCGCCGATTATTCTAACGTTTGGGGCTGTCAGCCGCAGCAACCGGGTTCACTGGGACAGATACGTTGGGAAATAGGACTTGAAGGATTGAAGACAGACGCTGTCCTGAGACTGAAGTATTACGATGTCACTGCTTAAAGATAATCGGGACTAATCACGATTCGGTCTCTAGAAAAATGTAGGTCCCAGTATAGAAGGATGTCAAAAACAGCGAGCATTCTCGTGATTCATTGCATTATTACATTACATTTGGTGACGTTCCGTCGTAAATATATCCTCCTGTCCATCCAACACCAATTCCCCATCCATTCATTAAGCATGGCTTGACGGTCTGTAGATAGAACTCCTCCTTTCCCTCTATGGCAGGGTCACGGGGGCGTAGCTCTGGTTGGGCGAAACCACCTTGCCAGCCTGGACCTGAACATCGGTATAAGCAGGCCAAGTGATGAGCTTCTTGGCCTGGTCCACAACTGCAAACGTAGTAAAGCCGTTGCCAGGGCCAAACTGTCCGCTCCAGCTAGATGTGATGGTGTAAGGGCCGCAGGTGACGGGGCCGCCGCTGGCCTGAGAGGCGTGGGCATCGGCCTTGACGACGTATGTGCAGGAGGTCGGGGCAGCGAGGTGGGTGTCGACGCCAAAGGTCCAGGTGCACTGGGTGTCCTTCTTGTCGCAGACGCGCCTCACGTCGGTGATAGTCCACTCGGGAACGGCCGCCATCATGGACTTGTCGGCGGTAATGGGAGCGGCGATGGCGGTGGAAGCGGCGAAGAGGGTGGCGAAGAGAGTCTTGGTGATTTGCATAGTCACGGTTGGTTATATGTTGATATGTCGTTGGATTGCTTCGAGATGATTGAGTGTGAATAGAGCTGAGACGGAGCCAGAAGAGGATGAAGATGATGGGCAAGAGAGCTCGAATCCGGGCCTGTCTTGTCCCCTTATATACTTGATTGAGCTCCGTCTGTGTACCTTGAAAACCTGGAAACCTGGCCAATCCAAGTGGAGAAGATATTCAATCTCTCAGCTCGTATTACTAGCACGATCGAGGCCCAAAAACCAGCTCATCCTGTGGTTACAGGAATGTCGGGAGACAACTCCATTGGATGCGATCATCCGAGGAGCTTGACGGAGGCGGTCACGGCTTGCGGCGGCGACTCGGCACCCTTGCATCATCTCGTATTGGAGCTGGCATGTTAAGGCTGTCTATCAATTCTGCGGTGGCGATGCAACAGGGCTGGGCAAGCTCGGGACGAGCGTCATTGAGCATGGAGTTGCAGGGATAAATCCTCCACATCACCGGCCATTGCCTGATCTCAAGCGGCTGAGACCCAGGCCACGGATAGAATCATGGGATTTTCCACTTCGCCAGAGACACGGAGGAAATGCGATATTGTGCAGTCACATCATCCATCAACCTCAATGACTCAAAAGAGCTCACAAATTATCTCGGGACACGGCTCATCGACGTCCACCTGCAACGTTGCCAATGTCTGGCTCCCGATTTACACTGCGTAAGGTGCCCGATTAGCGTGTGGGGATCGCATCTGCCGCTCGTATTCCAGGAATAGACCCAGACATGCAGTGAACGGTTGTGCCGCTGGTAACGGTAATACTAACGCAACTCCTATCCTGCCCCTATGTGATGCAGATGATCAAAGCGTTGTACGAAGTGCAATTAATCGCCCGTATTGCAATGAATGTTAGTGCCTCTTTTAATTCATTCTGCTGGGATATTAAGGGAGGATGCCCTACATAGTAGCGGTCAAAAGGGAGGTTGATTCGAGTTTGGTACTCATATTTTGTGCTTTGTTTGAACCCTGAGGTCGACCTAGGGAGTATTCTAGAAGTATTGACGCAAGGCCGGTGGGTTTAGAACCCACGCATTGCTCGATGGTTCATCAAGCTCCCAAATGTTTAACAAATGTAAGTCTCTGGAATGTACAGACCGCGAATGTCTGAGGCAGTGATGTAATCCCCTATGACGCCAGATTATGGAAGCCAGAATCCCATCAGGCAGGAATCCATCCTTTTCCTCGAGCACATCTTAGTATGCCGAGGACGAGGAACTCAACAAGCCCATGATCAGCTGCGACGGCAACGATGCTGCAGCCCTTCAGTAAGCTTGCTCGGCCGACGGTCAACCGGCCCTGGTCATCTTAATGCCGAGCCTTTTCCCCGCATAGTTGTGTCACTCGAAAGGGGGCGAGAACCGAGGTCATGTGGCTTCAGCGAGAAAAGGGATACGAATGTAGTAATACTTTGCGTTACGCGAGATCGTGAAGCAAAATCGACTCTGTTGAGGATCATCATTGCACAGCGCCAACAAGGACAAGATCAGGCTAAATGGAGGACGCCTGTACAAATGTGCCTGACTGCCTTAGGACAACGATTTGTTGAACGCTGTACAACTACTCGAACAGGATTCTCATCAAATGAACGGTACAACGGGAAGACTACCCTGCAAAACGGAAACGGTGACCAACTGTAACCCTCTCTACCGTTTCTCTCGTCTCAATCACACGTCTTCACCATACATAAATTACACAAACTGTCCAGTCCCATCCGATGTAAAGATTCATCAACAGAATATCGTCGCCGCCCTCCAAGCCAATCAGAAGCGTCTAAATGGGCGGATGGTTTAGTGGTATAATTTTCCCTTAGCATCAACCTCTCCAACAAACTTGGCAGCGGTTCAGCTTCCTCCCTGGGAAAGGTCCGGGGTTCGATTCCCCGTTCGTCCAAAGCGCATCATCGGCTTCACTTTTTGTTCCTTTTTCCTTCCCCTCTCCATGTCTTTTTTGCGATTCCGAATACCGTGTCTCTGTTCTACTTGTACCCAGGTGAAACAATACCTTTGTAGGCAGAGCTGAACGGAGAGGGGAAGCGTACATGTAAGGAGCAGTACAAGTACGAGTACAGCGCGGTAAAGGGCGCGATGTAACCCCCTTTTCCTTGTTGTGTTCTTTGGGCAATACGGAGTCCTTATCACCGTAATGCACCGCTCGGCGGACTCCGTAATCGACGTAGATCCCATTCACACATTCCTAACTCGACCATAGTACTCCGCCGCACCCAGCCCCTTGCATTAGCATGAACTGTTTCGCGGTATGTATTTTGTTCTCCGTCATCAGCAGAAGGGAAGCCTCTGCGCAGATCTATCATGATATCATTTGTTGAATCAAGTCCAGTCTCCCTTGCGTTGTATGTAAGGGCAGGGCTCTCATATCAGCTCACAACAGCGTCATACTGCACCAGATAGGTACTCATGAAATAAAACAATGCATATGTACATCATTCTCATTGCGTATGTAGTAAACGTTGACTATGTGCATGATAGAAATCCACCGCATGAGAGACAGCTCGTGGCAATGCTGATAGTTACAAGAAGCCATGCCACATTCTCATATCGATTTTGTCATCAGTCGTTCATCCATCCAACTCGCTTCTGTAGATTTCAAGCGCTGTTCCAGCCATCCCATTGAGCGAATGGACCCTGGATTCGAGCCTTTGCGTCCACAGCCATCATTAATCAGAATTTTCGAGTCGTTCATCCGTTCGTCGAGTGATTTAGTGGATGGGGTTGTTGCCGGGAAGAGCGGCAATAGGGCCGTTGAGACCAATGTTCTCGGTGGGCGCAGGAGTCTGCAGCTTCTGCGGGCCAGAGACACCGGGGCCGTTGGGGCCGACGTTCAAGCTGCATCCACTGTCGTTGACGCCGTTGGGGCCAGTGCAGGTCGAGATGGCGAGCTCGAGAGCGGTCTGGTTCTTCCAGCCCTGGAAGTAGTCGGCGTGCAGGCTGTAGCCGGTGGCATCACCGTCGGCGTAGACGAAGCGGTTGAAGTTCTGGACTGAGCCGGTGTCGTAGAAGAACTCGTAGAAGACCGAGAGGATGGCCTTGGGGTGCGACTCCGGGCACACACCAGTGTTGTAGTCGCCAATAGCAGGGAAGGCGACCTATCAAATTGTCAGCAGATGGCGTGTAAAGAGGCTGGGGAGCAAAGACGTACGTGATCCTTGTGGGTGGAGGAGTCGAGGTTGACTCCGTCCCAGCAGGACGGGAAGAAGGTCTCGGAGCGGATTCGCTGGCACTGGCGGGTAGGGAATCCGTTGGTGTCAGGAACGGGCTCGGTATCAAGGCAGACGTGCGAGATGGCACGGTCCTCGAAGCTGGAGGCGTTGAAGGTGCTGTTTATGATGTTAGAACCCATGTGAACAGCTGAACCGGCAGGGTATTCGCTTACCGTCGGTTCAAGTCACCGACAAGCATCTTGAGGCCAGCAGGAGGAGCAATGGGGAGAGGAGCTCCATTGCAGTTCTGTCGGCCAGGAGCATAGTCACAGGCACGAGCAATGTAGTAGGTAGCCTAGAAGCAGTCCGTGTTAGTCCAACCACATCTCGATTGATTTTCTCGGTGTCGTTCTCAACCACTTGGAACTTACACTGCCCTGGAAGGTGACGAGCTCGAACTGGCCGTCGTGTCGCTGGTGGTACATCTGAGGCTGCCAGTAGTTGCTGTTGTCGAGGATCTTGTCGCAGGTGGTGGCCTGGGCAGCTCGGGCCTGCTCGGGGGTCGTGCTGATAGAGAAGGCAGTGCCACCGACGACGGCGTGGACGTGAGAAGAGATGACACCAGGAGACACGATAGGGTCACCTCGGAACTGAGTCAGGGGAGCACAGTTGACGGTGAAGACCTGGGCCTGAGCGCCGATGGCAGCAGCCAGGGCGACGAGGGCGGAGTGCTTGAGAGTCATGGTGATGGCTGATAAGATGCTGAACTAGCCTGTTGCTCTTGGATGGCTTGCTGGAGAGGAGTGAACTGGAAGACGACCTGATGACCTGGTGAGCAACAAGTCTAAGTAAAGGCTGGGGATCCTCGGTGCCTTATATATTAATCCGATACTATCCAGTTCCTACAAAGGCTCATCACCCTTGCCCCCCTGGCTCTCTCTCCTATCTTCGATGCAACCAGAAGTAGCACTCGCTCTTGGGCATCCTTGCTTCCACGCTGACATGTTTCAAAACGGTATTTTGAGGCCTTTCCCAGATAGTCGAACGCCTCCTCAGCCGCCAAGGCCAAGCATCCCCGTCATCTCAGCGGCCAGAGCTGTTCCCGTTCCTGAACAGCTTCATCGGGGATGACCAGGAAACAAAGGCTCTTGGAGACGCTTTTCCTCTGCAGATCCGGAATCGGTCCGAGCCTAGAGAGCCTACGATGCAACCCTGGGAGGTCGACCTCAAAGAGGATGCTTGGTCTTTTCCTGGCCTTTGCCTCCGCCTCCCTCACTCTTCATGGAGCCTCCAAGACCGAACCCCATCATCTGATGCGTGCCCGCCGAACAATGGGCCGAAACAGCTGGTGTGGGCAGAAGAGGCATTGGCTGCTCTCGAAAAAGTCCCGCTAGATAGAGATGGAAACGAAACAAGAAAAGAAGGCCGAAGAGACTGCAAACATGGGCCCGGGGTGGCGGTGGGGGATGGACGTCGTGGACATCCCCAAGCGTCTTTCTGGCTGCAGGCCGCAACAAGCTGGCCCGCGATGCAACCGATCTCCATCATTTGCCGCGTGGGCTGCTTTACAGTATACACTGACTCGTCCTGTGGCGGCACCTTTGCTCCGTTTCTTTTTCTGCCTAGCTAGGGGCATTTCGTGATCGCGGAGTTGACTGGGGGGGTGGACAGCCAAAGGAAGGAGGATGAAGAACCCATGAAAGTCTGGGGTATGCAACGGCAAGCGCCTAAGTCGGGGAGTAAAAGTGCGGAGGTGGCTTGCATGGCGTTGGCAGCTCCCACTGACAAATTTCGAGATGGGCAGCGACGCTCTCGTGAGTTTTCCTGTCAACCAACCATCCACCCACGAGCAAAGCTGTTGCTGGCTTTGTCCAAATATGTCAGTTACAGGGACGTTGCTTGACTTGATTTCTCAGATAGGTTGAGATCAGCATTGACTTGCCAGTTTGAACGTCTTATCAAAGCGCATGGATAATGAAACGGCATATGACATGACATGCAGTGCCAGTCTGAGTCGTATAAGCTACCCCATGTAGAGCAAGGGGTTGCCGGCCCGTCCAGCCAATCGACGCGGCTTCTTGTCAGCAAGCATTGAAGCTTCTCTAGAACCATGTCAGGAACTGGCAGTTGCTAGTTCGTTAGCCCAGAGAAGCATGATTTGCTAGCTTTGGGTTTATTTCTCTAGATCACCGGAGACCTCGTGGATAGTCCTAATTCCGAAAAACCTATCCCAGCCATTCAACAAGAACATTCGATTCTCGTGTCACTATCATGTTGCTGGTTTTCACAAAGACAGCAGGTCCTGAGGTCTTCAAAAATGGACGGGATAACAGCAATCCACCTGCTGCTGTCCACCACATATCACATCCCTGGATCACATCCCTTTCATCTCAGGCTGCCAAGCACGTGCCGGGGAGGATCGGCAATTCCGCAGCCATGTGCCCTCGTTCGCAGTCTTGATCTCCCACCGGCTCTGGGTTGCAGCGTTCGCGGATTATCGCCGACTTGATCGCCTGCACCCCACATCTGGCATGGCCTGCGGGAACGGGGATCATCGGGACGTCCGTGGCTTGCTGGACATGGTGAGCTTCATCTGAGATGCCAACACAGACGCAGGCAGAGGCGTTCCTCTGGGGATACTAGACTTGCCCAGACACCAAGGAAACTTGATTACAGCTAGTGTCGTGACCTTGCTCTCGCGTGTGGGTTTGCTTCCATCGAATCCGTAGACGGCCAGGGGGTTTGGAGTCGGACCTATTAGCTAGTGCGACGTCTCGGTATATTAACTTGCTGGGGCGGCATACAGGGGGGACCTGTGACCCGGAGGTCCATTCTGCATTTTGCCTTAATTTTCCCCGCGAATCAGATGGGCTTCTAAGCTTGTTTGGTTTGCCGCGCGCGCGGCCATTGGCTGGCTTTTTGCGGAGAGGAGGCACAGTTGGTTGCGGTCCGGCATTTCGATGTACTTGGATGGGCTCGAGGCTTGCTTACAAAACGATATGTCTCTCCAGGTATTTTCTTTCAGCGGCTTTTACTGTAGCTGTGCTGCAAGGCCTTGCACAGGGCTTTTGTGGCTGATGCGGAGTTGATTAAGCTTATGGTAGCATTTCCTGGAGTGCAGAGAGTCAGGGGGTCCAAAATCTAGGTCAGCGGACGGACCAGTACGGAGTAAAACCCGACGGAAAGCAGATATCTCTCCGTTCACAACGGTATAATGTCCGCCATTTGCAGTTCCATAACCGGATACATACCTATCTCTTCCTATTCACGTTCTATATTCATCCAACTAGTCTGCATGTATGGCTGAGACAGCTTAACAGGCAGAATTAGACGCGAAGTTGATGATGGGTGCAGAACATACCTTTGGCGTTCCATTAATGTGTCCCAATAACGCTTGACAGATGCGTTGGGTTGTACGAAGCATGTCTGATGAGGTCACCCCAAAGTGTTAAGCGCCAGGTTTCCCCATGCCGTCCTGCAAGAGACTCCTCGTATGCCTATGTACTCCATACTTTGCTGGCGTATGCCACCTGCAGTGTAACACCACTATGTTCCTCGGCCAAATGAAGATACCTGCACACCTGAATGTTTTGAAACGCGTTCGTATGACTGGATATTCACGAGAGCTAGGCAGCGTATCTAGCCAAAAGTGTCCACGCTATCGAATTCAGACATGTGCGATGCGTAATTATGGAGGCAAAGCCTCCGTGTTGGCGCCGTCTTTGCTTTTTAGGCAGACGGCAGCTAGGGATACGACGAACTCCATGTGCAAACACGCCCACATACTACCCGACCTCGGATTGCATTCTACACCATTGCCCTATGACGAGTGTCTGGCGTGTCGAGGTAGTGTCGAGGCAACTCTAGCTTTGGCATCGTGGGTGGAGCATTCGGGGAGCTCGGACACGACAAGGACTTTGAATTGGGAAGTATAATAAATTGCAACCACGCGCATTCGTGTTGCTGACAACGAAAAGGTCCGAGTCTCCTATTTCGGGCAGAAATGGAACAACCGGCCCTTTCCTAGGCGACTGCTAAAGCTATGATGTGGTTCTTTATTGCCGCTGGATCCGTTTGTTGCCTGAGGAGGCATTCTGTCCAGATGTACAACTAAGCTGAACTTCAAAGCTGCTCAAGGATAATATGTAAAGACTACCTTGATGGAATAATTCCGACAAATAACGATCTCAAGAAATACGTGGAGCTGCAGAGATGTCCTTGGAGTCTCACTTGACGTTCATCCATCCGGCAACGATATCAACCACTTCCACCAAACTCACAGCCGGCATCGAATGCTATCAATCATCTGGTTATAAGAGACAATGCTCATATAGAGCTACAAGAAAATCCAGTTTGAAACCGTTTATAGCACGGTATGGCCAACTGCGCTATGAGTACATGTGCGGTTGAGTACTACTCATTGACGCTATACGAAAATTGAATCCAGGACATATAGTCCAAAGGCTGGAAAATAATGCGAATAAGGGCTATGCACAACGGTTTGTGGTCCAATAGTACCATATTTAACGGCGTAAACCAGAATGCAATAGCATCTGTACCTAATTTTTATGATGAATGTACTCTCAAGCGGTGGGTGAGCCGCAGTCAGGCCTGCAAATATCAGCTGTAAGCACTTGACAGCTACGACTCCGATACCTTGCCTTCTTTACCTTTTCCGAATTCGTAGGCTCAATCGTATCGACTGGTCGTTACGAATGACTGCTGATGAATGATTCAATCCTGAGTGATGATAGTTGCCGTATTAGACTTATAGTGACATAAGGCATATACCATTGACAACAACCGGGTAGACAACTACCAAGTGGCTTCCCGGGATTTTTCGCTGTCTCTAACAATGCATTACTCTACCAACTTGTTCCAGCTTGAGTAAGTACTCTGCCATAATATCTAATACCTTAATGAAAGATACAACAGATAAATGGCGACCAGACGACATGCGCCGTGTAGAGCCTTTGGTTGAGTCCTGTCGACCTGAGCCGGGATGGTCCTTGTTCTGGGGGAGCTGAAAGCCTGAACAGCAAGAAGACATACCAAGTATGCGTCAACAGAATCACGCCTGTCTTCAATCAACTCGATTATTGATTACATTGCAATGATGCAAATTGCCCCTTATTTTCTAGATTGTTCTACAGAAAAGCCGGCATCAGGGATTCAATGACAAGCAGTATAGGCGCACGTCTCACAGCCGAGTGGCATTGCAGCGCCAAGTCCCTCCAGCCCGCCTCACGCGCAGATTAATGTATTTTTGCGCTCTGAAATGCCTGCAAAATTGCTGAATAAGCCTGTCTCTCCTCCCAAAGCAGTCCTAATAGTCCAAATGCAACCAAGCCTACCAAAAACCCTCAGCTGATCCCCTCCCTCTCCTCCTCCAAAGAAAGTACCGAATCGCCCCATCAAATCCCGACTCACTGGATCTCCCTATTTAAGCTTCCCAAAGAACCTTAAAAGCTAGCCTCCCCCGCTAATCAAACTCCAGCCAAGCCTGCAAGATATGCTGCGCCTCTCCCCAAACCGCCCCAAACACACTCAGTCACAAGTCCATATTATTGGATGCCGCTTCGATGACGCGTCCCGCTCTTTTATGTGCCGTTTGAGATTCTCAGTGTGCTTTTCGATCTTTAGGTCTATTCGCTCCCATTCGCCGGTAGGACTACTAGTTTTCTTCTGATCTGTACCTATCCGCTGCTGGGGCTGCAGTTTCAGCGAGGGGGTCTGTGTTCCCATGTTTGCCCTTCAAACGACATGCATGAGGCTACTCTCCTTGAAAGCTGTCTGCATTCCCCCATTCCTTTGTTGCAATGTCACCAGACTGCAGACCGCAGATCCTATAACTTCCGTCTCTTTGGCCTCATCCAACAGCAAAGCCGTACCCCCCCATCCATCCCCAGGTACCTAATGGAAGCTCACCTATTTCTTACCCTCATGAGCACATCAATCAATCGCCCCATCTCCAAGCTTTGCCAAGGACCAAACAGAGCTGCTAGACCACAGCCAAGCTCGAGCACAGCCCTTCTTCAATGCCGTCCATGACAATGTAGCCGGTAAGCCAAGAGCGCCACTGCGCGCACCCACAGGCCTAGAGTTGCACGGAGCTGAGCGTCTAAGCAGCCGTTGCGCCGTACATGAGATAGAATCTTCCGCAGATTTAGGATTTCTCGTAGATTTCTGGTTTCTGTGATGTTTTTTCAGCCGTCTTTGCTTTCTTGTCTTTCCTTCGACGTCGTCTCCCACTTCCCTCACCCATCTCGAGTCGCCGGTACGGTCATCGTCTGCTGGTAGGGCGTTGAAGGTACTGTATTTTGTGTTCTTTTTCGTCTCTCGCTTTTGAAACGACATTATTTCTTTTTGTTGCTCTTTAAACCACCCCTCAAGGTCGAGACATAATCGACAAAATCGACACTATCACCTCCGAGCATTTGGCGTAGATCACTCGTTTCCCGCCATGTTTCCGCCATTCCGCATCATCGCCGTTTGTGCCTTTTTCGTTCAAGTCGAGGCAGTCTACCGCATCGACAATGCAGGTATTTCTAGACAGGAATGAGCCTTGGCGGATGGTTTTACTCACCGTTCATCGCAGATCACATCCGAGAGTCCGCACGCAGCCTCGCCTACGACCTCATGCTCTTCTACCAAGGAAACAAGACGGGTCAGATCCCCGGCATCCTGCCCGGCCCGCCGACCGAAGGCAAAGGGGACTATTACTGGTGGGAAGGAGGTGCAATGATGGGCACTTATGTGGACTACTGGCATTTGACGGGCGATTCGAGCTACAATTCAGTGGTGATGGAAGGCATGCTACACCAGGTTGGCGAGAACGAAAACTACATGCCCAAGAACCACACGGCTTCCCTTGGAAACGACGATCAGGGCTTCTGGGGCATGTCGGCCATGTTGGCTGCAGAAACGAAATTCCCAAACCCCCTTGCGGATAAACCGCAGTGGCTGGCTCTGGCGCAAGCTGTTTGGAACACTCAGGCTGATCCGAGTCGCCACGATGAGACTTGTAATGGTGGACTGAGGTGGCAGATTCCCTTTTCCAATGCTGGATACAACTACAAGAACAGTGAGGCCAGAAATTTGCACAGCTGAAGGGGCTAGATTGCTGATTTGATCATCTTTCTAGCAATTGCCAATGGATGCTTCTTCAACCTCGGAGCCCGACTAGCCCGATATACGAACAACGACACGTATGCGAAGCACGCCGAAGACACTTGGAACTGGCTTTGGGGAGTGAAATACATCGATCACGATAGCTGGATCGTGTACGACGGCGCACATGTCGAAAAGAACTGCACCGACATCAATCCCGCCGCATTCTCCTACAACGCAGCTGTCCTCACCCAGGGAGCTGCCTTTATGTACAATTATGTATGTATGCACATGTCGACTGCAACTTGTCTTGCCCATCAAATGATGAACTGACTCGTATATCGCAGACCAATGGCTCGGAAGTCTGGAAATATCGCGTCGACAGGCTCCTCGATGCCCTCTTGGAGAGGTTCTTCCCAGACGGCATCGCGTTTGAGGCTGCCTGCGAGCCGCGACCAGGTGCATGCAGCACAGACATGCTCTCCTTCAAAGGATACGTGCACCGCTGGCTATCCGTCGTCACGCAGATTGCGCCTCACACGCAGTCCAAAATCCTGCCCATACTGCGAAAGTCAACAGAGGCCGCTGTCAAGCAGTGCACGGGAGGCGAGTCAGGCCGACGATGCGGCTTCTACTGGAGTTCCAAGAAGTTCTTCGAACCGACGACAGTCGACCATACCAGCGGTGCCGGCGAAGCCATGAATGTCCTGGCTGCAGTCTCGAGTCTCCTCATCACGGAAGCAAGACCGCCAGTCACCAATTCGACGGGCGGCATCTCCAAGGGAAATCCAAATGCGGGCCATGGAGGAGACAATGGAGAGATAGAGCCGGAACCGATTCATGCCGGAGACAGAGCGGGAGCAGTGGTCTTGACGCTGGTGATTATATGCAGCGCGACAGGCGCTTTCGTTTGGATGAGCTTGGGTTGAGTCCACTTTGGTCTGAGCCTCAGATTGGACGGGGTTTGATGGCGCGACGGCGTTGGAGCTGCTCCATTGACGGATCTATGGGCGGAATTGATATATATACCTTAGATAGAGGCGGAGCACATGCAGTCTTGATGAACAATAGCTCAACCTCAGAAATTACCTAAAGAGAGTAACGCGATGCCGGCATTTCATTCAGGGGCTTGCGTGCATGTACCCAGCCAGCCGTAGGGGGCGTCGAGCAACGACCGAGGTGGCCATCTGCTACTGCAGGTGAGACAGATTTGACGATGCCCCTCGCAGCTTCGCAGCTCTTTTTGCGAGAATTTGGCTGCAGGCTGTTGGACCTGCTGTCTATGGCGAGAACTGAGAAGGGCGAGAAACAGCCAATGCTCGCATAAGCCATCGCAGGTCACTGTAGAAAGCTGAACGTTGTGACTGGATGGACTGAAAGGAAGAAAAGGCTCGAGTTTGTCACAGGCGAGGCACAAGAAGCAGCACCTTGATCATCTGCAGCGACTGACCGCCCAACGATCTTGAGCTGGGAAATAAAAGCAGGGCTGTCGACTTATGTACGGGTACTTGGCAACCTGGCCTGCAGTGCTGGTCTTCCTGCTTGTCTCACGGTATGGCTTTGTCTTACTCAGTTTCCAAGGAAACAGAAGGTGTGCTTGCGTGCATACGAGCATCTCGGGTGAAATGCCAGTTACTAAGGCAGCTGCAATACTGAATAGATCGCTGATGGTGCAATGCGCAAAATGTCAATCGATTCCATTATCCTCGAATTCGAAATCGAAAGCTAAGCCAAGTACCTGTACCGACTTACGTGACGCAACACCCTGCTTATCTTATCAGTCCGTTGGCGGTGAGCGTAACGGCGGCAAAATGAAATAATGTCTGGAATGCCCATCTTCTTCACATGCACCCGCCTTCAGCTTTTCCTCTTCATCAACTCCAGACTGCCCGCTAACCAGATCGATCGCCGACTTTCCATCCACACATACCGCCGCCAACCACATTTACTGGCCCGAGCCGTCGTTCTAGACTTTTTCCTCTCATTCAAGGGGCCAATTGGCCTCTTGGTCTTTGTTTCGCCTCGAGATGCGCGGGCTCTCAAAGCCAGATCTGCTGCTTGACGAGGCGGAGGAAACCGACAACGACAGCTACGATTCGGCCGCCGAGGACGAGTTCTACAATGGCCAGGATCCCGCAGACGAGGATCCCTACAAGGGGCGCGTTTTTCACGGCTTCTCCAAGCTTCCTCCCGAACTACGCATCAGAATTTGGGAGCTTGTCCTGAGTGAGGAGGCGCAGCCTCGCATCCTGCATTTCGACATCGGTCTCTTGCCCCGGCCGATCGATCCCGACGATGAGAACGCCGAGAACGACGTCATTACGGACTTGACTGTCCAACCCAATAAAGATCTCTACGTTGAAACCCAGCAGGTCCGAAAGATAGTTGCCGTCAGCCGAGAAGCTCGTGACGTGGTGCTCAAGACTCTGCCCCATACCCTCAGGCTTCGTACCAAAGGGGCGGCCCACGGCCCTGGAACGGTGTATTTCCATCGAGATCGAGATGTTGTTTACATCAACGCTGGCAACAGTCCCCTTCAATACAGGTGGATGGAAGTATGGCCTAGCGTCCACTGCGACTTCGAGGGCTTCGCAGAAAATGTTTCTCAACTTGCCATGAACTGTAACGTATTCGATGATGAAGGCCTCTACGAACACATTCTTGAGAAACTCTCCAACCTCAAGCGACTATTCGTTCATTGTGACGACCATGACGAGCTGAGACGCGAGGACAAGATATGGGCAGGCTCCTATTACGTCTACACACGCACAGTCGCCATCAGGGATAGGGGCAATGGTTACTTCTTAAAGGAACATGTCTGGCCAAATGCTGACGATTATGAAGACCTTGCCCGGCAGCTCCCCGTCCCGACCATGACTGGACTCGAGCTGCCCTCTCGTGAACGTCTTAGTCAGCTTGTTCATGGTGCTATGATTCTCCCCATGTTCGTGTTCGAAGATCAAAGAGGCTACAAAGCCCTTGAGAAGCTGCGGTGGCTGTGGCAAAAGAGTTATTCGAGAGGCGTCCCTGTTGAAGAACTCTCTGATTCATCATCTGCCTCGGATTCGGACGGGCTTTCGGAGGACAGCGAATCTGACGAGTATGAAAGCGAAGGAATAGATGACTCCGCAATAATAGAAAACGGCACCGACGATGATAGTGACGAGGACAATCTGTCTGGGGATCAGGTCTACGGCGACGATGACAGCAATGGGGGAGAAGACAACGACGATGACGGCGACAGCGACAGCGACGCTATCAGTGGCAGCCACAACGTCGTCAACGCCCACAATGGAACCGCGGCCGCCTTTTCCAGCCCAGAGCCAGAACCAACTTCCGTCTCGGGGACACAAAATTCTCGGAAACGACGCATTGTTGCTGACTCCGATGACGAGCTGCCCTCCGAAGTGCCTAGAAAAAGGCACGCTCGCAGTGGCAGCTTCTCAATCAGTTCGGACACGGATGATGAAGGTGTTAGCGAGACGAATGCTGCTAGAAAGCGCAGGAGACGTGCAGCGATTATTGACAGCGATGACGAAGATGACAATGGCTCTGAGGACAGTCACAAGGGGAAGGACGAGGAGGAGGGTGAAACGGGAAGGAAAAACAATCATGGTGGCCAAGAAGAAGAAGAAGATGATGATGACGACAGTGACGATGTTGAAGAAGATGGTGACGATGACGAGGAAGACGAAGAAGAGGGAGTTGTAGATGTAAGGCGGTTGAGTCTAGCTACCCGGCTTAACCTCGCACCGCCGAGACATCGCTCGGCGCTGAACAGGCGAAATGACTCTACCGACGATGAAGAGGATGACGAAGAGGATGAAGATGAAGATGATGACGAGGACGAGGACGATGATGAAGACGACGAGAGGTCTGAAGACGATCTTATTGACGGCATTGCAGAGGAATCGGACATGTCAGATTGAACATGATCGCGGCGTTACAGGATTTGGCAGCTTGGGTTTGGATGATACCCAGGAAGGTATAGGGCGTTGCATCTATGTACTACTAATGCTGCGAATTATTTCTCCTACTTCACAGACAATATTACTATCACGTACTACAGTTACCCTCTTATATACAGAGGTAGCATCTACCATCACAACGTCTTTCCCTCGGCCAAGAGGTCGACAAACTCCCTAATCCTACGCCTCCTTGTCTCGCTCTTGACAGCCGTCTGGATGCGCCACAGAAATGAATATCTCTGCGCCTTGCTCAGCCCCTGAAACGCCGCCCTGGCAGCCTCATTGCCCGCCAACGCGTCCTCAAAGTCTCCAGGAACCTCCATTGCCGCCGGCCCCGCGTACGCCCTCTCCCAGCGCCCATCCTCCTTTGCAGCTTCTACCGCCGCCACGCCCGCGGGCTTCATACGGCCCTCCGCCATCAGCATCTCGACGCGCTGGACGTTGCGGCGCGACCACAGGCTGCGGGGTCGACGAGGCGTGAAGCGCTGCAGGAAGAATGTTTCGTCGAGCGACTTGCGCTGGCCGTCGATCCAGCCGTGGCAGAGGGCGATGTCGACGGCTTCGTGGTACGTGATTGATGGGAATCTGGAGATGCTGAATTTCTTGGTGAGGCGTAGCCATATGCCGGAGAGGGTGGAGGAGCCGGCTTGGAGGAGCCATTCGTCGAAGGCGGAGGCGGAGGAGAAGCTGATGGTCTGAGCTGACGAGGCTGATGGGAGTGGTGATGGGGTTGGAGGTTTAGAGGTGGGCTTGGGTTTGGATATGATGGCGGCCCTTGAGGGTGGTGATGATGTCGTGGACTTGGATCTGGATGTGACGAGGTTGGTCGACGAGGTGCTGGATATGGGTGGTGATGAGGAAGAGGAGGGCTTGGCTGCAGCTTTGGCCAAGGCTGATCGTGTTACTCTTCTCGTTGACATTTTGTCTGCTTTACCTATGACCTGATAGTCAGTGGACTGTTTCGAAACGGCTGATAAAGGAAAGGAATATGTGGTGATAATAGGAAGCGTGAACGTGAATAGAGGTGATACTTACCAGCATAAACGCGCACGATACCGTCGTCAGCCAGGTCGATCTGGCCGTCAATCGATACAATATCAATATCTCGGATACAAGGTCACATATGAAAGGACACGTCTTGTAAGGCACGAACGCTTGAAGCTCGATATCAAGAACATCCGCTCTGGTGGTTTGTCCGAGTTCACGGTTCCAATTCACGACCTGATGGAGGTGATCCATGCTGCGATCGGCCGATGGCGCCTCGATTTGGGGGACAGGAGCACTAAGGCCGCTGTAACCCCCAACGCAGCCACTAAACTCCGCTGAAGCACTCGACAGTTGAACCCTCAATGCGATGCTGATCTTCGGGCAGCGAACCTGACAACAATCACAGACAACCAGTTCATGGCGTTCGTCTTCTTCATCATTTCTCTCGAATCCATCGGGATAGCCGTTGCTTGTTAGACTCTAGATCGACAGAAGCCGCAGACAACAGAACCAATACAGCCAGTACAGCAACCTACGTACACCCACCACGACGCCCTTTTGATGACAACCCGCCAGCTCGAAATCAAGCACCTGTCGTAAATCATTCCCTAAACATCTCCAGCAGCTTCTGCACCGGCCAGGCTCGCGCATCTCGATACTTTTCCACGACGCCGCGTAGCGCCTGACGCTCGTAACGGTCCGTGAAGAAGTCGCCGTACAGCTGAATGCCGATGGCGGCGTTCAGCAGCGCCGGAGGGGAGGCTGGATGGCAGAGGGCGATGCCGCAGAGCTCCAGCAGCAGCAGACGGACGTCGTTTTCAGCCTTTCGCCAGGTCGCACGCGATGCCGACGGCGCTCTATGAAATTGAGCGGTCAATACTGATCAGCTTTAAAAACGGACCTCGGGTTGGACGACATACTTGAGGAAGGGATTCTCAGCGACCAGCACCGACTTGGCCATGATGCTCTGCTGAATGCTCGTCACCTCCAGGTTGGACCCGTACCAGATAGTAGGAAAAATCTCTCCCTTGGCTTTGTCAGCCGTCGTCTTGAAGATGGGCCGAAAATTGACCAGAATCTCGCGCTCGAGATAGTCTTGCTGATCCATGAGTCTCACTACACAGTCGTCGTCAGTCCTCCAACCATACACAATGATATGGATCGTCCAACTCACGCCATTCGCGTTCCGACCCGTCCTCCCATCGCCACTTGGCCACCTGGACGGTGTGCATCACCGTCTTGTTCGCCTTGGAAGCGCTATGCCACAGGTCGGCCGAAGGAAACAGCTGCGGCGGCTGTTTTCGGGTGAAGGAGTGGTAGATTTCCTGGCGGAGGGCCATCCAGTACGCTGCTTGGATGAGACTTCTCCGGCCGAATAGCGCTTGCGACGCAGAGCTTCTCAACACAGCATTGATGATGGGGAGGAAATTGACCTGCTTGCCAGAGGGGGAATGGCCGCTGTCGCCTTGGCTGTTGCCGCTGTCGTTTGCCGGCGCGTCATCTTCCTCTTCGTCAATCTCTTCCAGCTGGCGGAGGATGACAGCCGTGGCAATGATACTGTCCCTATAATCATCGTCTTCGACTTCGTGAAAGTTCCGAAGCGCGGGGATGCATTTGAGCATATACTCGACCGCGTCATGCTCGCTCAGCTGGGGAATGAGCTGTCCGTGGTACAGAATGCCGGCTGGCGTCCTGTACTGCGGGAGTCGACTGAGATGACGGGCGGCGACTGCGAATATCGCATTGAGAAGATGCGGGTGGTGATGAGCACGCCGAGGAACGGCAAGCTGAAAATGACGGTCTTCGTCACACAAGTCAAACTGTCCCCGGAGTCAGCACAACCAGGCCGTTGATTGTCACATCATGTCCTTTCGTCAACTCACCCAATGCGCAATTTCTTCGACAAAATATCGAAAAAGGCAAGCCTCGCGCGGGTCTTCCAGGGGGAATCGCCGTCGAAACGTCCCGTCCTCTTGCGATGAGATCACGCTGGGTACATGACGCTCGTACAAGGAAGCGTATGATGCGGAACCATCTTCTGTCGGGTATGTTGCCGTGGACTGTGCAGCGGAAGAATAATGATCAACGCCCTCCTGGCCACGAGGCCGGACATGGGGGCCGAGCGAGGTGCTCCTATACTGATGGGGTGGCCGCTCATCGAATGCATTAGGGGGCCCATATGGCGTGAGATTTGACGTCTGCTGCTCAGGCTGATGGCTGAGATGAGGCGAGTGGTTCGCAGAGGAGTTACCTGAAGGGCCACTCGAGGTGACGGGATACGGAGACTGACTAGTTACGGCAGAAGTAGCTGCAGTCCACGATTCGGGTTCCCTGTGCTGTTCAGGACTCTGTTGACTTGCCACGGCAGCACCTCCCTGGGAATGGTAGCGAACTGCGTCTGCAGTCAGCAACCGAGACATCAAGACCGAAGAGGCGACGAGCTGCTCAAGCTGGCCAGGTCTTGGGGGGGAATGGCCACCAGGGCCCCGGCCTACGTACAATGCTTCACTTCGCTATTGACCCATTTCTGTTCCTTGGAGAAGCTGGCGGCAGATCCATGGCGGAAGACGGTCTTTTTAGTTGGACGAGTGCATGGCAAGAGCTTCGACTGACATCGGCGACACTTTGGGCGTTCCTCGTCACCTACAACAAACAGCCAACGGCAGCATCATATCAGCAACACGACAGCCAAGGCTGGGCAAGAACCGGCGGAATTGCTTCTCTCACATTTAACGTGCTTCTCTATCAGCAAGGCTCGGGTCAGCTAGAGACGGCAGATAAGGGGCGCGGGTCTGGTGAGTTTGCGCTTGAGGACGGACCTTTGCACTGGACGCACGGGTGCTTCACCGCAGGCATCAAGTTCCAGAAGCCCAGCTGGACGCCACAGGGGAAGTATTTCCACTATGACTCGGTGACCTGATGGACAGCCTGAACAGCTGTCTTTTGCTTTCGGCGCGAGAGGCACGGGCTGGGAGAGCAAAGATGGGAGAGAACAAGAGCGAGCTCCGGCGAGAGCATCCAGATTCGGCCAAAAATCGGTCTATTCCTTTTAGTAATCGCCGGCGAGGCTTCCTTGGGGTGGTGAGCATGCGGAGAGGGCCTAAGCCTAAACGGGGCGGGTTGTGATGACGAGAATATCGAGTTGTCGAGTTGTGTTGAGTTGTGAAAGTCTGTGGAACAACTGTGAGATGCATACGGTTTATTCTCCGGTTGCTATTTCCAACACCAGGGGTTTGGTGATTGACTGGATGTCTTCCCACAACCAAATGAAGTTGCTTCTCTATGGCTTCAGTTTGAAGGGGTTGAGTTCAGTTGATTGACACTAGAATGCCCCAGATTCGCAGGTCGGCGGGGTCGCACCACTGTGCGTGGCCCCAATTCACGCTTCAACTAGAGCAGCCGAGCTGAAGTCGTGAATCCATCCTCGAATCCTTCACGCCCTACGGGTCAAAGCCAATCGGTATATATAGGCGACGATCGAGACGGCACTCAGCTCTTCTCTTTCATCTCTTCAACATCCAAGCTTAATAGAGATCTTTTCGAGACCAACGATAATGATGAGCCACCAACCGGACCAAGACTCCAAGCCTCAACGTCTACCCTACAAAGGCTCGTGCCATTGCGGAGCGATTCGATACGTCGTCTTCCTGACAGTCCCTCCTCCATCCTATCTCAACAAGGGACCGCCTCCGCGTCGAGGTGTCCAACGCATCTACAGATGCAATTGCACAATTTGTCACAAAATAGGGACCCTTCATCTCCGACCAACGTCTGAATTCGACGACTTCTTCCTGTTATCGCCACTTGATCCTCTGGAGAGTCTGGGCGACTACATGTGCAACGCCAAGACAGCGCACTACCTGTTTTGCAAGACATGCGGAATACGATGCTTCACCTTTGGCGGCGAGGGAGAGATTGTCGACGTTACTTTGCCAGAGGTGCTTGCGTTGGCTGATGGTGCATCGGGGTCTGGGCAAGATGGCGTCTCTGTCAAGGCATGGAGGCCTAAAAAGGTTGAGCAGAGTGATGAAGGATCTCATGAGAACTCGTATCTCAGTGTCAATGGACAAACTATTGAGCCGGGTCAGGAGGGTTTTGACCTGAGGGAATGGGCGGAGAGAAAGGCGATTATGTACCTGGACTATCTCGCCGATGAGAAGGACAGATTGGACGAGCGCTGCGAGAGGCCTCATTTCGGAGGTGCCTATTAAGATTGGGCGATGCGATCTTATACGGAGGGCTCTCAATCTTACCATGGCGAGGCACTCCTTGCACTTCATGTGTGACGCATCGGAGGCAGAATCTCATTATGTTTACCACAAGAACCATTACTCAGTGAAGTCGTCGCTTAAACAGGAGCGTCTACCGTCTTCGATTCGTCGGATATCATCAATTCATGTTCTAAAGCAAATCAGACGCAATCTACCCAACTCCAACACCCGCTTGCCTCGACCCTTATAGCGCCTTGACCATTACCCTGAAATACAAATCATCCCGCAACGCCTTGCCGCCAACAAGCTCAGCATACGGAAACGGCTTCTTCTTCTCCGTCAACACATACCCCCGTCGACCATACCACGCAATTAACTCAGCCCTCGTCCAGATGATGCTCATCTCTAGTTCCCTCAATCCCCAGGTATCCTTCGCATACGCCTCCGCAGCCGCCAACACAAATTTGCCAATCCCGCCCGCCTGCCGCAGCGGGTTCACCGCAAAGAGGCCAAAGTAGCCGAGCGTGTCGCTCTGCTTGAGGAGTTCGCAGCAGGCGACGATCTCGCCGCCGGCTTCATCGTCCTGGGCGACGAGGACCGCGCCGAAGGGCTCGTTGATCTTTTTGAGGAGGCCGGCTTCGTCGATGCGCTGGTCGTCGAGGATGTCGGCTTCGGTGGTCCAGCCGCGGAGGCTGGTTTCGCCGCGGTAGGCGGAGCGGACGAGGGCGAGGACGGGGGTGAGATCGGCGGGTGTGGCCTTGCGGATGGAGAGTGAGATGGGCGCCATGTTGGGTGAGTTGTGTAGATGAGTTGTGTGCCAATGAGACGTGAGTCAGAGAACTGATGGCGCTGTGGTGGTTGAGATATGCAGAACTTTGCAGGCTGGAGTTGTGTCAAGAAAAGACCGTTGTCTTGATGGTGAGTTGTGTTTGTTTGCTTCGTCTATAGACGTTGGAAAGAGCGAATGTTGTAAAGTCTTTATATACTGACTCTACGGATTAAAGAACATGGATTTGTCTTTCGGAGCTATTCAGCATCTTCACAACTCCGAACCTGTACTAAGGTATCCGGCATGTCAAACTAAGGCGTACGCTTGACATTTTCGACATTTTCGACATGGCAAAGGACTGAGTCATAGGAACAGGTGATGCCACTAACCAGGGACGGGGTTTTTCCCCTTAGCATCGATACTACATCATCTCAAAAATGCTCTGCAGATGTAATCCATTTGCTTTACACTTTCTACTCTGGGAATATCTGTTCTCATCTCTCTATTCCATTGTGTGCGATCTCGGAATACTGTGAACCTTGTTGATGCCACGTCTCTTCCTCTCCCCTGAAGCCTATCATAACCTTGTTGCGCCTCATACACACTGTATCTGGTGCCTGGGCTATTAAGTCTGACGCCATGGCTTATAGCCACATATACAAACAAATATGAATAGTGAAAGAAACAGAGCCGAGATTCTTCGCCGAAAAATCTCCCCGGACCGCCGAAAAACGCCTCCTCATTAGGAATAAACGCGGCCTCTCCGCACCAGTCACTGCTGCTTATTACTATACGGAATCGGAAAGCACATACCGCCAGCCTCGATGCTTCCAGCACTTTCAAACGCTTCCATCGAGCTCCGTCTATCCCGCACAAATTTGGGCCACGTGTTCGTCAAGACGAGGTACTTGATGGACTTCTCAGCATCGTCGAAGATGGTCTGATCAAAGTCATCCGGGACCTTGCCCCAGTACTGCACGCTGTCGCCAGCGCTTTTCTCAGAATCCGATGAGTTTACGGAGTCGGGCCTGGGCACGTCGCCGCAGTCGAACGGCGTTGCGGCATTCACGTCTTGCCTTTCGCCGTACGTGGAGCGGGCGGGCTTCTCAAAGATGGCCTCGAGCCTCTTGAGCTCCACGGAGGAGATGTTGATGGGGAACGCGGCGTCGGTGGCGCTGATGTATTCGGTGTAGATGCGAAGAGCGCGGTTGAAGCGCTCTCTGACGAGCTCTCGCCTCGTTTCTTCAGATATGTCGCTGTTGCGGTTCAGGACCGACGCGGGAAACGAAGCTTTCCAGTCCCCGACGCTCGTGAGAAACGCGATATTCTCGCCCGAAAAGTCCCTCAGGGCAGAAAACTGCTGCAGCGGCTCGGGATTCCTCTGCAGCACATGCTCAAGAGCGCTGAGCGTCAGAATAGACTCGACGGACGATGTCTTGCCGGAGCTGTGCGTTGATTTCCAACCGGACTTGATGGACTCGGCGAGGGTCGTCTTGGACTTGATGGATCGGATGGCCTTGCCGAGGCCCGTCTTGTTGTTCTCCCACTGGGCGATTGTGTTGAGGGTTTCCTGGCAGAGGGCCTGGTGGCTGATGACTTCCCAGCAGGGGAGGAAGACGGTGAAGATTTCCATCAACCAGATGGAGAGGGCAATCCTGTGGCACTTGATGAGTGATGGTGCCTTAGGAAGGACGGTAGAAGGGGACAAACCACTGGGGCGGAATGAAGTGATGGTTGATTGCTTCCATTCCTGGGACATACAAGGCAACCAGCCACATGGGAGCTGCATGGAGGCTATATACACGCCGTCAGCACATGAAAAACACGTCTCTAGCCATTTACCGCCTCAACTTACCCCGAAACCGCACACAGAATGGTCTGAGTGCGCCATCCTTGAGTATCCCGGATATCACGCGCACGCCACAACGTGAAAGGCGCAACAACCCACGCCCAGAAGAGCTGCCATATGATAGACGGCCACCTGGTTCAGTCAAAGCGACTGTCAGTACGCAAACGGCTCATACATGGACAAAAAAAAAAAAAAAAAAAATGAAGCCTATTAGGAACAACTGACCACTCCCATCCGCGGCCCATCTGGACCTTCTGCTCCATCTCAGTGCCGTGAACTTCCGTGCCTGGGATTCCCCAGGCGCTATGCCACTTCCGCGAGACGAGATACATGAAGATTGTCATGAACAGCTGGCACGGACAAGGCATTGTTAGCTCACGTGGCATGCAGAAAACGCATGGCCGCCACAAACTCACCTGGAACAGCATTCCAGAGCCCACGAGGAGGACGACCTTGGCCGTGTGGTCGAGCCTGCGGAATCGGCCGAGAAAGCTGGCATGACTGCCCTTATTGTTGCTGCTCTTGATCGCCGTCTGAGCATGACTACTATCAAGGTACTGCTTCTGCCGCTGAGCGATATGCAGGAACCGCGAATTCGAACCGTGGAAGAGGCCGACGCCCAGCGGCAGATACGTGCCCATGATCCAATACTGCGTGTCTCCGGTATACAGCGGCCCGATGACATAGCCAAGCTGCACCGCGATCCAGAACAGGTGCAGCAGGAAGATGGCCGACAGCGAGAGGCCGATGCCGCGCATCCTGAGCATCGGCGTGTTGCGCTTGAGAATGAGGAAGCCCGTGCCCGTGAGCAGGAGCAGCGTCCACACCGCGGCCCAGCATATCCACCAGATGCCGACGGAGTCGAGCCGCGCCTCGGGCTTGGAGTCGGCGGTGAGGCCGAGCTCGGTGCCCATGGTTGGCGACGGTGATGGTGCAAACTGAGCGGGAAAAAAGACTGAGGATCTCCAGAGGGAGAGTTTGCTCGTTTGTTTGCAAGGCTGTGGGACCGCTGGTGGTCCTTGAAGGGAGAGAGAGGTGAAAGAAGCCCGGGACAGCAGGTGATCAAGAAGTGTAAAGGAAAACAAAGAGCCCAAAGACGAGGAGGAAAGAGTTTTATCAATCGCGGGGGCTTAATGATTGCTGGGCGAATCGGCTGCAGGGAACGGCGAATGCAATTGCTGTCCCTGTCTCTTGTAACTTGGAGCTGACAATGGTGATGCGGGAGACGAGAGACTGAGACTGCATGCAAGGCTGGGACCGAGGATGGATGGGCCGGGCTTCTGGGCCAGACATGCTTTTACCATCCCAACCTAGGTCGAATACAGGCACGCAGTTTTGGATGCTGTTTCTCTGAGCATCCTTTTTTCCTTTTTTTTCTTACGAGATCGCCTCTAACAGCCGTTATTCCCACCGGAACAGTCTCTTATCCACGAAAACAGCACGAGAGGGCCAACCAACCGATCACGCACAACCTCTCTCGACCAACCTCTTTGCACAGGTTCCTCCGCCAACCTTGGCCCCTTACGAGAAGTTCTGTCGTAGGCGATCCCAGTTTCCGAGAAGCCCATGAATGGCCGTTTCTCTTTAGATGGGACGACTGAGACATACCTCACATTGTCGGGTCGGAAACAAGCCCTTGCAGATGCTGCGAGACAAGAGAGCTGTCCTCCCTGCGTTGCGGTTTCTGAATTGCAAACATCCTGATTGGAGGTTAATACGGCAATCTCGTCGATATTTGTGTGCACGAATGCATGTTCCTGCAGAATTGTACAGAATATTTGCTGTTGGATAACCAACCATGCATATATTGCTGCTGTGCACACACATTCTGCATGGCTGGCGACAGTTACTCTTCTTTCAGATCCATTTTTGCCGCTTTGTATGTTCTATGTGTGTACAGTGTGTGCTGTGAGATTGGCGAACGGATCCCTACACGTTGTGGCCTCGACCAACAGCAGCTTCATGATGGCTGCCCGGGCTCGAAGTGTGAGGTATAAGTAGCTTATCCGAACCGCTCGATATACCAACACTGAGGAGGTTGGTTTCATTGCAATCTTGGGATCTTGGGTGATTGGCCGCCAAGTATTGGTATCCCTGCTTTGTATCCCGCTCAGATACCTGGTCACAGAATGCATCGATTGCACTTGGCATAGAGGACTACTGGCCGGCATAGCCCTGCCGTTTTGCCGCCTCTACCGTCATCTCGATTTTTCTTGCACTCCTCCTACGTTACTTTGGAAGGGCATCGTAGTTTTCTTTTCTGATCGGATTGTGAGAATCGACTACGGCCGCCATCTGTTCCACGACGGACTCACGGCAGAAGCAGAGAGCAGATCGTCGCTATCCCGGCACCTGAAACACGGTTGGATGAAGCTTGGTACGGCTGAGGCTCCTCCGCAAGGAGCGGCGGGTTTATGTATTATCATGCAGGTACCAAGCAGTATTTGTCATGTCGCTCTGTCACACCGGGATCGAGCAGCATCGGGCTTGTACGCACATGTATGTATATCCGCATGTTTATGTGCTTTTATTTCGTACTCTTGTGTCGTGAAGCGCAGAGATTGATGGCTGGCAGGAATAGTAGTAGCTATTGTTGAAGGTTGCTTAAGCCTCGTGCTCAGAGTTTCTTTTCGTGGGTGTTGCCACCTCAGTTATTGTGTCGTGATCGCAGGATGGCCATGGCATATCCTTCCCACCGTGCTTGACCCAACACCAGAGACGAAGACAAGAAGCTTGGTGGTACCACTTACAGAAATGCCCTACCGTGACAAATCAGATTAAGCACAGAAATAAATAGGGCAAATCTTGCAGCGCAGAACCACCCACCGTACCACATTGCTATGGGGTCTCGGAACTGAACCGATCACTATCACATCAACCACAACCGGGTTGCTGTTGTGACCGCTTCAATGATCCCGGTATGGTTGCCACAGCCCTGTGGACCAATCACCTCAACGTCTTTGTCACGTAAAATTATGTACCTGTATTTCCGCGGGAGTGGTGTACAAAGCGGTGCTCGTGTCCACCATCTCGGAACGCTGTGAGAGAACAAGACGAATCGCCCCATAAGGCTGTGAGACACGCATGACCCTTGCATCACGACAATGTGCTCGATTGGCTGGCCGGAGAAGGATGTTAAACGCTGCGATGAACCCTGCCCAAGCTAGAGGGCAAAGCCCGCTGGAAGTCAATATTGATGCGCTATGATAATGCAAGGGGCGCCAAAGGGTCACATCCCGTTTCCTTGGCCAGTGCTCAAGCTCTGACGGATCTCGGCCAGTAGTTCGTTTCGAATACAACCCTTAGACGGGAAATCACAGGGTAGGAGAATAACAGTGCGCTCTTGGATGGAAAAATCTCTGAGTGTTGGTGCCGAGGGTGCTCTTGGTGTTGGTGTGAGATGAGCGGCGAGACTGCATACATGTGCAAGTTGTGCTTCGTTAATAAGGTGCTTAATGATCCAAGCAAACACAGTGATACAGATTAGATGGAATTTGGCATCCATGGACGAAATCGTGTGTGATACCTTCAACGCTAATCGCCACGTAACTGAAGCTCATCTTGTCAAATTTCGGCACTTGCACGGGCTGCCTCTCCGACGGGCGCCCTCACCAGTCCCTTATGCCTTGACCAGTGCGATATGAGTAAAAGCTTTCCTGTGTCAATCATTACTCTTGATGCAGCTCGGCATTCGATGTCTTTGGAGCCGGCACCAGCAGCCAGCTAATCGCCGTAATCGCAAGGAGAGCAATCAACATTGGCTGCAGCACTTTGACGCCGGCATCGGCAGAGACAACGCCCGTGATGATGGGAAACAGGGAGCCTCCCAGCTGGGCAAAGACAAAGACTAGCGGCAGCGCGGTGGAGTGAATTTCTGATGGGAACAGCTTGGAGCCAAGGGAGATGCCCTTGTGCAGACATGTTAGACGATCCTGAGATAGAATGGCACATAGAAGACGTACGGTTGGAAACAACGGTCCGGTGAAGAAGCCAATGAAGCTGACAGCGATGGAGGCGGCAATGATATTCGGTACCCTAGCGAGGGACTGTAAGCTTGGACATCACAGAGCATTAGACACGGGGCAACCTTACAGCCAGAAGATGAGCTGGAGGCCGATCGACACAACAATGTATACAAACACCATCCGTCGCTCACCAAATCCGTGCGTCGGCTCAGCAAGCAGCAGCCGCCCCAGAAGCGCACCGCCGTTGGATGCCGCAGGCACGTATCCCATCTGCGAAAGATTGCCGTGCCGCACGTTGACCAGATACTCGACGACCCAGCCGCCCGCCGTGAGCACCGCGCCGAGGTAGAAGAAGAAGAAGAGGCTGAGCAGCCAGACGCTGGGCGTTGATGCTGTCTTTTTGATGAGCTGCGCCGCTTCCTTGTTCCTCGATACAGCTTCGCTGCTCGGCTCAGCAGCAGCAGCTTCACCAAGTGTCCTCCCCTGGCACTCGCTCGCAAAACTCCTCCGTCGAAGCCCAAGCGTGTCCCGAAAGGCAACACACGTCAGTACGAGATTCACAGCCCCCAGCCCCAACGGAAACGTATAGAACAAGTACCACCGCGAAAACTCCCCCGCCGAAGCCACGGCCGTCGCGACAAACGGGCCAACAAGGCAGCCCGCCATGTACATGGCGTGGATAAACGCCAGCCAGCGGTGCGCGCCCTTGGGGACAGCGCCGGCAACCCATGAGTTTGCGTGCGTGTCCTGGAAGGCCTGGCCGACGCTCACGACCCAAAATGTGACGACGAAGAGCCCGAAGGGAGGGTCCCAGGACCGGAGGGCGTGAGCGGCGATCTGGAACGCGGCTCCGAGGGCGAGCATGGCGCCGAGGTTGAGGTACTGGTAGAGATGGGTGTTGGCAAAGGCGGCGAAGAGCCAGCCGAGGAAGTTGGCGCCATAGCTGGAGGTGAAGCATATCGTGTCAATGGCTTGACATGTCTGAGATAGTTGGTAACTCACACGCTCGATACTATTGCGGTGCTAACGTTGTGCTCGCGAATAAAGTAAGGAATCAAGGCCCCTATAGCTCCATCATTCACGCCAGCGACGAAGAAGGAGAAGCTGGCGCTGATGAGCTTCAAGTACACCGACTTGTCGAGGCTACGGCTCTCCGTCTCTGCCGTTGAACCGCCATCTTGTGGGCCGCCGGCTTGCGTCAAGTCCGCAATCTCAATTGCGCTTTCAACTGTGGTCTGAGTCCCGGTGGCTGCCATGATTGTATGCTGTGCTTTACTTCACGGTGAGCAACACAAACGGCCCGCCAGTTTATCAAGAGGAGACGGGCGAGGTTGATCATAGATAGAAAACGATGCCGCAGAAGCGTTTAGCCTGTATGGGCAATTCTCCGAGAGAAGACGCAACTCCCCCGCAATAACGGGGTAATGCTGTGGCCATCACAAGGGCGACACTCCCCGTATTTCTCCGCATATTCCATGTAAGTGGTCGACGGCTTCAGCGTGAGCTCAATGCTAGACGTCGGGCCATGCCATTACCTCGCATTTACTAGGGATAGAAGCTCGCCATGAACGGTGGCAAATAAACTCAATGCTGCACGGTAGGCTTATAACGAATACATGAAGCAAAATCCCGGACTCCAAGAGTGAAGAGGCACTGTGCATGTCTAGTTGGCGAGTTATCAGACAGGGTTGATGATAGTAAAAGTTTTGTACTCATTGGACAACCATCAGTATGTCTTGATGATGGTAGTGAAAGACGGCTTAGGTTCTCAACTACACGCCCGACCCGTAGTTCAAGAGGGCAATGGGTACTGCAGCAGTGATCCAAGTCGACCTTGGACGTTGTATTCCATCAACTCGACCGCCTTCTCGTGCCTTTCTATTGCCGGATTCCTGGGCCCTAGCCACACAGATACCGCTTCACCACATTGTGAGTCGACCCCTTGCAGTCAATTTCCTTCTTCTTCACCGGCGCACAAGTCCCATACAGAGAATTATCCTTGACCCGCCTCAGCCTCTGCGGGTTCTGCGCATACCCCGTGTCGGGGTCTGTACACCCGACGAGGTAGTAGTCGGTGCCGTCGAGCCTGAAGTTCTTGTTGCACTCGCGGCCGCTCTCTGGACCGATGGCGACGTCGGCCTGGCATGGGTTCAAGCCCTCCGTCCAGGCCACATTGAAATGCGTGCCGCCTTCTCTTATCTGGTTGCCGATGGCGATGGCGCTGTGAGCCACGGAGGCGGAGAGGGAGAGGCAGATGATTGAGCTGGTCAAACGCATCTTGAAGGTGTTCGAAGTTGGATGATCTCGAAAGAATGATGAAGTTCGCCGTCCAGATAGGAAGAGATAGTTCCCTCTTTATATACCCAACTTGGGTTCAGCTGAGACCATTTGGGAGGCGGCTCTGACATATTCTGTGCTCGAAGATGTTTCACCTTTTCTTCTAGATGGCAAGGCTACGAGGATCAAAATGCTGCCTGATTGGAGCTGTGTAACGGCCATCTTCGTCTTGTTCCACAAGGTCTCACATATCAGTCTTTGATGACAGCGTTCGTCACATCTCCAATAAGACAAAATGATGTCAAATGGTTCACTTGATGCTCGTACCTCTGACTGCGCCAGTGAATGGAGATGCCACAGTGAGACAGACCTCCTCACGGCTTCAAGCCCGCTCCAAGGCGCTAACATGCGAATCATTCGCCTGTTCACTGATTCCAGTGTTACCAGCGCCCCATCTCACCAGAACAGGCAACCTCCGAGATGCAAGACATGGAGTCAATCCCACAGGATCTCAATCTGGTCATCGCCAGATGCAAGGCAGCCCCTCTCTTGGCTTGAATCAGGATAATTATATTCTTGGTGCTGTTGCCATTATTCAACGTTTGAAAGTCTCTCAGATAGAGTGTTGAAGTGGCTGGTCAGGTGTGACAAGCTGGTCGAGCTTCAAAGCTGGACAACTCCCGCTCTCACCACCTCATCATGGAAAGATGCCGCAGTACCTGAGAATAGCTTTCAGGTCACTATGGTTCAATAAGAATGACGAGATCATGCCAGTCACAGCGAAAATATTGTAGAAAGCCTTGCTTATGCTCAAACCCGACGAATGAGAGTGGCGAGCACAGCTGGGGTAACACAAACACAACCCTCCTCCTACGATTTGCCAGCTGCCAATCGCCTGCAGCATCCAATGCCCGTTTATTCCGACATTCACGCACGGGCCACAGTTATTCCGCCTGCTCCGCTGGAATGTGAAGCCTGAATCCTTTGTTTGTCTCGCTTTCTGTCAACCAGAAGTTCGTACTGTATTCAGGCAAGTAATGGGTGTCAAGCCTGGTCAAGGCCCGGCGAGATTTGTCCACGAAAATATCATTTGATTCAATATGATGTGCTGAGTATTGCTAACCAGGCGTCTACTTCTCAGTCAAAGCGTCCGGCCTCGTCCATGGCATTCCGACGCCTCCCAAAAGCGTGCGTCCTCGAAGTCGAGAGAAAATTTCGTTCGCTCGCAGTCCCCAAACTGACTCGATATGGCGGCCTTCCTCATTTCAAGAGTCTCCAGAGTCTCCCCGTCGAAGTAATCCACGACTCCTACTACGACAAATCCGGCCTCCTCTCCAAGTCGGGAGCTTGGGTACGAAAACGAAACGGAATCTGGGAGGCAAAGCTCAAAAAGGGCGGAAACTTCTTGAACTCAAAATTCGAAGAGCTCAGCGGCATCGAAAATATATCCGCATACATCAAACACACCACCGGCATAGATGACTCAGAAAGCCGCAACTTTGGCCTCGAGCCCATTGCCGTCTTTACCACAACGCGCGAAGCCTGGATTGCCGACGAAGAGTTCCATATTGTCCGAGATATGATGGACTTTGGCCACGAGGTCGGCGAAGTCGAGCTGCAAAAGGCACTGGTCGGCGTCGATGGGGGAGAGCCGACTGAGCAGCAGAAGCAGGACGAGATGCAACTCATGGATGAGAGGATCGCTGCGTTTATGAAGACCTATGCATGGGCAATTACGCCGGGCCGACCAACGGGAAAAGTTACAGCGTACTTTGAGTGGAAGCGGAGAAATGGTGCCTGAGGGGTATGAGGATACTGGGCAAGTTGAGGACGGAGTGACTGGCTGGGATAGCTATGTTACGCACTCTTTGAACTTGGTTGTGCATGACGGTTCTGATATCAATTCGTCTACGAGATATATGCCATTACTCTTGGTCTCTGGGTAGTTGCCGTCTTTGATCGTGACCTGAATTGCTCGATGACTCTTTACCATCACGACTGCAATCATCATTCGCCTAGAGAAGGCAAACAATTCGCGCAAAGTCACATTTTATTTGCCTAGGTGCTATAGAATGCCATCCTTCCGCGGCTGTAACTCGACAGAGTCTCAGGCTGCCACATCTATCCTTAGTGCCGTTGTCACACGTGAATGAGAATCAGCCACTACAGTCTGCCCTGCAAGAGATGCAGCAGTGTTGCATACGATTTGTTGGTGCAACCGCTCGTATCAATCTAGCACTTAGTTAGGCATCAGCCTTCAGAGTATTGCCCGTGGGGTGATGGAGTGATGGCTGACCGTAAGGAGCTTCCCCTGCTTTTCGTAGCGCTCAAGAAGAGGAGGATTCAGGTCCTGGAACTCGTCATATCTCTTCTTGAAAGTCTCAATATCGTCTCCTTCGCGGCCTTGCTTTCTGTTGATGACTCGTCCCTCGGCCAGAACTCTAGGGCAGTCAAAGAACAGAACAAGTGTAGGAACTTGGAACTACGTTAAGTTAGAATCCAGGATACTCGTCGCAAGAGATTTCGCGGTGCTTACTTCTTTCTCAAATGCTTCAGCTTGATCAAGGCGTCGAGGGAAGCCATCCAAAATGATTGTCCCAGCCATATCCATATGAGGTCTCAGAACATCAAAGAGCAGCTCTGTGGGCAAAAGTTCTCCGCGCTTGACATATCCGATTACTGTCTCATCTGCTCCGGGCATTGCAACGACGTTTCGTAGCAGATCGCCAATGGAGAGATGCCTGAAGCGGTATTTCTTGGCGAGCTTCTTGCAAAGAGATCCCTTGCCTGCTCCTGGGGCACCTTTACAGGCTCGTTAGATCCGCTTAGTGGTTCAGCATTGCTTTGGCTTACCAATAACAAAGATGATTCGTTTCTCAGCAGACTCCATGGCTACTAGCGTGTTGGCTTGTGATGAAGATGAAGTTGGAGATAGAGGAACGCCGCTCGATGCAGGTTCTGCGTGTTCCATGTATGTGCGAAGTGTGCGGAGATTGGGCTGTGCTACATTAGGGCACGAGCAGGTGTTTACTGTCATAAAAAGCGGCGGGAAGCCCGTTTGCTATGGCCATCTTCTCTGATTCTTTCCCAATCCATTCACTCTGCCTCACTTTCACAAGGTCGTACTCAAGCCCAACCACTTTGACCATGCATTTGTCTATCTACCTCCTCGTTGCTATTGCCACTGCCCTATTACTTTATGCGAGAGGTCGTCTTCAAAAACCGGTCTCAGTCAATTACCATTTCTCGCGGAAATGCAATAAAGAATGCCTCTTTTGCTTCCACACAGCAACCACCTCCCACATTGAATCCCAGGAAAACGCCAAAAGGGGCTTGAAGCTCCTCAAAGAGGCCGGTATGAAGAAGTGCAACTTTGCCGGCGGCGAGCCCTTTCTCTACCCGAAATTTCTCGGAGAAATGATTGACTACTGCAAAGTCACTCTCCAGCTGGAATCAGTCTCCATCGTCTCGAACGGGAGCTTGATCAAAGAGCAGTTCCTCCGGAAACATGGCCGCAACATTGACATTCTGGCCATCAGCTGTGACTCCTTTGACGAGGCCACAAACATCAAAATCGGACGCGGCTCCGGCAACCAAGTCGATAAACTGTACGAGATTGCCTCCTGGTGCCAAAAATACAATATCAAGTTCAAGCTCAACACCGTCGTCAACAGATTCAATCACCTGGAGGACATGAATGAGCATCTTAGCGCTCTGCAGCCGTTCCGCTGGAAATGCTTCCAAGTGCTCATCGTGGCGGGAGAAAACGACTCTGATGCCACGCTTCGCAACGCTCACAGTCTGACTATCACTGACGAAGAGTTTGAAAACTTTTGCCAGAGACACAGCAGCCAGGCGTCTCTTGTCCCAGAGCCAAATCGGCTGATGGCTAAATCCTACCTCATTCTGGATGAATACATGCGCTTCTTGGACAGGAATGGAAAATCCCCATCCGAGCCCATCTTGAAGGTGGGTGTCCAAGACGCATTGAAGTCCATTTTCTGGGACGAATCTGCTTTCCTCGAACGCGGAGGTCTCTACGACTGGAACAAGGGACCTTGTCTCACCGACAGCAAGAAGTTGGAATGGTGATTCAAAAGAAGATGTTGCTGAGCCGCTGTTAATCTTTGGTGCCTTGTCGAGGAAATCTACAGCTTGGATATTGCTTTGGTATAGGCTTCATGATAATCTAAATGCATTCGCTCATTACGTTGTCTTGATCTGTCCTCTTGCCGCCTGCTCGCTGATAAGCACTCCCACGGTCCAATGTCTTCCGGGCATTTTCATCAACACACTTCTCGAATCATTGTATCTCGTGTAGCTATTGAAGGACTGCCCCCGCCCGCGCCACCCCCGCATTAAGCGGGCCAAGCTCATTGCGAATCCTTGGAAGAGAGTATTTGGCGAAATGCAGCCCTTCGGGAGAAGGGTGGTCCTCGTTTGTGCATAGTACCGGATACTTTGGGCATCATCACCCCTAATATCTCAATTCTAAGTGGGCGTTGAAAGAGCAGAGCTGGTGTAACAACGGCTACATGTGCTCCCGGGGCGGCCTACAAGCCAGGGTACCCATGATGGTACGACATCCAACAGGCATGGCTGTGTGGCCAATTATGAACGTTTCCGATGGGGGCTTCCGCAGTAGCCTACCAACACATGTCGAGAAGTTTCCAAAAGGGTCTGTTCTGAATGGCCTGGGAAGACTGGGATGACGACTGTCAGAATCATTACGTCTGGGACAACCTTGATTCAAATTGATTGTCATCTGCGTTTGGGTGAGTCGCGAGGATACACCGATGCCCAAGCGGCTTCGACATACTTGTTTGAGGTACATGTAGGTAGCAACATGTCACCATAGCTATGCCATAGCAATACCTTAACGTCAGATACAGTAATACCCAGCTACACCACATGTTCCGTGTAGTACTTATATGTGTACACATGTATACACAATTCCCCATCGATATGGAACGTCTCCGGCAAGTATGAGACGCAACATATGGAGTATAGAGACGCTTCACGGTTAGGACGCCTCTGGAGACACAAATGCGCGTGGGGAAAAGCACTCACACACTCCTAACCGGCGTGGTAGCTGCCATGAGATTCTTGCGGATGACAGAGTACTAGAAGACGGTATATTTTCAAGACATAATATCAAACATTCAAAGTGATCCAGTCACTTGGTAAACATCACATCCGAGTCAGACAAGTAGAACAAGAAAAGGTATATTGATACAAGAGTTGTAGATTTCCATCACCACAGCGCCTTTGCACAAGTTGACTCAAACACATATGTAGTTGCTCCCTAGAAATGCAAAAGTCGATCAAGACGACCACGATTTCATATCACTGACCAATCCCGCCGAAAAGTCATCTGTCGTTGTCCTCGCGAGGCCGTGGCCTCGACTGTGCATTCCACAGAGCACAATATCTCGAGAACAGCGGAGAGGTCGAGAGACTCCTCCACGAGGGCCATTCTGCGCTCTCCTCTTCTCTGGACGGCCCGTCCGCCAAGGTTCCAGATCAGGGTGGCTTAGTCGTCTCCATCGTGCCGAGAGAGGCGGTTGCAGACCCGGCTCTCTATATACCAATCAGCTATGCTGGACGTGAAAGGCTGGGTAAGTTGAAGCGTACCTTCTTCGATGAGATGGACTCGTATCTCACGGATGCGGCTGAGCAGCCGCCGCACCCGGTTGGCCTCTCATTCTAGAAAACTGTCAGCTTGCCTCACCTAAAAGCGAACAAGGGAAATGCGAGACTTACTGGCCAGCTTGTCGTCCGTGAGAGGCCTTCTTGGCCTTGATCTTGTTTGCCGTTGTGGCGGCGCAGGAGGGGTCATCGCAATGCCCCTTTTTTTTCCGCGTTTGGAGAAATAAATTTCAAAAGCGTAAGCAAGAAAGATGGTGGGCAGGTATACTAAGATGGTAAGAGCTTGGTATGCAGATGATTGTAGATGAGAGAAGTTGGTAATTAAGATGTGGGAAGACATAAGCTTTAGGGGGGGGGGCGGGGCCGAGAGGGCGTCATTCGATAACGGTGCGCATCATAGGCCTCTACAGGGGGAGTGGTCTTGTAGTAGCGGCTAGGTGCAGCATGCAAGATGCTGCTAGGCTAGCTGGACGGAGAGCGATAAATGTTAAATGACGCCTCTGTAGATATAGGCAGTGTAGGTAGCAGCGCCCTATGTTAAGAAGATAGGCAGCTCTCAGCCTTAGGATAGGGTCAAGGAGAGCTATGCTAAGACTTAAATACCGCTTCGCTTGCCAGCAAGCCTGCATCAGCAAGGCCTAGCAGGTTAAAGATAAAGGGCAGGGAGCACTTTAGCTTATCCATAAGCGGTAACAGAGGCGGCCGGTAATATCTTAAATACTATGTCTTATATAAGGGAGATATAAAGGAAGAGACTAACGCTATTATAAAGGTTAGTCAGTTAGTTATTAAGGCAGGAGGGAAGAGTTAGAAAGGGTATATAAGGCAGCCTTAAAAGAGAGTCAGGCATAGACGTTAATATAATAAACTAGTGTCCTTATAATTAGTAAGAACAGTCTTTCCTAAGGGATAAACCTAAGGTTTAAGGGTTTATATTAGCAGAGAGGTTAGGTTAAATGTATTAGCAGTGACTTATTATATAGCTAGTAATATATATAGTAAATGTCTAAGTTTTAATCTAGTTATATTATTACTAAGGTGCTACTTATATAATAATAACTGTCTATTTAAGCTATTTAAATAAGTAATATAAATAAGTCCTTATATAGCCAGTTGTCTTAACATCCTTAATATACTTAATCCTTAAGTTTATTAAGTTATCCTTAATCTACTTAATAGTTAAGTTTATTAAGTAGTTCTTAATTAGTTAAACAGCCTGACATTTATCTAGTGCTGTTTATTAAGGGTAGCCTATTTATTATAACTATAAGGTTAGGTTATAATATAATATCCCCCTCTTATTAGTCTTATCTTTAAGACCTTGCTTATTAAAACCCTATAGGTCCTTTACTTTTTTATAAGTGTTTTTTTATTTATATATCCTTTTTCTTTTTATACTAACTATAATAGTTAGTAGTAAGCATAAACATTCTAAGTTTTTTTAAGTACTTTAGTAGCAAGCTTTAAAGCAGTTAATCTTGCTTAAACTATTAATTATAAAACCTTATTAATACTATAAGAAATATAGTTTTTAGTGTTTTATATTAAAGACTGATTCTCTTTGCTATTTAAGCTATATTTATTCTTAGCAGCCTAGTTATAAAGCTTTTAGTCTATTAGTATCTTAACTTTATTATATAGCTAATAAAGGTGCTAATTTTAATTTTAAGCTAGAAAAGGCTAAGGAAGCATGGCTTAAAGCAGGTGTATATATTAAATATCTTTATATATAAAAGAAGGAATAGGCTAAGAAAATATAAAGGGCTATTACTTATAGAATTAATAATCTAAAAGAGTTAAAGCAGGTAAAGAAGGCAGAGTGTAAGGCAGTAAAGGCTGTATACTAGGCAGAAGTGTTAGTGCTTAATCTAGCTAGTTCTAATATCCTAGCTTTTTTTATTAACCTTATTAATTAAGACTAGTTTTTGCTAAATCCCTTATTATTAACCTTTATAAGTTTAACTGCTAATAAAAATTATTAACTAAGGCCTTTAAGTGTTTAAGATGCTTAATAGGTTCTTAAGTGTTATTAGCTTTATTATAATTTTTCTATTTTATAAAGTATTTTAGCTATTAGGTCTTTTTATTAAATTTTATTTAAAGGATTTATTTAACTTTATATTTAAGTTCTTTACCTTTAATTATAATTTTATTATAAATAATTTTACTTATTTCTTTATTTACTACTGCTTTTTTAAGTAGTAATATATAGAAAATATTATATATACTTTATCCTTATTATCCTTTTTTAAGCAGAAGGTTAAGTTTATAGTTAACTTCTTTAATTTATTTTAAAACCTTATATAGTTTAAGTTTTTTAAAGTTTAGCTTATTACTTAGCTAGTTTATTTTAATATTTAGTTATTTTTTTCTATATATATACTAGAGTAAGTAAACTATATCTCCCTTTTAAAGGATTAGTCCTTTAATTCTTTTTTAATCTGCATACTTGCTTATTCTTTTTTATATAAATTTAAGTTATATTCTTATTTTATTATATAGTTTCTTTAGTTAATCTGCTATAATAATTACTTTTTCTGCATTTTCGCCTTGCCTTAAAGGTTAAAATGCTTTTAGTTTAAATCTATAGTTTATATAAAATAGTGATTTTCTTATTAATTTTACTAGTATACTATTATATAAGATTTATGCTATTAGTAAGTATTTAACCTAGTTATTTTATTTAAAGTTAATATAGTATTAAAAATATATTTTAATAATTTAATTAATCCTTTTTATTTATCTATTTATTTATAAATAATAAGTAATACTAACTTTATAGTTTAATCTAAGTCTAGCTATAAGTAATTACTAGAATTTTAAAATAAATGTTAATCCTTTATTTAAAATAATTTTATTTAGTAATTTATAATTAGTATAAATATATCTTTAAAACTAATATACTAAGTCTTTAGCTATACTGCTTTCCTTAGCTAAGATAAAGTAGCTTATTTTTATTAGTTAATTAACTATTATAAAGATACTATCTTAAGTTTTTTTTATTATTAATTCTTTTAAAAGTAAAAGCTTAATAATATAGTTAAATAAGATTAATTCCTAAGGCTATATTAGAACCTATAAGGGTTATAACTTTTTATAAGGAAGATAGCATCTTGCTTTTACTTATTTATATATAATATATTCTAAAATAACCTTTTAAACTATTTTCTTAATATTATTAAATTTATAGTATTATTAAACTTATTAAGTGGTTTTCTTTATTTTTTAATATTTATATATTAAGTATATATAGATTATCTTAACTACTTTTTTTTATAATTTATCTAGTACTTAGATAAGTCTATTTATTATTAAGTAACCCTTTTTTATAAAGGTGCCTTTTAAAAACTATTCTTTAGTCTAGTCCTTAATATATTCTTTAATATTATTAATAATTAGATTATCTTTTTTAATTATAAATATAATATTTAGTGTTTTTAATA